ACAAATATCTTCGCCTTCAATTCGCGGCTCTTACAGCTACATATACGACCGACCCATTGTGCCACACAGGTACCCATATGTACCCATAAGCCTTTATACAGTGTGCTCCTTCAATTCGCAATTTTCTCAGCTGCATGACCGATCCATTACCATTAAAATGTATTTAAGTTAATATTAATTTGCATTATCAATAAATAATTAACATATCGGTCGTTTACTGTCCACTGTTGAACATAGACATCCCATACAAAGGTTTTGACAGTAGTTGTCACGCCTAGCAAGTGAGTTGGCAACCACTATTAGGCTTTGATGATTTAAGAGGGATACTCCTTGCCCGTCTCCCTCGACTACTAAATTCCCTTAATCGCCTCTTACCACACCCACGGGAAAGGAAAGATGACCCATTATAAAAAGGCCCATTCTATGTCAAAACCACACCACTATCGATAAATAATATTTATTATTAATAGAAAAATATAAATTTCAAATAGCAATTTCGATCAATAATAATAAAATTCACAGCCCAAAAACATTTTCACTAAGACAAACAACATCGAGACAACGTTTTAAAAATGCCAAATAAGTTTTCAAAATTAGAGTTACTACAGATATACTTGTCCCTGTCTCTCTGATCGTCTAATCAATTTTGAATAACTTGTTAAGATTTATAAACGACTGTAAATATAATTACTACTGATCGACGGCTAGCAATGCGACTGGCTTGATTTTTATGAAAAATTTATACACTACCCTAATCTATAGACATAACTGCATTATGACTGTAGACGTATCCGAAGATTGCTATATAATGCTGTAAAACATATTAGTTCAACGCTGTACGAAATAATGATAAATATATTTTTTTTTTTTTATGCTCCATAGTAAAATTGTTATGACAAAAAATATTTCATCCCGTTCGGGATGAAGGCGGTTATATTAAAATTTACTTAATTTTACATACTATTACATTTTAATGTAATTAAATTTTACATTAAAATTCACTTAATTAAATTAATTATACTACTACACTAGAAGCACTTATTTATTTATCTTTTGTATATCTTTAGTATTAAATAATATACTTTTTATCATATTTTTGCACCATATATGTTATTCTTTATATAAAAACCCTATAGATACTTTCTCCTTTCAGGTTCTCAAGGTAGATTGGAAGAAATCCAAAGCCAAATCCATCCGCCTGTATACCTTCTCATTTTGTTTAGAACCTGATATTTAATTATGATGTACAAAAAAATTTATAATACTAATTCGTACAGCGTTAAAATCAAACAAACACATATGAAACTTAAAACTAATTTGGCTCAGATGCTTCATATAATTGCACTTAATTTCATATAATGTAAATTAATTCATTTACGTCCAATTAATATGAAGCATGAACGGGATATTTCCATATGAACACTAATCTAGCATGCTCAATAAATACAAGTTAAAATTGAAAAGTTTTCTGTTCGAATAAAACTTATTATGTATTATAGTGTCTTACTTATTTCTGCTTACTCCAATTGGACACATGCGCTACGAATATGCAATCAAAATTGTCTAATGCCTTTTTTTTATACAACTTAGAATAACAAACAAGCTGACGGCCCACCTGATGGAAAGTGGTAACCGTCGCCTATAGACATGAGCAGTACCATGGACATAACAGAGTATACTGTTTCACCCATGATACCCGCCATGCGTTGCCATTCCTGAGGATTCAGGTGTTATTCCTCTGTACCCAGTAAATTCACGCCTTTCGTAGGACTATAACTATCAGTAAAAACGAATTCTTTCTCCTAAAAAAAATTCCAAGCCTTCTGTACTAATATTGCAAATCCACATGTCAAGTTAGTATGGGACACTCAATAAATTTTACTGTTTTTCAACGCATTTATCTTTAGGAATAAACTTCAAATTCATTAGTCAAATGTTCCATTAAAAACAATCTAAAAATTTCGATTTCATCCTATATGTAATATATGTAGTATTTATATATGATCACTTTATATGAAGATATCGTCATAGTCGTAGAATACCGACATATAAAGATCCGTCAGTATTCTACGACTATGACGATATGTGTAAATATGGATATATTGTTAGGTTATGTGTAAATATAGTTAGGGGACGTAGGAAACAAAGCATAATACAGTACAAGAGAATTACTTTCGCCTTTAGACATGAACAGGGTCGTGTACATTAGAGCATAGCGAGGCTCATGGTGGTAGCATGGCGCGGCATGGTTTCCGAGTTGTGGCACATGTGAGGCACCTCATGTACCACTACTCAGAACTAGGGTATCACGCTTCTCGTGTCACAGATTGCACTGGCCAGGGAGCACAGGAATATCAGTGTACCCCTCTGATGTGTATATGGGATTCATCTGCACATTAATCGGTGGAAAATGATCAAGATTTAGAACATTTAGAACTAACAAAATGTTTCATCGTGCCTCCCACCAAATTGTTTATAATTACTCCTCTCCATCTAAAGGTTGCCTGGAATAGATCGCTCTTAGCGATAAGGTCGCCCATTGTTTTCTCATTGTGATTATTTCTTGTAATTATTTATATTTATAAGTTCACTATTGTAATCTTTTGGAGGAAACAATAGAGTATCTATCTATCTATCTATTCAGTCATTTCGATAATTGGATAACTGAACTGACATTTGATATATCCGTTTTTGGGCCAAAATACATATATATTATACTAGCGGCCCGTCCCGGCAACGCACGGGTGGACATTTTTAACATTTCCCTTCATTACTCTGCTCCCATTGATCGTAGCGTGATGAAAAGTATACTATAACCTGCCCAGGAGTATGAAGAATAATTGTACCAAGTTTCGTTAAAATCCGTCGAGTAGTTTTTGTTTCTATAACGAACATACAGACAGACACACAGATAGACAAAAATTTTATTGATTGCATTTTTGGCATCAGTATCGATCACTAATCACCGCCTGATAGTTATTTTGGTAATATATTTCATGTACAGAATTGACCTCTCTACAGATTTATTATAAGTATAGATTGTTCTTCAAAAAGGGCGTATTAAGGTTTCTTATGGGTCGGCAACGCGCGTGACATCCCTGGTGTTCAAACGTCCATAGGCTACGGTAACACTGTTTACTATCAGACGGGCTGTATGCTTGTTTTCCACCATATATATATATATATATATATATATATATATATATATATATATATATATATATAGTATATATAATTAAAATACATATATGCAATAAATATACTAAAATACAGTATGGACACTTCCTGCCGCTCGCTGTTCATCTGTGCATGATATGTTTACTAAAATTATAAATGTAAAAGTTAGTTTGTTTGTTACCTTATAGCGTCTCAAGGGCTTAACCAATCACTATACAATATGGTATACACATACTGCATGGGATGGAGTCGGATATCATACCATATCAGCCAATAATTGTCCACTGCTGAACATAGGACTCCCCCATAATTTGGGATTGCCAGTAATTTGCCACGCTTGGCAGGTGGGTTGGCAACACAGGCCTTTGTTGATGGTTTAAGAGGAACGCTGCTGTCCATCCCTCGACCATAAGTTCCCTCTTACGACATCCACGGGAAAGGAAAGTGCGACTCATTCTATGACAGGGCCTACACGGTGTAACTTTTCATCCTCATCTATCATTCATCACTGGTGCCCCGTCAGAGTGTATCGACGCAGGCAGGGTTACCATTCCACTGTCACCCATTAAAAAACCACTCCTGTTAGTAATGATGATAATGGAAATCAAGTGATATATGTGTGTGTATGTAGTGTGTATTTGATGTGTATGTGTGTGTGTGTGTGTGTGTGTGTGTGCAATACATTATGTAATTCGAACAGAATACCTTTCAACAAAATATTGGTAAGGAGAAACGCAGTGAAAGCCCATTCAAACATTAAATTCAAGTGATAAAATTAATACATAAATTGTGACCAACTTGTCAATTGATTGATCCACTTGATCCCACAATTTGTATATATTAAAACTGGTTTGTATATACTTTTACGGTGTATAGTTTTCGACTTACAGGAATCTTATGAGATTTTGAATAATTTAAGGTCTTTTTCTACAATGTTATAGAAATATGAAATAACAAACACAACCAAACAAAAAAAAAATAAAAACCTTTTTAAAGTTGGTTGAAAACAATCACCCATTTACAGATTATTTTAAGTGATATGTTTAATTAATGAATTTTTTTATACAACTTAGAATGGCAAACAAGCTGACGGCCCACCTGATGGAAAGTGGTAACCGTCGCCTATAGACATGAGCAGTACCATGGACATAACAGAGTATACTGTTTCGCCCATGATACCCCCCATGCGTGGCCATTCCTGAGGACTCAGATGTTATTCCTCTGTACCCTGTAAATTCACGCCATATCCCACCCTTCAAACCGAAACACAGAAATGCAAACACAACTGCTTCACGGTAGAAACACAAATGGGACAAAGGTACCCAAGCATTCGACTTTTGTACAAAGTCTCCCTCTGGTGTTATTTAAATACTAATATTATAAAGAGAAAAGATTTGTTTGTAATGGATCGAGTCAAAAACTACCCGACCGATTTTCAAAATTCTCTCACCTATAGAAACCTAAATTATTATGGAATAATATAGGCTATATCGTCATAGCCGTAGAATACCGACGGATCTGACAAACATTACATATATAGATCCGTCAGTATTCTAAGACTATGACGATATATTATTTCCGAAAACTCTATATACCCGCGCGAAGCCGGGCCGCAATACTAGTTTTAAATAACAAGACAATCGTTGGTCACAACATATGTCTGATTCCATAAGAGTTCTATCTTATTTATTTAATAAACTTAACTGGTCCAAAGAAAATATGGTACAAAAGTCGGATTTAATACTAGTAGCATTCTCTACCAGTCTAGCGTCATTCACAGCGTCTCCCCTCCCCAACAGAAATAGAACGAGATAGATGCCTACCTTTCTTTTTCTTCTCCGGTTTAGGTTTGCTACTGGTCGGTTTGGGTGCTTCCTTTTTCGTCTTCTTCGCCGGTGTCGCCTTGATTTTCGTGCTGGACTTCCTTTTCTCGGCCGCTTTCGAGTTGTCCAGCAAGTCTAGGATGTCGACCGATTCTTTTTTGGGCACTTTCGTTGCGAACTTTGTGAGGGGCTCGTCGTCAACTATAAGGGAGAAATATGATTTATATAAATATGTTTTATTACACCTTCCGTTAACACAGCAGTACTTTTTTTTTATGGGTGAAAATGGTATGGTAACCCCGCTTGCGCTAACGGGATACGCTGGCGGTGCACCAGTGAAAGGTGATAGATGAGAATGAAAACAGGCCAGTTAGCCCGTCATGATGAATTCATCAGGAATTAACCATGATAGTTTCCAGGGAGAACCGCGTGTAGGTCGACCTGGTTGGGTATATTGCTAGCAATGGGATTCTCAGTCTCCATTATTAACAATCTCTTTCTCCCCAACACAGCAGTACTGTGTTAATATCATTTGAGGAGAAAAAGTTCGACGTGTGGTCCCATCATAGAATGGGCCACCCCTTCCTTTCCTGTGAGCGACTAAGGGAAGTAAATGGTCGAGGGATGGGCAGCGATATCCCTCTTTAAACATCACTAACAGCCAAACTGCAGTTGCTAATCCGGCTGCCAAACGTGGCAACTACTGGCAAACCCCACCTATGTGGGAGGCCTATGGTCAGCAGTGGACAGACAACAGCTGATATGATGATAATGAAGGTAAAAAAAAGTGAGAAATCTTTGGAAACAGAATTGCGCCTTCTTGTGTCAGTTTCTAGACTTCCTTCGTTGTACACAAAGACATTTTTTTTTAATAGATGATCATGGTATGGCAACCCCGGCTGCGCTATCAGTATACGGTGGGCCTGCTTGACCTGCTTTCATCCGTACCTATCATCCTTCACTAGTGTACAGCCAGCTTACACCAACAGGGCAAACCATCTGGAAACCATAGTGAACAATTCGTCACGATGAGCTAACTGACCCACTTCATCCTCACCTATCATCCTTCAGTGGTGCCCCGCCGGTATATACCGATAGCGCGGGTGGGGTTACCATTCCATTATCATTCATTAAAAAAAAATAGGGCAGGTGGAGTTACTATTCCATTATCATCGTCGTCCTCCGTGGCGCAGTGGTCAACACGCCTGCCTGCGACGTGGAGGCCCCGGGTTCGATCTCCGGCCAGGTCATGATGGAAAACGATCTTTTCCTGATTGGCCTGGGTCTTGGATGTTTATCTATATATGTATCTATTATAAATATAGTATCGTTGAGTTAGTATCCCATAACACAAGTCTCGAATTTACTTTGGGGCTAGCTGCTAACTAATCTGTGTGATTTGTCCGTTTATATATATATAAAAAAAAATAATCATCCATAAAAAATAACTCGGGACACTTACGGTCGTCGTCATCATCATCGCCAAAGTCGACCCGGTCGTCGAACTCGTCGTCCGACAGCCGGGACTCCACCTTCACCGCTTCCACCTTGACATCTTCAGGTTCTATGTTTACTGTAATTACAAAAAATCTGTTAGGTAACATCTTTGGGGGAAAAAAGAGATTGTTAGCGATGGGGTCTACCAGACACCATTGCCAGCAATGTTACTAATCAGGTCTACCTACCACGTGGTTGCCCCTGGAAACCATCGTAGTTACCTCTCGTGGAATTCTTCACGATGGGCTAACTGAACTGACCTGCCTTTTCATCCTCATCTATCATCTCTCACTGGTGCCCCGCCAGCGTATACTGTTAGCGCAGGCGGGGTTACCATTACAATATCACATATTTAAAAAAAACATTTTCGACTACATTGAAGACAGCAGACATCTTGTCCGCGTATAGGTACGTACTATTTTGATACATAACTATTTTCATTGAATGAATGAATGAGTATACTTAATTTGCATTATACAATATAGAAAAAAAAGAAAACAAAACAAATGTAACGATAAAATTGTGTAAGTACAGTGAGGCGGTCTTGTCGCTGAGAGCAATTTTTTCAAGACAACTTTAGGGTCAACCTTTCAAGCAACTTCAAAAAGAAGGAACTTCTCAATTCGATTTTTTTATACAACTTAGAATGGCAAACAAGCTGACGGTCCACCTGATGGAAAGTGGTAACCGTCGCCTGTAGACATGAGCAGTGCCATGGACATAACAGAGTGTACTGGTTCGCCCATGATACCCCCCATGCGTTGCCATTCCTGAGGACTCAGGTGTTATTCCTCTGTAGCTATCTGCAATCCCTCGTTACCGCATAACTCTGTCAGTGGTAAACCGATTTGGACAATTCTTTTCAACCAATTTCATAAACAAGAGATTACAGGAGACTTTGTACAAAAGCCGATTGCTTGGGTACCTCTGTCCCTTTCGTGTTTTTACCGTAAAGCAGCTGTTTCCATGGCTGTGTTTCGGTTTGAAGGGTGGGATATGGCGTGAATTTACTGGGTACAGAGGAATAACACCTGAGTCCTCAGGAATGGCAACGCATGGGCGAAACAGTGTGCTCTGTTATGTCCATGCAAGGAGCTTGATATCTTCCAACAATCCTTGCAATGTCACATTAAGGCTGCTAATTTGTTACTTTAAACTTATAGCCGTCATTCTTTTAATGTTTCTAATATCGAATGTAATGCAAAACAGTTGTCGGAGTGCAAATTTAATGCTGTTTTATGTAATATTTATTTTATAAATGTATTAATTTGTAACCTGTTGCCTTGCTATAAATAAATAAATGAGTATGCTTTTGTTTATATTTGTTTTATTGCTTCGGAGATTAGCCCGTACAAACAAATAAACAAAAATATTGAAAATAATCAAAATATGTTCTATTTCACTTCTTTTTTTTTTTCTATGTACACACCTTTGACCTCTACAGTTTTATTATATGTATAGATATACACATATACATATACATACATGTAACATACTGTACTGTAACATGTAATATAACATGTAACAGAAGATAACAGTTATTATATGAAATATTGAATATAAATTATAAAATATTGATATCTAGAACGCACCTCATACATTGTCATAGGATGGTGGCGCCACTATCGTTTTTTTTATTTCCTCTATTACCTTGCACTAATGTGTGTATTGTACCAGCGACTACAATTAAACCTTTCTACCAATTAATTTTTATTTTAATTTATATACTGAAATCCCGATCTAGGATCAATCCAAAAATATTCAACAAAAACAATACCCATGTTACCATCACAGCCGAGAGCCGATGAGCTGCCAGGGTCCAGGTGCTGCATGAATGTCTTCTCGCACTCCTGCACTTGCCGCTTGAACTCCGATGCGTCTCGCAGCCGTGATATACATGGCTCGCAGATGAGCCTACTGTTACTGTTCGGCCCACCCGCCGTTGAGTAAGCAATCTGTAAATTAGGTTACGTTTTACTTGACAATTGAAAGAAAGGAAATATTTTTATTCAAGTAAACTTAGATTTAAGCATTTTTGAATAGTCCTTTTTTCATTACAGCCCATTCGGAATGCAATTTCAGCAAAAAGAAGGAACATAAAACTCAGCTATTGTTTTTTTCAAAAAGTTTAATTATATAAATAATAAATTTTTGTGAATACAAACTACTAAGCAGTATCAGATCATACAATTTAAAATATTTTTAATTATTTATTTATACTTTTGCACACAATAGAACATGTATACAGGGCGGACTGAATGCCTGATGGCATTCTCTACCAGTCAACCGTTTCACTAAACAGAGAGAGTAAATGGTGGTGCATAGATTAAAAAAAAAAAAAATAAATAAATAAATATTTTGAAAGATAACAATTTATGATAAATAAACATACAAACATATAAAATAATATACTTACAAAACATATACTATATAGTATAAAATTAAAACAAATCAATAAAATAAATTAAGTGCAGTAACCAGATACACACAAGGGCCCAAATGTGAGGCTAAGCGCGGAGAGTCCAATTTACATTGCAGTAACCAGAGCAGACCAGTCCCTACAGGCAGCATCCATTCACAAGTATGACAAGTGAACCCTCATGTCATATTGCCCTCAACCACATTTTGGGGAACTAAATAACCCGGCCCACCATGCCACCACTTGTCTGGACATTTTAGTGAGCATGACTTACTCGAGGCCCCCAACCAAACCAAAGGCTACCAAGCATGGCAACAACTGGCAAAACCCCCCAAGGGGGAGGCTTATGTTCAGCAGTGGACAGTTAAAGGCTGGTATGATGATGATTATGTAACTACATTTTTTTGCTCATTGCATAAATAATTACTAATAAAAAAAAATTATTCCAAAATAACTAAATTGCTGCTATGTAAAAACTAGTCTTTAGACAGAAAAAATGTTACCCAAATCACAACATTTTTTTTTATACAACTTAGAATACAAGCTGACGGTCCACCTGATGGAAAGTGGTAACCGTCGCCTATAGACGTGAGCAGTACCATGGACAAACAGAGTATACTGTCTCACCCATGATACCCCCCATGCGTTGCCATTCCTGAGGACTCAGGTGTTATTCCTCTGTACCCAGTAAATTCACGCCATATCCCACCCTTCAAACCGAAATACAGCCATGCAAACACAACCGCTTCACAGTAGAAACACGAATGGGAGAGGTACCCAAGCAATCAACTTTTGTACAAAGTCTCCCTCTGGTAAATTATTTACTACATGATTCTTATTAAAAAATTTGTTCTACAGCAAATCAAAGTTTGCTATGTACAAAATAGTTTCGTCAGAAAAATATGGCTTCAATTATGACAATACTAATCTAGTTGGATAATTTATTTTTAATAATTTATATTTATTTTTTTTTTCATTATAAATACTGGACTAACAAGAAAATAAGCACAATCACACACAAATATAATTAACGAAATTGAAAATAATAAAAAAAACTATGAAATTCTAAATCCTCTATTTTATAATTAAAACGTGTTTCACAAAAAAAAAAAAACAGACATTTTGATTTGACGAAATCAGTTTTTTTTTTTATATATATATATTAAAACTACTCAGCATATTTTAATAAAATTTCTACAAAACTATGTATGTATATGCAATTAAACAAAAAATAAGTTGCAAGAATTTTCCAAATTGGCTTAGAACTGATGTAAAACATAAGAAAAAAAAAATCAACCAAACTGAAAATCTCCTTTTTAAAGTCGGTTGATAAAGTTGTTTAAAAAATATATTTTAACTGTTTTACAACACCTATTAATCCTTTCCACTCCAAGCCTTTTTTTTTTCTTTTTATTCCACCAGCTCCGCACTAAAATAGTGTTTTGTTTTTTAACTTTTACGAGTTTTTCATATTTTGTAAATAATTTTTTTTTTCTTATATGATAAACTTTATTTTATGAGTAATTAAAGGATACTACATTATAATTCTTAATTCTAATCTTTATAATCCCTCTTGGTATAATACAAAATCAATGTTCAGTGACACTCGACATTGGAGTAGAAAGGGTTAAAGACATGAATAAAAACTGCTTTATTCCCCCTCAAAGGGGTACTTTTTCCCTTAAAGGGAGAAGCAAGTAAACACCTCTTTTTATTTTTAATTTAAGCCACAATAGAATATCAGTGTTTTGCCCTTTTGTGGGTAAAACAATAAACTGAGTTGTGACCATTTTTTGTTACTATGGCACAAACAAGAAAGGAAAAATTATGTTAATTCTTTTATGTATTTTTTTTATGTGTTCTTTTCTTTTTTTTTTTTTCTTATATATCTATTGTTATTTCTATGTTGTAATGCAAATTAATTAAACACATCTGTCTAATTATAATTTAGCAATATATTCATTTCGGTTTCAAAATTCTGTCAGTGGGTATCCTTACGACCTAAAATCCCCCCCCCCCCCCCCCCTTTGAGGAGTCCTCATCCTACAAAAAGATATACGGATTGTTTATCCCCTTGAGGGATAATAATTGCATTCCTCTTCCCTGTCCTCGAGAAACTTACATATACTAATTCCTAAACAACAAACCGGTATTCACTTTAGTTTCTGTATCTCTGAACAAAGGCACATCGCACATTCGATGCATACGACCTTTTTAATATAAACATGAAACCTTTTAACGCCTTTTTCGGGGTTTAATGTACATCCTATAAGAAAATTAAGGTTAGTGGCTACCCTTAGGAGTAATTATACAATAAAATTATAACTAAATATAGATCTTTTCAAATGAAACACCGCATTCGTCTCAGGACGCCGAAAGACAAAGTATTGATTTTATAACCCAACCAAACGAAATTATCCACCATCTCTAGAGGTTTACTTGTTAAATGCACATCAACTTATCTGGTCGGATTATATCGAAAATTGCCGACTCTCATAGAAAATGGACGCCATTTCATTAAAATTCGGATGCTAAATAATTACTTACGCTAACACTAAACGTTTCCGACAGCATTTCGGCATACACTTCCCGCTTTCCCATCCAAAAATATTCTGTAGAAATGTCTTTATAACAACCCTCTGCTAGACAACACCGACAAACCGTGGGGCCCGGTCGCCATTCCATGGTTTTAGTAGCCATTATCACTATAATATTGGAATATGCACATAAAATATTGTTAGCATTCTAATTTTGTATTAATTACTTATATCATTATGTCACAACAAAGTGTTGAAACTAATTTATACACTAAATACATCACAGAAAAAGCAAACGACGCCATCAACTCTGAGACAGTCAGTGTTACCAAATATAATTCAGCTTTCGGGCTATTTAAGCTATAATAAAAAGAAGCTAGAATAGTCTGAAATTAAGTTTTATCACTGTCATATTATTAATGATTAGTTTTAATATAATTAATTACAGCTAGCCTCAAAGACAGATTACAAGTCGGCGGTAATCTTAAGGTTAAAAAACAAGGACTTAGAAAACATCGAGGAATTCGTATTCCGAAAGAGATTAATTGGCAACACTGGTAATCGATGTTTACGATGTACATATTTATTCGAGATTTTTATTTATCGTTAAATGAAGGATCGAATTTAAACTTGAGACTAACTTTTATATATATAGTTTCCGCTAAATATCAGAGAACAAGAAATAATAGGAATCGAGTGATGTTTTTAGTAGCAAGATAAATTTATTAACGTGACAATTCAGTAACAGACAGGTACAATAAAAAAAACTAACTACCAAGAAGTATTTACACTATAACACTAACTCGAACAAATGTACGAGTAGGTACACTTAAAGGTATTCGTACCATGAACCTTGTATCTTGAACAGTAAGGGAACTCTTCAAGGGTTAGTAGTAAGAACTAGCAGATTTGTCAGTAGATTTCACTTATACAGTTTATAAAGTTCAAACGAATAACACAATATATATAAACGAATACACAATATTACTCAATGTTTAAATGAAACAATATTTATATCATCTACCAATTTTCTATTTTGTAATAAACGACAACAATTGCTAGACAACACTCGCAATAGGTGTCATACCGTACTTTAATTTTAGACAAACCAAAAAGTATTAACAGGTGCTTGCACGGATATTAATAAGTATTAAGAGAAACGGGTTGATAATAAAAATGCTTAAATATTGTAGTTCTCTTTTATCACGTCTTCATCGGTAAGAAAGCCAAAACTAATAATGACATGACTAAAAACATAAAAACAATAGAAGTATAAAAATATAACAGACGGAATATGATGGCCAGTTATATAAAAGGCGTATTGTGATGGCCAGTAATACGCCACAAGTATCAGACCCATATACTTTTTTTTTAATTAAATTAAGTTTACTTTTATAAAAGTAGTAAATATATTCTAACAATTGTTTCTTTGATAATTAAGGAAAATATTATTTCGAGTAAAATGCTGTAACAGAAACCGAAACAAATAAACCTACGAGTAATACCTATTTGACTACCATGTACCCTTATCCAGAGGGCCTGCCATGAAACGTTTTCTTAAATTCCAGATCCAATTTGATGTTAAAATTAAAAAAAAAAATACATGCTAAAATATTATACCTTTGGACTTTTATGACAAAAAAAATTTTGAGCTCCCTTTAAGTACTGAGTAGATTTCAGTATGAACAAAAACACGAAATTGACTCCGAAAATTCGCAATTTATTTCATGATAGACATCTGTATTACAGATACAGACAGATTAAAGAGACTAATATGTATGACAAGTACACAAGTAAGTATTTATATACCTCAGATTATAGTACCTATTTTTTTTAATAGATGATAATGACATAGTAACCACCTTTGCTAACGGTATATGCTGGCGGAGCACCAGTGGGAAATGATAAGTTTTTTTATACCACTGAAGTAGCAAATAAGCATACGGCCCACCTGATGGTAAGCGGTAACCGTAGCCTATAACGCCTGCAATACCAGAGGTATAACGCGCGCGTTGCCAATCCTGAAGAAACCTCTTTACTCCCACCCCCCCTCATCCTTTTGAAGAACCCTATAGGTGAGAATGAAATGGCGGGTCAGTTAGCCCATCGTGATAAATACACCTTGATTGGATTCAACACGTTGGTTACCAAGGGAGGCCACGTGGAGGTCGTCATGACAGGATATATTGCTAGCAATAGGACTGGTAATCCTCATTACTACACTTTTTTTTTTTTTTTTTTTTTTTTTTTTTTTTCTTTTTTGTGGCGTTCACCCCGATATTAGGGTATTTTGCCAAGAACAAAACGGGGAAACGATAATAGTAATAAAAATACCTAACACAAACGAATTTAGAAAGGATAAGGATTAGGTCTAGGATATTTATAGGATATGAAACATATACTTGTACATATGAGAATATACTTATAAATATATAGGAAAAGCAATTGATGCAACTATAAATGTATTCATGTAATATAACTAAATCTTAATATTGTTATCATATATATATGAAGATAGTATTTTATAGATAATAGGATCATTGGAAGAAAGTAGAGTAAGAATAGAAGTTGGGAGTGGAACACGGATGGATCGGAGATGATTAAAAAGGGAGGTGTGGTCAAATTTAGAACATGAGAAGAATATATGATTCAAGTCCGCCACTTCAGCACCGCAATTACACGACGAACTTTGTACAATACCAAGCTTGTATAAATGAGAAGGTGTGCATACGTGACCTAGACGCATACGAGTTATAATAGTTGTTGCGGTCTTTCCAAGCTTTAATTTACAAAACCATGGTTTGAAAGGAATATCGGGTTGTATAAGGCGATAAAATCTTCCTTTTATTGTACTTGTTTTTTCCCAATATTCCTTCCAGGCATACCTTAAATATATTTTTGGGAGACAAGCTAGGTCACTACAGTAATTATGATACGGATACATATCACCACAAGTTACAGCCTCTCTTGCAATAAGGTCAGCTTTGTCATTGCCGCTAATACCACTGTGTCCTGGTAACCAGGCAAAAGAAACGGAATAACCTCTCAACATGCAAAGATAAAGACTTTGTCTTATGTCACAAATAATGGGATAAACTGGTTTTGATTTAAACGGATATTTGGCTAGAGCTTGCAAAGAGCTCATAGAGTCAGTGAAAACTATTGCCTTATGTAATTTCATTAAAAGTATATATTCTACAGCTTTTAAAATACCATAACATTCCCCGGTAAAAACTGAAGACTCCGGTGGAAGTTTAATTTTTTGAACGATATTAAATTGTGAATGAAACACACCCACACCTACACAACCGCTATTGTCTGGTTTTGATGCATCAGTAAAGATGTAGTGCCATTCATTCCATTCAATGTCAGTTATAAACATAAATTTGGCATTCAATTCTGAATCATTTTTTAATAACCCAAAATCATATTTAATATTAGGAGATAAAACTAAAGATTGATATGAGCATTTATAAATGGGAAAACAGGACGATGTAAAAGTGGGAGATTCTATGGATTTATATTTTTCATAACTTTGTATTAAACATGGAGGTTTTTTATGTTTCCAATAAGATGAAGACGAAATAAAGATATGTAGTTGAGATAACTTTTGAATAAGCGGATGATCAGATAATTGTAAACAACGAAAAAAGAAGCGATCAGATAGATATTGTCTTCTTAAAACCAAAGGTGGATCACCGACTTCGAGCTGTAAAGCATTGATTGGACTTGATTTCATTGCTCCAGAGATAATCCTCAAGGCCTTTGATTGAATTAAATCCAATTTCTTAAAAGCAAATGAACTTCCTGGAGCTAACAAAAAAGTTCCATAATCAATGACACTCCTTATAAGACCATTATAAGCAAGTTTTAGTGAAACGGGATGTGCTCCCCACCAAACTCCAGCAAGGCACCTAAGAATGTTGAGGTTACGCTCACATTTCGTAGAAATATAATTACAGTGGGACAGACCTGTTAATTTATTATCTAGCACGATACCTAAAAATTTAATTTCAGTCTTTATAGGAATGTATGAGTTATCATAAAGCACCTTAATTTGTTGCGGTGATCTCATTCTTGAAAACAAAACTACACTACTCTTGGTTACAGAAAGATTAAGACCATTTGCATCTAACCACGTTTTTAACAAATCTAATGAATCAGATAATTTGGCAGAAGCAGATTCTATGGACTTCGCAATAAAATATAATAAAAGATCATCAGCATATTGTAAAATTTTGACGGATTTATCAAGGAATAATTCTAGATCGTATGTGTATATGTTAAATAAGATTGGACTGAGAACAGATCCTTGTGGAAGGCCTTTCCATACTGTTCTAGATAATTTGGTATCTTCATCTAAATTCATATATGTTGTTCTTTCTGATAAAATATTAATAATGAAATTAGAAAGCATTACCGGTACATTTAGAGCTTGTAATTTAGTTTTTAAAATAGAAATTATTACATTATCATAGGCAGAATTTATATCTAAAAAGGCTGAGAGGATTGACAAATTTTGTGAGAAAGCTATATGAATATCTGAAATAAGAATGCTCACATTATCTAAGGTGCTCTTACCTTTCCTAAAACCAAACTGGTTCGGGGATAGTAAGTTATTACTTTCTAAAAACCATTCTAGACGGTTTTTCACTAAATGTTCAGCTAGCTTTAGTAAGACAGAGGAAAGTGCAACAGGACGGTATGAAGATGGTTCAGAAGGTGGTTTATGAGGCTTTAGAAATGGTATAATAATCTGAGACTTCCATGAAGTAGGTATATTTCCCGAAATAATTATGGAATTAATTATATTTAAAAAGTAAATTAATGTCGCATCGCTAGCATTTTTAAAAAAGGAATACGGTATACCGTCTTCTCCCGGTGCAGAGTCTTTAATAGAAGCTAGAACACCTTTAAGTTCTACTAGAGTAAAAGGAGAGTCAAGTTCGAATAATTCGTCAGAGACGGATAGAGAAATATTGTAAAGGCATTCCGGCACATAACTAGGAGCAAGGCGATCTAAAAATTTATTCGCTAAAGTTAAATCGAGTGCAGAACGTGATGTATGATCACTAAAGGCAGATCTGAATCTTTTAATATTATTCCAAACGACTGATGAATTAACTTCTGGACAGATAGAAGAACAAAATCTTCTCCAGCCTTCTAATTTCTTTTTTTTCAGTAGTTTTCGAGTAGAACGTGAAACTGCGGTGTAAATTTCAAAATTTTCTGGTGTCATGTAATTATTATAATTTTTTTCAGCCTCTTTACGATTTTTAATTGCTTCCGTACAATCTTCGTCCCACCAAGGTGGCGAGGGAATTTTCCCTGAAGCACTATTTTTAACAGGAAATAATAAATCAGCAACCTCCTTCATATTTATCATCAAGTCATTACAACATTGATGTTCATTTCCATGGTAAACAATAGGTAACTCCGATATTTTATTATCTAAATATTGTTTGTAAATATTCCAGTCTACATTTGATAAATTATATTTAAGCCGAGGACCACTCTTTCGACTTGAGGGAATGGAAATTGGAAAAGAAAGAATGAGGGGAAAGTGATCGCTTCCGAAAGTAGAGGAATGAGGATACCACGACAGTGAAGAAGCTAAATCAGAAGAACATATTGAAATGTCAGGAGCACTAAACCCTTCATTCGGTGCAGTTCTACGTGTTGGTACATCTGAGTTAATAATACATAAGTTGTAAGTGTCAATTATCGTCAGGAGTTTTCCACCATAAAAATTAGAAGTAGAACTGCCCCACGATTGGTGTTGAGCATTAAAATCGCCCATTACGAGAAAAGGTTTAGATAAAATTGAAAATAATTGTTCTAGTTGTGAATATATTTGGCATGTAGGATCAGGAATATATAAAGTAACAAAACAGATACCATTTATAATTATAGCAGCTGCATTAATGCCGCTATATACAGGAAGCGAAAAAGAAGAAAAAGGAAGGGAGTTTTTGACCAATATGGCAACACCGCCATATCCGTCAGCTCTATCATCACGGAGACTTGTAAAGCCTGAAATCCTAAAAGGATATCCTGGCTTTAACCAAGTCTCTTGGAGAGCTATTATAAAAGGATTATATTTATTAATCAAATAAAATAAGTCTGATTTCTTGTTTGTTATGCTACGACAGTTCCACTGAATTATTAGGACTTTGTAATCCATTGTGAGAAGTTAATAATTGAGAAAATACATTGTAAATGGCATCGTTGGACGGTGGTAAAGTTGTTTGTATCATTTTCGATTGCGATAACACTTTAATAAGCATGAGAATAATATCAAAGATGGATTGATTATTGTCAATATTATTTGATGATAATGCACAACCATTAGAGGGAGCAGGAATATTATATTCCTTAACTAAGGCTTCATGGGCAGAACGATCATATCCTTGTTGTGCTTTTTGAGGAGTGCGTGGTTTAAGTGTAACTGTTTTTTATATGATGATTGAATATGTGGTAATGATGATTTCTCTTTGAGGAAAGAAGATTGAAAATGAGATTTATTGGACGGAGATGATGATGTTAATACATCTGAATATAGTTTAGAAGTGGGAGGATGAAATTTTGATGCTTCAGCATAAGAAACACAACTGTGGGCCATTGTTTCTTTAATGGCTTTCTGACGTGCATATTCAGGACATTTCTTACTAATTGCTGAATGAGAACCATTACACAAGATACAAGAAACATTTTCCTCATCTACTTCACATTTATCACCTGTATGATTTTGCCTGCATTTATAACACCGAGGATTTGAACGACACTGCATCTTGACATGTCCGAACCTACAGCAGTTATAGCATTGGATAGTGGGGTAAATGTACAAATCTACAGTTAATGATGTGTAAAACATAAATACTCTTTTTGGTAATATTTGTCCATCAAAAGTAATAACAATGGTTTCAGTATTAATAAAACTTGGTTGTCCTTCATTAATGGTCTTTTTCTTAATTCTTCTGGTTTTTAGAATTCTCCCACAACCTATAGGTACTGATATATTTTGGATTACTTCCTCTTCTGTCCAATCTTTAGGAATACCCCTCACAATTCCCATACGGGTTACATGGAAAGAAGGTATAAATGCCTTAAAATTATGTGTTTCTAAGTGACTATTATTTAAAAATGCATTTGCATTTTCAAAATTTGAGAAAGAAAGCGATAAACGGTTTCTTCCTATTCTTTTGAGGCTACCATTCACTATATTATTTATCTTATTAGTGTGTAAAAAGCGACCAAATGCAATAGGATGTAATGTAGTGTTATCATTAGGATGTGTTTCATTTTTTTGTACATGAACGACATAAGGAGCTACATCCTCGGCATTGTACAAAGTTCTGCTTAAAGTACTGGGTGGAGAAGCAGGTTTAACAGACTCGGTATTATTTACAACTGGTATTGATACTAGAGTTTGATTCTCATCCTCAATACATTGACAATCACTATCTTTAATTTTAGATTCGAGACCTTTGGTGTGCCTCCTTCGTTTTTTATTGCAATGTTTGCAAATGCGACGTTCGCCACGTACTCGCTTACGTTTAGAACTTGCAACGCTAGAACCATCTGTGTCCATACTAGATTCACCCAATATATCAAAACTATTATTAAATGGGATAGTTATATTTGCAGACACCTGGGGGTTGTCCCCCCAGGGTCTATAGGTGGATCCATAATGTCTAATTAATATAGGTAATTTACTTACCAATATTTACAGCAACAAACACTATTACTACAAAATATACAATTATATATACAATCTAATACACAATATATAAATAAGACTAATCCTTATATAATTAAAAATAAAATTAATTTAAAGAAGATCAAAAAACACTCCCGCTTTTTTAAACGTTTCCCGCGCTTTTTTCGACCATTTCATTAATAGCAAAGATTATTTAACCTTATTTAATCAAGAGATAAGAGTACGCAGTTCATACAAGCCACGTAAAACAACTTCATTACTACACTTCCCCCCCTCCATATGTACCTATTAGGTTTCGAGTCGCCACTCGATTCTAGTTTAAGTACTTCGATTCAACCTAATGTGAATCTTCATGCATCCCTAACTTGTCAATCAATTAGGTACGATACAAAGTGATTAGATTGTCAAATTTGTCAATTTAATGATATATTTTTCAATATCTTTGATTTTTTATAAACAATGACGGGTATTTTCTTATTTATTAATATTATTATAATAATAAAATACAATTTTAATCTAATGTAATTTTTTTTTAGTATTTTGAATCATTACAGTAAATACTATGAAGTAAACCGGAACATACAATTTTTGCAATACGAAATTGCAATTAGCAATTATCTACCAACCAAACAAATTAATTTCCTAATAATTTATTTACCCTATTATATTATTGTTATCGTGTCATAATGACAGAAAAATTAAAAAAAAAAAATACTTTGAGTGTTGTTAATTTTTTTTTTATATTTTTTTAGCGATGGCACCAAGATTACGAGCCAGTGCAGAGCAATTTAATGCTCTTTTAGAATTTATGGAAAGGTATGCAAGGAAACGTATAAACAACTTATTATATACTGGTTTTAACCCGCGATTTTGCTCGTGTTACTGGGATAAATAACCTATACCATTGGCGTATTCAAGACTATTTTTCCGGCGGATTATTTCTCCTGGACCCTCGATTATTGACCCCTTAAAAAAAGTGTGTATGTACCTTTCGACATGTTTTTACTTATAGCTGAAAGTTTCCCTATAATGCTGGGCTGGGTATTAGAAAATTCTGGAGTGGGTATCAGACAATTCTGGGAATGACACCCCCTCCAATGTGTGTATAAACTCCCCCCCTTAAATACTCCTAAGGCCGAAAGCCTTGACAAATAGTATAAATGTAGGGAATTTAACAGTCAAGGGATGGACACTGTTGTAAATTATAATTAGTTTAGAAAGGATCGTTTATGAACATTCATGCGTTTCGTAAACAATCTCTGTATTGTCATTTTTTACATTTGTTTATGATATCGATCGTCTCACGCTTTGCTTTTGTGTTGAGTCAAAAATAAAGTATCCACAATAAGTACTATTCTTAAAATATTAAATTGAAATCCAAGTGGGTGACCCAAGAAAATACGTAACAGACACCACCGTCTCTATTAAAACATCACCAAAGCCTATGGTTGCCAATCTGCCTACTAAGCATAGCAGTTATGAGCAAAATCCCCCATTAAGGGGCAAGTCTATGTTAAGCAGTGGACAGTTAACATCTGGTATAATGAGGAGTTATGTTATGCTTTAGTGCCCTGTAATTTCACTATTATTCACTTGATACAAATATTTGTATTCTTTAGTTGTTATATGGCAGAAACATATGGAATAGATAGAAGTACTTAGGACAGAAGAAAGACGGAGACATTCAAGTATTACATAACACAGTTTTTAGAAATTTTTAACCACCTCCCCCTATGTTATACGCTGTAATATTTTTCTGTACTCCCTCCCTAAGTGTTATGTAACACCCAAGTAACCATTTTTACCTAAAAGTTATAACACTAATGAATATTGACAATTAAAACAAAAAAGCCCAGTTCCACTTGTCCCTATAGCCAATGGATTCACTTCTCTTAAAACATAGATGAAAAAAGTTGCCAATTTGGGAGATTTTAATTCACTAGTTTTTTATCTAAATGAAAAAGAAAACAATGTTATGTAACGCATTGTTCAAACCCCCTGTAACGCAGTGTAATGTTTTACAAGTCCCTCTCCCCATAAATTGTGTTATATAATATTTGTATGTCCCCTAACTTGTATATGTAGGGGGAAAGGATTGTTAGTAATGGAGACTGAGAATCCCATTGCTAGCAATATACCCAACCAGGTCGACCTCCTCGCGGTTCTCCCTGGAAACTATCATGGTTAATTCCTGATGAATTCATCATGATGGGCTAACTGGCCTGTTTTCATTCTCATTTATCACCCTTCACTGGTGCTCCGCCAGTGTATCCCGTTAGCGCAGACGGAGTTATCATTCCATTTTCACCCAATAAAAAAAAAAAAAACTTGTATATATATTCATGTTTCAGACATGGAGACCTAAGTAGACCTCAAGTTGGTATTCAAGAGCGCTTGAGAGTCACCAGATTGTGGCAACAGTTGGTTTACATTTTAAATTCAAAAGGAAATGGCGTTCGGAAATCATCAGAAAAGTGGAAAAAGGTAAATAGCCTGTTTTTTTTTTAATGGAAGATCAACAGAAATTATGATCTCATCTGATTAAGTGCTAATTCCCACTGGCTTAACAAGAGCTGATTTTCTTTGAGACCACATTTATTTACAGTTCAGAATTTATATGTCTATCATACTTTTTTTTAATGGCTTTTTTTTTGTTTTTAATGGATGATAATGGAATGGTAACCCCACCCGCGCTATCGGTATACACCGGCGGGGCACCAGTGAAGGATGATAGGTGAGGATGAAGTAGGTCAGTTAGCCGATCGTGACGAATTCAACAAGAATTGTTCACGATGGTTTCCAGGGGGAACCACCTGGAGGTCGACCTAATAAGGCATATTGCTAGCAATGGGGCTGTCAAACTCCATTATTAACAATCCCTTTCTCCCCTTTTTTAATGGCTGATAATGTAATAGTAACCCCGCCTGCGCTATCGGTATACACTGGCGGGGCACCAGTGAGGGATGACAGATGAAGATAAAAGTAGGTCAGTTAGCCCATCCTGACGAATTAAACTAGAATAAGTCACGATGGTTTCCAGGGGGAACCACGTGGAGGTCAACCTGACAGGGTATATTGCTAGTAATAAGGCTATTTGACCCCATTACTAACAATCCCTTTCCCCCCTGTCTGTCATACTTGTGAAACTCTACTCACAACGGCCCACATGAGGGGCTAAGAAGAGTCCAATTTGCATTACGTTATGTTCCATTACTTACTTGTGTAAGGGTGCTTCTTGTGTGAGCTGATCTGCTCATGTCTTCTTGTTTATTTTACATTTAATAATACATATAAATAGTACTTAACTGTAATTATAGTTACAGTACACATCAGCTCAGCCATTATGTGTCCACTGCTGAACACATGCCTCCCCCATAGTCCCCCATGCAAACGTTAAATTATCTTGTACATAATAATTTGAAAAGAGTACCAGTTGAATTGTTCAATATGATGCCCACAGCCACTTTCTACGACATATACGTTATTATGTTTTTTTTTTTCTCTTTTGATTTATCAATCTACATGCTTTATAAAAGAACACTAATAGTTTTTATTTCACCCCCCATACAGCCTTTTTTTTTATACATCTTTGTTTACTGCCACTTTTTAACTATACAAATCTTGATTTCTACAATATTTTGCAAAAAGGTATGGGTGGATTGGAAGACGAAAACGAAGAAGAAGGCATTCCTCATCAAGCAACGCGGCAGGTGGAGCGCAAACAGGCGCCTGACGGCGCCAGAGGAGAGGGTGCTGGCTGTTATGGAAGCGTCATCCATTCGACAGGCTAAAGAGCAATTCAGAGTCGAAGATGAGGTAAGGAAATCAAAAAAAATTGTTTTTAAAACTACCCCCCTTTAGTCTCGGCACCCTTTGTTTAACCACTTAATGCGAGGATTTTACTGTGAAATGAAATCAACTGGCGAACTGGCGCATGCACTAAATTCGAACGAGTATACAACAAATATACACTTAGCTCTATGAAATACAAACAGGCGAGAAGGTATCGCTCCAGATGAAAATATAAACATAATATTTATAAGTGGCGAGAGGTATTCGAGATAGCACAAATCGGAACACATTTGATGCGCGAGAGCGTTCGAGATGCTTAAGTGGTTAATCTAGATGCCTCTTTGGACCAAGACGAATCCCAAAAGATCTCGAAAGATCTCAGCACTCACGTGGGTCTCGACGCACCCTTTTATCTGGGTCCCATCTTGGGTCTCAGCGCCTTCTTTAAGTCTTGATTCCTTAGTCTTTGTAATTCTTTGCCCACCCCAAACTACCATACCCCTTTCAAGAAATAATCTTAAATAGACCAATGGTTACTGAATAAAACCTTTTCTGTTAGGATATGAGCAGCCTTCGGGATTATGAAGCACCCACAACAGATGCCAATCTTTGCGTGAAGCAAGAAGTCACTGTGGATCAACCGTACCTGGAGATTTCAGGCATAGAGAGTATGTATGCCTAACACCTTCATCTTTTACCGTGTGGTCCCGGCATAGATTGGGCCACCCATTCCTTACCCGAAAAAATCTGCAAAAATTACGTTTTTTAATGGGTGATAATGGAATGGTAACCCCGTCTGCGCTATCGGTATACGCTGATACGACACCAGTGAGGGACGATAGGTGACGATGAAAGCAGGTCAGTTAGCCCATCATGAAGAATTCCGTGAGAAATAACCACGATGGTTTCCAGCTGGAACCGCGTGGAGTTCGACCTGCTGGGGTGTATTGCTAGCAATGGGTCAGTTAGACCCCATTACTAATAATAATCCCTTTCCCCCCATCGAAAAAGCATTACATAATACTTGAATGTCCCCAATATACACTAGGATGCCCACTATAAACTTTACACGTTACCGTTTCTGACGACTCTTTATCTCTAAAGACGACTGTTCGACTGCATTGAGTTTGCCTATATGAAGTCACCGAAAATTCTCCCTCACCAGTTGTCTATAATTCGAGCTATACGGCCAACTATTTTTTTTTATGTAACTTAAAATGGCAAACAAGCTGACAGCCCACCTGATGGAAAGTGGTAACAGTCGCCTATAGACATGAGCAGTACGTTGAACATAACAGAGTATACTGTTTCGCCCATGATACCCCCCATGCGTTACCATTCCTGGGAACTCAGGACTTCCTCTGTACCCTGTAAATTCACTGCCATATCCCACCCATCTGAATAAACGACATACTTTTCAGTTTACCAAACACCAACACAGCAGCCGCAACCCAAAGCACCGTCCCCAGCGGCAGAGGCGCCAGCGTCTCCAGCAGAAGCACCCTCGTCTCCGGAACTAGTGCAGCGGGTCCGCAGACCCTCGCCCGTCCGCTTACGACCCAGACGCCGCCGCAGAAGTCCAAGGAGCACCTCCGAAAGTGTCGCCAGCGAGTTCGCAAGCATAGAACACCGACGGCTAGACCTCGAAGAGATGAGGCTGAAGGACTTACACGTGAGAGAAATGGAGAAACTGAGATTGGAAGCGCAGAAGAACGCGCTCCACGATGACCTACTGCAGATATTCCGGCGTTTGGTGGATATAGCGCAGGCGTGGTTCGAACGGACGCATTTTCCTAATCCAGGACAAGTTTCCCCATAGAGAGAGCATATTGGATAGTTAAATAGTGCTTGACTAATTTCCCAAATTTAAGGGTCCCAAGATCGAATTCTAGCCTAAACCTCTAAATTTAGAGGGGGGGGGGGTTTGCTAGTAATGCAGTCTACCAGTCCCATTGCTAGCAATATACTCTGTCAGGTCGACATCCACGTGGTCCCCTTCTGGAAACCAACGTGCTGAATTCCAAGTGTATTCATCACGATGGGCTAACTGACCTGCCTTTTTATCCTCACCTATCATCCTTCACTGATGCCCTGCCAGTGTATACCATTAGCGCGGGTGGAGTTACCATTCCATTACTTGGATGGTAGAGTGAAACTGAGTCAGTTAGTCCATTGGGACGGATTGATCAAGAATTAATAGATGAGTCCCCTATAGGTAACGATTACCACTTACCACCAGGTGGGTCCTGTTTATTTAGAATTATAAATTAAAAAAAAAAAATTAAAAAAACAATAATGAAACCAAAATATTAAATTAGGAAGTATATTAACAGGTCAGTGATTCGATAGCTATGTATACTTAGTCCAGCCATAAGTTCTGTTACCAATGAAAACTTTTTTTTTTAATAAAGTAATGTAATAATACTAAAATTTATACCTACAAGTAAACTCCCAGCAAAAAGTAAAAAAAAAAATTCGAAATGGCCACATTTGGCTTTTCTACAGGCCTTTAATCTGCCCGGCCACGAATCTATGGATTTACGCACTGTTTCCAAGGGAAATTTCGCCACTGCTTGCTGCAAAGATTTTTTAAGACTCAATGTCGCCGTGTCTTTTAGAGCAGGCCATGTCCTCTAAAACTGACCATAATTTGAACTCCAAAAGGTTGAGATCTGGGCTAGATGAGAACCAGGCTTCACCTCTTATTAAGTCCAGAAAGTTGGTTTCAAGCCACTGACTCCTTGATAAGACACGCCCCACCAAACCATCACTGACGCAGGATGATGACCACGGTGTACCTTTCCGACCACTTGAGCAGCTTCTTTAGAGCTGTGAGCGTACACTTTATCATTTTGCTTTTTGTAGTTTTTTTCAAACGTGCAAATTTTTTCATCGGCAAAGAGGATATTTCTGTGCTTTTCGCCTGCGTATCGACGATAAGCACCGAACTTCAGGTCTTGTTTTATAATACGCGACAGAGAGGGGAAAGGGATTGTTAGTAATGGCGACTGAGAATCCCATTGCTAGCAATATACCCCACCAGGTCGACCTCCTCGCGGTTCCCCCTGGAAACTATCATGGTTAATTCCTGATGAATTCATCATGATGGGCTAACTGGCCTGTTTTCATTCTCACCTATCACCCTTCACTGGTGCTCCGCCAGCGTATCCCGTTAGCGCAGGCGGGGTTACCATACCATTTTCACCCATCAAAAAAAAAATACGCGACAGAGTCCTAGCTTCCCGCTAGTTATAGTCCGCTAGTTTAGCTAGTATGTTCATTTCTCACAATAAGATTTTTTGCTTCCTAATAGGGTTTCGACGAATTCTGGCTTTAACAGGATTAACAGTCTTTGTAGTTCTAACAGCACGCGGCCGCCCCGATCTTCTCTGGTCTTCCACAGAAGAAGTGTTATTGTATTTGTTGATGGTACGACATACGAACATACGGCTGATACCAAGCTTTTAAAAAGTCTGGAATAAGACCGACAGCTCCATACCCACTTTGTGTAAGGCGATCACTGCGATATTATTTCCTTTAACACCCCATTCCATATTGTAATAATGTTAAATGGCGCGAAATTGAAATAAGTTCTTAAAATAATAAACGTATTCCATTATTTATTTAAAATATTTAAAAAAGTTGAAAAATAGTTTTTATGTACAAAAACAGTATTTATGGCTAGACTAGTATACATATACTAATATATATATATATATATATATATATATATCGTCATAGTTTTTCGACAAAGATTACATATAAAGATCCGTCAGTATTCTACGACTATGACGATATATATATACATATATATATATAGGCGAGCCAATGTGATTGAAAATTTTGCAGCGAGTGTCATACAAAATAATAGCTTACACGTGATATAAATATAGGATAAAGAATAAAATATAACATTTAAGTAATAGACTGATGACTATAATATGCGATCGATTTTACATTTTTGTATTTAACTTTAAAAAAAAAATGCTGACACTACAGGTGGGTAATATCCGGTATCTATATATCGAGTTCTAGACACTGATGACCATCCATTGTAATATCAGTCATATCAGTCGAATACCAGAGGGAGACTTTGTACAAAAGTCGATTGCTTGGGTACCTCTGTCCCATTCGTGTTTCAACCGTGAAGCAGTTGTGTTTGCATGGCTGTGTTTCGGTTTGAAGGGTGCGATATGGCGTGAATTTACTGGGTACAGAGGAAAAACACCTGAGTCCTCAGGAATGGCAACGTGAAAATGGTAACGTCCATGGTACTGCTCATGTGTATAGGCGACGGTTACCACTTTCCATCAGGTGGACCGTCAGCTTGTTTGCCATTCTAAGTTGTATAAAAAAAAATCATTACGAGCGGATTCTTTTCAATATTATATAATGGATAATCGACAGTTATTTTTTTTTATTTATTTAATTACCATGCATAAATACATAAAAAAAAAAAAACTGGATTTTTTAGCACCACTTAAACCTCTTGGGCTTGCGTGTGATACTTTACATTTCGTTCACAAATGTCAATATATTTACATTAATATTCCGCTGTTTTAGCAAGCTTGGACAGTAAATAAGCTTTCAGTTTAAACTTTATGTTTTTAACAGTGATATTGCTTCGCAAGTCGGTAAAGCTGGTCACTACTCGACCAAAAGTTACTATGGCGAGCGACCGAGCGCCTACCTTATACCGCGATTAATAAATTCCCTACCTACCGACTTACGAAACAATATCACGGTTAAAAACATAAAGTTTAAACTCAGAGCTTATTTACTGTCCAACCTTGGTAAAATAGCAGAATATTGGTAAATAGTGACATTTGAGAACCGAGTGTAAAGTATCACACGCAAGCCCGAGAGGTTTAAGTGGTAATAAAAATCCAATTTTTTTAATGTATTTATGTATGATAATTAAATAAAAAAAAAGTAGAGTATTTACTGATCGCGGTATTGAGGTAGGCGCTCGTTCACTCGCCATAGTAGTTTTTTGCTCGAGTAGTCACTAGCTTGTTTTAGCTTGTACGTATACCATGCATTAATGCTCTTTCGAGGGCGAAGCAATAAACTGAGTTGTGGCCATTTTGTATTGCTATGGCACACTCACAAACGAAAGTTGCATTTGGTTTTATATATTTTTTTGCCATTTATGTTATCTCGCTTTTTTTTTGTGTATCTATGTTGTAATTTGTGTGCTGTAAGTAATGCAAATAAAATTATCTATTTTATTTGCTATATTACTAATCTTTTTAATATTTTTTTTTTTAAATTTAATTCACTCATAATCTTATTTTCTGATATTGCTCACAACTTAGATTACATGTTTATTTTTGTTATTTACTTAATTTTCTTACACTGTATAATTATGTTAAAGTGAATGCTGTGAATACCTATAACAGGCGTGTGCATTAATATTGTATTGTATTTAATGTTGTTATACCTATATGTTATAATGCAATATGCTGTTGGTGTTCCTTAAATAAATAAATAAAATAAAATATCTATCTATCTATCTTATTTTTGTTTTAATTTCCTCTTTAATTTTTTAAGAGGCAATATTTTTATCATGGCAGCCATCATAGGCAGTGTTGGACAATACTCAATTTGGTATCACTTGCGAGATTTGATTTGATTTTAAGTGGGATATATGTATAGTTATTGTAAGTACGATATATAGATATTATGTACTATATATTACCCATCCTTAGTTGAATAACCTTTGGGGTAGTCAGAGTCATAAGACCAAAACTACCGACTTCCAATCATGTATTTAAAATGTATTATTATCCAATGAAATGATTGTATATTTTATTGTTTTATTTATTTATTTATTTGCAATTTATTGTGCCATTTCATCATCTTATTTCATGCCTTTAACCGTCCAATACTGGACTTAAGCCTCTCCCTTGGGGGGTTTTGCCAATAGTTGCCAAGCTACCTTACTCAACTGCTTCTACCGTGAAGCAGTTGTGTTTGCATGGCTGTGTTTCGGTTTGAAGGGTGGAATGTGGCGTGAATTTACTGGGTACGGAGGAATAACACCTGATTGCTCAGGAATGGCAACGCATGGGGGGTATCATGGGCGAAACAGTATACTCTGTTATGTCCATGGTACTGCTCGTGTCTATAGTCGACGGTTACCACTTTCCATCAGGTGGGCCGTCAGCTTGTTTGCCATTTTAACTTGCATAAAAAGAATTGCCCATGAATAAGGCGGCCTTTTTTATCGCTTCTCTTTAAAATTCACTGTATTTATTATTTTTACAAATGGTGAATTAAAGTGTCAATAAAAAAAGAAATCCAACTAAATTCGATAGGGGGAAAGGGATTGTTAGTAATGGGGTCTAATAGCCCCATTACTGGCAATATACCCTCTCAGGTCGACCTCCACGCGGTTCCCTGTAAACCATCATGTTTAATTCTTGTCGAATTCATCATGGTGGGCCAACTGACCTGCATTCATCCTCACCTATCATCTTCCACTGGTGCCTCGTCGGTGTATACCGATAGCGCGGGCGGGGTTACCAATCCATTTTCACCCATTAGAAAAAAAAACTCATTTTTTTTTATACAACAAACAAGCTGACGGCCCACCTGATGGAAAGTGGTAGCCGTCGACTATAGACATGATCAGTACCATGGACATAACAGAGTATACTGTTTCGCCCATGATACCCCCCATGCGTTGCCATTCCTGAGCAATCAGGTGTTATTCCTCCGTACCCAGTAAATTCACGCCATATCCCACCCTTCAAACCGAAACACAGCCATGCAAACACAACTGCTTCACGGTTGAAACACGAATGGGACAGAGGTACCCAAGCAATCGACTTTTGTACAAAGTCTCTCTCTGGTAAATTTGGTTACCTTTTCATTAATTGAAACAGGTTATGGGTGACTGTAAATGAAACTAGATAATGTCTCAATGTAATTTAATAATTCTTATACATTAGTTATATTTAGTGTAATATAAATAATTTATTTATATAATATAAAACATTATATACATTAGATGAGTATTTAATTATTGTATAAATTCAAAATTATATAAGTCGTGAGCCATTTTCAACGCATGGATTTTTTTTTTAATACTGAGCAGCAAAGGAAATATGCTAAATGTGACCATGGCCATGACCAATGTGACATGGTCGACACGTCGACATAACTCAGGTAAATTGTAAAAAGAAAATACCTAAATAATGGCCATAATTCCCGTCCCTTATAAACCATAAACCATGCAATGCAAAAGTCTATAATTAAAATTGTTTTATATAATAAATTTGAAAATATTAAATAAAATAAAATAAATTGTAGTTAATTTTACTTTAAACCTAAAGTACTAAGCCGATTTTGATAAAATTCTGTCTATGAATCCAATCTGTAAGTATATCCTTTCAGATAAAAAAAAGAATTTTCCAAATCGGTTCACAACTGGCGGAGTTATGAGCTCACAAACATAAACAAAAAAAAAATACAACCGAAACGAGAACTCTCTTCTTTTTGAAGTCAGTTGAAAAGTTAATATATTATAGTACATTGGCCAGCGACTGAGGCATTGATGGACGAACGTGCAGATGTGGGCCGAGGCGTTGCCGAGGCACACATACATGAGTCCATCAATGCCTAGTTGTTGCCAAGGCTTGTATAGTACTTTTCTCAAACAATGCGTGGAAATCAAAAACACAATTTTACTTTTTAAGTTCAATGACGAATAACGAATAATAATATTTTTTTACGCGCCATAATATTCCTTTGTTTTTTTTTTCAATAAACAGCTTTCTATTTGCAAGCCAGTTCGAAATTTAAATAAACCCTTTTATTAGTTACCTCCTTGGTAGCCATGTTTAGAAGTAAAAGATTATTTCATTTTTAAATTACAGGACAGATGTATCTGGCCGCCAAACACGACAGATATGGATTTTCATACAACTTTTGCCAGCAGCTGCCCGCATGTATCTGGACAGTACGGCAATATTGATTTATCTCGAAGAAGATTGTCAAAATAATGCTCGCATTTCCAAGCATGTTTGAGAAAAATGTATTTATTAAAATCCTAACACGATGCGTGTGACACTTGACAATTTGGACGTTTTTTTTTTACTAAAAACAAAATTATGTTGAGCGAGATTTTTAAAGTCGAAGTTAATCTAATATAATCATTATACATAACTTTTCAAATGTTTTCCTGAATCCGTAAGTCATGAATTTTTTTTTTCTTCATGATCAAATAATTTGTAGTTCGCAAGTCGAAGTTACCGTTACTGTATTAACACGCAGAGTAGGTATAGTTTTTTTTTTATTGTTTTACTCTATTTTGGTAATGTGTTAGAGAAAAAAAAAGCTTTCATTGGAGCCAATTCTGAGGCGCCAATCCTCTAACTTAACCTAATATTGGATAGAAGGGCTTGTTGTTGAATAATATACCCTACTCTATCAGATCGACCTCCACGCAGTTCCTCCTGGAAACCATCGTGATAGATTTACTATTAAAATCACCAACTGATTTTCTTCATCCTCACCCATCGTCCTTCACTGGTGCCCCGCTCGCGAATACCGATTAGGGTTACCAACTATACTTTTAAATATAAAATTATAAAATAATAATATAAATATAATAAATATATCGTCATAGTCGTAGAATACTGACGGATCTGACAAAGATTACATATAAAGATCCGTCAGTATTCTACGACTATGACGATATAATATATATATATATATATATTTAGAGAAATGGCGCCCCGTAATCAACCACATTATTTCAAATCGAGATCTAGAAATAATTAATTTATATTAAAATTTCTATAATAAAAATACCACAATACGATTTTATATGTCTAAACAGATACGTTAATCTTATCCATACTCTGGATGCTGACTCTTCATATGGCCTTTCAAACTACAATTCTGTATGAACGCCTGGCCGCAAATGTGACATCTGAAAAAACAAAATTTAAACTTTACTAACTAATTAAATGTGGTACAAGTCTGACTTAATGCTATAGGCGTTCTTTTTTTTTTAATGGATGATAATGGAATGGTAACCCCACCCGCGATATCGGTATACACCGGCGAGGCATCAGTGAAGGATGATAGGTGAGGGTGAAGCAGGTCAGTTAGCCCATCGTGACGAATTCAACAAGAATTTTTCAAGATGGTTTCCAGGGGGAACCACGTGGAGGTAGACCTATTAGGCAAATTGCTGGCAATGGGGCTGTCAAACTCCATTGCCAACAATCCCTTTCCCCCCCAATGCTATAGGCGTTCTCTACCAGTCAACGTTTAGTTAGAATGTTAAGAAATACTCGATGGTTTGATTCCTGTCCATCCTAAGGTTGCCTGGAGGAGATCGCTTATTTAGCGATAAGGCCACCCTTAGCTTTATTGTACACAAAAAGGCTATTTTATATATATTTATATGTATATATGGAAAGGATAAGCTGGACAGAAAAACTAGTGAGGAATGAGGAAATCCTAAAAAGAGCGAACGAGAAAAGAACATCAATTAAAATAATAGAGAATAGAAGAGGCAAAATGCTGGGCCGCCTTATACGACATGATGATTTTTTAAGAGCATAGTAGAAGGAAAAATAGAGGGCAAAAGAGGAAGAGGAAGACCGAGGAGTAACTACATGGGACAGATAAAAGAAACACTAGGTGACATGTCGTATAGGGAGGTCAGGAATATGGCCTGGGATAGAGCTGGCTGGAGGAAGATGCGTGAATTAGTTGCACCGACAAGAGGAAACTCTTAAATGAAAAGAAAGAAGTATATATATACCAGTGAGAGGTGACAGGTGAGGGTAAAAAGGTAGGTCAGTTAGCCCATCGTGACGAATACACCTGGAATTCAGCACGACGCTTTCCATGGAGGACCACGTGGAGGTAGACCTGACAGGGTATATTGCTAGCAATGGGACTGATAGGCCGCATTACTAACAATCCCTTCCCCCCAATTACTAATATTTAATAAACAAAATGCATTCACTCATCAGTCCCTAAAAGGAGCACCCGTTCACGAGTATGACGGGTGGCTAATGAAAGATTGTAAATAGGCATGTCGTGGCGGCCTTTAATTGAGGCAGCATTTTATAATGTAAACTTATTATAATGTATTTTAAATAGATTCACCAGAGGGAGACTTTGTACAAAAGTCGATTGCTTGGGCACCTCTGTCCCATTCGTGTTTCAACCGTGAAGCAGTTGCGTTTGCATGGCTGTGTTTCGGTTTGAAAGGTGGGATATGGCGTGAATTTACTGGGTACAGAGGAATAACACCTGAGTCCTCAGGAATGGCAATGCATGGGGTGTATCATGGGTGAAACAGTATACTCTGTTATGTCCATGGTACTGCTTATGTCTATAGGCGACGGTTACCACTTTCAATTAAAATCATACCTGTATCTCCGATCGTTTGTGTGTATCCTCATATGGTCCTTCAGGGTCTTGAGCCTGGGGTACGACTTCTCGCACACTTTACACTTGTAATTTCTCTCGCCCGTGTGTGTGGGCATGTGGTTATTCAAGGCGAAACGCGTGAAGAACTTCTGGCCACAACACTGGCATTCGTATCTGTAAAACCAAACACATATATATATATATATATATATATATATATATATATATATATATATATATATATATATATATATATATATTGGTATATCGGGTATATATATATGTATATATATATTGGTATATTGGTATATATATATATATATATATATAATAGGGTATATTGGGGGGGAGGGATTGTTAGTAAAGGAAAGTAAAGGCTCTATTGCTAGCAATATACCCAACCAGGTATCATCCCTCACTGGCGCCTCCGCAGCTGTGCTGCTGGCCTTTTAAAAACGAATATGCTCTTTTCTTGAAGGTTATGATGTCGTATCGGTTCGGAAATACGTTTCCGCAAACCACGTCGTCTCAATACTACCAGCAGCAAGATTCTGCTACTTTTCGAAGACTATGAAGAGAAGTAGGTACCTGTAATCCTTCAGGTGGTCCTTCCGCCGGTGTATGGTCAGCGTGCGACGCGTGTCGCATACTTTGTCGCACATGCTGCACGGGAAACTCAGAGGCTCCTCCCCATGCACTTCCACCAGGTGCTTCAGCTTCTGCGGGTACGACATCAGCTTCATGTCGCACTTAGGGCAATATACCCTGCCCCTCTTGTTGTGTACCTTCGGATGAATATATACAGGTTGGTATTTATTTATTTATATACTAGCGGTCCGTCCCGGCTTCGCACGGGTGGACATTTTTACAACATTTTAATAAGTGGTTATTGTGACATAACGATAATAGTTGGACATATAGTGTCGCTAAGTTTTTTGCAGTTATTGATATTTTCTTCAATATTGTAGAACATACTTTTGTTCTATCACCAATAGTTTCCGCAGCGCACGCGACCAAAGATATTTTATAGCATTTTTTTTACACCACGAGTTACGTTAATAAAGTTTTAGTTAAGATTCCTAATCTTCTCTAGCAATAAATATAGCATATGTTACTCAGGGTGAATGTAGCTTTCTAATCGTGAAAGAATTTTTGAAATCGGCAAAGTAGTTTTTGAGTTTATTCATTACAAATATACCTGTTTTCATCCTCATCTATCACCCTTCACTGGTGCTCCGCCAGCGTATCCCGTTAGCGCAGGCGGGGTTACAACCCATTATATATATATATATATATATATATATAGCTTAAAACTATAATAAGAATTAAATATATATGACAACTGTAAGCCAATTAGAAGCCACCACATAATATCCTATCAGCCTTTAACCGTCCACTGCTGAACATAAGCCTCCCCCTTAGGGGTTTTTTTTTGATGGGCGAAAATGGTATGGTATCCATCATGATGAGTTCATCAGGAATTAACCATGATAGTTTCCAGAGAGAACCGCGAGGATGTCGACCTGGTTGGGTATATTGCTAGCAATGGGATTCTCAGTCTCCATTACTAACAATCCCTTTCCTTTTAGTTTTAATTACTTTTAATTACTGGCACAGGCATTGGCCTCCAACTTCCAGGGCGGCGAGACACTGTACATACCCTGTCTATATGTAGGTCCCTGTTGTACTGCGCTTTGAATATCTTCCCGCAGGTCTCGCACGGGAAATCGCCAACGTCGTGACGCTGCTGGTGCATCACGAACCTGAAATATAGGGGGAGGGGGGGGGGAAGGGATTATTAGTAATGCGGACTAACAGTCCCATTGCGGGGGCAAAGGGATTGTTAGTAATGGGGTCAAATAGCCCTATTACTAGCAATAGGGTATATTGCTATTGCTAGCAATATATCCTGTCAGGTCGACCTCCACGTGGTTCCCCCTGGAAACCATCGTGAACAATTCTTGTTGAATTCGTCACGATGGGCTAACTGACCTGCTTCATCCTCATCTATCATCCTTCACTGGTGCCCCGCCGGTGTATACCGATAGCGCGGGTGGGGTTACCATTCCATTATCATCCATTAAAAAAAAAGTCCCATTGCTAGAAATATGCCTTATAACCCCCTTGGAAATCATCGTGCTGAAGTTTTTTTTACAACACAGGGGGCAGACGAGCATGCGGCTCACTAGATGGTAAGTGACTACCGCCGCCCATGATCACTCGCAACACCTACGGCATTGCAGGTGTGCTGCCGGCCTTTTAAAAAGGAATATGCTCTTGTCTTGTAGGTTACGATGTCGTATCGGTTCGGAAATACTGCTGCTGGAAGTTGATTCCAAAGTATGGTTGTGCATGGGAGAAAGTGCTTTGAAAGAATTCCAAGTGTATTCATCACGATGGGCTAACTGACCTGCCTTTTCATCCTCACCTATCATTCCTCACTGGTGCCCCGCCAGCGTATACTGTTAACGCAGGAGGGGTCACTATTTCATTTTCTTCCATTAAAAAACCACACCATTGAGAGTCAAGGTGAGGCGCTCGCTGTCAGTCTTGATATTGCAAAGGCATCTGACCGGGTCTGGCATCGGGGTCTTCTATCGAAATTGCCCTACTATGGACTTCCCGACTGCCTCTGTAAATGGGTCGCCAGTTTTTTGTCTGACAGATGCATAGAAACCGTTGTAGATGGTTGCTGCTCCGATAGCATGGATATTAACGCTGGCGTCCTGCAGGGCTCTGTGCTGTCCCCAACGCTGTTTCTGCTGCATATTAATGATATGTTAACCTTTGGTAGCATTCATTGTTATGCGTATGACAGCACTGGGGATGCCCATTATACGGGTCGTACCAATGTCCCTCTTTCCATCGTGGAGAACAATCATTACCGACAAGTCAACAATCCCCCCCTCCACCACTGTGTTTTGGTTTGAAGGGTGGAATATGGCAGTGAATTTATAGGGTACAGAGGAATAACATTTGAGTCCTCAGAAATGGCAATGCAAGAAGGGATGGCCACTCTATACCAGAGGGAGACTTTGTACAAAAGTCAATTGCTTGGGTACCTCTGTCCCATTCGTGTTTCAACCGTGAAGCAGTTGTGTTTGCATGGCTGTGTTTCGCTTTGAAGTGAATAATACGTCAGTGAATTTACAGGGTACAGAGCAATAACACCTGAGTCCTTAAGAATGGCAACGCATGGGGGATATCATGGGTGAAACAGTATACTCTGTTATGTGCATGCTACTGCTCATGTCTACAGGCGACGGTTACCACTTTACATCAGATGGGCCGTCAGCATGTTTGCCATTCTAAGTTGTATAAAACAAAATACTCAACAGGCAAATAAAACAACCCAACTCACCTGGCTTTGTCCACGAAGCCCAAACCGCATGTTTCACATACATAATTACTGAAATGTTCGTTCATATGTTTGTTTAACGCGTGGAAATAAGGGAACAGAACGTCACATAGGGCACACTTCATTTCGTGTTTCGTTAAACGGAACGGCAGTATCGAATCTTTATGGTTGTAATAATACTTCTTTCTGTGCACACTAGTGATGTGCTTCTTGAAATCCTCCAGATTGTCGATTGACGCGCCGCACAATCGACAATCGATCCTTGTCAAGTCGAGCTTTATCACGTTCTTCGTCTCTGTCACTTTGAACTTCTTCGGATGGTGCGCGTTCTCTGTGTGCTCGCGCAGAAGGAGGGGATCCTGGAAGTTCTGGCCGCAGTAGTAGCACAGGAGGTGGTTGTGACGGCATTTGAAGGGGCACACGTACGAGAACTCCACTATAGTCAGGATGTTGGTCTCCCTGATGTAGGCGGGGTCGCGCTCACGCATCATCTGCTGCAGTTTGGACATCGGCAACTCTGGAAATATCATCGTATCTATTGTTAACTGTCCAATGCTGAACATACCCCTTTTCCATGAAGGGAGGTATTGGCAGTAGTCGCCACGTTTGGCGAGCGGGTTGGCAACCGCAGTTAGGATTTACTGATGTCTTAGGAGGGACGCTGCTGTTCATCCCTCGATCATTAAGTTCCCTTAGTCGCCTCTTACGACACCCACGGGAAAAGAAGGGGTGGTCCACTCTATGCCGAGACCATACGGCCATATAGAAATCTGGAATCAACAAATTGATCCGGAAACAGTCTGCTTAAAGTCAACTTTTTTTTTTATACAATTTAAATACAAGCTGACGGCCCGCCTGATGGAAAGCTAACCGTCACCTGTAGACATGAACAGCACCATGCACATAACAAAATGCCTCCATACCCTGTAATTTCACTACCTTCCCTAAGGGAAAGGGATTGGTAAAAATGCATAATATCAGTCGAATTACCAGCAATACCTAGTCAGGCCAACCTCCACATGGGCCCTACTGGAAACCATTAGGCTGCATTCCAAGTATATTATATTATATACTAATTTAATTTTGTCTAGTTCGTTTAAAAATTGCCCCAATATTGTACACCGCTGTACCCGCTGACACTGATGCTCCTTTCCACTTTGGCTGTTGCTGGAAGAGAACTCTATCAGAGTTAAGCTCGCCTCTGTACATTTGTTTACCTCTGTCATATTCTTATAACTGACGTGTACAAAAAAGTATTAAATAAATAAATATATTCATTTCAATGGGCTAACTGACCTGCCTTTTCATTCCCACCTATCATATCTCACTGGTGCCCCGCCAGCGTATACCAGAGATGAGCCCACCCTTGCTAAGTTTTTTTTTATACAACTTAGCAATGGCAAACAAGCTGACGGCCCACCTGATGGAAAGTGGTAACCGTCGCCTATAGACATGAGCAGTACCACGGACATAACAGAATATACTGTTTCGCCCATGATACCCCCCCATGCGTTACCATTCCTGTGGACTCAGATGTTATTCCTCTGTACCCAGTAAATTCACGCCATATCCCACCCTTCAAACCGAAACACAGCCATGCAAACACGGCTGCTTCACGGTTGAAACACGAATGGGACAGAGATACCCAAGCAATCGAGTTTTGTGCAAAGTCTCCCTCTGGTTATCAAACTAATCACTGTATCTTTACTTTTTACTCACTCTTCATCATCAGGGGCGAAGGTCGCACGCCATTCGGCCGCTTCAGTTCCAACCTCTTCAAGCCACCCGTACTCTTCTTAGCGCACCGCTGGTGAGACAGCGGCATATCGTCCGAGTTGGTGTCCTCATTGCACGTTTCTGACTTGACCAATTCGTCATCTTGATCTGAATGTATGACAATTTTAAATTACATAACAGTGCAGTAGTTGTATGGTCAAATTAAATTCACAATAAATAAACACAGGGGGAAAGGGATTGTTAGTAATGGAGACTGAGAATCCCATTGCTAGCAATATACCCAACCAGGTCGACCTCCTCGCGGTTCCCCCTGGAAACTATCATGGTTAATTCCTGATGAATTCATCATGATGGGCTAACTGGCCTGTTTTCGTTCTCACCTATCACCCTTCACTGGTGCACCGCCAGCGTATCCTGTTAGCGCAGGCGGGGTTACCATACCATTATATATATATATATATATATATATATATATATATATATATATATATATATATATATATATATATATATATATATATATATACTTATACATATCAATTACTAAATACTGTAGACAGATCACTGAATACGGTATCAAATTACGGTAGTCTTTCTACATAATAAGCAAAATAAGCGACATACTAACAGTCGGCGGCGGCGTCCGCTAGTGCGTCCCCACTCACGGAAGCTGTATCGCTGTTCCGCTCCTGGGGTTCTGTCTTCACCGCGTCCACCTCCACTTTGGGTATACATACTACTGAGTCGTCCATTCGACGATCTATAATAAATATTATATACTAATGCCAGAAATTTATTTTATTTATTGTAAATTTCTTTTTTTTTTATACAACTTAAAATGGCAAACAAGCTGACGGCCCACCTGATGGGAAGTGGTAACCGTCGCCTATAGACATGAGCTGTACCATGGACATAACAGAGTATACTGTTTCGCCCATGATACCCCCTATGCGTTGCCATTTCTGAGGACTCAGATGTTATTCCTCTGTACCCAGTAAATTCACACCATATCCCACCCTTCAAACCGAAACACAGCCATGCAAACACAACTGCTTCACGGTAGAAACACGAATGAGACAGAGGTAGCCAAGCAAACAACTTTTGTACAAACTCTCCCTCTTGTAAATAGACAGTTAACATGCATAAGTGACAATAAAACATGAAATTCACCTCAAAATTTTACAACAAAGGGCTTTTTTTTAATGGGTAATAATAAAATGGTATACCCTGCTTGAGATATCGGCTGCTACTAATGATGGGGCACCAATGAGAGATGATATTTGAGGATGAAGAAAGTTAGCGCATAGAGATGATTGTTGGAAAACCACATGGAGATCGACCTGATAGGGTATATTGCTAGCAATGGGGCTGTAAGATCTCCATTACTAACAATCTTTTTATCCTAAAATGGCCTTAGTATGAAGAATTGGAAGACTTCTGGGGCCCATGATGTTATCAGAGATGTCAGCTTTCACAAAAGTATGTTTTTTTTTAAGAGGTCAGGCCTCCATAGTCATTTTTTTTTATGCAACTTAGAACTTAGAATGGTAAACAAGCTGACAGCCTACCTGACAGAAAGTGATAACTGTCACCTATAAATATAAGCAGGGATCTGTCACTTGAAGGTGTTAGTGAATACACGTTTTTTGTTGGAATCTTTATTATTTAGTGTTATATTGTGTTGAGAATCCTTATATTTATTTCATTTTGTCCTGTGTTTGTCCTATATTCTTAGTGGTGTGTGGTAAGTAGTTTCTTATGTGTATATTCGCTCCACCTCCGTAATTATGGAGGTGAGCGGTGATGAGGATCCTCCCGATATAGGAGGTATACCTATAGAACCTATCGATGATGGCTTGGAGCCCTCTCAATCCCTGGTAGGTAATACAAGGAAAAGACGAGCGTCTTTGGATCTTGACAATAGGGATGGGAAAAAAACTAATCCACCCTCAGAATCAATACAATTTGTTTACACCAGACCAGGTTTTGAGAGTGACTCAAAAGCAAAGTATAATCCCCAGGATGCGGCTCCTTATTCCGTACATGTAACAAGAATAGAACCCGATGTTTCAACTGGATTATCAATAAAACTATTAAGATTTGCGCAGTTCTTACACAAAAATAAAATCACAGGAATCAGGAAGGGGGGTATCAAAGCATTAGGTCGTAATAGGATATCTGTTGAATTTAAAAATCATTTAGAAGCCAACAATTTTGTTGAAAATCCACTCCTTACAGATAATAAATACTCTGTTAGCATCCCAAGATTCCAAATCTCCCGAATGGGGGTTGTTCGTAATATACCTAATGACTGGTCCCTTGAGGAACTGGTCCAAAATATCGATACTCCTCCTAATTGTGGACAAGTGATAAGAGCTAGACGATTAAATGTCAAATCTCATAAACCGGACAACTCAGTCACTTGGATACCCTCATCTTCAGTTGTATTGACTTTTGAAGGGCAGGTTCTTCCAGAAAAAGTTTATTGTTTTGATACCTCTCTCCCGGTTCTGCTATATAGGTTACCTCTTATTCAATGCAGAAATTGCTGTAGGTTTGGCCATATTCGCACTCAGTGTCGATCTAAACCTAGATGTTATTATTGTGGTGCTCAACATGCAGGTGATGCATGCGATAAAAGTAAGGAACAACCACATTGCATACTCTGTGACAGTGATAATCATGCAGCTACAGAGTCGGTGTGTCCCGAACATGCAAGACAAAAAAGTATAAAAATTGTAATGGCTGAAGAAAATATAAGCCACATGGAGGCATCTGTCCGATTTCCTTCTGTAAAGCGGTCATATGCTGATGTAACATCGACTCAACAAAATTTACACCAACCTCAAACCTCTCATCCTCTAAACTATCAATTCTCAGTTACATCATCTCCATCCTCATCACCCAGAAAATCATATCGTGAAACAGTCCTTTTAACTCCCCGACCTCGTCCCCCCATGGGTAAATCGTATGACATATCTGCACATAATAATATTACTCAGACACCCAAATCCTCTCAACCTAATGGTTGTGCTGCTATAGGCCAACAAAAATATGAGGAAACAACTCCTCTCCCTACCCCAAATGACAATCTTGTGGAACTTCTTGTTTGTACCCTCATTAACATTATATCAAAATTTTCAGATGCATTACCGAACAATGTCCAACAATTACTGCAGCTCCTCCTCTCCTCCTTCTTAAAAAATGACCCTAAACCTCCTACAATGGAATACTAGGAGTATCTTAAATAAAAAACATGATCTTATATATTTACTCAATAAATTTAAACCAGTGGCATTTGCCATCTCGGAGACATGGTTAAGACCTGGCACTACATTCAGAGTGCCTGGCTACTCATGTCTCCGGGATGACAGAGCCGACGGATGGGCGGGTTCCGCTCTTCTGGTTACAAAATCTACTACATTCTCCCAAATCCCCATCCCCTCACACAGTCCAGAATTTCAAATAGTAGCAGTTAAAACCTTTGGTATTACCTTAGTCTCTATTTATATCCCTCATCCAAATCAATCGATACTCTCTGAGCTTCAGTCACTCCTATCGACTCTCTGTCCTCCTTTTATTATCATGGGAGATTTTAACTGCCATCACACATTATGGGGCTCACAATCCACTGACACAGTTTCCACATACTTGTTAGATCTACTCGACGACATTGACCTCTGCGTGCTGAATGATGGATCTAGTACCCGTAGAGTATCCCCTCTTCAAAACCCCAGCTGTCCTGATTTAACACTTGCATCCCCTACCCTAGTCACTAAACTTACATGGCAAGTCCTACCTAATTCATATGGTAGTGACCATCTTCCTCTCTTAATTACATTCTATAATACTTATTCCAAACCTACGTCTGTCCCCAGTCCACTTCTAAAATATAAAACAGATAAAGCTGATTGGCATAAATTCTCCAGTCTTTTAGAAAATAAATTTTGTTCCCTCCCTGCCATAAGTATAAATAATTTTCAGGAAACCTACAATAATTTTGTTACTTTTTTAACATCAGCAGCTAATGATTCGATCCCCCTTAAAAATTCTACTCTTAACAAAATCCCTTCCCCCCTTGGTGGGACTCTGAGTGTACAAATAGTGTCAAGCTGCGAAAAGAGGCTGAAAGAACTTATTTATCAAACTTGACGATGGATAATTACCTCTCCTATCGTAAGATAGCTGCTCGCACAAAGAGACTACTCTCCAAGAAAAAATCTTCAGGATGGCATAGGTTTTGTGAATCCTTATCTCCAAGAGCCTCCCCCTCTCTTGTATGGAATAAAATCAATTCATTTCGCAATGGAACTATTAATCATAATTTAACATCGAATGATCCCTCGTTATGGGTAGATGCTTTTTTTGATAGGCTTGCTCCACCTTTTGTCCCCTCAGAAGATTCCCTTCCTTATGCAACTCCTCCAACTTCTAGTGGTGACAGAATGGATGAACCATTCTCGTTACCAGAATTGATTTGCGCCCTTGATCATCTCCATGACTCCTCTCCAGGAATTGACGGCATCCCATATTCTTTTATATGTAATCTACCCATGTCAGGTAAAAAATACTTTCTGGATATTATTAATTGTGTCTTCTTATCTGGAATAGTACCTGAATCTTGGAAATCCCAAATTATAGTTCCCATCTTAAAACCCCAAAAAGATCCTAACGATCCAAATTCTTACAGACCGATTGCCCTATCTTCGGCCTTGGCAAAAATTCTAGAAATTCTTATTAAACATAGACTTGAATGGATTTTAGAAAGTAAAGGTTTATTATCCAAATTACAATTTGGATTTAGACGTGGCATGGGTACTACAGATAGCCTTAGTGTCCTTATTTCGGAAATACGCCTTGCTTTCTCCTGCAATGAACACCTCATAGGAATTTTCCTTGATATCTCGTCTGCGTATGACAATGTCCAGCTTCCAATACTCAGGCAAAAGCTGCAAAATCTGAGTATTCCTGTGAGACTGACTACTATCATATGTAATCTCTTAATGGCTAGATCGATTTCCTTGCGTGTTAATGGCTCTCTTTTTCCTTCAAGACTGGTCTGGAAAGGTCTCCCACAGGGCTCTGTCCTTAGTCCCCTTTTATATAATATCTATACATCTGACCTTGAATCCTCCGTTACTTGTTTCTGCAAAATCCTACAATATGCGGATGACATTGCTATGTATATCGCCTCAGATTCCTTTTCTGACTCCTCTTCCCGCCTAAATTCCGCGTTATATTACCTCAATCAGTGGCTAGATGATCATGGGCTAACACTTTCTATTCCAAAGTGCTCAGCGGTCGTTTTTAGCCGCAAGAGACAAATCCCCGTTATTGAACTCTCTCTAAATAACGAACCTATCTTAGTACAAGATAAAGTAAAATTTTTGGGTGTTATCCTAGACTCAAAATTAACAGGCCTGCATCATTTAAGCTACGTAGTAAATAAATGCGAAAGTAGTATTAATATCTTAAAAGCCCTTTCTGGTGTACGTTGGGGTTCTCATCCATATAGCCAAAAACTCTTATATAATGCTATTATTCGAAGTCACTTTGACTATGGCTCATTTCTGTTAGAACCTTGCAACAAAATTGCTCTAGCTAAATTTGACAGAGTTCAAACTAGGTGCTTACGTATAATTATTGGTGCAATGAAGTCATCTCCAGCAAACGCTCTGCAAGTCGAATGTCTAGATCCCCCTCTCCATCTACGTAGACAATATCTCTCAGACCGCTTTTACCTCAATATTGCCCAATATAACTCCCATCCTCTCCTTCCTATCTTAGAGTCTCTCTCAGAACAAATAAACCTATCAAGTTACTGGACCCATAAAGAACCCCCTCCCATCCTTAAGAGCTTTACCAAGTACAAAAACCCGATCTCACTTATTAAAAAAATAGACCGTAACCCTCTTTTCGAATTTGATTATGATTCTCTAATTTATCGTCCTAATGTAATTCTAGATTTTGGATTAGTAAAACATTCACCTTTTGCTAATCAAAAGTTTAACGCTATTGTCGCGGAAACATGGCACGACTGGCTTCTGATGTTTACAGATGCTTCTAAAACCGACAAATCAGATCATGTTGGAGCCGCTGTATGGATTCCAAAATATAACGTTGTCCTCAACTTCAAATGTTCTCCTTCATCCTCAACATTTACTGGTGAATCTATAGCTATTATGGAAGCAGTGTCCTATGTAGAAACACATAAATTAAACAATACCCTCATTCTTTCGGACTCCCTAAGCTGTTTACAAGATATTTTAAAACTACCTTTTAAATCCAAAGAAAACTTTTACATAACTTTGCAAACTAAACAAATTTTACATAGGTGCTACAAGTCCGGTATTAATGTTACCCTTGCGTGGATTCCTAGTCATTCAGGAATTATTGGGAATGAAACAGCAGACTCTTGGGCCAAAAATGCTATCCAACATGGTAATAATTACAATTTTTATTTCACTCGAGATCTACGTTGTCAGGCTAAACCACACATGTTAGAGGCTTGGGATAACTTGTGGCAAAAAACTAGACAATCTAAAGGCAAGTATTATGGTAATATCCAGCCCTTCATCCCTATAAAACCATGGTTTGCTACTCAACGAAACTTAGATAAGTGGGTTACATCAGTTATATGCCGCCTACGTTTGGGACATGTCTGCACACCCGTATTTTTATACAAAATCCGAATCCAAGATCACTCTCTGTGCGAATGTGGCTTAGCGGAAGGAACGTTAGAGCACCTATTTTTTGAATGCCCCAAATTGACCCTTCCCCTCTATGACCTGTTGCCTCGTACCTTTCCACGTCCTGTAAATATTCCATTCCTTCTTACCTTAGTCCACTCTCCTTTGGTTAAGGTACTGGCCAAATTTATATGTACTAATAATATAAAAATTTAAAATATAAGTATATGTCACACTTTACACTTCTCGTCTTTTCATTCCTTCCGCGTATTGTCTTTGCTATAATACACTCATACACACATATCATATTAAATTTATTTTTCCTTTGCATGTATATAACATATTTTGTGTTGTCCTCCTTTCCAGAGAACTCAACTGAACGATTTATCTTCATTACTGAAAAATGTCATAATATAAAATTCACGGAGTCTTCTCTAACCCTGACATTGGCAAAAAATCACCGTTGCTTCTACGGTGGAAGCCATATTTTAAAAAAGAAGAAGAAGAAAATATAAGCAGTACCATGGATATAAAAGAGTATACTGTTTCCCTCATGATACCCCGCATGAGGTGCCATTCCTGAGGACTCAGGTGTTATTCCTCTGTACCCTGTAAATTCACTATCATATCCCACTCTTCAAAGCGAAACACAGCCATGCAAACACTCACGATAGAAACACAAATGAGACAGAGGTGTCCAAGCAAACAACTTTTGTACAAAGTCACCCCCTCTGGTAAAATAACAGCTATCTCAAATATTCTATTACTTTCTGCTTCTAGAGCCACATGAGAAAATAAAAAAAATAAGTAGCACACCTTCATTCTCAGCATCATACATCCTCATTTGCAGGAAAGCCTCCTCGCATTGTAGAACTTGCTGACGAAAACTGAGTGCCTCCCGCAGCCGCAGTACACATGTGGCACACACCAACCTCTCAGATGGCTTCCCATCTAAATGGGACAACTGTAATTAGATATTGAATTAATTATATTGTTAATTAATGAAACTTAATATAATTAAGGTAAATGTTACTGAAATGAAATATAATGTTTATTTGCTTTAAAAAAACCATTTGATATTTTAAAGTCCATGTGACAGAACTTTTTGGTCTCTTGTTTAATTGCCTTAAAATTGTAGGTGTGCAAATCAATTTTTATTGTTTAAATAAGGATACAAATTAAAGTTTGTGATTATTAAGTGTAATTGTAGGATGAAATAATTATTTTTACTTTATTTATTCATTAAATTTAAATACATTTACATGTTGAAACTTCACCAAAGACTAAGTGTGGTTGTCAATCGCCCTGTCAAGAGTGGCAAATACTGGCAAAACCCCCTTGTGATCCTTAACAGGCTGTTTAGCAGTAGACAGATAATAGCTGATTTTGATGATGATGATGATGATGATGATATGTTGGAACAATTATTTAAAATTGAAATAATTAATTTTTAATTATTTCGGGGAAACAGTAAAGAGTATTTATCCATATAATAATTAACATATTTTAATTAAATATAAAATAATTTAACTTGAGTAACAAATAATTAAAAATAATCCAACGCGGAAATGCCGCAAGTGTCATGGGGACCTTTGGGTCGGGTACGGATCATGAGTGGGACTGATTGTTGGATTTTTTTTTGTGATTCTGTGAAATATATTAGTTTTATGAGTATTGTAATTTGCGAAATGAATATTAATAAATATTAAAAATAATAATTCAAATTATTTAATAATATGTGTAAATATATTTAAATGTAAAAGATTAACTGCCGACTAAAGGGTAAATTATTTAATTTTTTAATTTATAAACATAATTTTTTTTTTTCTATGGATGAAATTGTAACTTCACCTTCACTTTTGACATACACATGTGGAATACCAGTGAGAGATGTGGTGGCAGTGACAGTGGCATCATAACAAACATATTAAAAATTAGGTCTCCCTGATAAACCACAACGCTAGCATAAGGTCTAGTATTCTATAGTGACAATCCCCTTTCGGCCGTAAAAGAAAATTTGTTAACGATGCAAATTTCTCTCACCAATAACCCGAAGCAGTCCATCATCATGTCAGAATACACTTCCTTTTTGCCGTTACTCTCATACTCCAAGTTGAGTACACGACACCTCTTCATGGTGCCACAACATCGACACAAGCCGGGGTCGTATATTGGGCCTTTGCCCTTTATAGCGCTCATTTTAATATTTCAATTTACTCACAATAACATCTAAATGCATAATGTGTTATGTTTATGACATAGAAAATTTTTCATTTTCAGAAATTAATTATAAAATATAGCAGGAAAGTGAAACAATGCAAGTAAAAGTCGTAAATCCCAGGTAAATAAATCAATTTTGACAATAATTGACAACTAAATGTCAGTATTATATGACAGAGTACTTGAAAACTATGTCTTGACATCGCAGTATTTTATATACCGTTTAGCAACTAAGAAGCAGTCGTGCTACGTAATACCATTCTTTCACATTTAGCAATTTTTCGCGAAGTAGTTATTAAAATTTTTATTGAAATGGCAACATTATGTCGAATACAGTGACCTCTTGTATGCGATAGAAATAACAAGTGATTTAATGGTAGCTACTTAATACTAGATGGCAGTAAACGAATAAAATTTGTCTAATATGAAGTTATATACTTTTAATATATATCGTTGAGTATTTGGATATGACATTTATTATTATGTTAATTTATATTAATTGGTAATTCCAATCCTGCAACTCTCAGCCGTTGTTCTTTGTACGCACCCCAACGCTGCATGCGATTGCGCGCTTGTCGACTACTATCGGCACCGCCGGTTCGCACCTGTACTGCTCAGTTTGCTTCCACTTATTAGGCTATTTCTTTGCTCAATTCTCTGATTGCTCAGCAGCCAGATGTTGATACATTTAATGACAAAATAGATATATTTTTAAAATGTAGTACAAAATTTGTAAGTTTGTAAAATAAACCTATGGCTATAAATTTATAAATAATAAATAAATAGTATTCTATGGATGCCTGCAACAGCATAAAGTGTCACACGCTTTACCGACGTCGAAAAAACCATACTGCGGTCTCCAGGAAAAACCGGTAGTTCATTGCACAAGCTGAGCGTTTGTGGGAGGAAACTCCTCTGAAATCACACTGTACGTGACCATTTGGGTTCTGGCGCGAGAGAATTAATTTCGCTGTTGATAGCGAGCGGTGCGATGATTCTTTTTTTATACAACTTTACATAAAATAAATAAATATTTTCACTTTGGTAGAATATAAAGCTTTATTTAATTATATAAATAATATAATATATAGGTACACAACTCTCTCTAACATAACTGTTTAGTTAGTCACTTTTGTAAAATTTTATCCATATTGGTACCCGCGCTATTGGTATACACCGGCGGGGCACCAGTGAAGGATGATAGGTGAGGATGAAGCAGGTCAGTTAGTCCATCGTGACGAATTCAACAAGAAGAAGAAATTCTGGACCGCCTAGCGGTATGAAATATACTTTACAGCCTAGACTTGTTGAGAGGAAAATGATTTTTAGTGATGGAGGTTGACAGCCCCATTGCTAGCAATATACCCTATCAGGTCGACCCCCACGTGATTCCTTCTGACCTGCATTCATCCGTATGTCATTTCACACTGGTGCCCCGCCAGTGTATACTGATAGCGCAGGCGGGGTCACCATTCCATTAACAGTCAGTTCTCTTTAACAGTTTCAATACACTCTGTTACATAGATTTTCTTGTACTAAACTTGTAATAAATCAAATAAGGTATCCTTTATATTTTATCTATCTTTCCAATTTAATTTAAATATAAAAATGATTAGAAGACTGTCATCATTGTGTTCTCTTGTATATGATATTTATATGTTGTATTTAACGTGTGTATGTATGTGTGTATATGTATGTGTATATGTATATATATGTGTATGTGTATGTATGTATATATGTGAATGTATGTGTGTATATATATAATTATTTATAATTTATGTAAATATTTATTTAAATTTCTGTCTTGCACTACTACTGCCCACTCACTACTTGCTATGCCACTGCGTTAGGTTGACTGGAAGAGATCTCTTTTAGAGATAAGTTCGCGTTTGCTAACATTATTAACTTATTGTTGTTACTGTATGTTTTTGTGCAATAAAGAATATATAAAGAATATATAAAGAATATATATATATATATTACACAAACAATATAATTAATCAATAATAAATAAATACAAAAGTATTGGTATTAATCGTAAACACTGCGAATATCCCGTCCGCAAAAAGTTGCCGATCTTTCGATGCGTAAAATCGGCGACCAAAGATACGACGACTCTTGCAGTAACCTCAGAAGGACCCGCGATGAAAACTAGCGTCACAGTGTAAGAAATATAACCATATTTATTGAAAGTATGTATGTATTATATGTGTATTTTTTATGTATTACGTACAATATTACAAGAGGGAGACTTTGTACAAAAGTCGATTGCTTGGGTACCTCTGTCCCGTTCGTGTTTCAACCGTGAAGCAGTTGTGTTTGCATGGCTGTCTTTCGGTTTGAAGGATGGGATATGGCGTGAATTTACAGGGTACAGAGGAATAACACCTGAGTGTTCAGGAATGGCAAAGCATGGGGGCTATCATGGGCGAAACACTATACTCTGTTATGTCCATGGTACTGCTCATGTCTACAGGCGACGGTTACCACTTTCCATCAGGTGGACCGTCAGCTCGTTTGCCATTCTAAGGTGTATAAAAAAAAATTTCAGTGTGTTATTATAATTATGTCGCATATTTTTCACTACATCTGCCCTTCATACGCTTTCTGTTCTCACCTAACGGTTAGCTGGTGGATAATGCCATATGGCATTAAGCTCGCCACTTGTACAAAATTTTATTGTGCAATAAAGAATAAATAAATAAAGATAAAAAAAATAGTTCTTTACACTGTGGTAAGCCGATCTTCGATTGCATATCTTCGGCGACTCATCAAATCGCAAAAAGTTTGCTACGGCGGAAGATCGGTCACTCAATCGGCGGAAGATCGGCGACGAAAAATTGCACGTTCCCTTACGTGACGCGCCATACTTTGCGGAGGGTTTGCGGTAACTGCTCGCGTTGGTAGAAACTCAAGCGACCAAAAATAGGCTGAAGGAGGGATTCCTACACTTTCAAGAAAATAGGAAAGGCACTAAATAAATACTTTTTAATTAATAGAACTCCATATCAAATAAAAGACACTGTAATTTGTAATTCGCGTAGCCTCTGATTGCTCTTTACCCGCGTTTTTCGGAATCCTCCGTGCTCCATCCGCACTGTGCCATAGTCCGGGTTGAATTCACGTTTACCATCTACCTACATACATAACAGTAGGGAGAAAGGGTTTTGCTAATTGACCCATTGCTAGCAATACACCCTATCAGGTCGACCTCCACGCGGTTCCCCCTGGAAACCGTCGTAGTTAATTCTAGTACAATTCGTCACGATGGGCTAACTGACCTGCCTTTTCATCCTCACCTGTCATCTCTCACTGGTGCCCCGCCCGTCAGCGTATCCCACTAGCGCAGGCGGGGTTACCATTCCATTATCACCCATTAAATTAACATAACAGTAATGAGTTCTTATCACATATTTTGTGTTATTTCGAAATAATATAATATTTGTACTTAACTATGGTATTTTTTAACAGCCACAAATAAATATTTTTCTACGTAACCTCTAGGTTCTATGGATTATACTTTGGGAATCACTGCACTAAGGTATATGAGGCGTCGTATATAGCAGGGGAACGTTCAAATATTATGTAACACAATGTTTGAAGATTTTTGAAACCTCGTTTGCCCCCTGTGTTATAAAAAAGAAGGTAAGTAAAGTTGTTCGAACTCCCCTCCCGTCCCTTTATCGCATCGTAGTTTTACAAACCCCGTAATACTATGAACGCCCCTTAAGTTCAACCGTGATTTCACTTGATGAGAAATAACATGCTCTAAATTGGAATTCACTCATCGTCTTTCACCTCAAACCCCTGGTGCTTCGTCCGCATATGTGTTTTCAAATTATTCGCCTGCGTATACGCATTATTGCACAACGTACACTTGTAACGTTTTGCGTTCTCATGCGAATGCAGGTGCACCTTGAGCGCCCTCAGACGCGGATATGTCTTCGCACAGTATTCGCACCTGTAGTTCCTTTCCCCTGTGTGCGACATCATATGGTCCTTCAGAGCGGATGGCAAGTAAAATTTCTTCTCACAAACCGTACACTCATGTTTCAGTATCCTCAAATGATTCTTCTTATTGTGCTCCCTCAGTGTCTTTCTATTATTGTATACCTTGTCACAGTTCTCGCATGGGAACGATCTGTGTTCACCGTGCACCTCTATCATATGTTTGTACCTTTTGTAATACGAGAACAACACTTCATCACACTTGTAGCAGGGATACGAAGGTACAGTACTGTGCCTGTGAGTCATATGGTAGTAGAGACCGTGTTTGGACTTGAAACTCTTGGTGCAGTGTTTGCAAACGTGCATCTCGTCCGCTTTCTGGGTGTGCGTCTTCATGTGATTGGAGAGGCCGTGCTGGTCGAAGTAGTGGGCGCCGCACACGTCGCATATATGAGTGCCGAAGTGCTCGGCCATGTGTCGTTTTAGCGCGTGGAAGAAACTGAACGTACTGCCGCACTCTATGCAACTCACTTTGCCCGGCTTCAGTTTAAACTTCAAAAACTCCGTATCCACTTCATCGTATATCACTTTATTGTGCACCATAGAGATGTGTGTTTTAAACGATTCCACCTCGTCGATTCTGGCCGGACATAGTCGACAATCGACTCTGCTTACGTCGATTAAAGGGATCTTTTTCTCTAGTGCTACGTCCTTGTATTCCCTGGGATCGTGGGTCATCGTATGCTCGATTAGCTTGTCTGACTCGGTGAACAGCTCTCTACAGTATATGCAGTGGTAGTCGCTGAAGATCGTGAAGAAGGGACACACGTACGAGTTCTCTATTATGGTGAGCGTGTTGTGGTACGTATTGAACTCTTTGTCAGTCGACTTGTGGCTGACCAGGGGTGGCAGTACTGGTGCGTTTGTTTTGTCTGAAAATAAAATTCGTTTTGATAACCCTGTTATAAAATGCTATCTTCATATATCATCATCAGCCTCCAACTGTCCTTTGCTGAACTTAAGCCTTCCCTTTACAGGGTAATAATACCAGTAGTTGCCATTCTTGGCAGGCGGATCGGCAATCGAAGTTAGGCTTTGAAGATTTTTTTTTATGTAACTAAGTACGGCAAAGAAGCTGGCGGCCCACCTGATGGAAAGTGGTAACCGTCGCCTATAGACATGGGCAGTACCGTGGACATAACAGAGTATACTGTTTCGCCCATGATACCCCCCGTGCGTTTCCATTCCTGAAGACTAGGGTGTTATTTCTCTGTACCCTGTAAATTCAGTGCTATATCCCACCCTTCAAACCGAAACACAACCATGCAAACACAACTGCTTCACGGTAGAAATACGAATGGAGCAGAGGTGCTTAAGCAAACATTTTTTATAGTCTCCCTCTGGTAAATAATTTGCTTCCCAACCCTCGACCATTTAATTCCCTTAGTCGCCTCTTACGACACCCACGGGAAAGGAATGGGTGGCCTATTCTATGCCGGGACTACACAACCACTGTGTTAACATTATGTGTTTATTTAAATGTACTATGTCCAATATTACATGGTCGTTGGCAGCCCGCGCATGATCGACTAACACCATGCACGCTTGTCATTCAAGTAATCTTTAGCGTGTAAATGGGCTTTGTTCAATAAGTGTTTTTAATAACAATTTTAAACTTATTAAAAGGCAGATCCAAAATATCCTTTGGTAATTTAAAACAGCATTTAAAAAACACGATTGCCAATTTTTCTTAAATAATTCTCACATACAGATAACACCATTATCTCAGCCATTATTCGTCCACTGCTGGACATAGGCCTCCCCCATAGACAGCCATAAGGAACGGTCCTGAGCCACCTGCTTCCACTGGCTCCCTGCAATGCATTTGAGGTCGTAACTCCATCTAGTGGGGAGTACATTGTCAAGTTACAATTTTATTGATAGATAGATTGATAGATAGATAGATAGATTAATAGATAGATAGATTGATAGATAGATAGATTGATTGATAGATAGATTGATTGATAGATAGATTGATAGATAGATTGATTGATAGATAGATAGATTGATAGATAGATTGATTGATAGATAGATAGATTGATAGATAGATAGATTGATAGATAGATAGATTGATAGATAGATAGATAGATTGATAGATAGATTGATAGATAGATTGATTGATAGATAGATAGATTGATAGATAGATTGATTGATAGATAGATAGATTGATAGATAGATAGATTGATAGATAGATAGATTGATAGATAGATAGATAGATTGATAGATAGATTGATAGATAGATTGATTGATAGATAGATAGATTGATAGATAGATTGATTGATAGATAGATAGATTGATAGATAGATAGATTGATAGATAGATAGATTGATAGATAGATAGATAGATTGATAGATAGATTGATAGATAGATTGATTGATAGATAGATAGATTGATTGATAGATAGATAGATTGATTGATAGATAGATAGATAGATAAATTGATAGGTAGATCGATAGATATTTTGATAGATAGATAGATAGATTGATAGATAGATAGATTGATTGATTGATTGATTGATTGATTGATTGATTGATATACAGATAGATAATTTATTCACATTACTTACAGCGCACAAATTACAATAAAAAACATACGCATAATACACAGTAAAAGAGATAAAAGAATGAAAATAAAAAAACAACAAAACAAAATATATAAAACAACAATTTCCTTTTTTAATACTTGTGCTCTAGTAACACAAAATGGTCACAACTCAGTTTATTGGACAAGGTGATGGTAAGTTTTTTTTTTTTTATGTATGATAATGGAATGGTAACCCCGCCTATACTATCGGTATACGCTGGCGGGGCACCAGTGAAGGATGACAGGTGAGGATGAATCACAACAATCTTGCATACTAACAATACAGTAAAATATGTCTATGAAGAACTCAAAAAGTTATTAATTGTGATTAAAATGGTTTTGCTTTGTCGCACACAAGTAAAAAAGAAAATATTATAAACATTTTACCAGAGGAAGACTTTGTACAAAAGTCGATTGCTTGGGTACCTCTGTCCCATTCGTGTTTCTACCGTGAAGCAGTTGTGTTTGCATGACTGTGTTTCGGTTTGAAGGGTGGGATATGGCGTGAATTTACTGGGTACAGAGGAATAACACCCGAGTCCTCAGGAATGGAAACGCACGGGGAGTATCATGGGCGAAACAGTATACTCTGTTATGTCCATGGTACTGCTCATGTCTATAGGCGACGGTTACCACTTTCCATCAGGTGGGCCGTCAGCTTGTTTGCCGTTCTAAGATGTATAAAAAAAAAACCTTGAAGTTATTAAATTAATAAAAATAATAAAGTTTCATAGATTATTTACCTCTCTTCTGTATAATTTTCAGCTTGTCCTTCATCTTGTTTAGTTTGGCTAACATTTCATGTTTTGCTCTCAAATGCTCCTCAGTGGCCGCCTGCTTTGACGTGACATTGTCATTTGCTTGCTTCACTGGTAGCAGTTCATTCTTCATATTCTGACGATCTGAAATGAATAGGGGACTCTATTTCAAATATAAGTGAGTACTATTGAAGGAACAAAATGAAGGAGAATATAACTATTACATATTATTGTACCAGTATATAGATATTGTAACTAAAATATATAGATATAGTAACTAAGATATATAGATATAGTTACTAAAATATAATGATATGGTTACTGAAATATATAGATGTAGTAACTAAGATATATAGATATGATTACTAAAATATATAGATATTGTAACTAAAATATATAGATATAGTAACTAAGATATATAGATATTGTAACTAAAATATATAGATATAGTAACTAAGATATATAGATATAGTAACTAAGATATATAGACATAGTTACTAAAATATAATGATATGGTTACTGAAATATATAGATGTAGTAACTAAGATATATAGATATGATTACTAAAATATATAGATATTGTAACTAAAATATATAGATATAGTAACTAAAATATATAGATATAGTAACTAAGATATATAGATATAGTTACTAAAATATAATGATATGGTTACTGAAATATATAGATGTAGTAACTAAGATATATAGATATGGTAACTAAGATATAAAGATGTAGTAACTAAAATATATAGATATAGTAACTAAAATATATAGATATTACAACTAAAATATATAGATATTGCTATATATTACCCACGCCCAATATAAACTCCATCGACTAAGATTGATTTACCAAAATCGTTGTTCACAAATGACAATGAAGGTCGCCTTTTGTATCATCTTTTTCTCTTTATAATTCACTGTATTTATTAATAGAGGGAGACTTTGTACAAAAGTCGATTGCTTGGGTACCTCTGTCCCATTCGTGTTTCAACCGTGAAGCAGTTGTTTGCATGACTGTGTTTCGGTTTGAAGGGTGGGATATGACGTGAATTTACAAGGTACAGAGGAATAACACCAGAGTCCTTAGGAAAGGCAACGCATGGGGGATATCTTGGGCGAAACAGTATACTCTGTTAAATATTGGCCATGTCCAGTATCTTTGCAATGGACTACTATATAGTCTCCCTGTGATAATGTCTGGAAAATACTATACCATCGTCTATGTGGTCAACCATGTCATCCACATAATCATCCTCTCCTGGTTCAGGGTTCACATCACTCATTTCCACCTTTACAAATGCATCAGTGTTGATTTTCTCCTCTGTCTCTGAAATAGAAATAATTCTTATTTGAATAAAGTAAATTTTTAAACACTTTTTATGATTCCACTGGCAAATTCAGGTGATTTCAGTTAAGAAAAGGCAAAACACTCGGCTGCCGTTTTTCAAACAAAAATTGCCTTTTACAAATTACAAATAATTGAAGATCGTGTCCCACAAAAGAAAACAACTTTTATTGTGAACAAAACATGTTATTTTCATCTATTTTAAAACCACTCAACTTTTCAGATTTAGATATTTTATTTTATGTAACTTAGAATGGCAAACAAACTGACAGTCCACCTGATGGAAAGTGGTAACTGTCGCCTATAGACATGAGCAGTACCATGGACATAACAGAGTATACTGTTTCGCCCATGATACCCCCTTGTGTTGTAATTCCTGAGGATTCGGATGTTATTCCTCTGTAACCTGTAAATTCACGCCATATCCCACGCTTCAAACCGAAACACGGCCATGCAAACACAACTGCTTCACGGTAGAAATACAAAAGCGACAGAGGTGGCCAAGCAATCGACTTTTGTACAAAGTCTCCCTCTGGTAAAATTTCTTTGGGACTAATATGTAAGCGAATACTTTTAGTTAAAAAAAATCAATTGAATAATTAGTAATTGGATTATTAAAGTTGTGCACTGCAATGGTCAACAAATCTTTTGAGGTCTTATTATATTTTAAGAGACTGAGACCTCCCGAGAGTCACAATCCCCCTGTGAAGAAACGATGGACTACAACATAATAGGGGGGAAAGGGATTGTTAGTAATGGAGACTGAGAATCCCATTGCTAGCAATATACCCAACCAGGTCGACCTCCTCGCGGTTTCCCCTGGAAACTATCATGGTAAATTCCTGATGAATTCATCATGATGGGCTAACTGGCCTGTTTTCATTCTCATCTATCACCCTTCACTGGTGCTCCGCCAGCGTATCCCGTTAGCGCAGGCGGGGTTACCATTCCATTTTCATCCAATAAAAAAAAAACATGATATGTTAATAAATAAATGTTATTATAGCCTAAAGGAATATATCAATGATAAAGATAAATAGTCATAATTAGTAAAAAATAATGTCTCCTATAAATATTTTTTTTTTATTTACAACACAGGGGGCAAACGAGCATGCGGCTCACCTGATGGTAAGTGACTACCGCCGCCCATGATCACCCACAACACCAGCGGCATTGCAGGTGTGCTGCCGGCCTTTTAAAAAGGAATATGCTGTATAATTTTAAATGTTATGTTTTATATACTGTTAACTGTTCCATCCATTGTACGCGTATATAGCAGGACATGGAGATACTATTTAACTGATGTAATACCTTAATTTAACCTATGATCTACAATAAAGACATTTGTATTTGTATTTATGTCCTATTTTAGAGTATAGGATACTTCACTAACTGACTCACGTAGGTAAAGCTGTGGGTAATTGTAAATTTATATTTTACCTCCGTGTATGTGTATTTTTGCCTGTAATAACTTCTGCTCGCAACACAGCACCTGCTTCCTGAAGGAGCAGGCCTCTCTCAGCCGAGTGACGCATGTAGCACATATGAGACGGTCCATTGCCTCTCCATCCAGGTGGGACAGCTATAATAGAAAAAATAAATAACACCATTAATGTATGACTTTTTATATGTGATAAACATGGATTATTAATTTTATATTCTTTTTATGGATGATGATGAAATGGAGACTTTGCCTGTGCTGTCAATATACGCTTACGGAGCACCAGTGAGGGATGATAGGTGAGGATGAAAGCAGTCTAGTTAGTCCATTGTGAGAAATCCTTCAAGAATGATATACATTGATTTTCAGAGAGAACCGCGTGGAGGTCGACTTGACAGGCTATACAGCTAACAGAGGGGCTACTAGTCTTCGTTACTAACAATCCTCTCACCCTTCTGCATCGCGTTATATCATTCAAAATTCTAATATGATTTTTATATTGTGATCACACTTTACAAGAAATAAACTATCGATACAAGGTAATAATCTGCTATCTTAACATAAATAGAAATAAATTAAAGAGCTTACAAACCAATAATCCAAAACAATCCACGAACATATCTGAATAGACTTCCTTTTGTCCCGACCATTCGTATTCTACATTTAACAAACGACATTTCTTCAGACCACCGCAACAACGGCAGAGGCCAGGGTCGAAGACTGGCCCTTTACGGCTCATTGTGTTGATATTAGACATAAATAGTGGATAAAAACACTGAATAAAGTGGAATATCAATAAATAAGTGTAAGTAAATATAATAGTTTTCAAATGGAATTGATTCTTCTTCTTCTTTTTTAAAATATGGCTTCCACCGTAGAAGCAACGGTGATTTTCTGCCAATGTCAGGGTTAGAGAAGACTCCGTGAATTTTATATTATGACATTTTTCAGTAATGATCGTTCAGTTGAGTTCTCTGGAAAGGAGGACAACACAAAATATGTTATATACATGCAAAGGAAAAATAAATTTAATATGATATGTGTGTATGAGTGTATTATAGCAAAGACAATACGCGGAAGGAATGAAAAGACGAGAAGTGTAAAGAGTGACATATACTTATATTTTAAATTTTTATATTATTAGTACATATAAATTTGGCCAGTACCTTAACCAAAGGAGAGTGGACTAAGGTAAGAAGGAATGGAATATTTACAGGACGTGGAAAGGTACGAGGCAACAGGTCATAGAGGGGAAGGGTCAATTTGGGGCATTCAAAAAATAGGTGCTCTAACGTTCCTTCCGCTAAGCCACATTCGCACAGAGAGTGATCTTGGATTCGGATTTTGTATAAAAATACGGGTGTGCAGACATGTCCCAAACGTAGGCGGCATATAACTGATGTAACCCACTTATCTAAGTTTCGTTGAGTAGCAAACCATGGTTTTATAGGGATGAAGGGCTGGATATTACCATAATACTTGCCTTTAGATTGTCTAGTTTTTTGCCACAAGTTATCCCAAGCCTCTAACATGTGTGGTTTAGCCTGACAACGTAGATCTCGAGTGAAATAAAAATTGTAATTATTACCATGTTGGATAGCATTTTTGGCCCAAGAGTCTACTGTTTCATTCCCAATAATTCCTGAATGACTAGGAATCCACGCAATGGTAACATTAATACCGGACTTATAGCACCTATGTAAAATTTGTTTAGTTTGCAAAGTTATGTAAAAGTTTTCTTTGGATTTAAAAGGTAGTTTTAAAATATCTTGTAAACAGCTTAGGGAGTCCGAAAGAATGAGGGTTTTGTTTAATTTATGTGTTTCTACATAGGACACTGCTTCCATAATAGCTATGGATTCACCAGTAAATGTTGAGGATGAAGGAGAACATTTGAAGTTGAGGACAACGTTATATTTTGGGATCCATACAGCGGCTCCAACATGATCTGATTTGTCAGTTTTAGAAGCATCTGTAAACATCAGAAGCCAGTCGTGCCATGTTTCCGCGACAATAGCGTTAAACTTTTGATTAGCAAAAGGTGAATGTTTTACTAATCCAAAATCTAGAATTACATTAGGACGATAAATTAGAGAATCATAATCAAATTCGAAAAGAGGGTTACGGTCTATTTTTTTAATAAGTGAGATCGGGTTTTTGTACTTGGTAAAGCTCTTAAGGATGGGAGGGGGTTCTTTATGGGTCCAGTAACTTGATAGGTTTATTTGTTCTGAGAGAGACTCTAAGATAGGAAGGAGAGGATGGGAGTTATATTGGGCAATATTGAGGTAAAAGCGGTCTGAGAGATATTGTCTACGTAGATGGAGAGGGGGATCTAGACATTCGACTTGCAGAGCGTTTGCTGGAGATGACTTCATTGCACCAATAATTATACGTAAGCACCTAGTTTGAACTCTGTCAAATTTAGCTAGAGCAATTTTGTTGCAAGGTTCTAACAGAAATGAGCCATAGTCTAAGTGACTTCGGATAATAGCATTATATAAGAGTTTTTGGCTATATGGATGAGAACCCCAACGTACACCAGAAAGGGCTTTTAAGATATTAATACTACTTTCGCATTTATTTACTACGTAGCTTAAATGATGCAGGCCTGTTAATTTTGAGTCCAGGATAACACCCAAAAATTTTACTTTATCTTGTACTAAGATAGGTTCATTATTTAGAGAGAGTTCAATAACGGGGATTTGTCTCTTGCGGCTAAAAACGACCGCTGAGCACTTTGGTATAGAAAGTGTTAGCCCATGATCCTCTAGCCACTGATTGAGGTAATACAACGCGGAATTTAGGCGGGAAGAGGAGTCAGAAAAGGAATCTGAGGCGATATACATAGCAATGTCATCCGCATATTGTAGGATTTTGCAGAAACAAGTAACAGAGGATTCAAGGTCAGATGTATAGATATTATATAAAAGGGGACTAAGGACAGAGCCCTGTGGGAGACCTTTCCAGACCAGTCTTGAAGGAAAAAGAGAGCCATTAACACGCAAGGAAATCGATCTAGCCATTAAGAGATTACATATGATAGTAGTCAGTCTCACAGGAATACTCAGATTTTGCAGCTTTTGCCTGAGTATTGGAAGCTGGACATTGTCATACGCAGACGAGATATCAAGGAAAATTCCTATGAGGTGTTCATTGCAGGAGAAAGCAAGGCGTATTTCCGAAATAAGGACACTAAGGCTATCTGTAGTACCCATGCCACGTCTAAATCCAAATTGTAATTTGGATAATAAACCTTTACTTTCTAAAATCCATTCAAGTCTATGTTTAATGAGAATTTCTAGAATTTTTGCCAAGGCCGAAGATAGGGCAATCGGTCTGTAAGAATTTGGATCGTTAGGATCTTTTTGGGGTTTTAAGATGGGAACTATAATTTGGGATTTCCAAGATTCAGGTACTATTCCAGATAAGAAGACACAATTAATAATATCCAGAAAGTATTTTTTACCTGACATGGGTAGATTACATATAAAAGAATATGGGATGCCGTCAATTCCTGGAGAGGAGTCATGGAGATGATCAAGGGCACAAATCAATTCTGGTAACGAGAATGGTTCATCCATTCTGTCACCACTAGAAGTTGGAGGAGTTGCATAAGGAAGGGAATCTTCTGAGGGGACAAAAGGTGGAGCAAGCCTATCAAAAAAAGCATCTACCCATAACGAGGGATCATTCGATGTTAAATTATGATTAATAGTTCCATTGCGAAATGAATTGATTTTATTCCATACAAGAGAGGGGGAGGCTCTTGGAGATAAGGATTCACAAAACCTATGCCATCCTGAAGATTTTTTCTTGGAGAGTAGTCTCTTTGTGCGAGCAGCTATCTTACGATAGGAGAGGTAATTATCCATCGTCAAGTTTGATAAATAAGTTCTTTCAGCCTCTTTTCGCAGCTTGACACTATTTGTACACTCAGAGTCCCACCAAGGGGGGAAGGGATTTTGTTAAGAGTAGAATTTTTAAGGGGGATCGAATCATTAGCTGCTGATGTTAAAAAAGTAACAAAATTATTGTAGGTTTCATGAAAATTATTTATACTTATGGCAGGGAGGGAACAAAATTTATTTTCTAAAAGACTGGAGAATTTATGCCAATCAGCTTTATCTGTTTTATATTTTAGAAGTGGACTGGGGACAGACGTAGGTTTGGAATAAGTATTATAGAATGTAATTAAGATAGGAATATGGTCACTACCATATGAATTAGGTAGGACTTGCCATGTAAGTTTAGTGACTAGGGTAGGGGATGCAAGTGTTAAATCAGGACAGCTGGGGTTTTGAAGAGGGGATACTCTACGGGTACTAGATCCATCATTCAGCACGCAGAGGTCAATGTCGTCGAGTAGATCTAACAAGTATGTAGAAACTGTGTCAGTGGATTGTGAGCCCCATAATGTGTGATGGCAGTTAAAATCTCCCATGATAATAAAAGGAGGACAGAGAGTCGATAGGAGTGACTGAAGTTCAGAGAGTATGGATTGATTTGGATGAGGGATATAAATAGAGACTAAGGTAATACCAAAGGTTTTGACTGCTACTATTTGAAATTCTGGACTGTGTGAGGGGATGGGGATTTGGGAGAATGTAGTAGATTTTGTAACCAGAAGAGCGGAACCCGCCCATCCGTCGGCTCTGTCATCCCGGAGGCATGAGTAGCCAGGCACTCTGAATGTAGTGCCAGGTCTTAACCATGTCTCCGAGATGGCAAATGCCACTGGTTTAAATTTATTGAGTAAATATATAAGATCATGTTTTTTATTTAAGATACTCCTAGTATTCCATTGTAGGAGGTTTAGGGTCATTTTTTAAGAAGGAGGAGAGGAGGAGCTGCAGTAATTGTTGGACATTGTTCGGTAATGCATCTGAAAATTTTGATATAATGTTAATGAGGGTACAAACAAGAAGTTCCACAAGATTGTCATTTGGGGTAGGGAGAGGAGTTGTTTCCTCATATTTTTGTTGGCCTATAGCAGCACAACCATTAGGTTGAGAGGATTTGGGTGTCTGAGTAATATTATTATGTGCAGATATGTCATACGATTTACCCATGGGGGGACGAGGTCGGGGAGTTAAAAGGACTGTTTCACGATATGATTTTCTGGGTGATGAGGATGGAGATGATGTAACTGAGAATTGATAGTTTAGAGGATGAGAGGTTTGAGGTTGGTGTAAATTTTGTTGAGTCGATGTTACATCAGCATATGACCGCTTTACAGAAGGAAATCGGACAGATGCCTCCATGTGGCTTATATTTTCTTCAGCCATTACAATTTTTATACTTTTTTGTCTTGCATGTTCGGGACACACCGACTCTGTAGCTGCATGATTATCACTGTCACAGAGTATGCAATGTGGTTGTTCCTTACTTTTATCGCATGCATCACCTGCATGTTGAGCACCACAATAATAACATCTAGGTTTAGATCGACACTGAGTGCGAATATGGCCAAACCTACAGCAATTTCTGCATTGAATAAGAGGTAACCTATATAGCAGAACCGGGAGAGAGGTATCAAAACAATAAACTTTTTCTGGAAGAACCTGCCCTTCAAAAGTCAATACAACTGAAGATGAGGGTATCCAAGTGACTGAGTTGTCCGGTTTATGAGATTTGACATTTAATCGTCTAGCTCTTATCACTTGTCCACAATTAGGAGGAGTATCGATATTTTGGACCAGTTCCTCAAGGGACCAGTCATTAGGTATATTACGAACAACCCCCATTCGGGAGATTTGGAATCTTGGGATGCTAGCAGAGTATTTATTATCTGTAAGGAGTGGATTTTCAACAAAATTGTTGGCTTCTAAATGATTTTTAAATTCAACAGATATCCTATTACGACCTAATGCTTTGATACCCCTTCTTGATTCCTGTGATTTTATTTTTGTGTAAGAACTGCGCAAATCTTAATAGTTTTATTGATAATCCAGTTGAAACATCGGGTTCTATTCTTGTTATATGTACGGAATAAGGAGCCGCATCCTGGGGATTATACTTTGCTTTTGAGTCACTCTCAAAACCTGGTCTGGTGTAAACAAATTGTATTGATTCTGAGGGTGGATTAGTTTTTTTCCCATCCCTATTGTCAAGATCCAAAGACGCTCGTCTTTTCCTTGTATTACCTACCAGGGATTGAGAGGGCTCCAAGCCATCATCGATAGGTTCTATAGGTATACCTCCTATATCGGGAGGATCCTCATCACCGCTCACCTCCATAATTACGGAGGTGGAGCGAATATACACATAAGAAACTACTTACCACACACCACTAAGAAAATAGGACAAACACAGGACAAAATGAAATAAATATAAGGATTCTCAACACAATATAACACTAAATAATAAAGATTCCAACAAAAAACGTGTATTCACTAACACCTTCAAGTGACAGATCTGGAATTGATTGAATGATAGATTGTTATTGTTTTGACAGTTTGAGTGACATCGGCAAAGAGCACCTCTTTGATATAGTTAATATTCTGTAAGTACATTTTTTAAATATAGTTTTACTGCAAATTGCTGTTTACTGGCTAATCTTTAAATAAAATATAATGAAAATTAAATCGTACATCTTACTTATAAATATTATATTGTAAAATGATAATGCCCACTTACTAATAAACATAATAATCCGTTTCGAATAAAGATTACATAATAAGCACATTTTTAATTAAGTGGCAACACTGTCCAATACAGCGACCTCTAGTATGCAATAAAAACACATAATTATTCAATGCTAACTATTGCATACTAGATGGCAGAAGTACGTAAATATAAAATATTTTAGTTTTTCAAAATATAGGAAGCTGTATGTATATTACACAATAAACATTCATATAAATTATCTACCACAAAGATTTAGTAATCTTTCTAGGTTGATAAAATTACAGATTTTATTTTATTTAAATTCCCGTACTTATGCCATCTAGTATAGAGCAGCAAGCATTAAAAATGAAAAGATGTTTTTTCTATTACATACTAGAGGTCGCTGAATTCGACAGTGTTGCCATTTAATGAAATAGTGTACTTATTGTGTATTTATTATCTTTATTAGAAACGTAGATTATTTTGTGTGTAAATAGGTATTATCACTTTACGATGTAATATAATTAATTTCATTATATTATATTTAAAGTTTAGCACGTAAAAAGCAATTTACAGTAAAACTATAATTTTAAGAATATTAAGTACATAAAGGTGCTCTTTGCTGATGTCAATCAAACTGTCAAAACAGTAACAATCCATCATTCAATCAATTCCATTTGAAAACTATTATATTTACTTACACTTATTTATTGATATTCCACTTTATTCAGTGTTTTTATCCACTATTTATGTCTAATATCAACACAATGAGCCGTAAAGGGCCAGTCTTCGACCCTGGCCTCTGCCGTTGTTGCGGTGGTCTGAAGAAATGTCGTTTGTTAAATGTAGAATACGAATGGTCGGGACAAAAGGAAGTCTATTCAGATATGTTCGTGGATTGTTTTGGATTATTGGTTTGTAAGCTCTTTAATTTATTTCTATTTATGTTAAGATAGCAGATTATTGTCTTGTATCGATAGTTTATTTCTTGTAAAGTGTGATCACAATATAAAAATCTTATATATATAAAAAAATCCTTGAGTGATATAACTTGATGTAGGAGAGAGGATTGGGAAGGGCGACTATCAGCCTCTCTGTTTGCTACTTAGCCTGTCAAGTCTACCTCCACACTGTTCTCTGAAAATCAATGGTATTTATTCTTGAAGAATGCCACAATGGGTCAACTAAGCTGCCTCCATCCTCACCTTTCATCCCTCACTGGTGCTCCATAAATATATACAAACAGTACAGGCAGGCTTTCCATTCCATTATGATCCATTAAAAAAAAATTATAAACTTGTTTATCCAAGTATATCATATAGAAAACTCATGCATTAAAAGTATTATATATTTTTTCTATTATAGCTGTCCCACCTGGATGGAGAGGCAATGGACCGTCTCATATGTGCTACATGTGTCACTCGGCTGAGAGAGGCCTGCTCCTTCAGGAAGCAGGTGCTCTGTTGCGAGCAGAAGTTATTACAGACACAAATACACATACATGGAGGTAGGTATATATATGGCTGTTACCTGTGTACATATTTTTTTATTGGGTAATAATGGTATGGTAACTCCGCTTGTGCTAATGGTATATGCTAGCAGGACACCAGTGAGGGATGATAAGTGAAGATGAAAAGGCGGGTCAGTTAGGTCAATCCATCAGATTCACTTGAAACTGAACACAATGGTTTCTAGGGGGAACCGTGTGGAGGTTAAACTAATAGGGTGTATTGCTAGCAATGGGGGAGACTAATGCCAATTACTAACAATCCCTTATCCCCCCCATTTGTACGTATCACATATGTAAACATATAGAATGAAATCAATATTGTTAGTCATATGTAAATCTAAAAATGTACCCATTCTATACAATGTTTAGGACAGAAATTTCATGAATGAAAAAATTCAAAAACTACAAAACATTTTGGGTCCCCCATACTAACTTAAAAGCAACACCATGGTAATATGGGAAGTTCTTTATATTTTGTCATTTTTAAACCCTTATTTCTTTGATGAAAATGTTCAGCTTCATTGATGAAGCATTAATGAAGTATTGTGCAATTGTTTAAAACTTGACCCTATCTCTACCCACATATTGCCCTGTTATATTTTTCTGTATATTTTTTTAAGAGGGACATATTAGGCACGCCTCCAAACTATAAGAATAAGTGAATAATAAATTTATGGTTTAATTTTATGTTATTTAAATTAAATTTATGTTATATCATTATACATTATATACTGCAATTATCTTTATTTTCAGAGACAGAAGAGAAAATCAACACTGATGCATTTGTAAAGGTGGAAATGAATGATGTGAACCCTGAACCAATAGAAGATAGTGTCATGGACGACGTAGCTGATCACATAGACAATGGTATGGTCACCATCATCATCATATCAGCTGTTAACTATCTACTTTGATGGATGAAAATGGAATGGTAACCCCACCTGCGCTAACGGGATACGCTGGCGGAGCACCAGTGAAGGGTGATCGATGAGAATGAAAACAGGCCAGTTAGCCCATCGTGATGAATTCATCAGGAATTAACCATGATAGTTTCCAGGGGGAACCGCGAGGAGGTCTACCTGGTTGGGTATATTGCTAGCAATGGGATTCTCAGTCTCCATTACTAATGATCCCTTTCCCCCCAATATTATAATAGTTTGCAGGAGGAATTGTGTGAAGATCAATGTGATAGGGGTATTGCTAGCAATAGAGCTGTTTTTTTTTAATGAATGATACTCTAGACTCTAGACAATGATGACGGGAAAAAGGTCTTCTGAGCGATGACCTTACCAGAGGGAGACTTTGTACAAAAGTCGTTTGCTTGGCCACCTCTGTCTCATTCGTGTTTCTACCGTGAAGCAGTTGTGTTTGCATGGCTGTGTTTCGGTTTGAAGGGTGGGATATGGCGTGAGTTTACTGGGTACAGAGGAATAACATCTGAGTCCTTAGGAATGGCAACGCATGGGGGGTATCATGGGCGAAACAGTATACTCTGTTATGTCCTGCTGCTCATGTCTATAGGCGACGGTTACCACTTTTCATCAGATGGGCCGTCAGCTTGTTTGCTATTATAAGTTGCATAAAATAAATCTCTTTCCCTATCGCCCATATCGCCTTTTTCTATATCGTCCAAAATATTACTTAATGGCATTTAACGTTATAGACGGAGACAGTGTCAAGAGTGAGCCACAAACAAAACCAAAGAAATTGACAAAGTTGAAAAAGAAGAAAGAAAAGAAGGGAACAAAGAGGAAATCCAAAAAGTCCCTCCAGAACGGTGAGGAGCAGCTGGCCAGAGAGGACGTGCTGCAGAAGATTGCCAAGATGAGCGAGAAATTGAGGAAGATGGCGGAAATTAGTAAATGAGAATAATTTTATTTATTTTTTGAATTTTACTATTATTCTCATCTCCCCTCTTAAGGAGAGGAGATGGCAACTAACACACTAGCACAGTCGGCCGGGGTTCAGGGCCCCAGGGAGAGAAACCGGCGTACAATGCGGACAGAATGTAAGAGCACCGCTTTCTGCATCCTTCCCGGGAGTGAGCCGCCTCGGAATCCCAACCGTCTGAGATATTGTTCCAGACTGGTTGGGATAAGACCGTTCACCGACATAACGATTGGGATGATTTATTTATTTTATTATTATTTAGTATTATTTAGCTTATCTTTAGCTGTACGGTTGTTACCCTTGTACATTCTACAGTTTACTTTCAGCTTCTCAAAGGTTGACTGTAAGAGATCCCTTTATGGGATAAGTCCGCCATTGTATATTAAATCATTTACCAGTATTTAATCTGAGTTATGTACAATAAAGATTTTACAATACAATACAATTTATTTCTTAAAACAAAATTAGCCTATGGTACAATATAGCTGTGACCTAGGCACTAGGCAAACCCTGTCTCGTGGATGTCAAAGCGAGAATTTTAACAGTTACGGTGCGGTGAGGAGGGTTAATATAAATATCTAACGTTTCATGTGAATTTGGATATGCTTATGCGTGCATGTTTTAGGTGTGTATGAACGCGCGCGTATGTGCGTGCGTGTTTGTATGTACATGCGTGCGTGTGTGTGTGTGGGTGCGCGTGCGTGTGTGTGTGTGTGGGGGTGCGCGTGTGTGTGTGTGTGTGTGTGTGTGTGCGTGCGTGCATGCGTGTGCGTGTGTGTGTGCGTGCGTGCATGCGTGTGCGTGCGTGCGTGTGCGTTCGTGTGTGCGTGCGTGCGTGTGCGTTTGTGTGTGCGTGCGTGCGTGTGTATGTGTGTGTGTGTGTGTGTGTGCGCGCGCCTGTTTGTGTATGTATGTGTGTGTGTGTGTTTACAGTAAAAAAACGAATGGGACAGAGGTACCCAAGCAATCGACTTTTGTACGAAGTCTCCCTCTGTTAAATATGATCATTATGCTGATGATGGTAATATGTATTTTACGCATGTCCACCTCCATTCCAGACGGTCCGCAGCCAAAACCGAAGCGCACCGTCGACAATGACCACAAAACCTTCCACAACACCGTGGCGATCGTGGAGAACTCCTACGTGTGCCCATTCGACACGTCCTTCAGTGACTACTACTGCGTGTACTGCAGAGAAGTGTTCACCGATCCCTGCAGGCTGCGGGAGCACACGTCCACCCACGACCCGACCACGTTCAAGACGTCCGTGCCAAACAAAAAGTTGCCTCAACTCGATATACACAGGGTCGACTGTCGATTGTGCAGTGCGCCCATAGACAATATAGAAAACCTCAAAGAGCACCTGTCAGGGAGTCACGGTGTTCAACTGTACCCCATAAACAATGAGTTTCTAACGTTCAAATTGACCGTGAATAACCTGACGTGTTTAGAATGTGAGGCTACCTTCAGTTTCTTTCACGCTTTAAGGAAACACATGGCGGAACATTTCGGCACGTGCATATGCGATATCTGTGGCGCACATTACTTCGAGGAGAGGATGCTGATGCTGCACCAGCGGTCGCACCAGCGGGTGGAGGAGAACTACCCGTGCAAGGAGTGCGGGAAGAGTTTCAAGTCGAAACATAGCCGGTACCTGCATATAGCGAGGATGCACAAGAAGGAGCCGGCCTACCAGTGCAACAAATGCGACGAAATACTGTTCTCTTATTCATTAAGGTAAGTTCCTTTCCCCTGGTTGTTGTAGGGAGGGCGAGGGATTGGCAGCAGCGTCCCTCTTATAGTATCTCTAAAGCGTAACGGCTGCCAACTACTAGCAAACCCCTCCAAAGGGGAGGCTGATGTTCAGCATTGAACGGTTAAAGGTTTATATAATAAAGGTAAGTGTGAGTTCTCGGGGGGGGGGAAAGGGATTGTTAGTAATGGAGACTGAGAATCCCATTGCTAGCAATATACCCAACCAGGTCGACCTGCTCGCGGTTCCCCCTGGAAACTATCATGGTTAATTCCTGATGAATTCATCATGATGGGCTAACTGGCCTGTTTTCATTCTCATCTATCACCCTTCACTGGTGCTCCGCCAGCGTGTCCCGTTAGCGCAGGCGGGGTTACCATACCATTTTCACAAATAAAAAAATGAGTTCCCGCCGTGTGGTCCCGGCGTAGAATGGACCACCCCTTCCTTTCCTGTGGCTGTCGTAAGAGGCGACTAAGGGAACTTAACAGTCGAGGAATGGATAGCAGCGTCTCTCTTAAAACATTAAAAGCCTAACGCCCACCATGCATTGAATGGCAGCGCATGGGGGGTATCATGGGTGAAACAGTATACTCTGTTATGCCCATGGTACTGCTCATGTCTATAGGCGACGGTTACTACTTTCCATCAGGTGGGCCGTCAGCTTGTTTGCCATTCTAAGTTGTATAAAAAAAAAGTATTTTTTTATAAAGTGTTCAATAAAGAAATGAATTTAAGAGATTTTTTTTTTAAACCTAGATACAGGCACATGATCGAAGTACACGGGGAACAGCGTATGTACCCGTGCGAGCACTGCGACCGCGCATACGACAGCCGGAAGTCCCTCAGGGAGCACAATAGGCGGTTCCACCTGAAGATCTTCAAGCACCAATGCGATTTATGCGAAAAGAGATTCTACCTGCCGTCCAGACTGAAGGAGCACATTGCAACGCACACCGGCGAGAGGAACTTCAGGTGTGAATACTGCGGCAAGAGCTATCCGAGGTTAGTTGCTTTTTTTCTCTGCAAGTTAATCTTCCTCTGGGGGGAAAGGGATTGTTAGCAATAGAGTTTGACAGCCCCATTGCTAGCAATATGCCTTATTAGGTCGACCTCCACGTGGTTCCCCCTGGAAACCATCGTGAACAATTCTTGTTGAATTCGTCACGATGAGCTAACTGACCTGCTTCATACTCACCTATCATCCCTCACTGGTGCCCCGCCGGTGTATACCGATAGTGCGGGTGGGGTTACCATTCCATTATCATCCATTAAAAAAAAATCTCTCTCCTCTCTCTCTCTCGCACGTTCGTGTGGTCCCGGCATTGTATAGACCACCTTTTACTGTGGGTGTCAAAAGGCGCCAAAAGGATTTTGATGGTAGAGAAATGGGCAGCAGCGTCCCTCTTAAAATTAAACTAAAAGCCTAACTGCAACTGCCAACCCGTAAGTAGTTGCCAAATTTGACAATTACTGGCAAAACTCCCCTTAAGAAGAAGGCTTAGGAAGAAGCGTTGGACAGTTAACGGCTGAAATTGAATTAAGAAATTTGTTATTTTTTATAATACTCTCCAACAGTCCTCAGGAATGGCAACGCGTGGGTGGTATCATGGGCGAAACAGTATACTCTGTTATGTCCACGGTACTGCTCATGTCTATAGGCGACGGTTACCACTTTCCATCAGGTGGGCCTTCAGCTTGTTTGCCATTCTAAGTTGTATAAAAAAACAAATATAACTTGCTGACTTAATGGGGAACCGAAGTGCTGGTGAAGTGTATTTTGGGTGTTTCACCATACTTAACTCCCGAAGAAGTGTGAAGATATTTTTCCATTGCAGACTCCGCGGCCTCAAAGTCCACATGCAGTCTCACAGCTCGGAGAAGAAGTACAAATGTATGATGTGCAACGCTTCGTTCACGCAGAACGTCAACCTGAAGAATCATATGAAGAGGCAGCACCAGAGCCTGGACGCCGAGGAGGGTTACCACGAGGGGGCGTAGCGGGTACATTAATAAAATAAGCAAGCTTTAGTTCTTTTTTAATGCATGATAATGGAATGGTAACCCCGCCTGCGCTAACGGTATACGCTGGTGGGGCACCAGTCAATGGCAATCAAGCTGACGGCCCACCTGATGGAAAGTAGTAACCGTCGTCTATAGATATGAGCAGTACCATGGACATAACAGAGTATACTGTTTCGCCCATGATACCCCCCATGCGTTTCCATTCCTGAGGACTCAGGTGATATTCCTCTGTACCCAGTAAATTCACGCCATATCCCACCCTTCAAACCGAAACAAAGCCATGCAAACACCACTGCTTCACGGTAGAAACACAAATGGGACAGAGAAGTTAGGGGGGAAAGGGATTGTTAGTAATGGAGACTGAGAATCTCATTGCTAGCAATATACCCAACCAGGTCGACCTCCTCGCGGTTCTCCCTGGAAACTATCATGGTTAATTCCTGATGAATTCATCATGATGGGTTAACTGGCCTGTTTTCGTTCTCATCTATCTCCCTTCACTGGTGCTCCGCCAGCGTAACCCGTTAGCGCAGGCGTGGTTACAATACCATTTTCACCCATCAACAAAAATGGGACAGAAGTGCCCAAAGTAATGACTTTTGTACAAAGTATAATCTAAACATGCATTACGTGTAAACAAACTATAACTATGCCAGTAACTGGTTTTTTTTTTTTTATTTTAATAGGAATTATCAATCAAGAACACACCAGGAGATAACTCTAACCGCCGCCCATAGACAACAGAACTACGGACGTTTAGAAAAAGAATTGTGTAAATAAATATTACAAATAGTAATCAGCCAGCAAGATTTTATTTTATGAGTATTTATTGTTTAAGATTTATTTATTTTACTCTGTATGTATCCAATTTGTTTTAATAAATATTTCTTCCTCAAACATTCTTGGAAATGTGAGCATTGTTTTGACAATCTTCTTAGAAATAATATCAAAATTGCCGTACTGGCCAGATACATGCGGGCAGCGGCCGGCAAAAGTTGTATGAAAATACATATCTGTCGTGTTTTGCGGCCAGATAAATTACTATGTAAACTCATATCTGTTCTGTAATTTAAAAATGGAATGTCCTTTTACTTCGAAACATGGCTGCCATTAAACTTCAAAAGTAAAATTGTGTTTTTGATTTCCGCACATTGTTTAAGAAAAGTACTATACAAGCCTTGGCCATAACTAGGCATTGATGGATTCACGTATGTGTGCCTCGGCCCATCAATGCCTCAGTTGCTGGCCGCTGCAGTAATGTACTATATTATTATAAAAAAATGGTTTGTATATATTGTTTATTGCACTTGTAAATTACATTATTAATGCATTTATAAATATTGTGAGCAAGGGTGGACTTATCTCTGACAGAGATCTCTTCCAGTCAACCCAATGTAGTTAGAAAACATTTTTTTTTAATATAATTTTTTGTCTGGCAAACAGCCTCTAGTAAGTGTAGGTCCCGGCATAGAGTAGGTCACCCCTTTCTTTCCTGTGGGTGTCGTAAGAAGCGACCAAGAGAGCTTATGGTGGAGGGATGGGCAGCAGCGTCCCTCTTAAAAGGCCAAACCAGAAGCCAAACTGTGGTTGCCAACTCGGCTAAGCGTGGCAACACCTAGCCTTATGAGGGAGGATATGTTCAGCAGTGGACAGTTAACAGCTGTTTTTATAAAGGCTTACGGCCCATCTGATGGAAAGGTTACACTCGCCCATGTCTGTATCACGAAATGAGACAAAACCAATTTTAAAATTCTTTCACGTATAGAAAGCTAATCAGTGAGTACCGGGAAAAAGGGATTGTTATTAATGGGGATTAGTAGCCCCATTGCTAGCAATATGGCCTGTCAGGTCGAACTTTTTTTTTTATACCACTGAGGTAGCAAACAAGCATACGGCCTACCTGATGGTAAGCGGTTGCCGCAGCCTATGAACGCCTGCAATACTCTTCGTGGTTCCCCCTGGGAACCATCGTGATTGATTTATTGTTAGATCCGTCACGATGGGCAAACTGACTGACCTGTCTTTTCATCCTCACCTACCATCCCTCACTGGTGCCCCGCCAGCGTATACCGATAGCGCAGGCGGGGTTATGTTACCATGCCATTATCATCAATTAAAGAAAATCAGTAACATAATATATATATATATATATATATATATATATATATATATATATATATATATATATATATATATATATATATATTTATATTTTATACTATATACCTTATTATTATATACCAGAGGGAGACTTTGTACAAAAGTCGTTTGCTTGGGTACCTCTGTCCCATTCGTGTTTCAACCGTAAAGCAGTTGTGTTTGCATGGCTGTGTTTCGGTTTGAAGGGTGGGATATGGCGTGAATTTACAACGTACAGAGGAATAACACCTGAGTTCTCAGGAATGGCAACGCATAGGGGGTATCATGGGCGAAACAGTATACTCTGTTATGTCCACGGTACTGCTCATGTGTATAGGCGACGTTTACCACTTTTCATCAGGTGGGCCGTCAGCTTGTTTGTCATTCTAAGTTGTATAAAATAAATGCTCAGAAATTCTACCTACCCGCGCGTAGCCGGGTCGGATCGCTAGTAACACATAAGGAAATTAAACACAAAGCATAATAATTTAAATAATTTATTACAATATATTACACTATAATGAGGGTAGATGGCGCCACTATATGGTTATAAATTGCCACATTAGCTTTAAAATAATCAAATAAAAAAAATATGGCTCAAAGATCTTTAAAGGTTAACGGATGAGTCTTAAGAGACTACCGGCCCCATTGTTAGCGATATATTGTCAGGTCGACCTTCGCACGGACCCTTTTTTTAACACAGGCCAAACGAGCATGCGGCTCACCTGATGGTAAGTGACTACTACCGCCCATATACCCGCAACACCAGGGGCATTGCAGGTGTGCTGCCGGCCTTTTATAAAGGAATATACTCTTTTCTTGAAGGTTATGTTGTCGTATCGGTTCGGAAATACTGCTGCTGGAAGTTGATACCAAAGAGTGGTTGTGCGTGGAAGAAAGTGCTTTGAAAAACGCACGGTGGAAGACCGCCACTCGTCCAGATGATGGGGATGGAATTTTAGTTTGTGGCAGGTTTTTTTTTAATGGATGATAATGGAATGGTAACTCCACCCTCGCTATCGGTATACACCTGCGGGGCACCAGTGAGGGATGATAGGTGAGGATGAAGCAGGCCAGTTAGCCCATCGTGACGAATTCAACAAGAATTGTTCACGATGGTTTCCAGGGGGAACCACGTGGAGGTCGACCTGACAGGATATACTGCTAGTAATGGGGCTATTTGACCCCATTACTAACAATCCCTTTCCCCCCGATTTTGAAGGTTGACTAGGCGATCTCTTGCCTATTCAACCAATATGCTCCGACTTCACTGTGGCCATAACTCTTTTTAAGGACCTAGAGGCAGAGTTGTACAGGCAGCAATATCCTTCTTAAAACATCACAAAAGCAGCAGCAGTGGACAGCTAAATGGCTGATACAAAGTTTCTTCAACTAACCTGCCTTCATGTTCGCCTGTCATCTCTTACAAATGCCAAGCCAGCATATACTAACCGGGCTACCATTTTCATTAATTACAAAACTTGCTACTTCAGGGGGGAAAGGGATTGTTAGTAATGGAGACTGAGAATCCCATTACTAGCAATATACCCAACCAGGTCGACCTCCTTGCGGTTCCCCTGGAAACTATCATGGTTAATTCCTGATGAATTCATCACGATGGGCTAACTGGCCTGTTTTCATTCTCATCTATCACCCTTCACTGGTGCTCCGCCAGCGTATCCCATTAGCGCAGGCGGGGTTGCCATACCATTTTCACCCGTCAAAAAATAAAAAATTGGCTACTTCAAAAATTACTATTCATCTCGAATCCTTGGTGGTGACTCTTCATGTGGTTCTTCAGGCTACCATTCTGGGTGAACGATGAGTTGCAAACATTACATTTGTATCTCCTATCGTTACTGTGAGATCTTATATGCTCCTGTAGCGACTGGAGCCTCGGATAGCTCTTATCACAGAATTCGCAGCGGAAATTCCTCTCGCCCGTGTGGGTGGCCATATGTTCTTTCAACCTGGACGGCAGGTAGAACCTCTGTTCGCACAAATCACACTGATGCCTGTACACTTTAAGATGATTCCTCCTGTTGTGTTCCATCAACGTTTTCCTCCTATTGTACACTTTATCGCACAATTTACACGGGAACGTGCGTTTGTCCCCGTGCACTTCGATCAAGTGCCTGTTCCTCAGCGCGTAAGACAGGAAACTGGCCTCGCATTTGTAACAATTGACCGTCGGCTTCTTCTCGTGCACCGTCGCAATGTGAAGGTATCTACTGTATTTGGATTTCAAATTTTTCCCGCACACTTCACACGGGAAATTCGCCTCGACTTTACTGTGCGACTTGATGTGGGTCCGTAAAGAGTTCTGCTCGAGGAAGCACGCGCCGCACACGTCACATATATATGTGCCGAAATGTTCTATCATATGTTTTTTTAACATATCAAAATATGGGAATACACTATTGCACTCTGTACACGTCAAATTGTTTGTGGACAAACGAAATTTGAGAAATTCGTTGTCGACCGGATACATTTTTTTCCCGTGTACATTAGTGATGTGGTCTTTGAACGTTGGCAAGTCGTCGATTTTCACGTCACACAATCGACAATCGATTCTGGTGATATCGATTTTGGGGATCTTCTTGTTCTCCATCATACTCTCGAACATGTCTCTGGGGTCGTGGGACAACGTGTGCTCTCTCAGTTCGTTGGGATTGAGGAACTGGTCTTTGCAGTAGTAACAATAGTAATTGCTGATTCTATTATGGAAGGGGCATACGTAGGAGTTCTGCACTATGGTCACCGCGTTTGCGTACACCATATGGTCGTGGTCTATGGACAGTTTCTTTTTTTTGTTGACGCTCGCCTTCGACTTCTTCGGTGGGTCGGCTACTGAAAATAAAATATTAAAATTTCATTTTTTTTTTAAGAACGGCGGAAGTTATGGACGCAGTATTTAATTATAAATTTTGGTCCACAAAAAACAATACAGACTTCAATTTAGCTGGTTATTTTTATTTTAAAACTAAATTGCGAAAAACGATTTTGATAAAATCTCTATGGAATATCTATCTAATACATATATCCTTTCATAAAAACAGAACTTTCAAAATCGGTATATAAATGACAAAGTTATTATAGGGTAACAAATATTATACCAAATATACAAAACGAATTTAGAAACTTGTCCTTTTTTGGATTCTCCGAAACCACTTGACCGATTTTAATAAAATTCCCTTAAATGCGTAATCTTTGCTCCACATTGAGAGATAGGATAGTTTTCATCCGGTATGTATAAAGAGCAAAATAAGTTTGTCAAGTAATCTAGCTAAAGTTCGCGACTGACTCTTGGCCACAACAGAATATCAGTGTTTTGCTCTTCTGAGGGCAAAGCAATAAACTGAGTTGTGATCATTTTGTGTTACTATGGCACATGCATGAAGGAAGGGTAAGAAAGGAGATTGTTAGTTTATATATATATTTTTTTTTTATTTGTGCTTTTTTATTGTCATTCTTTTATCTCTTTTACTGTGTATTATGTGTATGTTTGTATTGTAATTTGTGTGCTGTAAGTAATGTAAATAAATTATCTATCTAGGTAAAAAAATTCTTGATGGAATGCAAGGTAATGTAAGTACAGATAAAGGAAGTGGCGCTTAAAAAATCATTAAAATAAATAAAATAAAATAATGTTTATTCAAATAAACTTAATAATAAGCACTTTTGAATGGTCATATTGTATGAATCTATCGCCCAGTTCAAAATGCAATTTCTGCTGAGAAGAATTGGCAAGAAACACAACTGTTGGTATTTTTTCAAATAAGAGTTAAGCGTACAAAAAAAAAAATAACTGGATAAAATCTCTATCACAAACTTTGTATGGATAAAAAAAAAAAGTAAAAAATAGACAATACCGGGCTTCTCCAGCATCCTGTCCAATTTCTCCCGCAGCTTGTGCATCTTGCTCAACAGCTCACGTTTCATCTTCTGCCGTCTCCCGCGATTACCGTCCTCTACTTCCATTTTTGTCTCTGGTAAGTTTATATCAATCTTCTGCTCGATTTCTGGAAGTAATATTTTTAAACATTTTATTTTATATAACTGTGTTATATATATGTGTGTTATGGGGGTAAACGAGCATGCGTCTCACCTGATGGTAAGTGACTACCGCCGCCCATGTTCACCAACAACACTAAAGGCATTGTAGGACCAGAGGAAGACTTTGTACAAAAGTCGATTGCTTGGGTACCTCTGTCCTATTCGTGTTTCTACAGTAAAGCAGTTGTGTTTGCATGGCTGTGTTTCGGTTTGAAGGGTGCGATATGGCGTGAATTTACAGGGTACAGAGGAATAACACCTGAGTCCTCAGGAATGGCAACGCATGGGGGGGTATCATGGGCGAAACAGTATGCTCTGTTATGTGCATGGTACTGCCCATGTCTATAGGCGACGGTTACCACTTTCCATCAGGTGGGCCGTCAGCTTGTATGCCATTCTAAGTCGTATAAAAAAAAATGTATTAAGGTTTCTTAGGGGTCAGCAAAACGCGCGTGACATCCCTGGTCTTACAGGCGTCCATAAGCTACAGTAAACCCATTTACCACTAGGAATTCATAACGATGACCCAACTAACCTGCTTTTATCCTCCCCTAGCATCCTTCACTGGTGCCCGTAAGCGTAGGCGAGGATACCATTTCGTTATCATCCATTAAAAAAAACTGTGTTTGCCGATCCGCCTGCTGCACAAGGCAATAACTGACAAAACCGCCTTTATGAGGAAGGCTTATGTTCAGCAATTAACGCAGGCGGGATTACTATTTCTTTATCACCCATAAAAAAAAACCAGAGGGCCTGCCATGAAATGTTTTCCGAAATTTCGGAGCCAAACGAAACACAAATTTGTTGTTAAAATTACATAATACATGCCGTTTGGAAATATTAAAAATGTTAAAACATTGTTCCTTTGGACTTTTATGATAGGATGTATTACGAACGAAATGTTAAACTCCATTCCGATTCCGAGTCCGATTTTGGTATAAACAAAAACGCGAAATTGAATCCGAAATTTCGGAATTTCATTTCATGGCAGACCCGCTGTTTACCATCAAGATCCGTACGCTCGTTAGCCACAAAATGGTCGTGATGATGACAAAATGCTCACCTGCCTCATGGAGATCATCTCGGTCGTCCATTTCATCATCTAATTCCATTTCGCATACGGGTTCTGTCTTCACTTTCACCTCAAGTTTTCGGTCCACGTCTGAGAATTGAAAAAACATTTTATTTTTTATTTTCAACCGACTTTAAAAAGAAAGAGGTTCTCTTTTCGGTTGTATTTTTCTTTATGTTTGTCACCCCATAACTCCGTCAGTTGTAAACCGATTTAATAAATAATAATAATACTTTTATACAGTTTTTTTTTAATTAGTGATAATAGAATGGTAACCCCGCCCGCGCTATCGGTATACACCGGCGGGACACCAATGAAGGATGATAGGTGAGGATGAAGCAGGCCATTTAGCCCATCGTGACGAATTCAACAAGAATTGTTCACGATGGTGTCCAGGGGGAACCACGTGGAGGTTAACCTAATAAGGTATATTGCTAGCAATGGGGCTGTCAAACTCCATTGCTAACAATCCCTTTCCCCCCTATTATGATACATTAAGAAAAAACCCAACCTTTGCTCTCGAGTTTCGCGCTAAGGAACGCATCCTCGCACTGAAGCACCTGCTGCCTGAACGCGCAGGCGTCGCGGAGCCTCGTCACACAGGTCGCACATATACAGGACTCCTTGCTGTCTCCGTCCAGGTGTGACAACTGTTAAAGTACAATGATGGAAATATACTATATATTGATTGTTTTTTTTTTTTTATACATCTTAGAATGGCAAACAAGCTGACGGCCCACCTGATGGAAAGTGGTAACCGTCGCCTATAGACATGAGCAGTACCGTGGACATAACAGAGTATACTGTTTCGTCCATGATACCCCCTATGTGTTACCATTCCTGAAGAATGAGGTGTTATTTCTCTGTACCCTGTAAATTCAATGCCATATTCTACACAAATACACAGAAACACAGCCATGCAAACACAACTGCTTTACAGTTGAAACATAAATGGGACAGAGGCACCCAAGCAATTAACTTTTGTACAAAGTCTCCTTTTAGTATCTTTATTTAGGGTTCCATGTAAAGGAAATAATTGTTATTTCCATTACAAGGTTGATGGGTGAAAATGGTATGGTAATCCCGCCTGCGCTAACGGGATACGCTGGCGGAGCACCAGTGAAGGGTGATAGATGAGGATGAAAACAGGCCAGTTAGCCCATCATGATGAATTCATCAGGAATTATCCATGATAGTTTCCAGAGAGAACCGTGAGGAGGTTGACCTGATTGGGTATATTGCTAGCAATGGGATTCTCAGTCTCTATTACTAACAATCCCTTTCCCCCCTCCTTTACAGGGTTACCACTCAAGAACTTTTCTTCCCCATTGGTTTTTTGAGATGTATGACCAATCCGTTGAAATGAAATGAAATGAAATGAATTTATTTTGCTAGAATGCAGGTAATTTTAGATGATAGAGGTTTATATTTCCCGTGTACATTCTGCCTCTATGTCGGCGTGCAAATTTTTAACAATATAATAAATTTATATATTCTATTATATATCTATTTATATTCTACATTATATTTCCTTTCCTTAGTCATACAATATATTATTATTATTAATTACAGTAAACTGAAAAAATAAAAGCCTGTACAATAGTTGTCACTCTAGCTTGCTAATCTTCAGACAATGTTAATAACTTTGATTCTTTTGCTGATATTCTCGTTTCATTTATTCGTTTTCTTGTTACGTCCATGGTACTGCTCATGTCTATAGGCGACGGTTACCACTTTCCATCAGGTGGGCTGTCAGCTTTTTTGCCATTCTAAGTTGCATAAAAAAAAAAACAAGGTATACCTACTTTTAAATATAATAACATACCTAAGTATTTTATAAGTTATTCAACTTCTATAACACAAACTTCTTTACTAGTTCTACACACACTACTTCCCAAAATCTAAAATATATTAGAGATCGTCGCTCTACCTTGTGGGAGGTGATACTACACTACGTTTGCCTTTACGCGGGCGCCACTCGAGAACCTTCCTTCCCCATCACTTGTACATTCTTCGAGTTATATTACTAGACAATTATCACTTAAATTTACTCACTCTTTAAGGTATGTCGGTCAAATTAGTTCACTTTCTGTTTATTTATAATATAAACTTACCAATAAACCGAAACAGTCCATAAACATATCAGAATAAACTTCCTTTTTTCCGCTCCATTCGTATTCAAATGACAAAAGTCGACATTTCTTTATCGAACGGCAACACCTACAAAGGCCAGGATCGAATATTGGACCCTTGCTCTTCGTAGCTACCGTTTGAGTAGCCATCTCGAAAGAATTTCACATTTATTTTCATAAAAATATCAATCAGAGACGCTAATTTCATGGCCATAGACGCAAATTTGACATTTCGAATTTTCAATTTTTTTATTTTTTTGTTACGTTCCGTTTAACGTGTTCGTTCGTCCCTATAGCGTGCAATCGATAATCTATCAAAATTAATTTAATTTATATATTACAATAACTTTAAAATGTTTAATCAATGTAGTTTTATTATTGTAATAAAACGTAATTTCAGAATTAGTTAAAGTTCTTTCCGTAAGTAAAAATACTAAAATATGTACTTATAGAAAAACATAACTAGAAACGGAACTTTCTTTTGCTTCTCCTTCGAGCAAAAAGTCAAGAAGGATATAGGTGTAGGGTGTCTAAAATATTACAATTAAAGGACAGTTTTTTTTTTATTATTGACATATTTCGTTTCATAGTACCAGGCAATAATTAAAATGTTACTTTCTGTTGTTTAGTAAACTGAGTGTTACGATATTATACATAGATTTGATTTGAAAACTAAGATTCTTAATTCATCAATTTATTTACAATTTGTTTTCCTTATTAATTGAATGTATCGATACAAATGACTTTAATGTCGCTGCCATAATTTTATGAGCTATTTTTTTTATTATTTAGATTTATTTACTTATTTATTTTAATCTATACTTATAATGAGTCTGTAGAGAGGTCAATTCTGTACATGAAATATATTTTCAAAATAACTATCAGGGGGTGATTAGTGATCGATACTGATGCCAAAAATGCTATCAGTAAAATTGTTGTCTGTCTGCATGTTCGTTATAGAAACAAAAAGTACTAGACGGATTTTAACGAAACTTGGTACAATTATTTTTCATACTCCTGGGCAGGTTACAGTATTTTTATCACGCTACGATCAATAGGAGCAGAGCAGTGAAGGGAAGTGTGTCTGTTACATCAAAACCACTAAACCGTGAGGAAGGACATAGGCTACTTATTTTACGAAAAACATATAGATGATGAAAATCTCAATCAATTTGTATAAGAGTATATCTAATACTATTTTCTTGTCGTTCTCGTCGGTGTCGTTAGAGGTGACACGGGATGGGCAGCAGCATCTCTCTTAAAAAGTTTAATTGCAGTTGTCAACTTGTCTGCTAAGTGTGGCAACTTCTGGTAAAACTTCCTTATGGGGGAGACTTATGTCCAGCAGTGGAATTATAATGATAATTATGTGTAATATAGTAAACAGATTTCAGAACACGAAATGTGGGGAAAAATACATAGTGTTAAAACAACAAACAACACAGTCTAATGATATTTTTTATTTGAAAATAACATGAAATCTACATGATGTTACTAATATACTTACAACAATATACAATTTTAAATTCTTATTATAAAAAAAAAATAAACTTAATTATTGAACAGCCTGTATTTGTACATTGGAACCGATATTTTACCAACATTGGCGACTTTGTATGAATATTGAGACAGGGCTTATAAAGTGGAGTATTGTACTATAGGATAAAATATTAAGATATGATGAATGGGCGTACCCGTTTTATATATCTGTTCTAAATTTAATATATACCCATAGGATGCAACAAGCCAAAACGTTATGGTGCCCATAAAATTAAGCACTTTTTATCCATATAACAACCCTCTCAGACATGTGACAAACGCATTTATCAATAGACACGTTTTCGTGTCGTGAATAAAAAAAGAAAGTGTAATAAACTGAACATGACTGACTCATGTATGCGGTAGCGATAACATACCTATCGACAGATTAATTAACGACATATCAAAAGGGACAGGGTAGATTTGAAATATTAAACCCTTTTTAACGAACTATGATTTGAAGTCAGTTATACAAATAATGTTACTATATTTCGACTTGTTTTTATTACATCCCATTTCACACGATTCACGTTAACGCATAAGTACAGAACAAACAAATGTAAAATGCCTCTAAAACTGAGTACGCCCAAGTACATTTGGTGTTTAAACGGTCTTCTGTAAGTATTCGTCGAAGAGGTAGAACGCGAGCGACTTGTCCTGCCCATTGTTGGCGGTTATGAAGCTCTTGAGGTCGGTGATGTGGCCGGCGAGCTCGCGGATGGTCTTGGAATGGTCCTCGATGAATTCTTCCTCGAGATATTGAGCGACCTGGGGAGTTATGTTCACTACTTAGTACCCTGATGAGAGCTTTTTAGCTGCATTTTATATATCCATACCAAACTGACACTTATTTTTTTTTATACAACTTAGAATGGCAAAGTGGTAACCGTCGCCTATAGACATGAGCAGTACCATGGACATAACAGAGTACACTGTTTCGCCCATGATACCCCCCATGCGTTGCCATTCCTGAGGACTCAGGTGTTATTCCTCTGCACTCTGTAAATTCACGCCATATCCTATCCCTTCAAACCGAAACACAGTCATGCAAACACAACTAGTTTACGGTTGAAACACGAATAGGACAGAGGTACCCAAACAAACGATTTTTGTACAGTCTCCCTCTGGTGTTCGCTTCTGCAAATTTAGTAAATTATAGTCAAAACATTGCCATGTGGTACCGACATAGAACGGATCACCCCTTCTTTTCCCGTGAGTATCGTAAGAGACTAAGAGAATTTAACGGTCAAGGAATGGGTGGCAGCGTCCCTCTTAAAACATCACTAAAGTCTAATTGCGGATGCCAACACGCCTGCCAAGCATGGCAACTACTGACAAAACCTCCTAATAGTGGCCTTTCTTTAGCAGTGGACAGTTAACGACTGACATGACGATGATGATAATCAATACATAATGAATATAATATATAATATAAGAAATCATTAGTATCTCCTGAAGGAAATGCTTTATCAGCAAAACTGAAGATTTTCACCAAAGAAACATAGGTTTTCAATATATAAACAAAAAGATTCAGGCCACTCATACTAACACAGAGATTTCAGACTCGAACGTTTTGTTGTTTCTGAATTCTTGAACCGCGAACTTTCCAACATCTTGCTTAGTTTTATTACTACTAACGATTTTAATTACGCAGATATTAACTGAGATTCAAACTTACTTCAGGGTCATGAAGATGCTGACTGTTCCTGGTGGCTTCGCGGTGGATGTAGAACGCCCTCTCGGCGATCTCCTTCTGGGTGTCGAGGGCCTTAGCGAGGGACTCCAGCTCGTGCAGCTCGACTGTGTAGTTCTTGCGTTCAGCCGGTTGCTGGGTGCTGCGCTGCGCGAAGTTCATTTCGCCACCTTATTGTAAAAATTAAAATTAGTAAAATTTGTCTATTCTATCTGAAATGTAAGTAATCACTATTTTTTATACAACTTAGAATGGCAAACAAGCTGACGGCCCACCTGATCGAAAGTGGTAATTATCGCCTATAGACATAAACAGTACCGTGAACGTAACAGAATGTACTGTGTCGCCCAAAACAAGCTTCATGAGCACTAACGTCTTTTTAATGGTAACCCCGCCTGCGCATACCTCTCTTAGTAATATGTTTGATCAGCTCGATTGTCTTCTCCCAGGCCTGGTCCGATAGCTTCTTGAACAGCTTGCTAAATCCATCACGATTGGTCTGATAGTTGTTGAAGTACGCAGCAGATAGCAGGTACTCGTAGGAACGTTCTAGATGCAAGTTGGCGTACGCCTGCATCTCTGTGGCGACGTTACCATGGCGACCATACTCCCCATATATAGAGTTACAGTGCGCCAAGCCTGGAAAAGGCAAGTAAATTTATAGATGATCAACAAAAAAAATGATTACTTAAATGTTATATGTATATTAGGTATGGGTAATATCCGATATCTATATACTGAGTTCTTCTGGATATGGATAGTTATCCACAGCGATATCGCTCATACAGTCGTAATATATACATTGCAAGCGGGTTTATCATTTCGATATTATATATTGGATAACCAATAATTAATATATCTGTTATTAGACCAATATATGTATAGATATTGTAACTACAATATATAGATATTGCTATATATTACCAATCTCTAACGAGTACGGTGTTAGTCGAACATGCACAAGCCGGGGGAAAAGAGTGTCAGTACAGTGGTACCTCGATACACGAGTGTTTTGAGATACAAGCCGCCGTGCGAGCGATATTTTGCTTTGAGATGAGAGCAAGAATTGAGATACAAGGAATCACACACTGCACCGCTGCACACGACCCCCACATGCGGGGTGGATGTTGGTGTTCAACAGTTTCTTCCACCTCAGACTAACACTTAACAGAAACAACTGAGGTGGTTTATGGGAGTACGAAGTAATGGCATTTCAATTAATTCCAATAAGGGAAAATTGCTTTGAGATACGAGCAATTTGACATACAAGCAAGGTTACGGAACGAACTAAACTCATATGTCGAGGTACCACTGTAATTGGTTCTAACAGCCTCATTGCCAGCAATATACCTTTTCAGGTTGATCTCCAAGCGGTTTCCCCTGGAAACATAGTGGTTAATTCTGTCGAATTTTTCCTGATGTGCCGGACTGACTTGCCTTCATCCTTACCTATCACTGGTATCCCGCCAGTGTATACCGATAGCGCAGGCGAGGTTACCATTTATTTTTCACTCATTAAAAATAACATGCCCGAGCTTTAAAATGTACAAGGGCCATCTAATTTTTTCTTTTATTATATTTTTATATATATATATATATATATATCTTTTTTTTTTATACAACTTAGAATGGCAAACAAGCTGACGGCCCACCTGATGGAAAGTGGTAACAGTCGCCTATAGACATGAGCGGTACCATGGACATAACAGAGTATAATGTTTCGCCCATGATATCCCCCATGCGTTGCCATTCGTGAGGACTCAGGTGTTATTCCTCCATACCCAGTAAATTCACGCCATATCCCACCCTTCAAACAGAAACACAGCCATGCGAACACAACTGCTTCACGATTGAAATACGTTTGTGATTGGAGATTGTAAATAAACGTTTAGTATCAATGTTAACAAAGATTTGAAGAAAGTAACTGTTGAGTTTCTTACAGATTCTTCTCAGCCGTCAACACATTTCGAACCCATCAGTAAATTTGTAAAAAATACTATATTTTTTAATGGACTTCAAAAATAAGGAGGTTCTCAATTCATTTACGAATATAAACTCAACTAAGATAACTGCATACAACAATATTGTATATTTATTTTACCTAATATTCTTAATATAAATAAAATAATATAAAAATAAAATGTTACTGATAGATGGCAGAATGAAAATTAATAATTTATTTAATAACTATAATTAATAATAAAAATAATTTATTTATTTGCTAAAAACACGGTATACAGATGCTAGTACCTAATAATAATATGTTAAGAACATGCATGTTTTAATGTAAATATATGTAAATATATTCTATTTAACTATTAAAAATGGTAACAATTAGTATTATCACAAATAAATAAACATGAATAAGCATATTAAATATGTAATCGAATAATGACAATCCTTTAAACATATATATATATATATATATATATATATATATATATATATATATATATATATATATATATATATATATATATATATATATATATATATATATATAGTTTTATAAAACCCAATTCATACTTACTATTCCGAGCTCTGCCTGTAAAAGATAAGATGTCATCTAAGATACGATAAGTATATACATATATGTATAGATAATAGATACGATATATAATATATATAAATATAATATTAAACAATGACGAATGTTATATTAATATTGAAATATGAATAAATAAATATCTAAAAAAAAATCATTAAAAACGAAAATATGTATAGTATAATGTAAAAAATACATGATTTCTGAACTAAATGTGGTGGTAGTTAATGATTTATTGTACAGAAAAAAAAAAAATGTTAATTCAAACACAACAATTGCAATAAGTATTAATTTTCATTGGAAATTTAATATTTTAGATAGCTTTTTTACAACTCTACGCAGCGGGGACCAAGTTAACCGCTGTTTCTTGAAATAATCTAGTTTGTTAACAGAATTTTACCACCACTTAAGAGTTAGTTGTAAAATTAACACAATTTTTAAGTGTCAGTTATAAAACTTACCCAAGTTGTTTGAAGCCTGTGCACACTGCAGAGAGACATCGTTATAGCAAGCGTCCTCAGCGAGGGCACCAGACACGGCGAGGAAGCACGCGACAACTGAAAGTATGACCTTCATGTTTCTGGAACAACGAATATGTAAGAATAAAAATATATGTTAATATTTTCTTCCGTATCACCTACTGAATTGATGTAAATTTTTTTTTTATTTTAAATGAATATTCTTTTATAAAATTATTCCAAAACAAAGTATGTAATATTGTTTCTAAGTAGCAAGATATAAAAACTCGAAGTGTTTTGTCAAATTTGTCTTAATGGGATAACTGAACTACTTTCAGCCTCATCTACCATCTCTCACTGGTATTCCGCGAGCATATACCATTAATGCAAGCGGGGTTAGTATTCCGGGTTATTTATACCCATATAAAAATATATATAATCTAGTATAGTAAGGGGGAAAGGGATTGTTAGTAATGAAGACTGAGAATCCCATTGCTAGCAATATTCCTAACCAGGTCAACCTCCTCGCGATTCTCCCTGGAAACTATCATGGTTAATTCCTGGTGAATTCATCATGATGGGCTAACTGGCCTGTTTTCATTCTCATCTATTACCCTTCACAGGTGCTCCGCCAGTGTATCCCGTTAGCGCAGGCGGGGCTATCATACCATTTTCACCCATCAAAAAAAAAGAAAAAAAAACCTAGTATTATATTATCTGTGGTATAACATTATCATTAATACGTAGTACAGATATACAACTGCAAGTCTAGATGAGATAAGAAATTTGAGATTTTATTGACTGTTGTTGATTGATTTATGTTCTTTGTATTAAATCTATAGAACACTCGACTTTAGTACACTTAAAAATTGAGGCGGTTTTTATTTCGACTATATACTCTTTGTATTATCTTACCAATTTTTAACAGAATTATTCTATTAAATTAATTTACTCGCATGTAGGTTATCTAGTACAATAAAAAAAAAAAACTTAAACTATTTCAAAATGACGGAATGACGAGCACAAAATTAAGATTGAGCAGATAAATTTGCATCAGTATTTAAAAAAAATCACAGTTTTTATGTTGTCTAAGTATTTTAGTTATAAATACTTAATTATAATTAAATTGTTAAATATAGGTACTAGAAAGTGTAGATTCAAATTAGATTTCACCATTATTTTTTTTAAACATTGTCAAAGGGACTATGTACTTAAGCAGGAAAATGCAATTACGAAACAAACTCCTTTTGATACATTTATATCATATACCTACGAGATTAATAAATCAGAGCAAAAGATATTGTAAATAAATCAATAATTTTATTATCTATGTAAGTAATTGGATTAATATTTACAATAGACTTAGATATAGCAACAACCTATTAAATGGTATTAAATTGATAGATTGATTTATTTACTACATGTCATCAATGATTATTAATGATATTAATATTACAGATATTTTTTATTACTCTGAGTAAAAAATAAAAATAATTCCTAAAAAATACAAAAGCGTGGTTACACTGTAAATATTGTCAAATTTTTTTATAGGGTATGAACGCCTGTTCTTGTTCTTTTACTTTTTTTTTTAAACTAATTTGTATAACAATGAAAAGATAGATAGACAGTCTATTGTTTCTTTCAAAAGATAACAATTATTAAGACTGGTTACGGTAAGAAAACAAAGAAAAATAATTTTAATTCAAGTAAGAATTTAGTTTCATGCTAAACAGTGTTTCAAGTACATAGATTACTTTGTGGTAATGGCCGATAGTATTTTATTAAAAAATTTAATTATATATATTTTGTTTTAATAACAAAAAAAAAATCTTGCCACAACCCACTGCATTTCTACATCCACAATTTGTATACGCAGCTATTTTTACATCCAGAGCATAACACAAAGGTTTCTATAAAAAAAAAAAAAAAAGAAAACGCAATTACGAAATGGAACGTCTTCTGTTCTGACTGTGATTGTTTACAACGCACATTAGGAACAATACGCCAAAAATTACAAACATAATTATGTACTTACCTATATAATAACACGCAATGACTTTGTTAGAATAATAATTTGACACGATGTGATCCGTCGAAAGTGCAGCCTTTACACACACTGGCGCAGAAGGCGACTTTCAACAAAGACAAAATAGTACTGATAAAAATCCGTATGATCTGCCGAGGAAAACTCCACGTCTGGGTAATTATAAATTTTTGTGTACCGATTGAGTGGCGACCAAAGATAATATTGTCAGTAAAATAGATACTCATTCCGTGTGAAGTTGGACACGCATCGGCCTGGGTTACCAGGTACAACATTTTTTATTCCCGAAAACAATTAGAAATAACCATTAGTTGGCTTGCTATTAAGTTTATGTAACTTTTAACATATTTAAATGGAAGTAAACTATCGATCAACGGTTAACAATAGTCAATATAATGATTCTTTTCATTAATAATTTACTCCTTAGATAATGGTAATTTTATAAATGGTATCACCATTACACCATCCCCCCTCGGCCGCGATTTTCCTCCAAGCTCCGCGTTATCGTCTGCTAATGACGTAAAAACTTGAATCATACAATGGACGTTGAAGTTTTGTGTTCCAAGGCATTTCTTTATATTTCATCATACGCCAATATTAATAGTTTTTATACATTATTTTCACAAAATATATGTATTTAGTTAGGATTTTGTCCGAATACTGTAATAAAAAATTATATTTCAAGCCTAGAATATTCTAAAGACGAATTAAAAAAAATTCCATGACTCCACTTGCAACACAAAACCTCGACATTTTTAGTACCCACCCAGCTATCGTATTATCCCTCCCGCTCGCGCATGTCATTCCGTGAGATCATTTGTCAACAAGACATGGTTTTGTTATCGTTGCGTAGTTCATTATTTTCGTTAAAACTGAGCCATTGAGGCGAATAGTTCGTCTTTGTTGCTTATTGTCGAGTTTTGAGTCGCCTTCTGCACCAGTGTGTGTAAAGGCTTGACTTTAGCGTGTACTCTCACCTACATCGAATTTTTATTATTACACTTCGTCAAAGTATCTGTGATTTAATTATAGATTGAAAAGATGAAGGCTATCCTGGTAGCAGTTCTTGGTCTCCTGGCTGTTTGCGCTCCAGCATTCGCCACACAATGTAAGTACTTCAATTATTAATTACGTGCTTTATTTTCGATAGAGGTCCTAAATTGGCACATTTACCTTTTACTTTTTTTAACAATGTCACATGTTCGCAACTCGAATTAATTAAAAAAAAAACATAAAATTGCTACATCATTCTAGCAATTCTTACTTTAACATTTTGTGATTAAAATATTGAATCTAACCTCAAATTAAGCTTCTTTCTATCGATAAAGTAAACTTTTATTCAATTCACACTTCTAATCTTACAATTAATTATTATTTAATTGCAAATTTAAACGATTTTAATACAATACATACTAGCTATACGGATTTTACGGATTTTGTCTTAATTTAGTAAAATTTTTTTCATTGCTACCTACCTAATACGTACCTTTATATTAGATAATTGTAGTATTAGTGTATAACTATATACTTATTGTATCTATTAAATCAAAATATACATATTTACTTAAATCCAATAAGAATAATAATATACCTATTCACCCCGTTTTATCTGCTCTACATACAATGACAAACGCGGCTAACTTCATTCTGAATTAATACTGCGACTTCGATAAAAGAATAAGGTGAAAGTTCAAATAGTTAATAGTTTTAATATATTAGTCCACATAGATAGTAGGTACTTCATATTTTCTAATGCGAATCTTTTCGAAATTAGAACTGCCATAACTAAAGGCTGTCTGTAAGAGATTGCCCTAGCGATAAGACCGCTTTTTGTACCTTTATGTGTATATTTCAATCTGTATGTTACTGTATTTCACTTGAATTATTCACTTGTCATTGTATATTTTTATTTATGGTGCAATAAAGTATTAAATAAATGAATAAACAAAAACATACCGCCAGGAACATAAAAAGAACATAATCAGGCATTTTAAATTTATATTTTCATTAAAAAAATGAATTAAAAATTAATAAATAAATCCCGTGGAAATCGCACATTTTGCTTACATGACGCAAAACGAAAAGGGATAGTGTATACCTAGTCGTAATTTTATTTGAAAATTAAAGATTCGTACATTTTACAATATTGGTTAAAATTCGGAGAGACAGCAGAAAATCCGTTGTAATTAAAACAGATTGTAACCCTATTTGCACTTTTGCGAGAATATTTTTTTCCAAAAAGAAGGTTTTTTTACCTCATAACTACATCAGGTATGAACCGAATTGAAAAATTCTCTTTTTATCTAAAAGGATATATGTACTTTCAGTTTGGTTTCGTAGAAATTTTCTTAAAATCGATTCAGTGATTTAGTTTTTAAATCCAAATAACTGGTTATGCCACAGATAAAATATGTTTTTTTTTTTGTGAAACAATCTTTTTTTTTTCATATTCGTCCCTTCGAGGGTAAATACATACATACTGCCGTATGCTTTATTGTCATTTTTAGAATATAACAATGTCAAGATCATTGTTGTAAGGACTAGAGGTGGATAATATGTAAGGTGTATATTATATTTTAGTTACAATATGTATATACTGATCCAATAACAAATATTTAAGAAAAATACTATTGTATATTGGAATTTAAAATAATCGAAAATAGATATCCAACCGATATGGGCAATAGTGAAATGGAAAATAATTATTTTTCCCCCCATCAATGTCCAGAGAAACCCGATATATAGATATCAGATCGGTATTTATATTACCCATGCCTATTTAGGACCTTTGCTAGTTAAACCCTTCAACCCCTGGTATAAAATCGGTAGACTTCACTATCTTTGATTTTTTTCTTTTTGCAATTGACAAGGTTTTATAAAGTATATATATATATAGTTAGTCTATGGAAATGTGACGCATGAGAAATGTCAATTGGGCCTATTCTGAGGCGCCAAATCTTCAATATTAAGGTTTCACTTTTTTGTCTCTTATATTTTTTTATTTATTAGACACATAAAGCAGATATTAATCATAAAAAACTTAAATAATAGTTACATTTGTGATAGAACTAGGTTACAATCCAATTACATTATGTGTACAGCTTGAGTGATTCATGTAAAAACAGTTCGTAACAAAATGTGCAATTCACGCAAGCACATTATACTCGTAAAAAAAAAATACAGACAGTAAATAAATATATAAAAAACAAAACTATAACAAATAAGATTCCATGTGTTTAAACATATTTCACAAAACAGAGAACAAGTTTTTTCTAAAGAGTTTACTCTTTTTTTTTATTTTGTATCGTAAATGTCGATACTGACTTGTAGTCATGGAACCTAGACTTGTTGATTAAAAAGTAAATTAAAAAGTAAAAGTAAATTAAAATAAAAAATAAAAGTAAATTAAAAATTTACTGTAACTACCACCTTTGCGTTGTTTGTCATTCCAACTTTACTATTTAAATAATTAAAATTAACTAAAGAAAGCAATTTGTAAGGTATTTTATACCTTATTGACTAATTTGGATTCAAGATGTCATCTTATTGCAATTCCAAGAAGGTCAGGTTTATCACGACTTCTGTATAATAAATAAACATACCCATATCTATAACGTCAGATAGATAAATAGATAATTTATTTACATTACTTACAGCACACAAATTACAATACAAACATACACATAATACACAGTAAAAGAGATAAAAGAATGAAAATAAAAAAAGCAACAAAAAAAAAACAAAAACCTTATAATATAAAAACAAACAAATTCCTTTCTTTCCTTTCCTTCATGCGTGTGCTATAATAACACAAAATGGTCACAGCTCAGTTTATTGCTTTGCCCTCAAAAGAGCAAAACACTGATATTCTGTTGTGGCCATCAATATGTTTTATGTATTTCAGATGACTGGTTGTATTTGTAAATATTTCACTGAACTATGTGTTATATGCGGTCATCCATATCACTGGTTATTTGTTTAGAATTATTTTGTTTAATTCTGCTACCATTAGTATGTGTGTGACTAGCAACACTTGAAGATTGGCCACCACTGTTACTACCAGAAGTTCTACAACCTTCCATATTGGCCATTAATCTCCTACTGCCATTTTGTTAACGCACGTTTTGCGGCTCATGTCTCACCTCTAAACGAGGCATCTTCAGGCAAATTATTAGAATGTGTATGTAAAATTTTTGTTCATTTACATTACTAGATTATATATTCGAGACAGTTTATGTAGAAAGTATGCAAGCGGGTTGTATCTGAATTTGGTAGGGTTAAACGGCCGTATAATATTTTCTATACACTAGCCTGCTATGAATTGAGAGAAATAGCAACTGATGGTATATCTTTCGTCCTCTTTTTACTATTTATATTTACATAAGAAGAAAGGAGGCAACCATATGATTTACAGTTTTTATTTTATCATTCCTTTAATGTAATTCTTTGTTCTTTGATATAGGCAGAAACAATGGAACACCAAATGCTTCGATTCAAACAAGCCTCTTTCGCTTCCTCCACATTCATCAATCTTTTCATACACGCTCACTGGTTACAAGTACTTTTAATTCCCTTCTTCAGCACGTTACCAATTTGGTCGACATACGTTTTTCAAGGGTAGACTATACCGACGTCTCCATTCATTCGTGCTTGATAAATCTCTTTTGTAATTCTTTTTTCATCCATCCTCTCCAAATGGCCGAACCAACGCAACAATCCCTATTCGATTTTTGTCACTATATCGTCTTTCATTCATTACTTCTCTTTAATTACACTACTTTTATAGTAATACCTCTACAGCATTTATCTTTCATGCTTTTTCTGCCATACTTTTATTTAGTTGTCAGTACTCCCTGAACTATGGCAAGGTGAGTTTCGCTCGATACATATTTATTTGCTTTCAATATCGAGAGAAAATAAAAAATGACAAAATAATCTTTATTAAAAAGTTACAAAAATATCTACGTAAACATGTATCTATTTAGGTACGTATTGAGATTGGTAGCTAGCCAATGAATTAACGAAATATCTCTACCAACTAAGTATAAAAGAACTTTCTGTTTTGGCATCACACGGAAGAACGGAAATTATTCATGGACAGGATGATATTGTGCAAAAAACTACTGCGTAGAATAGTGACTACTTACTCTGTGTTACTGCGCGCAATTTATTTGTTTTTTTTTTTATAAGTGTAGAATTTGACGTACCTGCATAATATAGACTTGCCATCTATTTTTTTATTTTACGTAAATGAATTTATTTATTTAATAATCAAAATTATACAAGTTTAACATTATAAATACAAACTGTTTAGTTTAATTTGTCGGTGCACGGGCTTTTTAATGACCATATAACTTTAGACATATTCCTGAGTCCTCAGGATAGGCAACGAATGGGGGGTGTCATGGACGAAACAGTATACTGTGTTATGTACATGGTACTACTCATACATAAGTGACGGTTACCACTTTCCATTAGGTGGGCCGTCAGTTGTTTGCTATTCTAAGTTGCATAAAAAAAAGACAGTAAATACATTTAAATAAATACATATAATGTTAACAGAGATTTAAAAGAGTAACTGTTGAGTTTCTTCTTAGCAGATAACAACTTTCCGAGATTGCCTGTTATGAATTGAGAAAAATAACAACTGATGGTGTATCTTTCGTCCTCTTTTTACTAATTATATTTGCATAAGAAGAAAGGAGGCAATCATATGATTTACAATTTTTATTTTGTCATTCCTTCTATGTAATTCCTTGTTTCTAGGTAACAAATCAGTTAGTAACATCATTAGGTACCTATCCGTCTGAATATCTATTATTTCTTAATCTCAATCACTGTCAACTATCCATTGTCTATGACCCGTGTCAGATAAGGAATACGTGTTTAATAACATATCAGTATCATGCACTTGAAACGAGATAAACAAAAAAATAGACAATAGCTACTTCAAAATCTATTTTATAGATTATAGATAGATATAATATACATAATGTGTCATTGGAACGATATCACGTATTTATTATAAGTATGTAGAGGTATATTCCTGCACTTTTTCTTGATAAATGATAAAGTCTTTGTTGATGATTTTTTCTGATGAGCCGCCTCTGACGACACGATGAAAAGAAAGGATAACCTATACTATGTAACCATATGTGCATGAAACAATATGGCATATTAAAATGTATTAATATTTAACACAGCTTGATATTGATATTGTTGTGAATACGCGCAGTCGACTCGCTTGATAAATACAAATAATGGGGTCGATTTACATATTTTTTCTTCTTTAATGGAGTCAACGTATTTCTAAAACAAAAAAAAAACACTCATTTTATTTATTAAATAATATGTCAAGATACATTTAAAGCGTACTGATAAAAAAAAAAAAGAGTCAGCTAATTGTCAAGTTTGCTGACTGAAAGTTGACCCGTTTTTGAGGTCTGATTCTCTATCTATGTAATCTAAGATCCACACATACAGTACTACGATTTTTTTTTCAATCCATCAAGATGTCTTCCATTATAGGATAAACAGAGAAAACGTGACTACAGGATAACCTCTGTACAGATAATAAACGTGAATTAATTAATTTAAATGACAGGCAACGTCACTGTTTCAATTCAAATAATATATCAATAAATTAATCATTACTAAATACATTTTGTTATCTGTGTTCAGTTACCGGAGTGAAAAGTTATTAGGGTTGTCAAATTTGGTATCATTGTCTTCGCATCAACCTTTAACTGTCTACTTTTTAATATAATTCTTCTCCATAAGAGATGTTTCGCCAGTAGTCGTCACGATTGACAGGTGGAGTCATAACCGCGGTTAGACTTTAGTGATGTTTTAAGAGGTACGCTGCTGCCCATCCATCGACTATTCAGTTCTCTTGGTCGCCTCTTACGACACCTATGGGAAAAAAAGAGATGGCCTATTCTGTGCTGGAACCACACGGCGGTTTTGTATATTATTTATATTTAAAGTTACGATTTTTTTTTATTTAATTATTTTAGTACATGAAATTTATTCTAGGAAAATATAATAGACCTTAGATTATATAGATAGTGTCTCCATACAAATGCTTCGAGAAAAGCGGGTAAATGTGACAATTAGCTGAGAAAAAGTTGATTTTTGAGAGTCGATGCTCTATCTATGTAATTAAAAGGTAATTATATAGACAAAATAAAAATCTTTTACGCACTTTAATATATTCTGAAAACGTAATTGCTGAAATAATCCTGACCTATTTCATAAAAGTGAAAATGTATTTATTCTTTTGGAGCCTTAGTAGCTCAATTAATCGTCATAAAATTTTAGTATACATGTACTATTTGGTACAGAAAAGAAAATAAGTTACTATTTATGTCGGTTAAGCCACGAGTAAAAGTTAGTATACAATATTTTATAGAACATGTGACAACCCTAGCTTCTATTGTAATATAATTAGCGACCTACAAAACCAAAATAGATTAAATAAACAAAACACATATATTCAATTCTATTATAAAGAACAATAAAGTTTATTTTATAACCGATTTATAAAAGAAGGGCTTTCTCACATTTCGGTTGTATTTTTTTGTTTTTTTTTTTTTTTTTGTGGTTAATACCTTTTTTTTATGCGTGACAATGGCATGGTTACCCCGCCTGCGCTATCGGTATACACTAGCGGGGTACCAGTGAGGGATGATTGGCGAGGAGGAAAAGGCAAAGGGCAAAAAAAAAAGGAAAAGGCGGAATGTAACAATAAATCAATCACGATGGTTTCTAGGGAGAACCACGAGGAGGTCGACCTGACAGAGTACATTGCTAGCAATGGGACTGCTAATCCTAATTATTAACAATCCCTCCCCCACCTCCATTTTTTATATTTGTTACCTCATAATTCCGACAATTGTGAACTGATTTGAAAAAATTTTTACTTTATTTTAGTACGTAAGTACTAAATTTAATTGGTCACATAGATATTTTATCAGAATCGACTTAGTAATTCAAGTTTTTAAATTAAAATAAATGGTTTTGCCACAATTGAAGTCGGTTTTTATGGAATTCAATTGATGGACTTCATTTTATTCGCCGCCATTGTTGTAACACGTGTTTGCAATGTGTCATTATGTGATTAAAAACATAACGTGTCTAACTACTCGAATAGGCAATGTTTACGTACATAAAAAGATGCGTAGGGCACATTAATTAGATTAGCAGTATGCTGTAAACTGAAGATCAATTTATTGTTATGAATGCTAGGTTTATTGTAAATTTTCCATTAATTTGCGGAAACATAGATAAATAAATAGATCTAAATAGCTATTAGTGTCTATACCCCATTTACTTTTTCTAACTTTGCAATTTAAAATGGCTGTGAATTCGATGATCTACCTGATGGAAAGTGGTAACCCTATGTAGAAGGTGATCAATTTCGAAACTTAAAAAGTCCCGCCAAAATGGCATATCTATTTATATTTAATTTATTTTATTGGTTATACCCAAAAAATAACCTACTTTTTTAAACATAAATTGAAATGCCACGTGTAGAATTGCATGCCGGGTGATTTTTTTTTTAATTGGAATTTAACACGTCTCTTAAACAAAAACAGAAAAAGTTTGAACAATATCCGGGCGTATCTAGAACGGATGATAACCCTACTATACAGTTTAGGGTTAGAATAAAAGCACAGCATAGACACAGAATACCTGTATTTATATATTCTTCTATGTAATTCATTGTTCTTAGGATTATACAATATCCATAAACAAGTAAGTGTTATTTAGTCGTAAGAAGATAAAGAAAGTAATGATAATAAATATCTTGTCGACTTTACGTTCCGTTACAGTCTTATAAAATTGGCGCCAAAATTCACTACGCTATAAATAGGTAACAAAATAATTGCGCAGCGAAACAAAATAAATGTCAATTGTTCGGCAAACAAATAGCCAATGACCTCGGTGTGGTAAATAAGATATTTAAGTAGGTATTGAAACGTTAAAAACGTAACATTTAGGTGTACATCGTTAGTGGTATATTTAGGATTATTTTCTAAGGGGATCTGGCTCCTTAAAAGAGACCCGTTTTTTTTATTGATAATAATAAATTAGTAACTCCTTTACGCTATTGGTATACGTTGGCGTGACACTAATTAGGAATGATAGGTGAGGATGAAGTCGTGAAAAATTATTAGAAATGTCTACGATGATTTACAGAAGATTACGTGAAGGTATACTTGACAAAGAGATGTGTTGTCAATATCAAATTAATGTTGGCGATCGAGGTCGAGGCGACAGGGGACAAAGTCCTAAGAACATATTGTACGTAATGTTTTTTAATGAAGTTACATGATATATGGCTCAAAAGACATATTGAGGAAAGGGATTGTTAGTAACGCCGTCTAAAATCCCTATTGCTAACAACATACTCTATCAGGTCGACCTCCGCGCGGTTCCCCCTGGAAACCATCAGGATTAATTTTGGAACCCCGTCGACGTATACCAATAACGTAGGTAGGGTTATTATTTCATCATCATCATCATCCATTAAAAAAGACCCCTGGAAAATAATCTTTGATATAAGCCAATTGTCATAAACAAATCATCGAGAATTAATCACGATTAATAAAAATGTAAAATGTAAATGTCTGTAACTTGTCAATTTCTATAATAGATAGATATTTTTGAAAAATAAAGTCTACGGATGCTATACTTAATCTATGCATAACATTTATATTGAAATTGTAAGTACTACTTAATCTATGTCATTAAAAAATTATGAAATAAATTTCCTAATAATAATATCAAACTATAACTGTCACTAATACCAAATTCCTTACCTTTCCTTTTTGATATCTCGTCTCGTTTCGTTGTTCGTTAGTGGCATAATGGGCAACATCAGCCCTTTGTCATATTAAAAAAAAAGGAATTCTGTGTTATAAAAATCCTAAACCAATCCTTAATTTATCTAGTATGTTGGCGAAACTGATAATTTAAAAATCCTGTCTGCGTTTACTAATGCGTAATTTGAAATAATTCTAATTTCAAATTTTCTTTCTCCAAGGCACCGTAAACCCGGTCAACATTCCAAAAGAATGGATCACAATGCAACGCCCGTGCCGCGACAGCATGCGACGACAAATACAAATGGAAGTTGCCGCTTCGCTCCAATATTTGGCTATGGGCGCGCACTTCTCTAAGGACACTGTGAGTAGTTTCAATTCGGTATATCCAATTTTCGCCGTGTAATCCCGGCGTAGAAAGGGCCTTCCCTTCCTTTCCAGTGGGTGTCATAAGAGACGACTTAGAGAACTTAAATGGCGAGAAATGGGCAGTAGCGTTCTTTATAAACATTACCAAAGTCTAACTGCGATTGCTAACCTGCTTGCCAAGAGTGAAAACTATTAGCAAAACCCTCCTTTAGGGAGGAGGTTTATCTTCAACAGTGGACAGTCAACGGCTGATATAATGATGATAGTTACTGGGTACAGAGGAATAACTCCAGAGTCCTCAGGAATGGCAACGCATGGGGGGTATCATGGGCGAAACAGTATACTCTGTTATGTCCACGGTACTGCTCATGTCTATAGGCGACGGTTACCACTTTCCATCAGGTGGGCCGTCAGCTTGTTTGCCATTCTAAGTTGTATGAAAAAAATCTGAATTTTCTAGCCAATTGCCAATTTTTTATCAATTTTCACCATACGTAGATCAACCGTCCCGGCTTTGCGAAACTGTTCTTCGACGCTGGATCCGAGGAGCGCGGGCACGCGATGAAGCTGATCGAATACCTGCTGATGAGGGGAGAGCTCACCTCTGACGTCACCTCGCTCATTCAAATCAGGGTACGTTGCTAGTATTAAATGTTTGCCTCTTTGTAAATGTCTTTAGTGAAATTAAATCTATTTTAACATATGTAAACAATATCAATCGCTGTCTGAACCTTGGCATAGAATGAGCCAGCCCTTCCGTTCTCCCGTGGGTGTCGTAAGAGGCGACTATGGGAAGGCGAGGGATGAGTAACAGCGTCCCTCTTAAAACATCTCTAAAGACTGTGGTTGCCAACCCATCTGCCAAGCGTGGCAACTATGGGCTAAACTCCCCTTATGGGGAAGGCTTATGTACAGCAATGGACAGATAATGCCTGAAATAATAATAAAATAAAAAAGAAACCGATAATTTGTGGTCAAACTCTTGATAATGCTGATATCTATTAGTAACTTGCTTACAAATTTATTATAAACCAAGATTTTGTGTTTGTATGAGTGGCTCAGAATATTTTTGATCTGTTTCTATTAATACCTACTTCTTTGGAAAGCGTTCAATTGTATTGATAAAATACTTTCTTAAAAGTGGCATTTCCTTAAACTGTAACAATGGTCTCGTGCTAGTTGGAATATATCCTCAACATACTATTTTTTAATAAAGGATTGACTTCATAGCCAAAATTGCAGGCATATTTAAGACGGGTTTCGGTGTTCCTTGTGTTCACCAGAATCGTATAGTGTTCGATCGAGAATCAACTTTTTTTTTTATTTTTTGTTTTTTTGACAAAGAACACAAAGTTACAAAAACAAGATACAATGGGCCGCACACTAGGCGAGCCTGTATCGTGGGCACCCGACAAAGATTAACAAATCACAAATGTGTTGTTATAAAAAGTACATAGTGGGCGGGTGTTAATATAAAAAGGAATAGAAAATTGAAATAGTGAAAAAAGTAATAAAATCAACAATAACAATACTCGAGCAATTATAAAACACTAATAATGTATGCCTTTAAAAGAAGCAGAATGCGAGTAAAGCTTCGTCAAGACATGTTTGAGAGTACACTTATGTCTTACTTCCGTGGCTAGGCTCCCCCTGGAAAATAACCATAAATATGCCAAAGTCCATAATTGGATATTGGATATTAATTGGATATTAATAATACACATTTCATTGGCAGCCGCCAGAACGCAAATCATGGAGCAGCGGCGTGGAGGCGCTCGAGCACGCGGTGAAAATGGAGAGTGACGTCACAAAGAGTATCCGCACCGTCATCTCGGAGTGCGAGAGCGACCCCAACTTCAACGATTACCATGTAAGTATCAGTACGTAACCTACGTATTCCGGGGGGCGGGGAGGGATTGTTAGCAATGGGGTTTGACAGCCCCATTGCTAGCAATATGCCCTATTAGGTCGACGTCCACGTGCTTCTCCCTGGAAACCATCGTGAACAATTCTTGTTGAATTTTTCACGATGGGCTAACTGTCTTCATTCTCACCTATCATCCCCCACTGGTGCCTCGCTAGTGTATACCGATAGCAAACAGTATTTCTTTATCATCCATTAAAAAATAAAATTACGTATTTCTATTTGCTAAGTTTACTACTTAATTAAATTAAGTTATTCTAACATTTTACATTTAAACTCCTAAATCAGTTACAATACATCAATTAATTAAAGTTAATATAAAATTCCTTAAATACTAATACTAATTGTAAGTAATCTATAATAATGGTGGGACACCGCACCACACCGAGGCAGCGTGCCCAAGATACTGGCAGCATTACCTCTTTGGATTGCCAAACTTATCTTTTGGGCAAAGTAGCTACCAGTTCTCGCTGCGATCGTCCGATAAAAATTCTTCGCATCTGGGCACCACGGGCCCATCGTAAATTGTAAATTATAAATCATTATAAATCCAGTTATAGTAAAATTAAACAAAAAAAAAAATTGAATGTAGGAATCATAAAGAGAGAGAAAGAAATCCTACTACCTCTCACTTTAGTACTATTTTCCTGTGTTCTCTCTTCGTTTTCCTTCGTCATTTTTTTCCTGTTGTATGTGTGCTGTTATGTATATATTTAATTGTGTATATATTATATATGTATGTACATACATATATGTATGTATGTATATATGTTTGTATATGATAATATTTATACAATAGTGCGCCACCTACCCTTTGTCTTTTTCTCAATGTCCTCTACCCAAAGGTTGTCTGGAAGAGATTGCTTAGCGATAAGGCCGCCTTTTGTATCACATCTCATTAATATTTACTGTATTTGTTATTTCTCTTTTTACTTGGTGCAATAAAGTGTAAAATAAATAAATAAATAAATAAATCATAAAGAGTAACTCTGTCTTGCCATCACAATGACAACCATAACACATTTCACTGATGGTCGTTGGTTTCTCCTATAAGAGAAAGGTTGGCACGTGGCTAGCAAATTATACAAAAGAAATAAATGGTATGAATTATTCGGGAATTAAAAACGATGGTCAAGGAAAGGCGACGTAGAGGTAAATCCTTTCATTGGTCCAAGATCATGGCAAGATATAACAGAATAAATGTTTAGAAATCTAGAAATATAAATTCAAATTGAAAAATCATTCGAATAGTTTTGTAGTTTTAAAACTACGAACACTTTTAAATAGTTTTTTTTTTTTTTTAAGAACGCATCTTTATAACTTAAAGGCCTGTATAAAACCAAAAGTGGTCATTTCGAATAGAGACTTTAATAAATATGTAGGTATAAATTTTAGTAATAATACATTACTTTATTAAAAAAAAAAAAAAATTGTCATTTGTAACAGAACTTATAGTTGGACTAGGTATAACTGACTATTTTTTTTTTTATTGGATGAAAATGGTATGGTAACCTCGCCTGCGCTAACGGGATACGCTGGCGGAGCACCAGTGAAGGGTGATAGATGAGAATGAAAACAGGCCAGTTAGCCCATCATGATGAATTCATCAGGAATTAACCATGATAGTTTCCAGGGGGAACCGCGAGGAGGTCGACCTGGTTGGGTATATTGCTAGCAATGGGATTCTCAGTCTCCATTACTAACTATCCCTTTCCCCCCCTATAACTGACTATTATTAATCAAATAATAAACTTGTTTTCCAAAGTAGGTGTCGACTTCTCAACTATCTTATCTATTTATTTCACTACGAGGTCACGATATAAATAAACTATCAACACTTCACTTTTCGTGTTAGGTATTTATTTTACCGATATGTAAATACCTCAATGAGTCATAAATATGTATTGCGTGTCCCGAATTTTAGTTTCGGATTTATATATGAAAATTTTATTTGTTGTACATTGGGAAATGGCCTCTTTGGAGTCCCAAAATAAACGAATGAAAATTATATTATTACTAGCCTGACTCGGTAAACGTTGTTTTACCATATAAATTATTTCTAGAACTATACATGAAAATTTATCGTACTACAATTATTATATTCGATCGCCATCTTGCAACCCTATTGCGGAATATAAAAATAGCGATTAAACAACAGGGGTTGATCGTGAAAGCGTGAAATTTTTAATTTGTATTTATATTTCAATGCTAAATCATAATAAAATAAAAATAAAATTGTCAAAAAAATAAAAAATATTAGTGGGTCATCCTTATCATTGAGGGGTATGAAAAATAGATGTTGGCCGATTCTCAGACCTACCCGATATGCACACAAAATTTCATAAAAATCGGTAAAGACGTTTCGGAGGAGTTTGCTAACAAACACCGTGACACGAGAATTTTATATTTTAGATTTTTAATGAAAGGTACAAATTCATAAAATATATGTATCTAAAGTTGTAATACAAAAATATAAGATAAGGGGGCACCAGTGGGAGGCCTTATCTCATCTAATGACATATATTTCTTAAATATAGAAGTACTTTAATAGTAACTACTCTACAATCAAAGGATACCAGAGGGAGACTTTGTACAAAAGTCGTTTGCTTGCGTACCTCTATCCCATTCGTGTTTCTACCGTGAAGCAGTTGTGTTTGCATGGCTGTGTTTCGGTTTGAAGGGTGGGATATGGCGTGAATTTACTGGGTACAGAGGAATAACACCTGAGTCCTCAGGAATGGCAACGCATGGGGGGTATCATGGGCGAAACAGTATACTCTGTTATGTCCACGGTACTGCTCATGTGTATAGGCGACGGTTATTTTGCCATTCTAAGTTGTATAAAAAAAAAAACATTTTCATTTTTTTATTATCACACCAGTCGGTCGGTACACGGTTTTATTTCTAGTTTTCCTATGTTCGAGTATTTATGTATTGTTTCCTTAGTCACGTCTCTTGGTAATGAATAAAAACGATGACTCATTTATATTGTTTTGTTGTCACCACACAAAGAACGCACTTTTAAACGTGACTTGGCCAAGACATGAAACGGAGAATCACTAAATTTTGTATCATTTCCCTTGCATTCGACAACTTTGTGGGTTTTTTTTTTCTATATTTTATTGATTTATATCAAACAAACCGGATGTAATGTTAACTGTGTTGCCATATCAAACATTTACTACTTGTACTACATATTTAGTACCTTATTGTTTAGATTTTTTTTCCCGTAAAATATGCTAAATGGCTCTTAAGACTTTTTGCTTTTACATATCTGTCACGCCTGTCTCCCATTAGGGTAGGCAGAAACAATGGAACGCCAAATGCTTCGATTCGAACAAACCTCTTTCGCTTCTTCCACATTCATCAATCTTTTCATACACGCTCGCCGGTTACGGGTACTTTTAATTTACTTATCATTTTACTTTTTACAGCGTTAATATGTAGGTATATTGAATATTTATAAACATTAATATATTTTTTGCAGCTTGTCGACTACTTGACTGGTGAATTCTTGGAAGAACAATACAAGGGACAACGCGACCTTGCCGGCAAGGCTTCCACGCTCAAGAAGATGATGGACCGTCACGCTTCTCTCGGCGAATTCATCTTCGACAAGAAACTCCTTGGTATCGACGTGTAAATACTCAGCGCCGTGCCATATAGCCTTGCAATATAGTTATAAACATATTATATTTTAAAACGGTACAAATTATCCCGCGCATTTTGACTTTAGTTTGTTTCATTTCGCGCGCCAATTGGTAAATGTAAAAATTTGCTTCTCCTTGTAAACTCCTGTAAACAAAATAATTCCTTTGAATGTCTATGTAAAGTCACATTTGTACAAAATATTGTACTAAACTGCTATAATCTTATTTAAATGTAATATCCATTTAGATTTTCAACTAGAAATTGTACAAAATGTAGTGTAAGATTAATTATGTTATATATTCTTTTAAAGCCTGTTTTAGCAGTCAATTAAAGTAATCTAGAACGCGTCGAATTCTTAGGTTGGTACTATTGGCTGTCAAAATTGGCGCCAAATATCACAATACTTCGTCTTAAAATTACGTGATTCAAATATTGTAGAATTTGAAAACAACTTAGTTATCAGCAGTCGAATAAATATGTTTGTTAATATTCCTATAATAAATAAAGTTTAGTCATTCATACGAAGTTTTTTTTTGTCATTCTTTTACTACACGAAAGAGTCGGATACTTGACGGCAAGAAATGTAAGTTTTTTTTTTATGGATGACAATGGAATGGTAACCCCACCCGCGCTATCGGTATACACCGGCGGGACACCAGTGAAGGATAATAGGTGAGGATGAAGCAGGTCAGTTAGCCCATCGTGACTAATTCAACAAGAATTGTTCACGATGGTTTCCAGGGGAAACCACGTGGAGGTCGACCCAATAAGGCATAATGCTAGTAATGGGGCTGTCAAACCCCATTGCTAACAATCCCTTTCCCCCAGAAATGTAAGTTAGATTTGTTGCCATCAAGTACCAATACCGTAATGGCTAATTACTTCATTATCCATTACTATATTGCCCATATCGGTCGTATATCTATTTTTGAACATGTTAAATATCAGTTATCCAATATTCTTTTTTGGATGACAGACTTTTAACATATTCGTTATTGGATCAGTATATATATGTAGATATTGTAACAAAAAAAAAACATATTTAGAACTAACAAAATTTTTCATCGTGCCTCCCACCAAACTGTTTATAATTACTCCTCTCCATCCAAAGGTTGCCTGGAAGAGATCGCTCTTAGCGATAAGGTCACCCATTGTTTTCTCATTGTGATTATTTCTTGTAATTATTTATATTTATAATAATTTTACTATTGTAATCTTTTGGAAACAATAGAGAGTATCTATCTATCTATCTATCTATATCTAAAATTCGAAAGGTTATATAAAAAAAATACATCAAAAATGTCAGACACTTGTCAACAATAAAAAAGAAAGAAATGTCACTGTCAAATCATGGACTATTGATAACGGCTGCATTGTAACACCTTTTTATATAAAAAATAATACATAGTTCTTTCAAATCAAGATTTATTATCACTTAAAATATACACAAATTTATTCCGAATCACTCGACTCTGAGTGGGCGTCGCCTACTTCCACGTTGAACTTGTACTCCTGGTCGGCCCCGAGGTACGCGTCCGACATGAAGTACAGCGTGTACGTGTGCCGGCCAGGACTGCCGCACACGAAGTCCAGCCGCACCTTAGCGGTCCGAGCGAGGGACACCCGCTTGATTGAGAGGAGGGTGTTCGTTTTGGGGTCACCGATCACCACCCACCAGCCTTCTTCGCGTTTCTGGATAGCGGAAACAATTATATTATTTGGAATGGCAAATGGAAGACATTGTCGGCTCAAAATTATGGGAAATCATTTTCATGGCTATGTTTCGGTTTGAAGAGTGGGAAATGGCAGTGAATTTACAGGGTACAGAGGAATAACACCTGAGTCCTCAGGAATGGCGACGCATGGGGGTGTCATGGGCGAAATGGTATACTCTGTTATGTCCATGCTACTGCTCATGTCTATAGGCGACGGTTACCACTTTCCATCAGGTGGGCTGTCAGCTTGTTTGCCATTCTAAGTTGTATAAGACTTCATGGTTGATTTCATCACGATGTGCCAACTAGCCTGCTCTCATCCCCACCTGCCATCCACGTAGTGAGGACTAGTACCCCGCCAGTGTATACCGTTAGCGCAGGCGGTATTACCGCTCAATTATGTTCTATTAAAAAATACCTGAGGGAAGAACGGCGCGATGACTGGCCCTACGATGTCATCCTCTCTCTCCAGGGACACCTCCACCACGATCGGCTTGCCGGCGCTCAGTCGCCGCTCGTTCTTAACCTGCGTAGATAATAAAAACTATTAAATCATTTTTAAATTAATTACGTGGATTGCACGTGTTCGCAATTAACATCTGTCTTGCCGTGACCAGTATATGGAAACGTCGCCAAGTATGACGAAAAATAGTGTCCTACAAAAAAACTGACTTCAATATTGTCTGTAAGAGATTGCTTCTAGCGATAAGGCCTCCTTTTGTATATACACATTCTGTATAAATACTCCTTGTATATTCTTCATTCCATTTTATATTTTATATATATAAATATTCTTTGTGTTGTTTCTTTATTATAATTCTTAATATATGGATTTTTTTTAACCCCTGTGTGGGTGTCGTCGCATATTTCTTGTAAAATAAAGTTTCTTTCTTTCTTTCCTTGTATACATCACATTGAATAAATATGTACAGTATATGCACAGTAGTGCATATACTGTACATATTTATTCAATAAAGAGTTTATTATTATTATTATATTTAATTATTTTTATTTAAAAACTAAACTCGATTTAATAGTTTAGTTTTAATTTTCATTAAATTCTCTAAGTTAATCTGTAAACATAATTTTCATTGCTTCAACCGTTAACTGTCCACTGCTGTACATAAGCCTCCCTCATAAGGGGAGTTTTGCCAGTAGTTGCCACGCTTAGCAGGCGGGCTGACAATCATAGATAGGTTTTTTTATATACCACTGAGGTGGCAAACAAGCATACGGCTCACCTGATGGAAAGTGGTTACCGTAGCCTATGAACACCTGCAATACCAGAGGTATTACGCGCGCGTTGCCGACCCTGAAGAAACCTCTTCACCCCCCTTTTGAAGAACCCCATGCTGTAGTCTCTTGGGAAAACCTCAGCAGGGAGCTCATTCCACAACCTGAGTGTTCGTGGGAAAAAACATCTCTGAAACTGCGCAGTACGCGACCATTGAGGCTGTAGGACATGAGGGTGAACTCCCTGTCGATGGCGAGCCGTACGATGGTAGAAAGTGGTTTTGGGCATCATATTGAACAATTCCTCTGAGCACAATCCATTGTACAGGCGGTAGAACACGCAGAGTGAGGCAAAATCTCTCCTAAGACTTAAGGGTTCGATACCGCTTGTGAGCCTGGGATCATCGACAATTCTCATAGCTCGTCGTTGCAATGAGTCGAAAGATTTTTAGAAATTTTCAAGAGAGACTAATTCACGCCTTATCGGCACAAAAGCACAGCGGGGTTACCACATAATTTTGCATCAATAAAGAAAAAACCACTGACCTCATATGACAGTTCCACGTTGGGGTATCTGTTGCAGAAGCGCGCCACGTCCGCCATCTCGGTGGCGGACAGCTGCAGTAGTTTGGCGCGGGCATTGTCCTCCAGCTCCATCACGTCGAACACAGTCTCCACGTTCTGGAATAACAGAGATATTTACACATAAAAATAGATAGATGGATACTCTCTATTGTTCCCTCCATAAGATTACAATAGTAAACTTATTATAGATACAAACAATTACAAGAAATGATCACAGTGAGACAACAATGGGCGGTCTTATCGTTAAGAGCGAAATAGATATGTCCACATCGACAAAGACTTTTTAGGCGACATATGTGAGGCCGCAGTAAAGTGTGCAAATCACAACTACCTCCGTAAGACCGTATACGTTCCACCTATTATTTCTGCACTATGTATTGGTAGTATATGGGAAACGGTAGTCAAGTCTGCCATAAGTCACCAGAGGGAGACTTTGTACAAAAATCATTTGCTTGGGCACCTCTGTCTGTCTGTGTTTCTACCGTGAAGCAGTTGTTTGCATGGCTGTGTTTCGGTTTCGGAGGACCACCACTCATCCAGATGGTTGGGATGTGGCTTCAGTTTGTGACAGGTTGTTCAGTGAGAATCAGCAGGGGCTATCAATCCGAACAATTCCTCCAAGCGCTCCCCATGATATATTGCACCTACCTTCTCGGCGCAACGCTGCACCAGCTCGGGCGTGAAGTGCGGCAGCTGGCGCAGGTACGAGTCCTTGGCCCACATGGCCTGCGTCACCATCTGCGCGAGCTCCATGGCCGCCACGGCTGGAGACAGCCACCCGCTGCTCGACACCACGTCCACGCACGCCTGGATCAGACGGATCGCCTACGGGGCCGTACAAGTAATTTATAGTAAGTACAATTTTTGTAATCTAATATTATTATTAAAATTGTATTAAAAAAATAGACTTAAACGGTGACAAAACCAGTTATTTTAATTTCGAAATTTAACCACTAAACTGATTTTGATAGGATTTCTAGTCTCGAGATCACGGGCGGCGGTAGTCACTTACCATCAGGTGAGCCGCATGCTCGTTTGCCCCGTTTAAAACAAAACTCCGCCCGCACTAACGGGGCAATAGTGAGGGATAAAAAGGTAGGCCAGTTCTTTTTGATGGGTGAAAATGGTATGGTAACCCCGCCTGCGCTAACGGGATACGCTGGCGGAGCACCAGTGAAGGGTGATAGATGAGAATGAAGACAGGCCAGTTAGCCCATCATGATGAATTCACCAGGAATTAACCATGATAGTTTCCAGGGGGAACCGCGAGGAGGACGACCTGGTTGGGTATATTGCTAGCAATGGGATTCTCAGTCTCCATTACTAACAATCCCCTTCCCACCAAGGTAGGCCAGTTAACCCATTGTGATGATCACGGCCAAGACGGCCCGTATGGAGGTCGACCTTACGTCTTACTTTAGTCCCATTGCTAGCAATATACCCTACATTGCTAACAATGGGACTGATAATCCGCATGACTAACAATCCCTCCCCCCCCCCAACTATGTATATTAAGCTTAGTGAACCCTACCTTTGTGAGTACAATGGCGGTGTCGGCCTGCAATTCTGCGGGCAGTTGCATGCGCGACAAATGCGCCTGAAGTAGCACGTGTGCCTTCACGTGCGGCTCGTTGTACTTCACCGTGCCGCCAGAGGGCGCCGTCGGCTTGTGCGGCACTCTGTGCATGACGGAAATTTATTTTTATATACATATATTATATATCGTCTACCTAAAGGTTGTCTGAAAGAACGCCGAAGCGATAAGACCATCTTTTGTATATTTTATACACATATGCACGCACGCACGCACGCACGCACCCACCACGCACGCACACGCACACGCACACGCTCACGCTCACGCTCACGCACACGCACACGCACACGCATCGCACACGCACACGCTCACGCACACGCACACGCACACGCTCACGCACACGCACACGCTCACGCACACGCACACGCACACGCTCACGCACACGCACACGCACACGCACACGCACACGCACACGCACACGCACACACACACACACACACACACACGCATACGCAGACGTAGGCGCACACTTGTGTACTTACTTGGCGGCGAGTGCTTTGATGATGTTCTCCTCCCGGTGCCTGATGCAGAGGTCCGAGTACTCCGCGGCCGAGGATATGATCTCGAGCAGACCGCGGATCTTGGTCTTGTTTGTGAGTGAGAGGCTGAACAGTTCTGGCAAAGAAATATATATATATGTTAAGAGGCCTTCCAAATACCTTGATCATCATTATACCCACCATTAACTGTCGACTGATGTACATAGGTTTCCCCCATAAGGATGAGTTTTGCTAGTAGTTGCCGCGCTTGGCGAGCGAGCAGCGATCTATTAATTTGCCTAAAGATGCCTAGCTTAGAGGTCAAATATGTGTCGCAAAACGTGCGTGGACTGAATGGCGGTCGGAAATTGATAGCTAATATAATATAATACTAGTCTAATGGCAGCGGAATTAAACAAAATAATTCTAAACAAATAACAAGTTCAATAAAAAAAAATCAGTTTAAATGAAGCTATTATTATATTATATTTTTTAATAAATTTTTCTCTCTTAAGGAGAGGAGATGGCTAACTAACCCCCGGCAGTAGCACAGTCGGTTGGGGTTCAGGCCCCCAGGGAGAGAAACCGGCGTACAGTGCGGGCAGAATCTAAGAGCACCGCTCTCTGCATCTTTTCCGAGAGTGAGCCGCCTCGGAATCCCAACCGTCTGAGATGTTGTTCCAGACTGGTTGGGACAAGACTGTTCACTATATTTCGGTCACCTCGTAAGCCAAGTCGAGATAATTATTTCCTCTTCTTCTCGGTTTTGGCTTTCACGAGATTCACGTCATGTTCGATATGGTAACATCCACTAGGAATACTATTATTATTGTAAATTTTTATTGTCTCGTTTTGAGTCAAAGAATAAGTGGTCACGTTAGTGATGGCCTTTCTTTCGTCATGGTTGTCCAAAAGAACCCAATATATAGATATTGGAACGGTACCAATACCACTCGTGCCTAAACGAATAATTTTAAGTAATAATTGTAATATGGTATTTTTCTCAAACATGCTTGGAAATGTGAGCATAATTTTGACAATCTTCTTCGCGATAAATCAAAATTGCCGTACTGGCCAGATTCATGCGGGCAGAGGCCGGCAAAAGTTGTATGAAAATCCATATCTGTCGTGTTTTGCGGCCAGATAAATTACTATGTAAACTCATATCTGTCGTGTAATTTAAAAATGGAATGACCTTTTACTTTAAAACATGGCTACCAAGGAGGTAACTAATAAAAGATTTTATTTAAATTTCGAACTGGCTTGCAAATAGAAAGCTGTTTATTGAAGAAAAAAACAAAGGAACATTATGGCGCGTGAAAAATTATTATTGTTCGTTATTCGTCATTGAATTTAAAAAAGTAAAATTGTGTTTTTGATTTCCGCGTATTGTTTGAGAAAAGTACTATACAAGCCTTGGCCACAAATAGGCATTGATGGACTCACGTATGTGTGCCTCCGCTAGGCCTCGGCCCACATTTGCACGTTCGTCCATCAATGCCTCAGTTGCAGGCCGCTGCAGTAATGTACTACTTTATACCACAAACGTAGCAAATAAGCGTACAGTCTATATTATGGTAAACGGTCACTGTAGCCTATGGACGCCTGCGACACTAGGGGTGTCACGTGCGCGTTGCCGACTCTGAAGAAATCTACAACACTTTTAAAAGAACCCCATACTATAGTCTGTAGGAAAGACTTGTTAAAAAAATAAAAAAATTGTTAACCTAAATAAATAAGGTGACAACAAGGCTGTACCTATTGTGGTGTAGTTGATGTAGTAGTAGGAGGCGATCATGCCCAGGTTGAGCGGCTGCACGTCCATCTCGTCCTCGATGGCGATGCACTTGGACTGCTCCAGGTCCGTGAGGGTGCTCTCCACCAGCTCGGACAGGTGATCCGACAGGTGCCTGCCGGAGGATAATTGTTTAGACCAGCCTTTCCCAAAGTGGGTAATAACGCCCCTTTGTGGGTGCTGCAGGCTTAAAGGGGGGGGGGACCCAGAAAAAAATGGGGGCGTAGTAGAGGCTTGAGGTGTGATTTGTTGATCTTGAAGTAATAGTGGTTTTTAAGTAGGTGAAAAAATGGGGGGCCGCTAAAGCGTAATTGATTCTCAAAGTGAGCAGTAAACGAAATAAGTTTGGGAACCCCTGGTTTAGACTCTCGTATTACAATGTTAAAAATAGCAACTAGCAACCCACCCTGTGCCATGTGGTCCCGGCATAGAATAGGCACAGACTGTGAAAACTGCATCCAATTTGGTGCTATTTGTAATTTGGTACAATTTGGTATTTGTGTGAAATTTTTACATACGGGGGTCGCAAGATATTATTACATACTAAAGGGGTCGCAAGATATGTTTACATACTAAGGGGGTCGCAAGGTATGTTTACATACTAAGGGGGTCGCAAGATATGTTTACATACTAAGGGGGTCGCAAGATATTTTTACATACTAAGGGGTCGCAAGATATTTTTACATACTAAGGGGTCGCAAGATATTTTTACATACTAAGGGGGTCGCAAGATATGTTTACATACTAAGGGGATCGCAAGATATGTTTACATACTAAGGAGGTCGCAAGATATGTTTACATACTAAGGGGGTCGCAAGATATGTTTACATACTAAGGGGGTCGCAAGATATGTTTACATACTAAGGGGGTCGCAAGATATTTTTACATACTAAGGGGGTCGCAAGATATGTTTACATACTAAGGGGGTCGCAAGATATGTTTACATACTAAGGGGGTCGCAAGATATTTTTATATACTAAGGGGGTTGTGTCATGAAAAAGATTGAAAAACACTGCAACAAAAAAATAAAAAATATATTTACCTGTGCGTGACTCCTTGCAGATTGTAGTAGTTGGGGTTCTGCGTGAGACGGCGGTACAGGAACGTCCACGTGAGGTAGTCCACCGCGTCCTGTTTGTTCTCTATGGTCTTCGTCACGATCTCCGCGTTCATGTGGTCGTGTAGTCTATGGTCTAAGTGGCTCTGTTGGAAAACAAATGTATAAATAAAAAAAAAAAATTCATTATAACTACAAATTACTCTAGCCACGACAAAATAAATATAAATAAATAAATAACCGTACAAAACTATTAAATATGCCGTGGATATGGCGGCGGCTCAAGACAGCGGCCTTATGGCGGTCTATGGGGGAGGCCTATGGTCAACAGCGGGTAAATAATGGCCGAGATAGTAATGATTTATTATACAAACTTTTTTAAGTCACTCACACAAACAAGCCACGTGTCAGTCATGAATCAATCATGCAAATAATTTATTACTCAAATAATTCGCTTGTCCAAATCATTGCCGCCGGGAGGAAAGGGATTGTTAGTAATGGAGACTGAGAATCCCATTGCTAGCAATATACCCAACCAGGTCGACCTCCTCGCGGTTCCCCCTGGAAACTATCATGGTTAATTCCTGATGAATTCATCATGATGGGCTAACTGGCCTGTTTTCATCCTCATCGATCACCCTTCACTGGTGCCCCGCCAGCGTATCCCGTTAGCGCAGGCGGGGCAGTCACTCCATTTTCATCCAGTAAAAAAAAAATCCATTAACATCCATTAAAAAAAAAAGACTCCCACATTTCGGTCAGTTCCTGAGCCAAGTCGAGATATTTCCTCTTCTTCTCAGTTTCGGGTTTTCCTTATTATAAATAAGCTACCGTCATCAAATGGATCACCTCTAGCGGCAAACAGTCGTTGAGCAGCTTGGTGAAGAATGTCTTGTGGTGTGCGACGCACATGAGCACCGCGACCGAGTGGTCGTCCTCCAGGGGGCGGCACGCGCGCCCCAGCATCTGCAGCACCGTCGTGATCGGGTACTGCTCGTACGAGTGCAGCTTGCCGTTGTACCTGCACAAGGAAAACATGTAAGTTATCATTATCAGCTATTACCTGCCCACTGCTGGACATAGGTCTCCCCAATACACTGCCACAAAGAAAGGTCCTGAGTCACTTGCATTCATTGAGGGTGGGATATGGCGTGAATTTACTGGGTACAGAGGAATAACACCCGAGTCCTCAGGAATGGCAACGCATGGGCGGTATCATGGGCGAAACAGTATACTCTGTTATGTCCATGGTACTGCTCATGTCTATAGGCGACGGTTACCGCTTTCCATCAGGTGGGCCGTCAGCTTGTTTGCCATTCTAAGTTGTATAAAAAAAACCTATCCAAAAGTTTACTAAACTCAATTGCTACGCAGAATATCACTTTGTAACTGAACCATAAATTCAACTCCGAAACGTACACGCTTCCCTACCTACCTAGCTGATATCTATAAACAATAGGTAAAGGTCTCCACACTTGCTGACCATCTGTGTGGACGTAAACAAAAGGTTGGAAATGTTTGTGAAAGTAAGAAATTTTGGTGTCTCTTTAGCGGCCAACTTCGGTCGCAATACCTGCATGGGATTTCTAGGAATTTGTTACAAATGATTCATTAAAAACAGTCGATACACCCGAACTCGGCGTTACATGCAAAGTCGCTATAGCCACATGAATTTTGTACTAAAGTATGCTTTAAATTCAAGAGGCTTAAATTTAACGTCGCTATAGGCAAATGGTCGCTACAACCAAGGTCGTAATAAATGAAATCCACTATATATATAATGGCACTTTAAAAAACTACCTTTGCCGACTTTGTGGCAAAAAAAGTAGACTAGAGATACTGACGTGTGCGTGTCTGCGACGATGACGGTGTGCACGTGCGCGGCGAAGCCCCACGCCAGCTCGGCCGCCAGCACGCACAGCTGGATGGCGCCCGACTCCACCAGCTGCTGCACCACGCGCCGGTCGCTCGTCTCCACGCCCTCGTGCAGGTACGCCACGCCCGCCGCCAGCGTCTCCTTCAGCATCTGTGTGCCAAGTAACACTATGAGCACACTAAGCCATCATCATCTTCCTACCTTCACCAGAGTGAGACTTTGTATAAAAGTCTCATGGCAAACAAGCTGACGGCCCACCTTATGGTAAGTGGTAACCGTCGCCTATAAACATGAGCAGCGCCATGTACATAACAGAGTATCCTGTTTCGCCCACGATACCCCCCATGCGTTGCCATTCCTGAGGACTCAGGTGTTATTCCTCCGTACCCAGTAAATTCACTGCCATTTCCCACTCTTCAAACCAAAACACAATGCAAACACAACCGCTTCACGGTAGAAACACGAATGTGACAGAGGTACCCAAACAAACGACAGCTGTACAAAGTCTCCATCTGGTAAAAGCATGCGAACGGGACGGCATGAACCTAGCGAAGACCGCTAAGTACTTATGAACAGGACATCATTATCCTAGTACATTAAAGTGACTAGTTCGATGAAGTGTTTTTTTTTTTTTTATACAACTTAGAATGACAAACAAGCTGACGGCCCACCTGATGGAAAGTAGTAGCCGTCGCCTATAGACATGAGCAGTAGCATGGACATAACAGAGTATACTGTTTCGACCTTGTCGTGTATCCGCTTGAGGAAGGGCTGCATGAGGTCAGGGCGCGCGTGCAGGAACCTGGTGGGGCGGCCGTGCGCGGCGGCCAGCGCCAGCAGGTCGGCCGCCAGCAGGCGCGCGTGGCGGCGCGACGGCACGAACACGGCCGCGGGCCGCGAGCCCGCCACTCGTCCCAGCGCCGCGTATATCGGCTTCGTCATGGCCGCTAACCGGGAGCCCGCGTGCGATATGTTGAAGCCCTGTATGAAATCACATTATATATATATATATATATATATATGTAATTTAGTTTTTTATTTTAATATACGAACCACCCAGACTATGTCATGTGTATTTTAATCGAGAATATAATAATGAAATATATGATATATATTTTTTTTATATATTTAATTGTAAAAGACAACAGGAATTCAAATAATTTCGTTTTTTAGTATGGTGTGATATGATGTAGTGTAATGTGGAGTAGTGTAGGATAGTGGAGTGTATGTAGGATAGTGGACTGTAGTGTGGGGTAGTGGAGTGTAGTGTGAGGTAGTGGGATGTAGTGTGGGGTAGTGGGATGTAGTGTAAGGCAGTGGGGTGTAACGTAGTATAGTGGAATGTAGCGTAGGATAGTGGGGTGTAACGTAGTATAGTGGGGTGTAACGTAGTATAGTGGAATGTAGCGTAGGATAGTGGAATGTAGCGTAGGATAGTGGGGTGTAACGTAATATAGTGGGATGTAGCGTAGGATAGTGGGGTGTAACGTAGGATAATGGAATGTAGCGTAGGATAGTGGGGTGTAACGTAGTATAGTGGGATGTAGCGTAGGATAGTGGGGTGTAACGTAGTATAGTGGGATGTAGCGTAGGATAGTGGGGTGTAACGTAGGATAGTAAGGTGTAGTGTAGTGCGGTGTGATATGGTGTAGTATAGTGTAGTGCGGTGTGGTATAGTGCAATGCATACCTGTATATGCAGTTCGAGCGGCAACGGGCGTACGCTCGGGTGGAAGTTGAAGGTGGCGTTGGCGTTGCAGCCGAGCCACTGCGCCACGTCGCGAGCGTCCGCCAGCGGCAGTGACAGCGCCACTATGCGGATCGGCCGACCTGCAAACGGGCAAACATTTTTTATTATAAAAAAAAAACGTCGTACCACTCATAAACGCAGAGGGAGACTTTGTACAAAAGTCGATTGCTTGTGTACCTCTGTCCCATTCGTGTTTCTACCGTGAAGAAGTTGTTGAGTACAGTAGCATGGAGTACAGATTAAAATACACATATAAAGGTACAAGAGGCGGTCTTATCGCTAGGGCGATCACTTACAGACAACCTTTGGTTAAAGGGGAACATATAGGTACATAAAGATGTGGCGCAGGAGTGAATTAATAGAGAGATAGAAAGAGATAGCAACGTTGGATGTCTCATTCCAACTTACAGACTCGCTAGCAATGTCGATTCACTTGCCACTTATGTAGAGGGTCAGAGGTGTATATAAAAGTAGGGGAGGTGGACTGACCGATTTGCGAGGCGATGTACCGCATCCTGGAGCAGACCACCTCGAGGACGGGCCCCTCCTCGCCGCCGAGGAGTTGCAGCGCGTCCACTATGAACAGCGAGACGCTCTGCACGCTCTTGCGGACTTTCCATCTGTAATCAAAAGTTTTATAATGTTTTATTTATTTATTTATTTATTTATTCTTAGATAACTGGGATCCATTCTTGTTAGTAAGTGTACTTAAAAACTATGTTAATACTTAATTACTAATAATGATCTAGTCCTCTCGGAGAGCATTTTCACGAGAGGACTATCCAATTTATTAACAAACATGTTCAGGATACTGTTGCTACTCCCGCGTATTCGACGTAAAAACGAAGCTGTCTTTTTACGCCAGACTGCGTCAAAACTACTTATTTATTTATTTATTATTTATAATACTATTATTTAGAAACCAGCGGCCCGTCCCAGCTTCGCACGGGTGGTCATTTTTACATTTTAAAAAGTTGCCATTAAGGCTGCACACGCGACGGCAGCTTAAAAAATGGAGTAACTTCTCCCGTTTTCCCAACATTTCCCTTCACTGCTCTGCTCCTATTGATCGTAGCATGATGGAAAGTATACTGTAACCTGCCCAGGAGTATGAAGAATAATTGTACCAAGTTTCGTTAAAATCCATCGAGTAGTTTTTGTTTCTATAACGAACATACACGACAGACAGACATAAATTTTACTGATTGCATTTTTGGCATCAGTATCGATCACTAATCACCGCCTGATAGTTATTTTGGAAATATATTTCATGTACAGAATTGACCTCTCCACAGATTTATTATAAGTATAGAATATTTAGACAATTAAAAAAAGAAACATTTTTACGAGTCTTCCTTCAGTTCATAAGAGCGATTGGTTTACAAAAACCGGTCAAGTGCGAACCGGACTCGCGCACCGAGAGTCCCAAACAAATTATAAATGGAAAACACAACTGCAAAGGATTGCTGATTTGAGTATTTGATATTAATTTAACCTTAACGCTTCGACACTTTGCTGAGAAAAAAAAAACAATTGTACTAAAACAATTAAATCGATTATGACAAAATTTCTATGGGACCCACCTGTAATTATATGCTTTCACACAAAAAAAAGATTTTTCCAAATCGGTTTGCAAGTAGGAGTTATGTGGTAACAAATTACCTCCTTCTTTTTTGAAGTCGGTTAAAAAAAGGTTCTTGTTAGACGGACAGACAGAAATTCATACATATATGTTCTGTTCTGATGTCATATTGCATTATTTAGATTTATTTCCAACATTGGAATTATGATAACTCCAACACCCGAGTCCTCAGGACTGGCAACGCATGAGGTGTATCATAGGCGGAACAGTATACTCTGTTATGTCCACGGTACTGCTCATGTCTATAGGCGACGGTTACCACTTTCCATCGGGTGGGCCGTCAGCTTGTTTGCCATTCTAAGTTGTATAAAAAAAAATCTTCAGAACAGACTGTCAAGTACATTTGTTGGGGGGAAAGGGATTGTTAGTAATGGAGTTTGACAGAACCATTGCTAGCAATATGCCTTATTAGGTCGACCTCTACGTGGTTCCCCCTGGAAACCATCGTGAACAATTCTTGTTGAATTCTCTAATGTAATTTGGTACATGATTGTAAACTTTAATAGCTATAGGCGACGGTTTCCACTTACCATCAGGTGGGCCGTCAGCTTGTTTGCCATTCTAAATTGCATTAAAAATAGCCACCCACCTGCGCGACAGCACGTCCCATTTGTCAGCCGTGGTGATGATTATCTGGCCCTTGTTCAGCAACTTGTGATCGGTCGCCGTCTCGCCAGTCAGCTGCACCACCTGCGAGCAAACTCAACGTGTTAGATAGATACCATAGAACAATATACTTTTTTTTTAATGGTTGATAATGGAGTGGTAACCCCACCAACGCTATCGGTATACACCGGCAGGGCACCAGTGAGGGATGATAGGTGAGGATGAAGCAGGTCAGTTAGACCATCGTGACGAATTCATTGAATTGTTCACGATGATTTCCAGGGGGAACCATGTGGAGGTCGATCTGATAGGGTGTATTGCTAGCAATGTCGAACTCCATTGCTAACAATCCCCCCCCCCCCAATAAATATACTCTATGAAATACAAACGGGCGAGAAGGTATAGCTCCAGATAAAAATATAAACTAGTGTCCGACTGAACTTTCGGTTTTGCTTTCGGCTAGTTTCGGCCAGAAATTACACTTTCGGCCTTAGTTTCGGTTGTCTGAAATTTGTTTTTTTTTTTTTTTTTTTAACTTCCAAGAGTAATTCATAATTTTAACCGTCATGTGGGTTAGCTCGTTTGCCATTCTAAGTTGTATAAAAAAAAGAACCTGCTATTTACCTTCAGGTTGAACCGCGTGCCAAACTTGTGATACCAATCGGCGAACACGATGTCGGCGAGCGCGTCCTTGGGCAGTAGGTAGACGGCGCGCGGGTTGTTGGTGGTGGACAGCAGCCGCAGCAGCGCCAGCTCGGCCACCACCGACTTGCCGCTACCGGACGGGGCGCCCACGAACACGTTGTCGTCCGAGTTGTATACCGCGTTGAACACCTGTATAATATAGTATATGTCATATATGTGTAAGTATATTTGTTATTTATATATATTTATTTGTTTATATATGTAATTTTAGTATGTATGTATATCAATAATTACTAGTACCGCATTCGAGTATTCTGACACTTGCCTATGGTCGACTGGGAGAGAATGCTTTTAGCATTAAGTCCGCCATGTACACATATTTGTACTAATGAATAAATAAATAAATAAATAAACACCTGCCCGAGATGTCCAGATTAATGGTATTATAACAATAAAGAGATCAGAACAACTCGATTTTGAAGGTGAATAAATTTGTATAAAAAAAAAAAATATTTAATACTTTATTGTACACGCCAGTTATAAGAATATGACAGAGCTAATCAAAAGTACAAAGGCGAGCTTAACTCTGATAGAGTTCTCTTCCAGCAACAGCCAAAGTGGAAAGGAGCATCAGTGTCAGCGGGTAAAGCGGTGTACAATATTGGGACAATTATTGTTCTTTATTGCACAATAAAACTTTGTATAGGTGGCGAGCTTAATGCCATATGGCATTTTTTACCAGCAAACGATTAGGTAAGAATAGAAAGCGTTAAGGGCAGTGGTGACCAACGTTATACAAAAAAATAAATTATATATATATATATATATATATATATATATATATATATATATATATATATATATATTAATAATAATATGTACTTATTTAACTATTAATACGTAATTAGTGCTGAATTTGTTGACTTAACAGATAATTGGACAATTCTCTTTGGAATATGTAAGCTTACTTAATATACACAGGTGATACTTTTTTTTTAAATTATTTAGTATTTCATTCAAAATAAATACATTTTAATAGATCGAGACAAAAATGATCGTATCTTTCAAGTTAGAACTAAGAATTGGAACAAGTCGGATTTCGTTCGCATTTTGGTCCTTCGAGCCGGATCAATAAATACCTGCGTCTGCACGGGATTGAACTGCGGGAAGGTGTCGTTGTACAACTCCTCGTATTTAGGGTTCCTCAGGGCGGATATCGGCAGCGGCTGCAGGTCTAGCAGTTCGGTGGGCGGTAAGTTCTTCTCGGGCAGGATCAAATGGCGGAAAGACACCGGCAGCTGCGTCTCCGCTGCTATCCATCTGATAAAAAATATTTAATAATTTAAAAGGGGCATACTTTAGCATAAAAACCTTAATTAGTTTCCAAGGTAAGATATAATCTTTTTCATGTCCCATTATTGGGCATAAATGGGCTTATTATGAAGGCTTGAAATTTGATAGTTTTACAGATTAAAGGGCATGTCTGTAAGCGTCTATTACGACATTCCGTCAGGCAGGTCATCAGTTTATTTTGCCACTATAAGTATCATACAAAAACTAGGTAACAAAAATATGTTACGACATCTTCTATACACTTCTGTTCATAGCTGAACATAGGTCTACCCTTATAGGGAGTTTTGCCAGTAGTTGCCACTTGGCAGGCGGGTTGGCAACTGCAGTTAGGCTTTTATTATTTCAGCCGTTAACTGTCCAGTGCTGAACATAAGTCTTTCCCATAAGGGGAGTTGTGCTAGTAGTTGCCACGCTTGGCAGGCGGGTTGGTAACCTCAGTCAGGCTTTTACAGATGTTTTAAGAGGGACGCTGCTGCCCATCCCTCCACCCTATCACAAAAGCTTCCCCAGTCGCCACCTACGATAGCCACGAGAAAGCGGTGGCCCACTCTATGCCGGGACCACATTGCAATAAAGTTTCATACAAAAATTATCCTTCTCCATCTAATATAAGTTTTTCGCAAGAAAATTTTGCCAATAACCCTCTCCTGGGTCACGTCTATCTCTATACCAAAATTCATTACAATCGATTTAGCGTTTTAGGCGTAAAAGCGTAACAAACCAATTCACTTTCAGGTTTATAATAAGATTTCTACTTATTTATAAGATTTCTTTATATCTATTTCATGTATTTTATTACTCCTCTCCATCCAAAGGTTGGCTGCAAGAGATCGCTCTTAGCGATAAGGCCGCCCATTGTTGTCTCACTGTGATCATTTCTTGTAATTGTTTGTATTTATAATAAGTTTACTATTGTAATCTTTTGGAGGAAACAATAAAGAGTATCTCTCTATCTATTTCATGGCTATTACCACCTTATAAGAAGACACTTCCAGAGGGAGACTGTACAAAAGTCGATTGCTTGGGTACCTCTGTTCCATTCGTGTTTTTACCGTGAAGCAGTTGTGTTTACATGGCTGTGTGTCGGTTTGAAGGGTGGGATATGGCGTGAATTTACTGGGTACAGAGGAATAACACCTGAGTCCTCAGGAATAGCAACGCATATGGGGGTATCATGGGCGAAACAGTATACTCTGTTATGTCCATGGTACTGCTCATGTCTATAGGCGACGGTTACCACTTTCCATCGGGTGGGCCGTCAGCTTGTTTGCCATTCTAAGTTGCATAATAAAAAAAGAACTTCACCTGTCAGACACCACCCTGAGGAAGTATTGGGGCGGCAGCGGCTCGAACACCGGCACGAACAGCTTCACCTGGTGCTCATCTTTACTGTACTTCTCCTTGAGCAGGAAGTACTCGTGGTGTAGCACCACCTCGCTGTCCACGTCCTCCACGAGGATCCAGAACGCCTCCGACTGCCCGTGGATCTGAAACGGGATTTTATATTTTAACACTAGTTATAACCCGCCGTTTTCCTTGCGTCATTGAAGCCAAGTACACATGTTCTACCTATATGTTCTCCTTTAACCAAAGCTTGTCTGTAAGAGATCGCCCTAGCGATAAGACCGCCTTTTGTACCTTTATATGTATATTTTAATCTGTACTCCATGGAGTAGCATGCTATTGTATTTCAGTTGGATTGTTTATTTTTATGTTTTTGGTGCAATAAAGAGTTAAATAATAATAATAAACAAAAATAAGAAACAATGAAACAATAGCATCTGTACAGTTCATTTCCATTCCAGTCGAGAGTAATCATAAGCTATATAGTTCTGATATCTATATTTTTTTTTGACAGGTGAAAATGGTATGGTAACCCCGCCTGCGCTAACGGGATACGCTGGCGGAGCACCAGTGAAGGGTGATAGGTGAGGATGAAAACAGGCCAGTTAGCCCATCATGATGAATTCATCAGGAAATAACCATGATAGTTTCCAGGGAGAACCGCGAGGAGGTCGATCTGATTGGGTATATTGCTAGTAATAAAGTTGCTAATCCCCATTACTAATAATCCCTTTCCCCCCGCAACGTGATGGGTTGTATGTGCGTAGACATCTCTATGAGACGAGAACTAGTGCCTTTATAAATGCTTTAAAAAATAGATAGATAGATAATTTATTTACATTACTTACAGCACACAAATAACAATACAGACATACACATAATACACAGTAAAAGAGATAAAAGAATGACAATAAAAAAACAACAAAACAAAAAAAAAAGCTAAATATATAAAATAACAATTTCCTTTGTTTTTTTTTCCGTTCACGCGTGCGCCATAGTAACGTACTAGAAATGAACTCACCTTCTCGTCCCACTGGAAGTCAGGCGTGATGGTGAGCTCCACTCGGAGGGTGGACCGCGTGATGGGTTGTATGTGCGTGGACAGCTCCAGCTTTGGGAACTGGTGCACGTATTTGTGTATCATCTTGCCCAGTTTCGGAGCGCGCACCAGTTCGCCGATCTCGTTCGGTCCCAACTCGTATAATTTCTCCCATGGGAAATTCTTTTTCTCTAATTTCTTGACGACCTGTTACGTTTTAATAGTACATTACTGCAGCGGCCAGCAACTGAGGCATTGATGGACGAACGTGTAAATGTGGGCCGAGTCGTAGCCGAGGCACACATACGTGAGTCCATCCCTGTCAAATTTTATCAAAATCGGTACAGTAGTTTAGTTTTTAAATCAAAATAATTGGTATTATCATTATTGTCAGTTTTTTTTATGGGACACAATTTTTATTTATATTTGTTCATTTTATGTCGTGTGGTGCCCTGCTTTGAACGGGCCATTCCCTCCATTCCCGGGGGTGTCATAGAGTGCGACAAAGGAACTTAACGGTCGAAGGATCTGCAAAAGTGCCCTATAAGTATAAAAATACATCACCAATGTCTAACAGGTGTTGTCAAACCGTCTGTCAAGCGTGGCAACCACTGGCAAAACACCCGAATGGGGGAAGTTCTATGTTCAGCAGTGGACAGTGAACGATTAATAGAATAATTATAATAATATACTGACCTCTTCTGGCATTTTCCTGAACTGCCTGAGCGGTGACATCGACTGCCACATGCGTCGGTCCACCATTTTGCATAGTGCCAATGTCTTGTCCACTAGTTGGGCCCAACCTTAAACAAAAGGGGGGAAAGGGATTGTTAGTAATGAAGACTAAAAAATCCCATTGCTAGCAATATACCCAACCAGGTCGACCTCCTCGCGGTTCCCCTTGGAAACTATCATGGTTAATTCCTGATGAATTCATCATGACGGGCTAACTGGCCTGTTTTCATTCTCATCTATCACCCTTCACTGGTGCTCCGCCAGCGTATCCCGTTAGCGCAGGCGGGGTTACCATACCATTTTCATCTAACAAAAAAAAAAACCTTAAACAAAAGAAAGACATATACATTTCTTTATTTATGAAACATGAGATACAGGTGTTCTTGATAACATCAATAGAAGCTAAAACAATACTTTTTGAAAATTTTATCTGTCTGTCTGTATGTTTGTTCCGACATCAAATCAAAAACTATACCTCAAACCGAAACAATCATTAAAAAATGCAAGTGGATTTCCTCCGTTATAAATTGATTAGTAAAAACACATTGAGAACAAGGCGACTTTTAGTCGCAACCTAGGCTGTCGTGCGACTTTTAGTCGCAAACCCGACAGACATGCGACTTTTTGTCGCACCCACCTCTGTGCAGCACGATCTCGAATATCGCCCGCAGCAGCCGACAGGCGGACTGCGTGACGTACACCATGTCGGCCATGAGCGCGAACCCCTCCAGTTTCAGCTGCGATATGTACGCCTGTAGCAGCACGTTTATCTTGGCCGACGGCTCTTCTATGCTCTCCTTGATTGGGATAGGGACCTGACAATCGTTAAAAAAAAAAATAAAAAATAATATAAGTAATATAACGCTTGCGACTATTTTAAACAACTTATAGTCCTTGTAATTTGTAATTTGTGCAAAAGCGAGACACGCAAAGGGCCAAATGTCCCCTACCTGAAGATTTCCGGATGAAGTCGAAACAATTGCCAGATTCGGCAAACACAGTGAGTTAATTTTTTTCTATTATTAATTTAAATAATCCATTCGAAGAAGATTATTTCTATTGTAATAAAATCCCTTGTCACAATATTATTTGTATTTTTAAAATTTATATAAATTTTTTATCCGATGTCTGTTTGCCGTTTTCGGTTAATTCGTTTAATTTGAACGACGCGCGACTATTAATCGCAACTTGGACTAGTCGCAACAGAGCCTCTTCATCTGCTTATGAAGCCCCAGTATAATTGAGAAACTAAATGATGCTTTCAATCGCAACTGAGAACAGTAGCGGGTCACCCTATGCATTAATTTATGCAGCTCCAGTAATGTTGAGAAACTAAACACGCGACTAGTCGCAGCTTGCCCTTTCAATCAGCTTATGCAGTTACAGTGACGTTGAGAAACCAAAAGTAACCATGTGCGACTATTAATCACAACTAAGAATAGTCGCGACTCACCCTCTACATCAATTTATGTAGCTCCAGTAACGATGACAAAATAACATTCAACTAACGACACGCAACTATTAATCGCAACTGCGATTAGTCGCAACTCACCCTTTCCATCAGCTCCAGTAATGTTCAGAAACTGAACTAAACGACGTGCGACTATTAATCGCAACTGCGACTAGTCACCACACACCTTCTCAATCATCTCCAATAAAGCTTCAAAAAATTTAACTAAACGGCATGCGACTATTAATCGCAACTGCGATTAGTCGCCCGATAAATCGCAACTGCGACTAGTCGCGTCCACTCACCCTCTCCATGAGCTTGTGCAGCTCCAGCTTCTCCTCCTCCCGGACGGTGATGTTCTTGAACTCGGCGGAGAGCGAGAACACGCGGAACAGCTCGATCTCGCCGAGCGTGGGCCGCAGCAGCTGATTGTACGACTGCATCGTCTCGTACGTGCAGTAGAAGTGGGACGCGATGCGGCCCAGCTCCGTCGGCTGGAAGTGGCCCGACTTGCGCTCGTACTTTATCAGGCCCGCCCTGGGACGGTGGAACGAGAGAATTTATTTTTATTTAAAAGGTATACACAACTGGGAAATTGGGCTTTGAATCAATAAAACAAGCTCTCCAATATTATTTTATATTGGTGTTCTCTACTGTGCTACTAGGAAGTCAATGCAAGTCTGCTCTCTAGCGCATAGAAGTATCGTTCGAAAAAGAGTGGGACGGTGACGTAGGAGAGTGAAAGTTAAATACATGAGTCATTCAATATCAATCTTTAGTCAAATGAGAGATTAATTTTTGTACATTAATTTAAATAATATCAACAACAACAGAGGGCCCACCATGAAATGTTTTCCGAAATTTCGGAGCCAAACGAAACACAAATACACTCCTCGCAAAAATTAAGGGAACATAAAAATTTTTGAAATTTTTGGGTGATTTTCAACAGGCTGTATTTCAGTGAAAAATAATCGTACAGGAAATTTAAAAAAAGGGTTTTGAAGCTTGAAAACTCTAGTTTTCAGATTTTTTGGTTAAAAAATTTTTTGAGCTCCGGTTTCCATGCAATTCTTAAACAAAGCTCAAAATAATTTTTTTCTAATTTTTCTAGGTTTCGTTTTTCACTCTATGGGCATGGAAAAATTTTTTCGAGCTACTCCATTGTATAGGTCTCTTAGCGTGTTTATTCAGCTTCAAAAATCGCTTTGGATGGCTCAATTACGACCATTTGTCTCCGAGATATCGAACTTTGAATGCAAAAGCATCCTTTTCCGTTCAACTGCTAATATCTCTGGAACTACTGGTCGCACAGCAAGCAAAAATTTTTCTTAAAAATTTTTTTGATTTTTTTCGATTTTTTTTTTGATAATTAATTTTTAAAAAACAAAAGATTGAGTAAAAAGTGAAAAACAAATGAAATTATTGATTTTTGAATGGATTAGGGTGAGTTTAAGGGACAAAAACCTTGTTCCCTTATTTTTTCCAAAATTTCAATCAATTGGTCCGGGAAAAACCGTTGAACCGATCGCTCCAAAGATTTAGGGGGTTCTTTAAGGAACAATAGACTGTAAAATTTTCCTCAAACCTTAGCTTTCCCGCCCATATTAGCGAAGATACAGCCAAGTAACCAAAAAAGGAGAAAAAGTCACTTTTTTCCACTTTTTTCAATTCAATGTTAGAGGTGGAAAAAAATTTTTTCTTCACTAACTCTTGACTGTGCTTAATTGGAAATTTTATGCAGATAAAGAAACTCGGCGCCCGCTTGCTGTGCGACCAGTAGTTCCAGAGATATTAGCAGTTGAATGGAAAAGGATGCTTTTGCATTCAAAGTTCGATATCTCGGAGACAAATGGTCGTAATTGAGCCATCCAAAGCGATTTTTGAAGCTGAATAAACACGCTAAGAGACCTATACAATGGAGTAGCTCGAAAAAATTTTTCCATGCCCATAGAGTGAAAAACGAAACCTAGAAAATTTAGAAAAAAATTATTTTCAGTTTGTTTAAGAATTGCATGGAAACCGGAGCTCAAAAAATTTTTTCACCAAAAAATCTGAAAACTAGAGTTTTCAAGCTTCAAAACCCTTTTTTTAAATTTCCTGTATGATTATTTTTCACTGAAATACAGCCTGTTGAAAATCACCCAAAAATTTCAAAAATTTTTATGTTCCCTTAATTTTTGCGAGGAGTGTATGATGTTAAAATTACATAATACATGCCGTTTGGAAATATTTAAAATGTTAAAACATTGTTCCTTTGGACTTTTACGATAGGATGTATGACGAACGAAATGTTAAACTCCATTTATTGGTCAGATTTTGGTATAAACAAAAACGCGAAATTGAGTCCGAAATTTCGGAATTTCATTTCATGGTAGACCCGCAGGTTACAGTCAATAACATTATAAACATTTCTATAAAGATAACAGTTTGAACTAGATTGAGACCCAGACAGGTGTACACACAGCATGGTTAGCAGCAAGCAGCAAGCAGTTGGCAAACAATGTTAAATTATAAATTATATAAAGAAAGCATATGAATGTGGTAAACAACAATATTTACAACTAGCGGCGCGCCCCGGCGTCGCACGGGTGGTAATATTATTGAAATTGACGTATTAGTATTGACGTACCAGAAGGAGACTTTGTACAAAAATTCTTAACCAAGTTTTATATGGCAACGTATTCTATGATTAACGTTTTAGTTTGGTAGCAGAGCACTGTTTAAATCATCAAATGTTACCACATTGAAAAATGTTCAACTGTTTTTTTTTTAATTGACAAATAATTGCGACGTAGCCACACCTAGGTAAGTTACTAACTCGAAAGCTTAAAAACAGCAACTAATAGCTATAATACTAATACTCTTGTTGCCAGGATTAAATCGCTCGAAAGCCCCGATATAAAATTTTGCAGAAACTTAAGAAATGAAGTCTTTTGAGTAAAAATAATAGGTGTGTATTAACAAGGGCCCTCACTGGACACTGCAAACTAAACAAGCATATGGCCCAACTAGGCTTATGCCCAAAGTGTTTGAAGATTTTGTCACAGTGAGGAAGAAACGCGGCAGCACTGAATGTGTCGCTGCAGCCCACTCATACATAAACGATATATCGTCTTTGGAAAACACACTCTGTGTCCTGAGGAGATAAAAAACGTCGCTACAAAGAACATCTTAAAATTCCTATCGCTGATAGGAATTAGCGGCGAACTTTAAAAAAGGGCGACCACAAAAGATCACGGAAAGGACGCAGTGTCACAGGTTTTTGTGCCTGAAAAAGCCTGTCTTACAGTAATAGTAATAGGTAAGCTAAAGTATAAACGCCCTCAAGTCTAAACACTTAAGGTACAAACTCACTTATCCAGCAGATTGGCCGCGGTGTGTATGAGATCGGCGCGGTGCAGCTCGAGCAGCGGGTCCTCTTGCAGCTTCTCCGGCGTTACACCGTACAGGGTGGGCTGACGCAGCATGCGGATGTAGAGGTACGTGTAGCCTGTATGGGACATGAATGTATGTATTAGCCGTGCTCCCTCCCATAAACCATAAGGGGGCATTCAAGGGCTTTTTTTATTGATGATAATGGAATTGTTAACCCACTTGCGCTAACGGTATACACAGGTGGGTCACCAATGAGGAGTGATAGGTTAGAATAAAAAGTCAGGTCAGTTAGCCCATCGTGATGAATACACCAGAAATCCAGCACGATAGTTTCCAAGGGGGACCACGTGGAGATCGACCTGACAAGATATATTGGTAGCAGTGGGATTTGTAATCCGCATTACTAACAAACCCTTCAGACAGAGACAGGGAGGCATTCAAGCTGACAATTCTTTTTCTGATAAAATTTGTAAGGGAGTATTGGAAAGCAACACACTTTAGAAGTTGGTTAAGGCCGGGGGCATTGTAAAGCACTATTTCTTAATAACCCTTTCGTATATGAGGTGCTATACTCACCAAGCCAAGTAACAGCATCTCGGAGACTCTGCACTGAGCCGAGCACTATCTCGGCATTGAGCATGTCCGGGAGTCTTCCCACCAGCTGCGACTCGATGGGCAACTGCTGGTTCAGGAGCGACAGGTAGTACTGCAGCTCTGAGTGGTTCGTGATGAGGATACCTGCCAGAGAGAGGTACATACTTTATTTTAATATAAAAAGAATTTCTCTTGATCTTAACAGATCTATTAATCCATTTAAACCATTAGGTTTAAAACTATAACACTAAAAATACGCAGCTAAAGATTATTTTGATCTTGTTACCAAGAAAGTCCAGCATCTGGACCGTAACTTAAAAAAGAAAGATTCAAGCCAAATTAGAAAATCTTTTATTTACCACCTAAATTTCTTTATATAGAAGGATATATTTTCTATATCTAAGAGGTTTGTTTGTATCGAAGCATTTAGCGTTCCATTGTTTCTGCCTACCCTAATGGGAGACAGGCGTGACAGATATGTATGTATGTATGTATTTCTTTATATAACACACTTTACAGCTTATCCAGCTCCCAACTGACTCCACTCCACCTATATTAATGCTGGCTGTATATCTTTATGTTCTTTTCTAGAGAAGATACTTAAGAAGTAGGCTATACGTTTCACCTTTGCCCTTGTGGTTCTGTGGACGATTAGTTCTGACCTGCATCTGAAGAACATTTAGAGTTCTTAGCTCACACTACGTATCTTAATGGCTAGCAGTACACCTAAACGTTCCTAAAGAAGATACTTAAAAAGTAAACTATGCCTCTCACCTTCGCATATGCAGCTCTACCACGGTCAACCAGATCTGCCCTACATCTGGAACACATCCAGAGCTCCCAGCTCACTCCGATTGTCTCTCTATTCATAATAGACCAAACATATCTTCTTCATAGAGTATTAAAGTCTTTTAAGTCTCTTACCTTCGCCCTTGGTATCGTACTGCGGCCGACCAGCTCTTCCCAGCATCTGGAGCACATCCAGCGCTCCCAGCTCACTCCACCTTCCCTTCTCCGGCGAGTACACCTGGGTGCCTTTCACGATGACCGTGTGCGCGGGCAGGTTCACGCCCCAAGCCAGGGTCGCTGTCGACACCAGTACCTGCGACAGTCGTACCGGTATTAATGATCAAACTTTATATATTTCTTAGTAACCAAAATATATGGATAAAAATATAAGGCCAGGTTTGCTGGTTGTTCAGTCATCCAGGTTTATCTAGGTTGTCTGTAAGAGATTGCTTCTAGCGATAAGGCCTCCTTTTGTATATGCACATTCTGTATAAATACTCCTTGTATACATCTCTACTGTGCGCAATAAAGAGTTTATTATTATTATTAAAGCTAAGAAAGAGAGAAAAGTTGTTACTTTTCTCTCTTTCTAGGGAAACCTAGACTGTAGATATATAAGTAAGTGATTTATTTATTTAAATACCAGAGGGAGACTTTCTACAAAAGTCGTTTGCTTGGCCACCTCTGTCCCATTCGTGTTTCAACCGTTAACCAGTTGTGTTTGCATGGCTGTGTTACGGTTTGAAGGGTGGGATATGGCGTGAATTTACAGGGTACAGAGGAACAACAGCTGAGTCCTCAGGAATGGCAACGCACGGGAGGTATCGTGTGCGAAACAGTATACTCTGTTATGTCCATGGTACTGCTCATGTCTATAGGCGACGGTTACCACTTTCCATCAGGTAGCCGTTGCATAAAAAAAATAAAATATGGTACAACCTTTGGGATTATGCGATGTGATTTATTTATTAATAAATAAATAAAAACTGACCTGTATGTGCCGATCAGCGAACAGATCCTCGACGAGTGTCCTGTCCACCCTGCTCATGCCGGCGTGATGTATTGCGAAGCCGTACGGCAGCAGCTCGCGGAGTTCAGGGTTCTTCACCTGTTCCGCCTCGGTACGGAGCACCTCCATACTCGCTGAACCCTCCCTGTGACCAAAACAAAGGTGTTTTTTTTTATAAAACTTGGAAATTAGAATGACAAATACTCTCGCGGCCTACCTAATGAAAAGTGGCATCCGTCTTGTATAGAGAAGAAAGGGATTGTTAGTAATAAAAAAAATAAAGTCACCTAAGAAACTGTCCCAGGGTGTCTTTTTCCAAGCACATGTCGCGTATCGCGCGGGCCGTCTTGCCTGTCTCCTTTCGCGAATGTACGAACACTAATATCTGAAACAAAACATGCACAACGTTGATTGCCATCATATTTAATGAGAGTTCAGCGCTGTTGTTTAAAACACAGGTTTTATAACCAAGTTCAGAGAGGGGGAAAGGGATTGTTAGTAACGAGATTTAATAGCCCCATTGCTAGCAATACACCCTACCAGGTCTACCAACACACGGTTCTCTCTGGAAACCATAGTGGTTAATTCTTGTTCAATTGGTCACTGTGGGCCAACTGAACTACCTTCATCCTCACCTATCACCCTTCACTGGTACCCCACCAGCGTATACCGATAGCGCAGGCGGGGCTCTATTCTTTTTTTTATACAACTTAGAATGGCAAACAAGCTGACGGCCCACCTGATGGAAAGTGGTAACTGTCGTCTACAGACATGAACAGTACAATGGACATAACAGTACACACACATACTGTTTCGCCCATGATACCCCCCATGCGTTGCCATTCCTGAGGACTCAGGTGTTATTCCTCTGTACCCTGTAAATTCACGCTATATCCCACCTGGAAAAAGTGAAAAATTCGGATGCCCGAGCGAATCCGGGGCGAGCGCTTGTAAAATATAAATTTCTTACTCACTATTTCTCTCTCTCTCTCTCTCTTTCTCTCTCATACTCTTCCAAATATGGGGGGGGGGGGGGGTTAGTAACAGAGGCTAAAAATCCTATTGCTAGCAATATACCGAACTAGGTTGATCTCTACGCGGTCTCCCAAGAAACTATCACGGTTAATTCCTGATGAATTCATCATGATGGGCTTCCTGACCCGTTTTCAATCTCACCTATCACCTCTCACTGGTGCCCCGCCAGCGTATACCGTTAGCTCAGGCGGGGTTACCATTCCACTACCACCTATCAGAAGAACTCTAGCCTCACCTGATTCCTGCCGGCGTGCTCCATCGTCTTCTCATACACTATGTCGTTCATGACTTGGAACCGTTTGAGTGCCTTCTTCTCTGTCACACCAATGTATTGCTGCTCCAGTGCCACAGGCCTGTGAGAGAAGGACAGATATAAGTAAAATTTTAACGAATTTTAGAAATATAGAGTACAGTATTTAAAACACCTGACTCCATAGGAATGGCAACACATGGATCATGGGCGAAACAGTATACCATGGTACTGCTCACATCTATAGGCGACAGTTACCACTTTCCATCAGGTAGGCCGTCAGCTTGTTTGCCATTCTAAGTTGTATAAAAACCTATTTTTTTTTTTATAACTGAAACAGTGAATTCAGACCATTATTCTGAACTGAAAACCAGTGGAAATTCTATCAGTAAAATTTTTTTTTATTTAATATTATGTAATCTATGATATTATGTGATAAAATAGAAAAAAATATATTTATATTTATTTATTCATTAAAAATAATTATAACATTATAACAGCAAAAGCCAAATCAATAATATAACAATATTTTATAGCGAAATACTATGAAATACCAAAAAACAGCAATTTAATATATGTATTAAAATTCTACCGTGACCCGCGAAATCAGCTGTGTAAGGTCAACGCTACAAGCGTACGAAAACTACCTACGAAGAAGCGCTATTGGCCTTTTTTTATACAACTTAGAATGGCAAACGAGCTGACGGCCCACCTGGCGGAAAGTGGTAACCGTCGCCTATAGACATGAGCAGTAGCATGGACATAACAGAGTATACTGTTTCGTCCATGACACCCCCCACGCGTTGCCATTTCTGACGACTCAGGTGTTATTCCTCTGTACCCAGTAAATTCACGCCATATCCCACCCTTCAAACCGAAATACAGCCATGCAAACACAACTACTTCATGGTTGAAACACGAATGGGACAGAGGTGGCCAAGCAATCGACTTTTGTACAAAGTCTCCCTCTGGTAAACCCTGACCTGTAGCACTGTACGCGCTGTAGGTATCGCGCGTCGTGTGGATCGTAAAACTTCAAATACATTGCGCGGCGTCAAAAGAATTATTAATTATATGGCCGCGATGCATTTCCGGTGGAAAAACAATCTGCCATCTGATTCATGCCATTCATCTGAATCAGCTGGTTTCGTTTTAGCCAACCTGTCCCTTCCACTCTGTATCTTACCTGAATGAATTGTCGAAGTAGAACAACCCTTGTTCGGGTTTCACCCTCAGGAAAGTCGCCACGTCATTGTAGTTGGGCAGCGTCGCAGACAGACCGACAAGACGGACCTACGATCATTTGAAGCATTCATATATATATATATATATATATATATATATATACTAGCAGCCCGTCCCAGTTTCGCACGGGTGGACATTTTTACAACATTTTAAAAAGTGATTATTGTGAGATAACGATAATAGTTGGACATATAGTGTCGCTAAGTTTTTTACAGTTATTAATATTTTCTTCAATATTGTAGAACATACTTTTGTTCTATCACCAATAGTTTCCGCAGCGCACGCGACCAAATATATTTTATAGCATTTTTTTACACCACGAGTTACGTTAATAAAGTTTTAGTTAAGATTCCTAATCTTCTCTAGCAATAAATATAGCCTATGTTACTAAGAGTGAATGTAGCTTTCTAATGGTGAAAGAATTTTTAAAAACGGCAAAGTAGTTTTTGAGTTTATTCATTACAAACATACACATAAAAATACAAATATTTCCTCTTTATAATATTGGTATAGATGTAGATATATATAGACAGATAGGATTGAATCGGACTAAACGAGAAATTTTTAGGCAAATTGTTAGATCACACATAGAACACAGCCTAGTGTTAACACGGAAACGTGTGTGAATAAAATGGCAGTCGGAGATTGATGGCTAATATGGAAGATTGAGAAGGGAAAAGGGATTGTTAGTAATGGAGACTGAGAATCCCATTGCTAGCAATATACCCAACCAGGTCGATCTCCTCGCGGTTCTCCTGGAAACTATCACGTTTAATTCCTGATGAATTCATCATGATGGGCTAACTGGCCTGTTTTCATCCTCATCTATCACCCTTCACTGGTGCTCCGCCAGCGTGTCCCGTTAGCGCAGGCGGGGTTACCATACCATTTTCACCCATAAAAAAAAAATGGAGTGTTGTGTAACTTCTGGTAGTAACAGTGGCGGTCAATCTTCGAGTGTTGGCAGTCACACACATACTAATGGTAGCGGAATTAAACAAAATAATACTAATAAAATAACCAGTGATACGGACTTCCACTAGGTAACATTACAGGGTGCGTAGATATTGCAAGGCACAAAGGAAACCATGCTGTCTTTGGTAATGGCCACATTCCCATTCATAACTCTATAGGCGCCGACTGCCACTTGACATCAGGTGGACCGTCAGCTTGTTTGTCATTTAAATCTTATAAAAAGACCCCTACCTCTTCCTGGGTCTGCTCAACGGTGCGTAGTGTCCTGGCGACGAGCGCCTCCAGCACGGGGCCGCGCTCGTCGTGCAGGAGGTGCACCTCGTCGATGATGATCAGTCGCACCAGGTTGGTGAACGACCGCTCGCCGCCTGTTCACAACACGTCGATACAAGATCAATCAATTACTCGGGTAACTTAATAAACGATCAATCAATTACTTGGGTAACTTAATAAACTATCGAATCAATTACTCGGGTAACTTAATAAACTATCGAATCAATCACTCGGGTAACTTAATAAACTATCGAATCAATCACTCGGGTAACTTAATAAACTATCGAATCAATTACTCGGGTAACTTAATAAACTATCGAATCAATTACTGGGGTAACATAATAAACTATCGAATCAATTACTCGGGTAACTTAATAAACTATCGAATCAATTACTGGGGTAACATAATAAACTATCGAATCAATTACTCGGGTAACTAAATAAACTATCGAATCAATTACTCGGGTAACTTAATAAACTATCGAATCAATTACTGGGGTAACATAATAAACTATCGAATCAATTACTCGGGTAACTAAATAAACTATCGAATCAATTACTCGGGTAACTTAATAAACTATCGAATCAATTACTCGGGTAACTTAATAAACTATCGAATCAATTACTCGGGTAACTTAATAAACTATCGAATCAATTACTGGGGTAACATAATTAACTATCGAATTAATTACTCGGGTAACTTAATAAACTATCGAATCAATTACTCGGGTAACTTAATAAACTATCGAATCAATTACTCGAGTAACTTAATAAACTATCGAATCAATTACTTGGGTAACTTAATAAACTATCGAATCAATTACTCGGGTAACTACCCTCCGCCAACTGTGTGTTTTTTTTTCACACCGTCAACCGTCACGGACGATAATTTGACCTACTTAAAGGTAAGGAAATATTCCAAGAAAATTCGGGAAATATGTTCTAGATTTCTTTTTTCTGTTCAAGATTCAAACTTGGCGCAGACGATATTGTCCTATATGGTTGGTGGGGGGTTAGTAAACCATCAATCAATTACTAAGGTAACTTAATAAACAATCAATCAAACTAATTATCCATCAATCAATACATCTGTAAGGTGAGAGGCTTAGATTATATAGATAGAGCCACGAGCCTCGAAAACGAGTCAACTTTTTGTTGACGTGTTTTTTATCAGTGTTCTATATACTTACTTAATGTTACAAATTAAAAAAATTTAAACAAAATAAAAAAAAACTATCTAATTTGTCAATGTGGGTGCGTTGCCAAGCGTGGCAACACACTAGCAAAACTCCCAATGGCAAATACCAGGAGCGATCGGCCTTTAGTCCTTTAGCTTGGGGCTGTTCCATATGACAGTCTATAGGGGAGGCCTATGTCAGCAGTAGACACCTTATATAATAATGATGATCTTTCTTAGCTTTATTAAAACCTAGCGGCCCGTCCCGTTTCGCATGGGTGGACATTTTTACAACACTTCCCTTCACTGCTCCGCTCCTATTGATCGTAGCGTGATGAAAAGTATACTATAAACTGCCCAGGAGTATGAAGAATAATTGTACCGAGTTTCGTTGAAATCCGTCGAGTAGTTTTTGTTTCTATAACGAACATACAGACGGACAGACAAAAATTTTACTAATTGCATTTTTAGCATCAGTATCGATCACTAATCACCGCCTAATAGTTATTTTGGAAATATATTTCATGTACAGAATTGACCTCTCTACAGATTTATTATAAGTATAGATATCCATATTATATAGGATATAAAGCTAAACACACACTATATATCAATGAATCAATCAATTAAAAACAATTAATTGGTCTATGAAACAACCAATCAATCTTAGAATCAAACAATTGACCTATGAATCAACCAATCAATCCACAAATTAATCCATATATTAATAAATCAATCAATTTATATGTGAATCGATTAATTAAACTATCAATTAATGAATCAAACTATTTGTTTGTTTCAGACAAGTTTAAATTTTACAGTTTGTTTTTTTTTAACATTGAAAATGAAAAATTTTCAGACTTTTTCAACGCGTTTATTGACTGCGAATTGAATTCAATATTATAAGAAGATTGTGATTAATTGCTAATAATAGAAATTAACTAAACCATAGACTATGAATCAATCGACTACATAATTAATCCATCGTTTAATTAATCCATCGTTTAATTAATCAATCAACTAATGAATGAATCAATCAACACAATTATTATACCAATATTATGGCCGTGTGATCCCGGCATAGAATAGGCCACCCCTTCCTTTCCCGTGAGTGTCGTAAGAGATCACTAAGCGAGGGCGAAGGATGCGCAACAGTATACCTCTTTAAACATCTTCAAAGCCTAACTACGGTTGCCAATCCGCCTGACAAGCGTGGCAATTACTGGATAAACTCTCTAATTGACTGATATGATGGCATATATAAATACTATCCACTTCATTCAAGAGTTAGATACCGTAGCCAATTTATGCCAATTATACATAATAATACAGACCTTTCCTGGTGATGATGTCCCACTTCTCTGGTGTGCAGACGATCAGCTGGGTGGCCTCAATCTGTTCCCTGGTGAGCTGGTGGTCACCGGTCAACTCGGACACCTTCATGTTGTACGCCGATAGACGCTTGCTGAAGTTACCCACCTGCCGAGAGAGACATTGGTCAAAACCTTCACAAGACATGTGTACGCGCATAGCTGAAAGCTTTGCTACATCCTGGGGGTCATTCATGTCATCCAGACAATTCTGGGGTCTTAGCGGATGATAATGAAATGGTAATCCTTACACTTAACAAGTAGATTTTGTTCCAGGAAAAAAAAACATACATAAATTCAACATACATACATTGGTTATTTTAAATTAAAAACAAAATTCCTGAAGCGATTTTATTAAAATTTCCATGGGACCAATCTGAATGTGTACACTTTAAGATAAAAAAATAAAAATATAACAAATCAGTTTACATATGATAAGTTTCAACAGTCTTCAAAAAGAAAGAGGTTCTCGATTCGGTTGTATTTTAAACCAATTTGAATTTTTTTTTGTCTGAAAGGATATACTTTCAAGTCCTATAGAGATTTTATAAAAAAAAAAGGATAAAACTTTGATAAAATTTTCATATAAAAACTAAACTACTGAGTTCATTAGACTAAAATAACTGGTTTTGCTACGATTGGAGGTTTTTTTTAGAACATAATTTGTTTATTCTGAAGTCGGTTGAAAACAAATTCAACTTCAAAATAACTGATCTTCTTAGGGTTCCGTATCTTCAAAGGGAACAGCGGAACCCTTATAGTATCACTTCGTTGTCTGTTAGTCCGTCAAGACCCTTTTTCTTAGCAACGCGTTGAGGTATCAATTTGAAATTAATATCATATACTCAGGTCTGAAATCTCTTAAAGCAGTGAAACTATCAAGCTTCTAAATCGATACGGTCATTGCGCGAATGCGATCCGCACTTGACTTTTTTTTATATAACGAAATATTATTACTTTAAAGTCGGTTTAAAAGAAGTATGCATATACCGCGTATAAAAGCTTACCATCTCCTGCACGAGGGAGCGCATCGGCGCCACGTATATCATCTTGAAGTCGTTTACGTTGACGGAGCCGTCGTCGTTGACGTGCTTGCCCACCTCGCGCAGGATGCACAGCAGCGCCACGTTGGTCTTGCCGGCGCCGGTGGGCGCGCACACCAGCAGGTTCTCGTCAGTCTCCAGCGCAGCCTTCGAGATGCGGCTCTGTGGGCGTAGCGATAAACACACTTCCTTCACATACTATTTCTGCATTATTTTCCTTTGTCTAGTGTTCTAATTATCATTGGAATTATGGTTGTATATTGTTTTTTTTTTTTCTATTTAATTTAACCTACTCTCCAAAAATAAGCATAATATTGTCTGGTATACAAATTGGGAATCCAATTTGTTCAAATTATTCTAGATATAAGCTCTTGATTCCAGATGTAATATTAAAATAAAATAAAAATATGGCAACTTTCTTCTTTAACCTACTCTCCAAAAATAAGCAATCTCCAAAAATAATATGTATATCAGACAATATTATATTGTCTGATATACATATTGGAAATCTGTAATTGGCCAATGCATGGTGTAAATTTAATATTTCAAATTATTTTAAATATAAGCTCTTGATTTCAGATGTAATATTAAAATAAAATAAAATAAAAATATGGCCGTGTGATCCCGGCATAGAATAGGCCACTTCCCTCCTATCCTGTGGGTGTCGTAAGAGCCGACTAACGAGGAACGAGAGATGGGCAGCTGCATCTCTGTTAAAACATCTCTAAAGCCTGACTGCGGTTGCCAATTCGCCTGTCAAGCGTGACAATTACTGGCAAAAATAATATTGGATAACAGACTTTTAACATATTTGTAAATAGATATCCGACCGATATGGGCGATATCGAAATGGGTGATGACCTTTATTCAGTGGAACCCAATATATAAATATCGGATTGGTATCCATATTACCCATGTCTAATATAAACCCACCTGTATCCTGTTGAGGGTCTTGAAACCGTCAAAAGCTGGTTGCACATATTTGGGTAACTTCTCAATTGGTACAAGGGTCTCGTCCTCTTCGAATGGCTTAGGTTTCAGGGCTGGCACATGCACTTCTTCGTAACCTGAACAGAAATATTATATATTCAAGGTGTGAAGGGTGCGATATGGCAGTGAATTTACAGGGTACAGAGGAATAACAACCGAGTTCTCAGAAATGGCAACGCATGGGCAATATCATGGGCGAAATAGTCTGTTATGTCCATGGTATTGCTCATGTCTATAGTAGACGGTTACCATTTTCCATCAGGTGGGCCTGACTTGTTTGACATTCTAAGTAGTAAAAAAAATCAAAGTGGTTGAAAATATTTTAAAGGCTAAACCCTGCAATTGAGAATAACATAGTGACGTCAGATACAATGACGTTTAAAAAAATTGTTAAAAATTTCCCATACTGACAGCAGTGCAGATAGCAGAGTGATGTGGTAGGTTGACTGGTAGAGAATGCTTATAGCATTAAGTCCAGTCCGCCTTTTGTACCACATTTCATTGGTTAATATAGTTTAAATAAATAAATGTGGGTTGAAATCCGCTTCCATCCATTGAAGGTTATTTTTTCAAACTGTAAAGGTGATTACTATTTACTCGATAGCAAACTAACTTGATAGCAAAGACACCATATCTAAATATTTTTTTTTTAGTAATCTTTCAATCTATGTATCTTTGGGTAAAACACTAAGTTTCACTGGTGGAACACTTGAAAGGCAAATAATAATTCAATTTTCGTCACTTAAAAAACAAACTATAACAAACATACCTTTCCGCTGTTTTCTGAAGGATCCGGGTGGCAGCTGACACCTCTTGTTGGCCATGAAATGAGCTCCGGCCGCGAACACAAGATCCTCGAGCTGCAGCATCTTGCGGGAGCCGCTCACCTGGCCTGTGCCCTCGCCTGTCTCCACTTCGGATTTGTGCCGTTTACGCGGCGCCTCCGATTGCTTGTCCATCTGTGAGATATTAACAAAGTTGGTGCCGTGACCAGGATTGTAGCAGTAATTAAAAGAAATTAAACATTTTTTTAAGACAAGAAAAAGATGGTGCTGATTTTTAAAGCGGCGTAGTGAGGCGGGTCGTTGGGCTCCCTATAATATGGTTGAACACAACGATAGTTGGCACATCCGTCATACTCGTGAACGGGCGCTTCTAGTAGGAACTGGTCTATTTAAGAATACTATGACTGATTGTAGCTTGGTAGTTTTATATTTTCTTTTCATTATAAATACGAAGTTTGTGATAGTAGTTTTATCCATTCATAATTTTATTTGGTTGTAAACTTCACTTTTATTTGAGAAAAAAAGCAACAGCCGTATTACTTGCCTGTTGCAGCTGAGAAAACTAAAATTTCATTCCGAACTGGAGTGAAATTATGAATCTACCAATAAAAGACATGACTATTTAAAAATTTTTATTATTAAGTTTACTTGAATAAAAATATCTATTACTAGCAACCCGCCCCGGCTTCTCACGGATGCAACGCTGATAGTAAATAGCGGCACATTAGAAACCTCTAAATCATCAGTATTTCTCTACTATATTACGCATGTACCTTCCCTTTAAATCACTCTATTTATTAAAAAAACCACATCAAAATCCATTGCGTAGTTTTAAAGATCTAAGCATACATAACGACAGACAGCGGGAAGTAACTTTATTTTATACTACGAGTATTTAGGGATATAATACTATTAGTAACTGCCAAAGTGAGGCAATTGATAGTCACGGATAAAAACTGACCTCGTCATCCCCTTTCCCCGTCTCCAGTTGTGCTAATATTTTCTGCAAGTGCGGCTGGCGAGACATTTCATCCCTAATCGCCGCCCGCTCGCTCTCAGACTGCGATGAGGCTAACTTTGTGCAGTATAGAACTGTGAACAAAATAACATTTTTTTTATATACAATTTGTAATATCATCATCATCACAGTCATTATCTGTAAGAAAAGACCTGAGTAACCAACATATATAACAATGAAATTATCCTGTATGGAAGCTTTTCAATGTATGACAATGGAATGGTCACCCCGCCTGCGCTAATGATAAACGCTGGCCGGGCACCAGTGAGGTGATATGTGGGGATTAAAGGGCAGGTCATTTAGCCCACCTTGATGAATACGCCTGGAATTAAGCACGATGGTTTACAGAGGAAACCACGTGGAGGTTAACCTGATAGAGTATATTGTTTGAAATAGGACTGATAGTCCGCATTACTAACAATCCCTACCCCTTAGGGTATTGAGGCTTAATAACACCATAGTACACAGGAATGTATCATAGGGGTGCCATTAACTACTTTCCATCAGGTAAGTCATTTGTTTGCTTGCTATTTAAAATACCATAAAATCTAAAAGATTAATTATACACACACTATTAAAAATGATATTATTTATTTCATCAACTGTACTTTACAGTTCCCTAGTACGCTCACCCGGGGGGAAGGGATTGTTAGTAATGGGGTCTAATGAACCCATTGCTAGCAATACACCGTACCAGGTCGACCTCCACGCGGTTCCCTGGCCTGCTTTCATCCCCTACTGGTGCCCCGCCAGCGTATACCGATAGCGCGGGCGGGGTTACCATGCATTACTAAAAAAACATCCCCCCTCCCCCTGTACTAAATTTGACCAACCATTTGTATTATACTCACTCATGTGTCTATATTTGTTTAAAACTTTCACAAAATCAAAGCAGTCGTATCCTAGCAGCAGAACCAGCCTATTCTCCAGGTCTCGGTCGTCTGCGGCGTCAGCTAGCGCCTTCAGCACCTCGCTGGACTTCGCTTGGGAGACCATGGCGTCGGGGAAATGGCGGGAGAGCCGGCGTTGGAGCCAGTACGCGTCGATGTCCATGGGGTGGAGTACTGTGTCCCGACGCTTTTGTGTTTGCTCTTCTGATAGCTGAAAGATCAAGGTTAAATGTTTACAAATTAGTTCTATAGGCACTCTAAGTAATTTACATTTTTTATGGATGATAATGCAATGGTAACCCCGCCTGCGCTATCGGTATACGCTGGAGGGGCACCAGTGAAGGATGATAGGTGAGAATGAAAAGGCAGATCAGTTAGCCCATCGTAATGAATACACCTGGAATACAGCATGATGAATTCCAGACAAACAGGTCGAGCTAACAGGGTATATAGCTAGCAATGAGACTGGTTGTCCACATTACTAACCCTCCCCCTCCCAACCCCAATATTTTATATTCGACACTTTTATAAATTTATACATTTCTATTGAATATCATATTTTGATATCAGCCCTTAACTATCCACTGTTGAGTTGCCACACTTGGCAGGCGGCAGGCGGCTTGGCAACCGCTGTTAGGCTTTCGGTGAAGTTTTAAGAGGGACGCTGCTGCTCATCCCTCAACCTCCCCTAGTCGCCTCTTACGACACCCACGGGAAAGAAAGAGATGGCCCATTCTATACCGGGATCACACAGTAATTTGTATTGATACAAATTCATTTATTTTTTTATAACAAGATCCATTTTGTGATTCATGGTGCTGTTCGTATAAAGCTATAAGCAACTCATTTGAACTAATTTCAATAAAAAAGTTTCTTAATGGGAAAAGTTGCTTATAGAAAAAAAAGAAGTATAAAAATACTTACAGTCTGGAAAATATTTTTACTTATTTCTTTTACTAACTAAGCTGACTAGATAAATATAATATAAAAAATGTTGCTTATATAGAGCGTTCACTGTATTAATAAAAAACTCACGTTAGTATGTATAGCGTTCCTCCGCCCCTCCCCGTCGCTGTCTTCATCGCCGCTGCTGTTTTTCTCTTTTTCGTTATCTGTACCTTCGCCGTCTTCCTTATCTTCTTCGCGGACCTGCAATAAGGGGTCACACCCTTAGAAGTGGGCAATATATAGATATAACTATATATTTAAGTTACAATATATTGGTTTAATAACAAATAAACGTTAAAATAAGTCTGTTATACATAAAAAATATTGCTTTTTTTATGCAGCCTAGAATGGCAAACACGCGGACAGTCCACCTGATAAAAAGTGGTATCTGTCGTCTATAGATATGAGCAGTGCCATGGACATAACAGAGTATACTGTTTCGCCCATGATACCCTTCATGCGTTGCCATTCCTGAGGACTCGGGTGTTATTCCTCTGTAACCTGTAAATTCACGCCATATCCCACCCTTCAAACCGAAACACAGCCATGCAAACATAACTGCTTCACGGTAGAAACACGAATGGGACAGAGGTAATGCAACGACTTTTGTACAAAGTCTCTCTCTGGTAATAATATTGGATAACATACTTACCATATTCGAAAATAGATATCCAACCGATATGGGCGATAAAGAAATGGGAAGTGACCTTTTTCCACCATCAATGTCTAGAGGAAACCAATATATAGATATTGGATCGGTATCAATATTATCCATGCCTAGTCTTTAATACCAAACACTTATGTCTGTGAGTAAAGTAAGTCACTTTAAATTACAGTTAAAAAAATGGTTACTGGAATGCAATTTTTATTCAATAAATGACTTTTTAAAAAATTAAATGTATGTATGTAAATGTATAATTCAGTTGTATTGTACGCCATTTGTTATGTTTTTGACTTGTTATGTATTTGTTTTTGTTTAGTTTGCATTTATAATAATAATAATAATCATTTATTTACAAAATATTGGTGATTGCCAGTAACAGATCTTAAGTTATAGTTGTTCAGCAATATTTACCATTTCGGTGTGTAAATGTTTTTTTTTTTTTTTATAATATCCAAAATAAGTCAAATTAACATCAACAAAACCAATTACTTCAAATTACAATCACTAATAAGCTCTTACAATGTCAAGTATCACAAATTACATCTATTCAAAAAGTCTTTCACAGAATAGAAACAACCATCAATCAAATAGTCAAACAATCTTCTCCTAAACTGTGTGTTGGTCAAATTTTTAACATTATAAGACAATTTGTATTTGTTTAGTTCTGCTGCCTTTGGTATGTGTGAGACTGCCAAAATGTATGGATTTTTTTTTTGATGTGTTAAAATGGAATGGTAACCCCGCCTGCGCTAGCGGAATACGCTGGCGAAGCACCAGTGAAGGGTGATCGATGAGAATGAAAACAGGCCAGTTAGCCCATCATGATGAATCCATCAGGAATTAACCACGACAGTTTGCAGGGGGATCCGCGTGGAGGTCGACCTGGTTGGGTATATTGCTAGCAATTGGATTCTCAGTCTCCATTACTGACAATCCCTTTCCCCCCAATATTTATGGATTGACTCCTACTAGGCTATTAGTATACGTAAGCCACTAAAAAGTAAGTAGCATGTACTGAAATAAAAACTTGCATGCCTTCAGATAAGCCGAAATGTGTAGCTCAATAAAATTTAACGCCATTTGTACCACATTTCGAGCAAATAAATAAATTATTATTATTAAAAAAGGTGTTTCTAACTGATAGGTCAATCCTTACATACAGACATTCCTTATGAGGCCTGGCATAGTCGCCCAGGTGTACTGAAGCCTCAACAAAATAAAAAGTAACCATTTTTTTTTTCTTTTACAACGCAGGGGGCAAACGAGTATGCGGCTCACCTGATGGTAAGTGACTACCGCCGCCCATGATCACTCACAACACCAGCGGCATTGCAAGTGTGCTGCCGGCCTTTTAAAAAGGAATATACTGATTTCTTGAAGGTTATGTTGTCGTATCGGTTCGGAAATATGCCATACCTCTCCATATGCATCCTCATCGTCTTCCTCTGAAGACTCCTCAAATTGCACATTGATTCCATATGTCTCATCTATTTCAGTGTTGCCTTCAGACGATGTGTTTATATTGAAATCTGTTATCTTTTTACCTGAAACAGACAAATAATCACTACATAGTATAAAACAAAGTCGCTATCTGTCCATCCTTATGTATGCTTAAATCTTTAAAACTACGCAACAGATTTTGAAGCGGTTTTTTTAATAGATAGAGTGATTCAAGAGGAAGGTTTATATGTATAATACATGCATAATATTGTAGAGAAACAATGATAATTTTAGAGGTTTCTAATGTGATGTCGTAATGTAATGGAGGCCCGGCGGCGCTATTTACCAGAGGGAGACTTTGTACAAAAGTCGATTGCTTGGGTACCTCTGTCCTATTCGTGTTTCAACCGTGAAGCAGTTGTGTTTGCATGGCTGTGTTTCAGTTTGAAGGGTGGGATATAGCGCGAATTTACTGGGTACAGAGGAATAACACCTGAGTCCTCGGGAATGGCAACGCATGGTGTATCATGGGCGAAACAGTATACTCTGTTATGTCCACGGTACTGCTCATGTCTATAGGCGACGATTACCACTTTCCATCAGGTGGGCCGTCAGCTTGTTTGCTATTCTAAGTTGTATAAAAAAAAAATTTGTATCAGCATTGCACCCGTGCGAAGCCGGGGCGGGTTGATAGTAACAATTAAATAAATACACCAGTAAAGTCATTTGAGACACCCCTTTTAAATTTCGAATTTATCATTCAATTACTGACTTACCTAAATTAACTAATAATGCAAATCTTTCATCAGCTATGGGTCCCAGTAGCAATTCTATTTCTTTCTTCTTCTCTAGATCCTTCAGTTTATCATTTTTCAGTACTACCAACACCTAAAAAATTAGAAAGCATATATTAAACTTTTTAGCAGTAACTGATAGTACTGAAGGCTGTTTTTTTTAATAGTTAAAAATAGAATGGTAACCCTGCCTGCGCTATCGGTATACGCTGGCGGGGCACCAGTAAGAGGTAATAGGTTCCAAATGAAAGCAGTAGGCCTACCATGAAATGATTTCCGAAATTTCGGGGACGAACGAAACAGAAAATTGATCTTAAAATTACATAATACATGCCGTTTAAAATTATTAAAAATGTTAAAATATCGTTCCTCTGGACTATTAGGATAGGATTTATGATGAATGAAATGTTAAGCTCCATTTACTGGGTCGATTTCGGTACAAACAAAAATACGAAATTGAGCCCGAAAATTCGGAATTTCATTTCATGGTAGACCACCAGGTCAGTTAGCCCATCGTGAAGAATTCCACGAGGATTAACCACGATGGTTTCCAGGGGGAACCGCGTGGGGGCCGACCTGATAGGACACATTTCTAGCAATGGAGCTGTTAGACTCCGTTACTAAAAATCCCTTTCCCCCCCTAGTAGAGGGTTAGCTCTTTGCTAGCAAGGAGACATGCTAGCAAATATGCTAGGCGCAATAATATTTTTGTTTTCTCAAGAGAGGCAAGAGTTGAAACTTGTTCAGGAGGCAGGTAAATTCCCATTACCTATTTCTTTAGTTTGCATTGATGTTTACTATGTGTTATTTACCTTGATTTATTTAGTATATTTATATATATGTATGTTTATATAACTTAGTCTTACTTTAATATAAATGATATTTAGAATATTAAGCATTTTGTTGGGTTACTTTATTTGTATTTACTGTGTCCGACTTGCGCCATCTACCTTTCTCTCTCTACTATTTATGTTAGGTTGTCTGTAAGAGATTGCTTTTAGCTATAAGGTTGCCTTTTGTATATGCACATTCTATATAAACACTCCTTGTGTACATTTCTTTTATGTGCAATAAAGAGTTTATTATTATGTTCCTAGGTCGGCAAACATGAATTGCGTTGTTGTTGATTTTCCATCAGCACAATGATTACACCATAATGGATAGATGATCGAGATAAGACAAAATATAATTGGTATCCAGTCAGTGTACTAACCTCATCACACGCCCCACACAGTATGTCCCTGGGCTGGTCTCCGAGCGCGCTCTGCATGAACGACAGTAGAAGCTCGTACGCGTGCCGCGTGTGCTGTGCCCGCGGCCGGTACAGCACGCCGGGCGAGTCGTCCGCCCACGCTACGCGCGCCGTCTTCGACTTTGACAGCTCGTATGATGCTTCGTCACGTTTCTGTCGCCTTGCAAATTAAAAAAATAATTATAAAAGCATGTCTTCATTGAAAGTAGTTGGACAAGTAAACATTTTTTTTTATTAATTGCTCGCCATTGCTTTTCCATTCCATTTTTAAATATTTTTTAATCATTACATATTCCATGTGTATACTAACAAAAAGAAATACTATTTAAAATTGGAAGCATCAGTAGTTGCCGAGATATAGTGCTGTAACAGAAGGACTGATGTACCAAAGTGCACAATAAGGATTCCTTTGTACTTTTTATTACAATTTTTTTTTTATATACCACAAATTTATACGCATAAGGCAGGCACACAAACGAAAATTGTATTTAGCTTTATGTATTTTGTTTTATCACTTATGTTATCTCGCTTTTTTTTTATATCTATGTTGTAATTTGTGTGCTGTAAGTAAGTAATGCAAATAAATTATCTATCTATAAGTCCATCTAACTGTAAGTGGTCACTGTAACATGTCACATGCATGTTGTTGATCCTAATCATTAGAAAATTCACAAATATAATCCATAATGGGGTAGTCCAGAGATATTTGTCAACTTGCTGCTGTTGTAGTGAATGTCACTTTAATATGTACTTTAAAATGTAGACAACATGTTTACATTTCAAAGAATATACATATTAAAATCTAACGTTTAATATGTTAGATTCAAGATATTTAGTTGTGTTTTTCATCACTGGAAAGAAATTATATTTTTATATATTTTTTAAATGCCATTACAGAAGATGCCTAAAAAGCAGCATGAAAGAGTACTCAATAGCATAGCATTTAGATTTAGCTCTTTAAAAATTTAATATATATGCATCTGAATACATCTAAAAGTTAAAAAAAAAAAAATTAAAAAGCATAATAAACATTATAATTTATAAACAGCACTTACTTTGCTTTTCTTTCTTCAGCTTTGTCTGGCTTAGTTCTCTGTGCTCTGTCACCCATACGGGTCCCACCGAGTTTGCCCGAGAGTGACAGAACCTCACCGGTCGCTTCATCTCGTCCACGTCGCTCTATCAATCTCACATCGGCTTGTAAGACAAGATTGGAGTTCTGTGTAATAAGAATTCAGTACTTAAAATACATAAATAAATTTTACTTCATAAATTATGAACCCAGAAACTAATCATAGAGATTAGGTCCTGGTAAATTAATTACAATGGTCTGACTGATCATTTGATTGATCGACAATTGATCATCATGATCACCAATCACCCCTCACTAGTGCCCTCCAGCATATACTATTTTTTTTTATACAACTTAGAATGGCAAAGTGGTAACCGTCGCCTATAGACATAAGTAGTACCATGGACATAACACAGTATACTGTTTCACCCATGATACCCCTCATGTGTTGCCTATCCTGAGGACTCAGATGTAATTCCTCTATACCCTGTAAATTCACACCATATCCCATCCTTCAAACCGAAACACAGTCATGCAAACACAACTGCTTCACGGTACAAAACATGAATGGGACAGAGGTACCTAAGCAATCGACTTTTGTACAAAGGTGATTGTGACCTTTGGAAAAATTACAAATATAGCAAACAGGGTTTCTGATCCAATTTGATTCATCAAAAAAAGGTCCCCTTGCATGTACATATGCTTTTTCAAGCAACTTCTAAAAGATTCTCAATTTCGTTGTAATTACAGATTGTTCCTATGGAAATTTTATCAATATCGGTCCAGTACTTCAGTTTTTAAACTGGTTTTGTCATAAAGTTTTCATTGTGAAACACAATTTTAAATTATTCGTTAAAAAAATTAAAAAATACACAGAATAAGGCAGTTCAGCAGCCAACCTTTGTCTATTTAGTCTAAATAGTTTTCGATAAAGTTTTCTGTTTCCTGTTTTACCGTTCCTTTTGGTGTCCGTATACATTTATCTAGACAATATTTGTAATTGCGTTTAAAAAATATGACCATGATTCTTAAAAATTTACGTATTATCCCGCCTATAATTTTAATGGATAATAAAATGGCACTTTTGACTTATTAATAAAAGAAATTAATGGTTCAAACTAAATAAAAAACCAAAATAACAAATTTCAAAATAATACTTACAGCTTTATATTCATATTGTAGCTGTCTGGCAGCCGCATCCGCCATAACGATGGCTTATTGTAAATACACAATACAATGTCACAATTATAAAGAATTAATACAATATTTCTTGGCAAACATACGAAAAACAGTTTATCAGTAATTGTAATATTATTGTAGGTTATGCCGAAGCAATACCGCCATTTTTATTACTTGTCAAAATTATCCTTTTTAAAAAGTGCTCGAGCAGCATTAGATAGAAGTCTTTTCACCAGATACTTTTAATGAGATCGGGGGGCATTTATCTAGTAATTAATTAGTTTAGTGATTAGAAATTAATCGCTTGCGAAGTAGTCGTGCAGTGTTTGTTTTTATAGGAAACCCACTTTCTATTTTTTAGATAGAAGAATACCTATTAATCGTAGTTCGTCCAGTATGTTGGTTAACCTGTTTTTCAATTTTTAACCTATGAATGATAACCATAGATAAGAAATTGTAGTTGGCCTGCGACTTCAATAAAAATATTAAATAAGTATATACTATTAACATGCGTATAATCAGCTGATTTTGATCAGCTCTTTATCAATTGCTTATGCAGCAGGAGTTCATTATTCTCATTCGATACTTATTGTTATTACTTTTTATGTTGCAGAGGACAATAAACTAAAAACCACATGGATAAATTCTTCTATAATAACATTTATTATCACTATGTTTGTATTCTTGTCAAAAGTTTAATGATCTTTATTTATTACTCTATATTACTATTAGGTATCTACGTAAAATATGCTCATATCTGTCATATATCTACTTATTTATGTGACATATAACTAATCACGTAGATACATTGATATAATATTATGTCATACAAGTAACTCAGAGCTCAATTACAAACAATTTACTAATGATAGAAAAAGTTTTAATCCGTTACTAAAATTAGATAGAAGAACCACAGAAACCTTAGCATAGAACTTTATCGTGACTGAAACTGTTAAATTTTACAATAGGACCAATTTAATTGCACATAAATTCCCAAGGTCACGCGGAAAACGTCACAATGCAGATGACCATCATCTTCCTACCCTTATCCCAATTATTATATGGGGTCGGCGTAATATGGTTTTATGCATATTACTAAAGGATTTGGCTTATAGTTTTACGACCGGCCGCCTGCTTGACGTCACACCTCTTTGTTGTTTGTGCATTTGTTGGTGGTTTCCGCCACCTGCGGTTTGAGGGAAAATATTGAGGAAAAAAAAAGAATGCAGATATTAGACGATTTTAATATGAAAAAATTAGAACACAGTGATTTTTTAGGGTTACGTACCAAACAGATACAAAGAACCCTTATGATGCGACATTGTCTGTCAGTCCATTACAACGTCTTTGTCTGTCACAACGCTATATATTAGTAACTACTTATGCTATCGATTTGAAATTTGGAATAGTTTTTTATATCATTTGCCCGCAAATATATATAATATTTTGTAATTTTTTTATCATTCCCTCTTATCATCGAAGTTTCTGAAGCGAAAAATAAAATATTGTATCTAACATCGTTTTTTGAGATTTTAATAAAAAATCTCCAAAACCAAGTTCAGTTATTAATGTAGTAGCACTCACCAGTATTAAGCAACGCCGAGATCAGGATTAGTATTAAGGAAGACCAGGTGCAGGATTTTAATTTATCTACACTAGTTAATATTGGTCTGTGAACTTGCTAGTTCTGTCAATGTTCAGAGTAAGTATAGACAAAAGGGTAATCAGTCATTTTTTATTCTATTTTTTTTTTTATTTTACATTGACAGGCGTTGCTGGAATGCATATCACCTGTCATTGAACCAAGGAGGTTTTGTAACAGTTATGCAGTCTAGTTATTATCCACAATTATGACCCAAAATAAGAAATTACGAACTGTAGTATCAGTAATAATAACTACTTTTTTTTTAATAGATAATAATGGAATGGCAACCCTGCCCGCGCTAATGGTATACACTGGCGGAACACCAGTGAGGGATGACAGGTAAGAATAAAAAGGCAGATCAGTTAACCTATCGGGATGGGGGGGAAAGGGATTGTTAGTAATGGAGACTGAGAATCGCATTGCTAGCAATATACCCAACCAGGTCGACCTGCTCGCGGTTCTCCCTGGAAACTATCATGGCTAATTCCTGATGAATTCATCATGATGGGCTAACTGGCCTGTTTTTATTCTCATCTATCACCCTTCACTGGTGCTCTGCCAGCGTATCCCGTTAGCGCTGGCAGGGTTACCACATCATTTTCACCCTAAAATAAAAAACTTATCGGGATGAATACACTTGGAATTCAGCAAGATGGTTTCTACTGGGGACCACGTGGAAGTCACTGGCGATCAGCATTACTAACAATGTCTTCCTCCCCAATAATAATTATTAGGTGACTAATTCGTATAAGAAATACAATGAAAGTAATTTTTTATGACATATATATTTATTTATGTACAGAACCCTCGGCGTGTGAGTTCAACTCGCACCTTTTTTTCTTCAGCGCTCCATCGTGCATTCGCCTAAAAACTATAAGCAGATTGTTTGAACAAGAAGTTGGTGGAGAGGTCTGTCCTTCAAGTAAAGAAACCAGCTTGTTATTGTTATCCATTAATTTTCCTATTCATTACTTAGTAGTCAAGTGAGGTCCCAGATGTGATACGCTTAAACCTTTTTACTTTTACAGATACACTTAAAGTTCTAAAGTGTAATGTTTTTTTTATACTACTTAGAATGGCAAACAAGCTGACGGCCCACCTGATGGAAAGTGGTAACCGTCGCCTATAGACATGAACAGTACCATGGACATAACAGACTATACTGTTTCGCCCATGATACCCCCCATGCGTTGCCATTCCTGAAGACTCAGGTACTATTCCTCTGTACCCAGTAAATTCACGCCATATCCCACCCTTCAAACCGAAACACAGCCATGCAAACACAATTGCTTCACGGTTGAAACACGAATGACAAATAAGTGTTTTGTATGTTCTTACTCTATACTCAAATTCTTGTTTGTTAATCTGAAGACATTCATATAGTTCAGATCTTTAAACGAACTATGAATCATTTGCTATCATTTCTGGGGTCTTATTTGAAATCTTTTGAGGATTTCAACATTGGAGTTCTTTGCAGAGCCCCATAGTTAAATTTTATGTCTACTTTAATTTTTAAACACTATTTCATAGACTAGAAGTTTATTTTTCAGAGGTACAGATGATGCACGACCTAAAAGTCAGTGAAACTTCCCAGTTGTAAATTAAGCGCATTCCGTTTTTTCTCTATGTGATGTCTCCACGTTTGTTTACGGCCGAAATGTACATATATCAAGTCTTTGGCAGTTTCTTCAGAGGAATCATATGTTCCTAGTGCTAACTATGGTAGTGGATTTACAGGGCACAGAGGAATAACACCTGAGTCCTCAGGAATGGCAACGCATGCGGGGTATCATGGGCGAAGCAGTACACTCTGTTATACCCATATCTATAGGCGACGGTTACCACTTTCCATCAGGGAGACCGCCAGCTTGTTTGCCATTTTAAGTTGCATAAAAGAAACTAACTTGTTAACTAACAAAAAAAAAAAAGAAAAAATAATAAAACCGTAAATTTGTAGTTATATTACATTTTTTTTTAACTTGATGATTTCGTATTTTTCGCACGGGGCACTTTAGTGATGTCAAAAATGTGATAAAGCCAATTTCCATAATATCAGTGATGTCACTATTGCCGTTCATAGACTTAACATACTTATCGCCGCTAGACAAGTGACGCAGAGTAATATTTAATTGTTTAATGCCGACTAGTAGACCTTTAATTAAAAATCATATTAATTTGTATTATAAATGAGAAAGTTTGTATGATATTTTTTATTCTTTCACGCAAAGACTACTTAACGAATTTAAATGAAAGATTAGACTGGCACATTACATACTAACTTAATACATAGGGTTCTTTGTATACTAATACAAGCGGGCGAAACCGTGGGTTACAGCTAGTAAGTAATATTTCTTGGCCTAGTGCTTTACCTTTAAAACAGAGTAGGTTCTTACTTTATTCAACAGTATTTTTTAACATTCATTTATTACATAATATTATTTATTAATTTTTGATTTTAAACCGATATTATAAATATTTTTTTAATTAAAAAGATACATTTTCTGTACCTATTATCACTTTACATTCCTATCAAATGACGCGAGTCGATATTTTACTAGCTTTTATCCGCGATTTTGGCTCTATAGTAAACATACGATTTCAAGTAAACAAATAATAAGAGCTTAAAAATCTCTGATTATAGAAAAAAAAAAAATTATAAACTAGTATTATTAGTACATATATAAGTACGTTATACTGAGTCTATGAATATAACAAACTTTTATGTGTTCAATAAAAAAAAAAGCAGTATTTTTTTTATAAGAGTTTACAGCTCGGTGCAGCATTGTTTACAAATATTACAGTAGTGAGGTGCATAACTGATTAAAGAACATTAGCGTTCACGAGTTTAGTGAGTCATTCTTTGATTTTGCACCTCGCTTTGCCTCACAAGGTCATTGGCTTTTGCGTTGTATACTAGTGATGTATTGTGACTTTGCATGACAGTTATCGCTACTGTCAATGATGATTATTATGTTACTTGTAGAGTATTAGCAAAAATAAAAATCGATACAAAGATAAATTAAATATAGTAAGCAGATACTTATGGAAAGAGAAATTTTTAAGAAACATTAAACATTAAATTGCTTTAAAGTTTTTAAAGCAATTTAATGTTTAATGTTTCTTAAAAATGTTTAGCCATGAAAAATAACAGACAGATAATTTGTGACAACCCTGCTGTATTGTTTGTTGTAATAAGTGTAACAAATATAAACAACGAAATAAGCAACCTTGAATAAGTAAACTAGTACGGCCGTATATGCACTGTTTAGTAATTAATCTTATTAATAGGTATAATAAAATTGTAGTTCGATGATATTCCTAGAATCTTATAATAGCAAAAGTTTGTAATTTGTTTGGTTGTTTATGTGTTTGTTGCAACATCATGCAAAAAAACTGTTACACCAAATTGGATGGACTGTGTAAACCACACAGTTGTGTTTTTGATAGTCTAACTTAAAATCCGGTGTATGTTTTATTTCGATACGTCATCTAGAAGTGGTATATTTGATTGTCTTTCCTATTTTCAAAATCCACGCTTATGAAAGTAAAAGGCATAATGTATTAAAAAAAGTAAGTATAAATAAATTAATAATAAATATAAAAATTTCTTTAGTGAGACAACCCTATTATATCGATTGTGGAAATGAGATAGACAGCGAGTCTCGAGTTGAGTGAGCGAAACTGACGTCGTAACGCATACCGAATTCCGATTCCGAATTGTGAGTTTGTGTTGTTATGTGTTATCATTGACTTCGCGGAATAAAAACACCGTGTTGCCGCTATTGATTGAATTTAACTATGGCGGCCCCTACAAATGGTAGCGGCAATTTAGTTGAAGAATTCGAGGAGTCTTTTGAGGTAAGCGAAATATTCACAATTATGAGATTATTCATTGTTATAAAACCAAAATTGTATTGCTAACCTCTATGTGTATAAATAAGTTTGTATTGACATCTGTCAAATTTTGCTGCCAACATTACGAATGTAATCGCACTGTGCCCAGTGTTGCTGTTAGTTGAAGCTTCGTAAGTGAAATTGAATAATACACACCGAAAATACTATCAACTGTCGTGTCTACGTGACCTCTTTTCGAATATGCGGCTTCAACTACACTTCGATTTGTTTTCGGCTATTTTGTTGCAAGCCCAGCGCATCTCATTCAATTTAAGTCGGCCATTTTAGTGATAATGTTTCCTATTATTACGAAAGTGTAATCGCGTGTTTTCTAACTCAATTAATGAACAAGAAACGTTAATTTATTGTGTTATAATAAATTAAGTGACAATAAGGATTACAGTGTCGGACAAAATGGTGTAATAGGTTGAAATCGTGTTTAAGATTTTGTTGTTGATTTTGTGTATGGTGATTTGATAAAAAGACAATGTCTTCGCTCGGCGATGACGCTGCTGGATCCTCAGGGGGCATGGCCATACAGGTTTTTCGCCCCACGTGGGAAGAATTCAAGGATTTTAACAAATATGTACAGTATATGGAGTCAAAAGGTGCACACAAGGCTGGACTCGCAAAAGTGATCCCGCCGCCTGAATGGGTCCCAAGGAAGGCTGGATACGACCTGGACCAGCTGAACGTGACGATCCCCTCGCCAATATGTCAGGTAGTCACTGGCAAACAAGGTTTGTTTCAACAAATTAATATCCAAAAGAAGTCAATGACTGTAAAACAGTTCGCGGTGCTTGCAAACTCGGCAAAATACTGTACGCCGCGGCACACTAGTTTCGATGATTTGGAAAGGAAGTATTGGAAGAATGTGACATATGTGGCGCCTATATACGGGGCAGATGTGAATGGCAGTATCACAGATCCTGATGTTAAGGAGTGGAATATAAATAATTTAGGAACAATTTTAGACTTTGTCAACTCTGACTATGGTATTGAAATAGATGGAGTCAACACAGCATATTTGTATTTTGGAATGTGGAAGACCACATTTGCATGGCACACTGAAGATATGGATCTATATTCAATAAACTATCTACACTTTGGAGATCCTAAAACTTGGTATGCGATTCCACCGGAACATGGTAAACGGTTTGAGAGGATTGCTGCAGGATTCTTTCCAACATCGGCAAAAACCTGTCAAGCATTTCTACGCCACAAAATGACATTGATATCGCCACAAATTCTAAAACAGTATTCAGTTCCCATTAATAAAATAACACAAGAGGCTGGGGAGATTATGATAACATTCCCATATGGATACCATGCTGGTTTTAATCATGGGTTTAACTGTGCAGAGTCTACTAACTTTGCTGCACCACGATGGGTAGAATATGGGAAACGAGCAACCCAGTGCACTTGCAGTAATGATATGGTAAAAATATCCATGGATACTTTTGTTAAGCGATTTCAGCCTGATCGTTACGAACTCTGGTTAAAGGGCCAAGATATAGGGTGTCACCCAGAACAGCCAGAGAAAATGGTTCCAGCACCACATCCCTCTGGCCAGGATATTCTGTGTAATAAGAACAACACAGAATTGCCTGAATCCTTTATCATAGCTGAAGAAGAGGGAAGTAAAAAGAAGAAACGCCACCCTCTGCATTTGAAACGAGCGATGGCTAGTAAGAGCATCTCAGAAGGAGCAATAGCTGTTTCTATACTTGGCCATGATGTCATGGATGATGATGAAATGACAATGGCTGAAGGCGATTTAGACATGATGACATCTATGAAAAGACCAAATATGCCCATGGAACCTGATGATACCCAATTAGATGTTCTAGAGGATATTTGGCTGAAAGGTGATGAAATGGAGCCATCAGAAGCTCAGCTACCTGATGTTGGGTACATGGATTCTGATAAAGACTCTGATTATGAGGCTCCAAATACAAAGAAGAGTTCTAAGATTAGGAAAAAGAGAAAAGAGAGTGTTAAAAAGGAGAAGATAAAGAAAGAAGATGACACAGAAATAAAAAATGAAATAGAAGATGGTGGATCTAAGAAAAAGGTCAGTGCTAAACCAAAGGGCCGTAAAATAAGGGCTAAGAAGTTTTCTGAAAAGGATATAGAAAGTATGGCAGCTGTTGTGTCTAACTGGGAGTCACCACCTCATGTTGAGGAATGCAGCCCTAAGCCAGACGAGAAACCGGATTTTACTGATCCACTATGTACTGCAACTATTATTCCACCTTTGGAAAAACCACAAGTAGAGACTAACCTGCCAGAAGTCAAGAAGGAAAGAAAGAAACGGAAACTAAAGGATGAGAGTGAGAAAAAAGATAAACCTAAAAAGGAAAAAATGCCAAAAGAGCCCAAAGCAAAGAAGGATAGCGAAGATGGCAAACAAGAGAAGAAACCACGAAAGCCTCGTGCACCCAAGAAAGTGAACAACTTTGAGTACAATTCTCCACTACAACCAGTTATGGGGAGTCTGTACAATTCCTATACTGGCACACAACCTGAACTCTTCCAAACGCACCCATCCGATACCTCTAAGTTAGGCAAAGCTAAACCGGTACCTATACTTAAACCAAAAGCTCCGAGCACAGCTATATCTTCAACAAATCCACGAATCATCACACATGCCTCCAAACCGGTTATTTCACCATCCAAACCAGTTATTTCACCCTCCAAACCACATTATTCCTTATCAGGATTGAAGTCTCAATCGCCCGCAAAAACTTCAGAGAAGCCCTACTCTGGTCTGCTTCTGGACGCGAATTTGCGTGTACCCACCATTGTACCGCCAATAAATAAAGACCCTAACGCCTTTCAAGGTGAATTCCGTAAATTTATGGACACTAAACAGAGAACAGAGTCAGCCATTATAAACGCCAAGCAGTACAGCCAGCCAAGAAGCGATCGACTAAAGACTGATCGTTCGAAGAACGATAGAGTTATGGTAGAACCGGTAGAACCAACCCCACCGCCCACTACATCGAGGACGCAAGACTGGCCCATGCCTGTTGGGCAATACAACGATGCGATATTCGTCAACAACTCTCCCTTAGACTTTAGCAGTTACACACAAAGCAATGAGCGAGGGCACACTCAGGTACACTCCAACGACAGAGAGTGGAGAAGCAACCAGCCGAACTACCGGCAACCTTACCAGAACGCTCCAATGTTTGGTACGCCGAATATGGACTACTATAGGAACCAATTTCAACCACCATGGTATGGTTACCAGAAATAACTTAGTGCAGTATTAAGTTAGTGTACTAATATGGGGGATAGATGTCGGAGGCAGCATGCTAAGATATTATATTTTGTAAATATTGCATCAAATTATGGAATATATTTGAATATATCTATACACAGACTAAAGACTAAATCATTAACAATACAGCCTTTTCAGTGTTATAAGGTTATATTTAGAAAATGGAATATTTTTGTCCAAAAAAATAAATAGCAATATCTGTAAACAGTGAATGTTCTATATAAGCAACTTCTCTATAAACAATATTCTTTATATTTTATTTATTCTGCTCAGTTTACTTAGTAAAAAAAATAAGTAAAAATATTTTCCGGACTGTAAGTATTTTTATACTCCTTTTTTCCCTGTAATCAACTTTTTCCAATAAGAAACTTTTTTTTTTATTGTAATAGCTTCAAATGAGTTGCTTATATAGAGCTTTCACTGTATTATAGATGTGTGGTTCAGGCATAGTGTGGACCACCTCATTCTCTTACAATATCCATGGGAAACCATGGGTATTGTAAGAGAATAAGGTGACTAAGGGAGCTTAATGGTCTAGGGACGAGGAGTAGTGTCCCTCTTAAGACATTACCAATGTATAAGGATATAATTTTATAATAATTTTGACTTAAATACTTAAGTGTATTAGAAATTTAGTTAATATTGGCCCTTAGAGTGAAGATTTCGATTCTATATTTAAATTTAAATTTTAAAGATAGATTTATAAAAATGACAATTAATCCCAATGTTTAGCAACCATTTTTGGCAAGTGCAATCTCTGTCTATCTTCAGTGGACCTTTTAAGTGTGCTTTTAACTTCCAGTCACTATTAAAGCCATGTTCTCAACACATAGAGGGATCATTTATAAAGCACTTTTTTTTAGACATGTCTTTTTGATGTTTTTAAATGTTTGGCAAGATTGTGTCCCACAAAAAATGAACTTCATATGTCACAAAATCAGTTCATATGATTTAAAATGACTTTTTCTGTTTAAATATTAATAATAAAATTTTTGTTTAAATATTTATTTAATAAAAACCATGTATCTAATATAGATAGATAGATACTCTTTATTGTTTCCTCCAAAAGATTACAATAGTAAACTTATTATAAATATAAATAATTATAAGAAATAATCAGAATGAGAAAACAATGGGCGACCTTATTGCTAAGAGCGATCTCCTAATATACCTAATTGTTATTTATTGTAGACCTCAAAAAGGCATATTATTGATAAAATATGTATATTGTAAGACATTGTATTATACACCCATAATGAACAATAAAAATAATCAATAAATAATATATATATATTTAAATAAATAAAGCTTAATAATAGTAAAAAAAAAACTATCTTAAATTGTGACAAAATCAGTAATTTTTATTTAGCTAAACTACTGGTAGCGATTTTTATAAAATTTCAATTAAACCAATCTCTAAGTATAATATATATTTAAGATGAAAAAAAAAAATCCAAAATGGTTTACAACTAATGGAGTTATGACAGTTACAAACATAGAAAAATATATTCAAATTGAGAACTTCCTTCTTTTTTAAATCAGCTAAAAAGGTCACTGAAACTAAACAGAATAGACAGAGAAAGATAAAATTTGAAACAAATCTGGCCATGTTCCATTTTACTGCTAACATTCCCTGACTCAGTTTTTAGCTTTTTTTTTTCTATGTACAGACATGGGACCTCGACAGTTTTATTATAATTATTGTGTCATTTGAATTGATTTTAAATTTGGAATCTAACACTGGAAAGGTTTCACACAATTTGACTGTTTATAATCTTGTGATTGCAAGTCCAATAAAAACTAGTAAATAAAAAAAAAAAAGAAATTGTTTATGATTTAGTTTTCAAACTGTATATGAGAATACAATGTCTATGGCATTATGGTGTTCTAATTTTGTTTTTTTTTTTTTAATAACTACTTTTTAATATGCTGCCTTAACGTTTTGCTTCATAGTACTATAATTCAGTTTTAAATGGATGTGTAAGTAAAATGGTTTTTTTCTATACTCAACATAATTAGTAAAAGTTCTTGGCGTTTTCTTTTATCATGATAAAAAATAGGCTTATATACCTAATGGGGTAGTCCTAGGTATTTTTTTTAATGAATGACAATGAAGTGGTTGATCCTGCCTGTGCTAACATACAGACATGAACAGACAGAAATGAAATATATGAAAAGACAGGTCAGTTAGCCCATCATGATGAATATACCTAGAATTCAGCATGATGGTTTCCAGGGGCTACCAAGAGGTCGACCTAATTGGGTATTTTGCTAGCAATTGGGGTCTTAATCTCCAATACTGACAATTTCTTCCCCCTCAGTCATTCAGGTATTATTAATGGGTGATAATGTTATGGTAACCCTGCCAGCGCTATCGGTATACGCTGGTGGGGCACCACTGAGGGATGACAGCTGGTTAGTTGGTCCATCGTGAGGAATTCATAAAGATTGAACTAAGACAGATTCTACAAAGGCAACTTTCTTTCCCCCAGTGAGAGGCATACGTTGACTACGTATGCCTCTCACTGGGGGAAAGGGATTGTTAGTAATGGGGTTAATAGATAGCGCAGGCGGGGTTACCATTCCATTATCATACATAAAAAAAAAATAGTAACCAATTACTATCGTCATATATATTAGGAGGGCCTATGCTTGTTTGCCACCTCAGTGTTATATTTTTTTTAAATTACAATATATTTAAAAAAAAAAACTACTAATACTCTTTGTCTCTTCTATGTTTAAATGATAAAAAAAATCGAAGACTGTTTACTAAATATGTAAAGTATATAAAAAAAAAAACTGATAAATGTTGTGTGGTGGTAGCAAGTAACAATGTTAATAAATTTAAAAAAAAATTACTAGAGATACATGGATCTCATTTACATTACAAAGGTCAATCTTGAGTAGGGTTAACATCCGTTACGAAATTTCCGGATTTTCTCTTTTCTAGTTGGACTTTATCCAATATGTTACTTCGACCGAATGGATCGATCTTGACCACTTGAATTTGCATACTGAATTATATACTATGTTGTCTCAATAATAAAGTCTGTTATACATTGAAAGAGGATAACGATAATAAGGCATTGTAGATAGTTTAGTGTTTAACAAACGGACAAATACATTGGTATATATGTATACTGCTGCACATTGAATATTGTAAATTTGACCTATTTTGTAATTTAATAGAATTACAACCTTATGTTACTGCTAATTGGGGTCATATTGCATTGTCAGTTATAATTCATCGCTGATTTCTATACTTATCAGTACAGTCAGCAGCCTAAATGTTCTATAAATAAATAAATGAATGACAATTTTTTTTTTTAATTTCACATATTTTCCTGCAGATTCTTCTCAATAAAAAGCACGCGACGTAAATTCGCTTGTATTTACCGGTTTTAAGGATACTTTTCCCCTGTCAGTGTGGTTTCATACGAAATTTTGTTAAATTAAGCATACTTTTTCTGTAAAAAATATGAAGTCCAATAAATATATACTTGAAATAGATAAAAATTAAATGCTGGCTGTACATTTCTGTTATAGAAAAAAAAAAAGTATTTTAGATCGAATTATGACTTGAACGAAACGGCTTCCAACCAAGCCAAATTTTTTTTTTTATATATGCAATATATTCGATAGCAGGCAAAACGAATAAGCTACGCAGCTTTATAGTATAGTAATTCACTATTTGAAACTAACAATATGTTTGTTTGTATCTACTTTTCTCTATTATCATAAATTTGAATCCGATTTTTTTAGAAAATCATTATAAGAAATTAATTCTCAGAACTGATCACACTATATATAATGCTGTTCTCAAAAAATCGGATCGTATTTTGGGCTTTTAATTTGTTTGCGTATACCATGGTCAAATGATGAATTCATCTGCATATTTTTTTTAAATTCTATTTTATTGTTTAAGTATCTTTTTTTTTACAACTTAGAATGGCAAACAAGCTGACAGCCCACCTGATGGAAAGTAGTAACCGTCGCTTATACACATGAGCAGTAGCATGGACATAACAGAGTATACTGTCTCACCCATGATACCTCCCATGCGTTGCCATTCCTGAGGACTCGGGTGTTATTCCTCTGTACCCAGTAAATTCACGCCATATCCCACCCTTCAAACGGAAACACAGCCATGCAAACACAACTACTTCACGGGTTGATCTTTATTTTTTATTGTAATGGCGAATAAATACCTATTCAATATCAAATATGCGATTACAATGGAGATGATTCTGATAATGTGTCGCATATTTTATTATAATTTACTTTTAAATTACATAAAAATACATAAATTTTGGGGAATAATTTCAATAAATTTGAAGCACCTGGCTTAGTTTTGTTGCACTCCAAAATCAGAAAGAATAAACATACATACATACATACATATCTGTCACGCCTGTCTCCCATTAGGGTAGGCGAAAATAATAAACCTGCCTTTAAATTAAGTAGTCTTTAAATTTTAAGAGATTTTTACAAGCGTGTTATTCTAAATTCATGTGCATTTCTTTTTTTTTTTATCATATTTTCCCAAATTGTGACTTTTCATTTTTATTCGATGATTTTCTATACACACGTTGATCTAATAGTAAAAATTGTAAGGGAAAATATGTAGAATGAATTCAAAATATTTTGAGAATTAGAATCGAGACTATGGTATACGCATATACGTCATCGTATCCCCATACTTGTATTATAGTTTTATCAATATTTTGACTGATTTTTAATTAATTTGAATCACATTTCTACGTTTGTAAGTAATATTTCCACAAAATTAGATAATTTGTTGGAAGCTTTACTATACTTACACAATGTATTAGATTAAGTTTTTAAAAGAAATCTAAGTTATCAATCTTTGTTTATGAACGTTGAACATTTGAATTTGGAACATGTACTCCAATTGTGACCATATATATGGGCATAGATAATTTTAATATAAAAAAAAAAAAAATTCTTTTCTGTTTGTATTATTTTAGTGTCCTTAAACAATATTTGTCAAGATTTAAATAAATGGTCGATTGAAAACGAAGGAGAGAAAAATCTCAAAGTTATGGTTTTTTTTTTTTTGTAATAAAATATAATAGACACTAGAATAATATAAATAATACCTGTCCGAATAACATTGCCGTGTGATAAATAAAATTGTGTGTTTAAATAAAGTTTGTTTGTTTGATAAAAAAATATGTGAAAGTTTAAACGTTTTGAGTGAAATGTGATTTTGTGCACAAATGACTGATTGAATAGTTAAAAAATCCAAGGCTGGATTGCTGTCACATATGGATAATTTTTTTCATAGTTCCTACAATAATAGTAAATTTTGTTATAGGCTGCGTTATATTGTGTGTTTAAATATTTTTTTGATTTTTAGTAGTTTAAATAAATTTGCGGTGGATTCTCTTTAGTTTTATGTAAATTTTGTCAAAAACTCGAATTGTTATAATTATTAAAAAAAAAAAATGGAGTTTTCTTTTATCGCTTGTCACTTTTGTACTTGGCAAAATAATGTTAGTATGTTTTATAAGGAAAATATAGTGGGGACCACATCCCTACTATAATTTAGGTAGTTGGTGTGACTGTGTGCATTTGTTTATTAGTGTTGTCTTTACTGAGAGTTTCAAAAAGCGATTTTACGCTAATTTTAATAAAGTTCATTTTGTATAAACTGCCAAGTTTAATATTCATCTTGTGTGTGTGTGCGTAATGTTATCAGATTAATAGAGTTTCATTGGCGCCTTATAAGAAATTATATAATTATTTATCTTAATGTGATTCATTTAAAGTTTATTTTTTAATTTGCTGTTTTTTTTTTAAATTTTATTTTGCTGCCAGTCACATTTCACTCAATTGTCAAATAATATGTGTACGCGATGGTATTTGTAGCAGCTATTTGTATTCGAAATCCAGAATTTAAATTGTAAATTGAGATTTAATTATTGATAATAAATTTAATATTATAGCTATTTATATTTAGTCTAAGTGTGGTCACACTAGCGGCGTTCAGCTCGTGTGGCCGCCCGCACGTGTACGCGATACTTAAGTTTGACTTTTTTTCGATTATGTCGAGTCGTCGTGGCAAGAGAACAAAATTATACATTTGTGGTTGAAATAGTTACTTTATAGAGGTTTATTATTGAAATTGAATATTTATCTTCTTTATTGGTTTATTTTTCTATTCATAACGCCATCTAGTACTATCGTTCTACAACTCTAATACTATTTATTACCGATAGATGGCGCTATATGTGGAAATTTAACAAAACCTAATAGACAAAATTTTGTGAAGTGTATGGACTATTTGCAAAATTGAAATTAAGTAAATTGTTTTTATTTTTCTCTTTTTACTTAATAATTGTTTCTTGTACTGACATTTGGAAATAAAGTCGTAACTAATGGTGTCATAAGAAACGGATGTATAAAGTCATGTTTAGTAAATACAGAATCCTATTAGGCTCTTAACCGATTTGACAAGTTTAGTAGTGTAATGCGTTTCATCACAATTATTAATTTTTGTGCAGGAAATGAATGTAAATTGACATACCTTTATTTTATGGTATTTAATGGCGTAAAAATTTTATACGCTCGTAAAAAAATAATTATTTATTTTAATTAATGTTACCAATATTTAAATAACTGGACATCACATAACTTCACTTCCTATATGTGTTATGTAACTTTTTTTTAAGTGTAACAATGTTTGATGAATAAATTATTATATTATTATATAATATTTATTATTATTATTATTATTATTACATATTGCTATCTCTTTCGATTAATATATTAATTGAAAGAGACGGTGCAATTAAATAATGTAAAAATCAAATGGTTAAGAGTCTGTAACACATAGTATATTGTAGATTACATAATAATAATTTAAAACATGTTTTAAATGGAATTAAGAAATAAAACGTTCAATGAAACAATGTTATGTTTTACTAGCAACATCCTACGGCTTTACCCGTGTATATTAGACGTGTATTTATTTTTTTTAATACTATTAAGGTGGCAAATAAGCATACAGCAGGTTTGATGGTAAACGGTCACTTTATTTTTTTTTTTAAATAAGGGATTATGGAATGGTAACCCCGCTTGGGCTATCAGTAGATATATATACATATTTTTTTTAATGGGTGGTAATGGAATGGTAACCCCACCCGCGCTAACGGTATACACCGGCGGGGCACCAGTGAAGGATGATAGGTGAGGATGAAGCAGGTCAGTTAGCCCATCGTGACGAATTCAACAAGAATTGTTCACGTTGGTTTCTAGGGGGAACCACGCGGTGTTCGACCTAATAGGGCAAATTGCTAACAATGGTGCTGTCAAACTCCGTTGCTAACAATCCCTTTCCCCCCAATATATACATATATGTGGTGGGGAACCAGGAGGAAATGATAAGTGACGATGAAGGCAGATCATTTGGTCCATCCTAATGAATTCAACAAGGATTTACTAGTTTCTAGAGGAAACCGCGTGAGGTTGTCTTTATAGGATATATTGTTAGCACGAGCTCTGTTTTTTTTTAATGGGTGATAATGGAATAGGAACCCTGCCTGCGCTATCGGTATACGCTGGCGTGGCACCAGTGAGGGGTGATAGGTGATGAAAGCAGATCAGTTAACTAATCGTGACGAATTCCACTAGAATTAACCATGATTGTTTCTAGGGGGAACCGCGTGGAGGTTGACCTGATAGGGTGCATTGCTAGCAATGAGTCAGTTTGTTTAATGGGTGATAATGGAATGGCAACCCCACCCGTGCCATTGGTGTACACCGATGGGGCATCAGTGAAGGATGCTAAGTGAGGATGAAGCAGGTCAGTTAGCCCATCGTGACGAATCAACAAGAATTGTTCACGATGGTTTCCAGGGGGAACCACATGGAGGATGACCTAATAGAGCATTTTGCTAGCAATGGGGCTGTCAAACTATTGCTAACAATCCCTTTCCCCAGCAATGCGCCTGTTACACTCCATTACGAGCCATTCCTTTCCCTCCTTGGTAAACGGTCACTCTAGCCTCTGAATTAAAGAAAATATATAAAATATCTATAGGTACTAGCGATCCACCATGACTTCGTAGAGGTAAATAGGTAAATTAGCATTTTATAACAGCTTTAATTACATTAATTTGGCCATGTGGTCCAGGTATAGAATGGGCTATGTGTAACGTGAATTTACTGGGTACAGAGGAATAACACCTGAGTCCTCAGGAATGGCAACGCATGGGGGGTATCATGGGCGAAACAGTACACTCTGTTATGTCCACGGTACTGCTCATGTGTATAGGCGACGGTTACCGCTTTCCATCAGGTGGGCCGTCAGCTTGTTTGCCATTCTAAGTTGTATAAAAAAAAAGATTCATTATCATCATCTCTTTGGGTGTTGCTTGAAGAGAACTCTTTTGGAGTTAAGCTCGCCTTTGTACATTTACTTACCTCTGTCATATTTTTTATGTAATCCGATCCAGTTCAAAGTTTCAGAGCTCCCTTCTTGTAAGAACCATTTTTTTTTGGAAACTCCTTCACGTTTCGTGCTGCGCAACTGTGGAACAGGCTACCTGCTGACGTACAGGATAGTCCTTCCATTACTTCCTTCAAGAGAAGACTGAAATCACACCTTTTAACCTATTGTACATGATAATTCTATGCACTTATACATATGTATATATATATATTTATCTATTTTTTATTTACGTATTTATTTATTTATTCACAATTTGTATTTCTTTGTTGTATTTACATTACTTTTACCGGTACCTTTCCTGCACTGGATTACCCGCCAATTAATTATTTTCTCTCTAACTACACTGGGTTGGTTGGAAGAGATCTCTTTCAGAGATAAGTCCTCCTTTGCTAACAAGTTGTTAAACTAATCGCTACATGTATTGTTCAAGTGCAATAAAGAATATATATAAAAAAACATTATCATAGCTGGTGACTGTCCATTGCTCAAAATTGGCCTCTTTCGTAGATTGTCATAAGGAAAAGTCGCGAGCCATCTGCATCTGCTGGTTCTCTGTAATGCGTTTGAGGTCCTCGCTCTATCTAGTGAGGAGAGGGGGGTCGACCTACACCGCGTTTGTTTGTATGAGAGCTCCACTCGAGAACCTTTCCTCCGAATTGGTTGTCGGTTCTTCGAGACTAATGTACATACCTAGGACATGATATTCTCTTTCTACGGTTTCATTGTTGTACGTCCTTTATCAGGCATGCCTCAACGTGCTGACGAAGCAGGAGGCGTCGCCGAGCGTGGAGAAAGAAGAGGTGAAGGTGGAAGTGGAACGGTTCATCGACCTCGCCAGGCAGATGGAGGCGTTCTTCTTGCAAAAGAGGTTTGTTTTAACTTTATTTAAGCGATTAAGGTATTATAATAATTAAATTACTGTGTGGTCCCGGCATAGAATGAGCCACCCCTTCCTTTCCCGTGGGTGTCGTAAAAGGCGACTAAGGGAGGACGAGGGACGAGTAGCAGCGTCCTTCTTAAAACATCTCCGAATCCTAACTGCTGTTGCCAACCCGCCTGCCAAGCGTGGCAACTACTGGCAAAATAGCCCAAGGGGGATAAGCCTCTCCCTTGGGCTATTTTGCCAGTAGTTGCCACGCTTAGCAGGTTCAACAGTGGACAGTTACAGGCTGATACGATGATGAAAAATTATAAAGAGGAAAGACTGTATTTTTTGTATGTATGTTTGTAATGGATAAACTCAAAAACTTCTCAATCGTTTTTAAAAATTCTCTCACGTATAAAAAACTACATTATTTGCAAGTAATACAGGCTATGTATTATTTAAGAAAAAAAAATAGAGATCCCTATGTAAATTACAATAAATTAAAACCAAAGTATCAAAACTTGCTTATTAAACAATTTTTATTTTTTTAATGCAACTTAGAATGGCAAACAAGCTGACGGCCCACCTGATGGAAAGTGTTAACCGAACCACGACCACGTGGAGGTCGACCTGATAGGGTGTATTGCTAGCGTCGTGGTTGTTAAATCTCATTACTAACAATCCCTTTCCCCTCATATTACCCACTCCTATTATAAATAGAGATATTAATTAAAAACTATCACCAGATTCCTGCTATCAGCCATGAAGCCTGAACTCCTCGTCAAGGAGGACAACAATGAGTTGAAATGCGAGCTCCAGCGTAAAGAAGAGTTACTCAGGCGGCACTACGACAAGATCAGCCAGTGGCAGAATTTGTTAGCTGACCTGCAGGTAAAGGAAATTAAATAGACAAAAAATAATAGCAGTTAGCGGATCTCGCCCTAGTATGGGCCACACCTTCCTTCCCCGTGGGTGTAGTAAGAGGTGACTAGGGGAACTTAAAATTAAATAGGGAAAAAGTAATAGGAAAGTAGTGCCGTGCGGTCCCGCCATAGAATGGACCACCCCTTCGTTCCTCGTGGGTGTAGTAAGAGGTGACTAGGGGAACTTAAAATTAAGTAGAGAAAAAGTAATAGTAAAGTAATGCCGTGCGGTCCCACCATAGAACGGCGCACCCCTTCCTTCCCCGTGGGTGTAGTAAGAGGTGACTAGGGGAACTTAAAATTAAATAGAGAAAAAGTAATAGTAAAGTAATGCCGTGCGGTCCCGCCATAGAATGGACCGCCCCTTCTCCATGGGATTCGTAAGAGGCGACTAAAGAACTTAATGCACGATAGATGGGGAGCAGCGTCCCTTTTGAAACGTCACCAAAGTCTAACTGCAGTTGCTAACTCGCGTGCTAAAAGTGGCAACTACTGGTAAAACATCCCAAGGGGGTGGGGCGGCATTGGGGTCGATTCTATGGCTCCATTTTACTATATCTATTTCTTAATTTTATACTTAAATTTAGCGAAATGAATGAATGAATGAATGAATGAGTATACTTTACTTGCATTATACAATATAGGGAATAAGCAAGACAATTTACAAACACAACGATACAGTTGTATAAGTACAGTGAGGCGGTCTTATTGCTGAGAGCGATCTTTTCAAGACAACCTTAAGGTAATGGACTAATTGTTGTACAAGTAGGTATTATAGTGCTGTATAATTAAAAAAGCATATTTTATAAACTAACCTTGTTATTTATAAAAACATCAAACCTATTATAAACTTAATTTAGCTAATATTTTAGGTCAAAATTTTGGTGAAAAAGTGAATGATTACTATATGGCTAGGTACCATATATTTATATATTTTCTATGAAGCGGGCCATTAGCCTGTCATTCCAAGTAGTAAACCAGACTGGACTATACATGTCGCGACATGTTCCAGGGACATACAGTATACAATAAATGCCAACAGCAGAGCGCGCAGCCCGGCATCCAGCAGGCCCCGTCGCCGCGGCAGCAACCTCCCAACGTGCAGCAGACAGTTCAGGTGAACTAACCTTTGCTTCACCATAACGATAAGAGGGGAAGGGATTGTTAGTAGTGAGGTAGGTAACAGCCCTATTGCTAGTAATATACCCTATCAAGTCGACCTCCTAAAAACCATCATGTTTTTTTTATTAATGGATGATAATGAAATGGTAACTTCGCCTATGATATCGGGATACGCTGCTGGGGCACCAGTGAGAAGTGATAGGTGAGAATGAAAAGGCAGGTCAGTTAGTCCATTGTGACGAAGTCTGCCAGCATGATGGCTTCCAGGAGGAACCACGTGGAGATTGATCTGGCCAGGTTATATTGCTAGCAATGGGACTAGTATAGTTCGCGTTGCTAACAATCCCTTCTCCTCCTACCATAATTTTTAATTCCTGTAGAATTCATTACGATGGGCTGATGTGCTTTCTTCCTCACCTATCAGCCCTGACTGGTGCCTCGCCAACGTGTGTCGATAGTGCAGGCGGGGTTGACATTCTGTTATCACACATAAAAAAAAAACTTTTGTTACAGAGGAATAACACCCGAGTCCTCAGGAATGGCAACGCATGGGGGGTATCATGTGCGAAACAGTATACTCTGTTATGTCCATGGTACTGCTCATGTCTATAGGCGGCGGTTACCACTTTCCATCAGGTGGGCCGTCAGCTTGTTTGCCATTCTAAGTTGTATAAAAAAAAAGTTCTCTTTTAAGACTTCAGCCATCAAAGAAAAATTTGGGTAACAAATAAAATTTGATGGCTGAATTACATGAAATTCCAGGTGGGCCACCATCAATCCGATAAGCCACAAATTTATTTGGTATTCAAATTTGCATAAAAATATGTTATTCTTGCTTAATTATTTATAATATATTATGTATTAGTGAGAGGGGAAGAGAGGGTTGACACAGTGTATCAAATGTTAAAGATCTTTATTGTATTGTAAAAATCTTTATTGTATATAACTCAGATTAAATACTAGTAAATGATTTAGTATACAATGGCGGACTTATCCCATAAAGGGATCTCTTACAGTCAACCTTTGAGAAGCTGAAAGAAAACTGTAGAATGTATAAGGGTAATAACTGTACAATTAAAGATAAACTAAATAATACCCAGTAAAAAAAAAAAATTGAATATATAACACAATAAAAACAGCTCTATATACCTACATATGTAAATAATAAAAGTAAATTAATAATAATATAACATTAATAAATAAAAACTTATACACATACACATATCTCTCATAGATCTCATACTAATCTTTTGCTATATCCACGTTTATGTTAAATATCTTTTTTTATTGCAGGCGCAACAAATGGCCGCCGCGGCCGCCGCGCAACAAGCAGCGTTGCAGCAACAGGCAGCGTTGCAGCAACAGCAGGTACAGCGGCCCCCGCACCCGCCCGCCTACCCCGCCAGCGTGCCCAGGCGGTAGGGGTGGCGGTAGTAGGCTTTGGGTAGTACATATCCGGCTCGAAGGACCATGGGATTGTCAATAATCTGCGAATTGTCAATATGATTGGAATCTTATTATGAGCGTTCCAAATCTGTCAGTTTTACAGGTGTAATCGAGCGACCTAGCAAATTGGCAAGGAAAGCATAGACAAAATAGATACCATTTTTAAAGGATCCTCGTACACGAATATGACTTTTTGTTTTTTAACTACGTGACGTAGTATTTTTTGCAAAAAGTGTTCCCTGTCTACACAGTAACTAAATTTCAGATTGTTTTATCAATTTAGTCGAATGGCGAGTAGTTTAGTTAGTATAGATTATAATCGACTAAAATGTCTTACTTTACTTACTTACTTACTACTCATAAATGTTTAGTTACTAAATTCTTACAACTCAACTAAATTACCGAAAGAGTTGGGTTTAAAAAAAAAAAAGATTTCTTAATCTCTAAATATCTTTATTTAGAGATTGACAATTGAAATTACAATACTAAGATTAATTGACGTACAGACAGATAGGCAGACACTATGCTAATATTGGATTCTTTTCTCTAGTTAGCTACTAAATTTCGAAATTCTAAAAATTTATGTTTTTTTTTTCTGAAATGTAAAATAATCACTTAGTAACGTCGAATTCTAGCTTCTAGGCGACAAATACAAATAATGAAGTCTGTTCTGAGGCGTTATTTCACTAACTCTTCCCGTAAATTAAAATTTCTATTTGATATTACACCGAATGCCTTTATTCTAACAATCGTTATGAGCTGCATTTCTAATAGATTTGAAAAAAGAAATAAAAAAGAGAGAAAGAAAGAAATATTTTTAAGTAAACTTTGATTTAAGTATTTTTGAATAGTCATTTTATTCATTACCGCCCATTCGGAACGCAGTTTTAGCCAAGAAGACCGGGCAAAAAACTCGACTGTTGCTTTTTTCAAATAGTTTAATTTTATAAATAATGATTTGTGTGAATACAAACATATTAAACAGTAGGTATTAGATTATAAAATGTAAAATATGTTGAATTAATAACTAAAAATTATTTTACATTCATGATATAATTTTATCATTCAATTTCATTCAATCATCCATTAAATAGAAATTTCAAGAAACTATCAAATTAAAGTAATAGGTTTACGAGATAGGTTTAAAGAAATGGCGCGTTAGGACGCCATTATGTTTGAATTTGATTCAAAATTGAAATGGTCACAAGCATAATTACAGTATAGAAAAAATATTACTACATAAGTAAGATGGACGATTTACAACATACACTTTGTATGACGTATTTACAAAGTACGTCTCACTACTATGTTGAAGAAAAAAAAACTATCTGTCACATTTTGGCGGGAATAATAATAAAAATAACAGATTACATTAACATTTCCTTTGTCTTGTACAGAGTAGCGTTATTTTACCGCGGAAACACGCGTAGACAGATTTGACTTTTTTTTTTAGGTTAGATCAACCTATTTGTGTGTTTTTTTCTATAATTGCATAATAATAAGCAGGTATTCAATTTATGATTATTTCAAAGCTTAATGAATTAAAAAAAGTTTATTATTGTATCTAATCACGTGATATCAATTTACAGTAAATTAACGCATGCGAAATGGAGGCATATTGAGGTAGATTCAGACGCGCCATTTTTTCAATTTACCTCTTAATCTAATATTTTGATAATTTCGGGAAATTACTTATTTTATTAGCTATCATAAACTAAAATTACAATAATTTTCATCTGAATCTATTAGAAAATTAGTTCGTATTGGTCATTACAATAAAGAATTCGCTGTAATGTCAAATTACAACAAGGACATCTCTTGCCCGCCGAATGATGCGTGGGCGGGCGAGGTAGGGGCCTCGGGGTATACCCCACTACCCCGGCTTCAACTCCGGAGGCGACGACCTCCCGGTCGCTGGGTTTTTCAGCCGGCATACACTGGTGGTCTGTGTATGCCGGCGTCAAATTGAAATTTTTATTACATATAGAAATAAGTTTAGAGAGATGGCGCCTCGGAATTAATTTTATTTCATTCATTTTGTAAGTTTAAGTTACAATTAAAATTTATATGTTTCTTTTTTAATTTGTGTTCATTGTAAAATGTTGTAAATATATTTTTATTTTACATTATTATTTTTGTTTGATTTTATTTTTTTTTCATCCTAATTTTTAATAAAGTTCGAATAAATCGAGTTTTATTTATTTAATTACTTTTATTTTATTTTTTGTAACATTAATGAGGTACATAATTATAAAAAAAAAATAAAAACTATTGCATTTAGTGCCAAAAACAAATGTTTGGGAAACTGCATTTTTGTAAAGGGAGTTTTGGACGACGGAATTTAGACTAAGGATCAGAAAAGTTTAATAATGGATATTGGTAGATGAAGGCCAGATAGCGGAAAAGGTATTACAATATATTCATTACATTTGGGAATTTGTTATTAAGAATATTCTGGAAATAGCTGAATTCCTATTATAAATTTCAAATTTTTTACATCGATAAATTTGAATCAAATGGAACACGCATCTTTTATAAACTGTGTTCAGTGTCGCCAGCTATTTACTTATTTTTCACGTTATACTAAATCGAAGTTCCGCATACTTTTTTTTTTATAAAATACGGCGTAAACGAGCATGTCTTTCGCCTGATGGTAAGTAATTACCACTGTCCACAGACACCCAACATTTTGAACTTTCTAATCCCAACATCGAACTGATATAATTTGACTGAACTGTAGTAGCGACCTGCCTCGCATGGTTTCGTTTATGACTAGGGGTGGGTAATATATAACAATGGGGGGAAAGGGATTGTTAGTAATAGAGACTGAGAATCCCATTGCTAGCAATATACCCAACAAGGTCGACCTCCTCGCGGTTCTCCCTGGAAACTATCATGGTTAATTCCTGATGAATTCATCATGATGGGCTAACTGGCCTGTTTTCATTCTCATCTATCACCCTTCACTGGTGCTCCGCCAGCGTATCCCGTTAGCGCAGGCGGGGTTACCATACCATTTTCACCCATTGAAAAATAAAATATATATATAACAACATCTATATATTTTAGTTATAATATCTATATATTGGTCTAATACCGAATATATTAAAAGTCGATGCCGTGTGGTCCCGGCATAGAATAGGACACCCCTTTCTTTCCCGTGAGTGTCGTAAAATGCTACTAAGGGAACATAATGATCGAGGGATGGGTAGCAGCGTCCCTCTTGAGACATGACCAAAACCTAACTGCGATTGCCAAGCGTGGCAACTACTAGCAAAACTCCCCTTATGGGGAAGACCTATATAGTCGATGGCTGATATAATGATAACAATAATAATTTCTAAAAAAGGAAAATTCAATTCAATACAATACAATTTATTCCATAACAATATTACATTGTGTTTAATAAGAAAGTATTTTTTTTATACAACTTAGAATGGCAAACAAGCTGACGGCCCACCTGATGGAAAGTGGTAACCGTCGCCTATAGACATGAGCAGTACCGTGGACATAACAGAGTACACTGTTTCGCCCATGATAGCCCCAATGTGTCGCCATTCCTAAGGACTCAGATGTTATTCCTCTGTACCCAGTAAATTCACTGTCATATCCCACCCTTCAAACCGAAACACAGCCATGCAAACACAACTGCTTCACTTTCTAGACCGTACCAGTATAAAATCATAAACATGCAACAATTTTACATATTCCCTTCTTTGCATGATTTTTTTTATTGATGAAATCAAAGTCATATAATCAAAGTGATATAATTCATGTTTAAAATTAAAAGAAAAATGGTTAAAACAATAAATTTGACAGCTATGTTTATTTTTTGCAATGGACATTAAAAAGGTATCCAGACACGATCAACTTAAAGTGAACTTGGTATTTTTTATAAGTTTTAGGCATTCAATGTTATGATGGAAATTTACACCAGTATGCAAAGAAAGGTTAACAATGTCACACACAAATAACATAATAATAATTAATGAATTAATAATAATAACATTTCTAATCATCAAGTATCACACACAAGCCCAAGAGGTTTGAGTGGTACTAAAAAAACAGTTTTTTTAATGTATTTATGCATGCTAATTAAATAAAAAAAAAAACAATCTAATTTGCTATCACAACGAAATATTTCTGCAAAGAATTAATATAAATACAATTTCTAATAGATTTAAAATAGAATAGAAAACATTTTTTTTTATTTTATTTTATACAATAATCCACAGCTCTTAAAAAAACAACTTTCATGCTAAGTCTCTTATGAGGAGTATCTCTACTTAAGCAGTAAATTCCAGTATCTTTTTGAAACTCACGATCGTAACCTTCGTTCCAATAATACTCTCTATCTTTCCCCTCTCACTGTACTGGTTTCGCTTCAAACTCTTTTCTCCTACATTCTTCACGACTCTGGAACGCGCTTTCTGATGCCATTAAGAGACTACCGACTAAACCGTCTTTCAAAAAAAACGTTCACGCTCACTTTTTTCCTTTATCCGAGCAGTAAGTGCTTTATATTATTCTCAATTTCGTGTATAATATAGTATATGTCATATATGTGTAAGTATATTTGTTATTCATATATATTTATTCGTTTATATATGTAATTTTAGTATGTATGTATATCAATAATTACTAGTACCGCATTCGAGTATTCTGACACTTGCCTACGGGTGACTGGGAGAGAATGCTATTAGCATTAAGTCCGCCATTTACACATATTTGTACTAATGAATAAATAAATAAATAAAACACAGCCAATAACGGATTTTGTTTACACAAACCAAAATTATAATTCCAAAGCGAGGTAGGCAAGTTAGAGTGGGCGTATGCAAGTAATATACGTGCATGTATGAAAGAAACCACGTATAATAATGAGTGTCCATAAAGTCAGGTTAATTGATATATAAAATACTTAAAATCCATGTTGCTACAGTTCAGATATTGACGGCAATGATTAAATAATACAAATTCATGGTCAGTAAACATAAAATCACAATAGAAAATACAAGAACGAACGAACGAACGAACAAGAAATTCGGTACAAAATATTTGATATTTAGGAAGAACTTGTTTTCTATTTTGTAGAATACGATTGAAAATATGTTTTTTTTTATATAGTTTTATCTTTCATATATTTATATAACATTTTAAGTATTTCTTTTTATATTATGCGTTTGCTTTACATGAAATACTCAAGCTGTACACGTAATGTGATCGGATTATAACCTAGCCGAATCACAAATGTAACTATTATTTAAGTTTCTTATGGTTGTGATCTGTTTTATGTGCCAATAAAATAAGATAAATAAATAAATAAACAAGAAGTGTCCCATACTAGGCAAAAGGAACCGATTCAGCTGATGCTGCGAGTGTTTCAGCGCAATGTGAACAGTTGCACAGCGCTGGTTTTCAGCCAGTCTCTCCAGATTTAGATCGGAATTATTACAAATTTAGTTTACGATGGTCCATGTAACAGTAATTTAGCGAAACTTTTAAAATATTAGGTTAAGAAATGGGCCTAGAGAAATGACGTCCCGAATTGACCTTATTGAATGATGATAGGTGAGGATGAAGTTTTTTTTTTATTGGGTGAAAATGTTATGGCAACCCTGCCTGCGCTAATGGGATACGCCGGCGGAGCACCAGTGAAGGGTGATAGATGAGAATTAAAACAGGCCAGTTAGCCCATCATGATGAATTCATCAGGAATTAACCATGATAGTTTCCAGGGGGAACCGCGAGGAGTTCGACCTGGTTGGGTATATTGCTAGCAATGGGATTCTTAGTCTCTATTACTAACAATCCTTTTTCCCCTGGTGAGGATGAAGTTAGATCAGTTGGCCCATTTCCAGAACATGTGGTATGGACCCATGTGGTATGGGTGGACCGCGTAAATTTTTTTTTAATTAATGGATAACAATGGAATGGTAATCCCGCCTGCGCTAACGGTATACAGTGGCGGGACACCAGTAAGAGGTGATAGGTGAGGAAGAAAAGGCAGGTCAGTTAGCCCATCGTGATGAATACACCTGGAATTCCGCACGATGGTTTCCAGTGTATATTGGTAGTAACGTGATTAGTTATTTGCAATACTAACAATCTCTTCCCCCACCACAATGGTTTTCAGGATGCACCGCGTGTGGCGTGAAGCAGTTATGTTTGCATGACTATGTTTCGGTTTGAAAGGTAGGCCTATACTACTGTTCATGTCTAAAGGCGACAGTTACCACTTTCTATCAAGTGGGCTATCAGCTTATTTGCCATTATAAGTATCATAATTCGTTATCACTACGGGTTCCATTTGCCCAGGGTGTAACAACCATGGGGTGTCCACAGATGCAGAGCAGTCTTGCCCAGGGCATGTTCTTGGCTGGTGGACGAGGGGCGTACGCTGGAGCCGCGCTGCAGGGTCCCCTAGCTTATTTGGAAAAGACCGCCACTAATATAGGTACTTTTTTTTTGTTTAATGTACTGGCTTTGGATTCCCAAGCACTTGCGGTTGCGCTTTTAGTGTACGCTCGCATATGCCAAGGTTTGCAGTCGATTAGGTATGTAATTATATGGATAAAGAATTTGAGCTTCATCTAATATAGGTACTTTTTTTTATGAGTGAAAATGGTATGGTAACCCCGCCTGCGCTAACGGGATACGCTGGCGGAGCACCAGTGAAGGCTGATAGATGAGAATGAAAACAGGAAAGTTAGCCCATCATGATGAATTCATCAGGAGAGAAAGACTCTGTTTTCCGCGCTTAGCCTCTCATTTGGGCCGTTGTGCGTATGGAATTCATCAGGAATTAACCATGATAATTTTCAGGGGGAACCGCGAGGAGGTCGACCTGGTTGGGTATATTGCTAGCAATGGGATTCTCAGTCTCCATTACTAACAATCCCTTTCCCCCCTCTAATATAGGTACTGTCTCAACCATAAGAAGTTACCAGAGGTATTTTGTACAAAAGTCGACTGCTTGTGGGTACATAGCAGCAGAAATATAGAAGGTCAGAGGTGTCTAAACTTCTATATTTCCGATGAAAAACAGCTGTACTTGCACAAAAGTGTTTTGGGTTACTTTTTTTTAAACACAGGAACAAACGATTATGCTGCTCACCTGATGGTAAGTGACTACCGCCGCCCATGATCACACGCAGCACCAGAAACATTGCAGGTGTGCTGCCGGCATCTTAAATAGGAATATGCTCTTTTCTGTTCGGAAATACTGCTGCTGGAAGTTGATTCTAAAACGTGGTTGTGCGTGGAAGAAAGTGCCTTGAAATACGCACAGTGGAGGACCGCCACTCGTCCAGATGGTTGGGATGGAACTTTAGTTTGTAGTGAGTTTTTGAAGGGTGGGATATGGCAGTGAAATTACAGGATAGTTCTTAAGGATAGCAACGGATGATTAATTATGATTAATTAATTTTTTTATTTATCGGATGGTGCCTTTATATGCCCAAAGCAAATGATATTTTTAAACGATTTTTTTTAATGGGTGAAAATGGTATGGTAACCCCACCTGCGCTAACGGGGTACGCTGGCGGAGCACCAGTGAAGGGTGATAGATGAGAATGAAAACAGGTCAGTTAGCCCATCGTGATGAATTCATCAGGAATTAACCATGATAGTTTCCAGGGGGAACCGCGAGGAGGTCGACCTGGTTGGGTATATTGCTAGTAATGGGATTCTCAGTCTCCATTACTAACAATCCCTTTCCCCCCATTTTTAAACGATACATGTTTTTATACTTATATACTTTTAAACGATCCAGACAAATTTAAATATTCAGATGCTTTTGGAGTTCAGTCAGAATTTAATTTGTAATTGGTCTCGAGTCGCCAATTTCAGTAACTTAAACACTTGACGATCCCTAAAAAAGTCTTTGGAAAACTCTATATTATTTGCATTCTGTTCCAGACATGGTGGGACTTGGGGATGGAAGGAGGTGACGCGGTCGCGGGAGGGGCAGGGGTCGGGGCCGCGGCAGAGGTCGAGGTGAGATTACGTTTACGAATGTAGTTTTATATTTTTTTGTGAAAGCTGTACAGAAATAATACCTTTGCCCGCAGGTCGTGGAGCATCCCCTGAATATGGCGGCAGCATGACGCCGCCATAGCGCGCCCCTCTCCCGGCGCACACGGACGCACACACACACGCCCCCACGTCCACATGCACACACAGCACACACACACAGTACGGCGCAAGCGCAGACACTGGTTTTTTATAATTTTACTGGCTTTGTAAAAAAAATTTGGCTTTTTATTTTAACGACTGCCTTAAAAAAAAGGAGTGTATTGTTTTCAGGTTCATGTATGTGAGTTTATTCCGCCATAAATTTTAAATGCCTGTAAAGATTTAGATGTATGAGATATTGTTAAAATCCTTACATCATCCTGAGCAATACTGGTTATTTTTTTTTTACTTTTACTTATTTTTTTTTAAAAAAGGCAGTCGTGTTTTTTTTCTGTGTAGCTTGTTTTTTTATGTTGGTGTTGGTAGTAGGTACTCTGATATGATAGCCGACGAGAGAGTCTAAGATACAGACATCACCATTTCATGGAAATCTTCAGGAATCATTTACCTACAAGCAGATTTTTTTAAATACAGCACTAATTTATCTGAATCAATATTATAAAAAGGAAAGATTTGATTTTTTACTTGTAATGAATAAACTGGAAAAATACTTAATCGGTTTTGAAATAATATCATTTTTAGAAAGCTACATTTTCACTTTTTTTTATACCACTGAGGTGGCAAACAAGCATACGGCCTACCTGATGGTAAGCGATCACTGACTAACATGGGTTGTATTCTATCAAAAAAAAAAAAAACTGCAAAATAATCGAGTAGGAAAAAAAAACAATGGAACATGTAATGTCCCGATTCAAATGTTCCGAATCGATGCAACGTTGTAACCTTCAAGGAAAGAGCATTACTCCTTTTTAAAAGGCCGGCAACATATCTGCAATGCAGTTGGTGTCGTGAGTGATCATGGGCGGCGGTAGTCACTTACCATCGAGTGAGCCGCACGCTCGTTTATGTCGCCCCTTATGTTACAAAAAAAAAAAACATACCATACAGACTTCTTTCGTCTACTCTATATTTATTAATCTGCAGACGCCATTATCAACACCGCTTTTTATAAGTTTTAATTTTTCTTAAGAAAAAAAAAGTATTTTTATTTTTTAATTCCATTGACGCGCAGTGCACGATGTAAAAAGTTTATAAATATAAATGTATTAACAATACTAAACTGATCCATTGCTAACCAGTAAGTATGGAATTTTATTATCAATAAAATATCTCTTTTGGTATTCATGGTATGGTACACTGTACATTTTTTTAACAAATATTTAAAATTGGCATTATGCAGAAAACTTATCTCTCTCAACTTATTGTAATTTCATTTAGTTTTGTTTGTAATTTGTATGAATAATTTATAGATACTAGTAAACTTATTCTACCCTAGTTAAAAGAATCTGACGATAGATAAGTTTTCGTTAACACACATATAAGTGTAGGCGTATTTAAAAGGGGTCTAATTGGGCCGTGTCCATCTTAGAATTGTTTGGTTCCCATCCTGGGAGTAACGAAGCTTTTAGCTATCGGTAATACCATGTCTGGAGAGTGCATATACGGCATGGCCTCCCTGGAAAATAATCTTAAATACGTTAATGCTTATAAGAAGAGAACGCTTGATATTGCTATCTCTTTCTGTTTGACAGGCAGCAGCGATAACTCATCTATTAATTCAGTTTTCGTTTTTAACTAAATAAAATAAAGCCTTCACCTCATGTTAGTAACAATATTAATATAATAAGAGTATAAATTCGACTGGTTAAAAATGGATTAGTTTAAAAACTGCACAAAAAATATTTCCCAGCAAGTCTACCATCACGGAATGGAATTAAGCACTATATGTTTTTTTTTTATTTCTGTTCTATGAAAAGCCGTTATATAGGCAGCACAGTTATGGACCTTAGCCTGTTACTCACGGAAAGGACACACAACGAAATAATTACACAAAATTAGGCTGTATAGCAATGTACCTTTGTATTTCCATTTTCGATAACTGTAACTAGTATAGACTATTTCAATGGAATTTAATAAAAATATAAAAAAAAGCAATGACTGACTTGGTCATAAGACAGTTCGCTGATGTCCAACAGTAGTACAAATAAAAATTAGATTAATCAATTGAATGTTTCGATTTGTTACTAATTCTATTTAGAAAGTGTTTCTGTGATAATTTCAATTTGTTTTTACATTTTCATTAAGTTTCGTTAAAACTGGCTATAATTCAAATAAAAATAATAAATTGCAACTCATGATGCTTAGATTATATATTTTTTTTTTTTTAGTACGTTTGTTCCGTTTGGAACAGGCTAAGGTCGGAGACCATGCTGCCTAGTCTTCAAAAAGATAAATTGTCTGGAATTTAGATTATATAGAGTCTAATGTCTAAAATGTGTCAAAATTTAGTCAGCTAATTTGACGGTTGACTTTTTTTTTCATATCATAATAACGCATTATTCGCGCTTTTTTTCAGTGTTACCAGTAATTAGATTAAAAATCCCTAGAGTTGGTCGATTGTTTAAATTTGTATTGGGAACTATATTCTCTAGTGTAAAGTAAAGATACATATGTACGCATTGCTTAATAAATAATATACTTATATTAATTAAAATGGCGACCATTTTTAATTATTTACAAATGAAAACATATTTTAAGGATATATTCGGATATAAATATATATAATCAGTAAATATATGCGTCATTCTGAATAATTATGCACTGTTAATCTTGTACTTTTAAATATATTTATAGGAATATTGTATAATTTTTTTATTTTTCATTGTGATCTTAATTTCTCCTATATGTTAACTGGGGGGAAAGGGATTGTTAGTAATGGAGACTAAGAATCCCATTGCTAGCAATATACCTAACCAGGTCGACCTCCTCGCGGTTCCCCCTGATAACTATCATGGTTAATTCCTGATGAATTCATCATGATGGGCTAACTGACCTGTTTTCATTCTCATCTATCACCCTTCACTGGTGCTCCGTCAGCGTATCCCGTTAGCGCAGGCGGGGTTACCAATACCATTTTCACCCAACAAAAAAAAAAAAAAAAAAACAGTATATACTGGTAACCCTCGATAAAAAAAAATTCCCGTTATTTTTAGTAAATCATTTGTACGTAGATACTATGTCTATATAATCTAAGCATTCTAAACTATGATGGTAGTCCTGCTAGATGGGATCACTTTCTATAATCAATGTGAATTAATAAGATGAACTAAAATAAGGTCGATATATGAAGAAAATCAATAATAATCTATTTTGAAGTATATAAACATCTGTGTGCGTAAAACTAGATAATGTATAATAAGTAAATATAGCTCTTAATAAGTATTAATAAGGTGCAAACTCTAAAACTGGCAATGGACCGCTTCTGACAGCTATTTCTCTAAATCTATCACTTAATATAATATTTTAATTCGATAATTTGATGATCACCGCCTTACTGTCCGACTCGACCCACTGAAACTGCGCAGAGATGTTGCATCTCTGTGCATCTTCTATCGAATTTATCATGGGGAGTGCTCTGAGGAATTGTTCGGATTGATACCTGCTGCTGATTTTCACCACCGTACAACCCGCCACAAACTAAAGTTTCATCCCGATCATCTGGACGAGTGGCGGTCCTTCACCGTGCGTTTTTCAAGGCACTTTCTCCACGCACAACCACTCTTTGGAATCAACTTCCAGCAGCAGTGTTTTCGAACCGATACGACATCATAACCTTCGAGAAAAGAGCATATTCCTTTTTAAAAGACCGGCACCTGCAATGCCGCTAGTGTTGTGGGAGATCATGGGCGGCGGTAGTCACTTACCACCAGGTGAGCCGCATGCCCGTTTGCCCCCTGTGTTGTAAAAAAAATTAACAATTTTACGGAATTATTGTTTTTAGTAATCAAATTATAAACTAAAGGTCTAATTTTGACTTAAATGTATTAGTAAATGAGTTAATATTGTTCCTTACTTTAAAGATTTCGTTGCGATATCAAATTGAAATTTTAATTTTAGAGACGTTCAGAGAGATGGCGCCACTGATTCGGTCCCAATGTCTGGATTATCTGTGTAATTTTAAGAAGTATTTGATTATGTTTTAAACTCACTTTTTGCCCGACCATGATAGTAGCAATATAGTTGCAATTTTATTATAATAATAAAATTATTTTAATTTAGGTTCAATTTTTACAGATAAAAGGGACATTGCTAGTTTTACAATGCGACCTATTTAGTGGTCGTTCCCACATATAGTATATGTCACATATGTGTAAGTATATTTGTTATTCATATATATTTATTCGTTTATATATGTAATTTTAATATGTATGTATATCAATAATTACTAGTACCGCATTCGAGTATTCTGACACTTGCCTATGGTTGACTGGGAGAGAATGCTTTTAGCATTAAGTCCGCCATGTACACATATTTATACTGATGAATAAATAAATAAAAAAATACTGGTCTAATAACGAATATGTTAAAAGTTTCTTATACAAATAATAATATTGGATAACAGACTTTTAACATATTGGTAGATAGATATCCGACCGATATGGACGATATCGCAATGGGTGATGACCTTTTTCCCGCCATCAATATCCAGTGAAACCCAATATATAGATATCAGATCGGTAGCCATATTTATTTGTTATAAGTTACAGTAAAAGTTTGCAAACAAAAATGAAACATTAAAAAGAAAACAATACAAAAATTTATCAATGTTTTTTTATACAACTTAGAATGGCAAACAAACTGACGGCCCACCTGATGGAAAGTGGTAACCGTCGCCTATACACATGAGCAGTACCATGGACATAACAGAGCATACTGTTTCGCCCATGATACATCCCATGCGTTGCCATTTCTGAGGACTTAGGTGTTATTCCTCTGTACCCTGTAAATTCACGCCAATACGCAGTATTGCCAGCCTTACATTGTAAACATCGTTTAACACTAAGTTAGAAGTAAACGCTGTAACGCTTTTATAGATGTACCTTACATTACTGATTACAGTTATGATCCAAACTTATTCCATCTCAAAACTATACAACGACCTCTTAAACCTAACAGTATTCTGATGAAGTTATTACCCATGCTTACTTCAAAAAGAAGATACTAAACTCGGTTGTATTTTTTTTAATCTAATTACCTTTTGTCAAACATGCTTGAAAATGTGAGCATTATTTTGACAATCTTCTTCGACATAAATCAAAATTGCCGTACTGTCCAGATACATGCGGGCAGCGGCCGGCAAGAGTTGTATGAAAATCCATATCTGTCGTGTTTTGCGGCCAGATAAATTACTATGTAAACTCGTATCTGTCCTGTAATTTAAAAATGGAATGACCTTTTACTTCGAAACATGGCTACCAAGGAGGTAACTAATACAAGGTTTTATTTAAATTTCGAACTGGCTTGCAAATAGAAAGCTTGATTGAAAAAAAAACAAAGGAACATTATGGCGCGTGAATAATTATTATTGTTCGTTCTTCGTCATTGAACTTAAAAAGTAAAATTGTGTTTTTGATTTCCGCGTATTGTTTGAGAAAAGTACTATACGAGCCTTAGCCACAACTAGGCATTGATGGACTCACGTATGTGTGCCTCGACTACGCCTCGACCCACATTTGCACGTTCGTCCATCAATGCCTCAGTTGCTGGCCGCTGCAGTAATGTACTATATAACTCCGCCAGCTGTAAACCGTTTTGGAAAATTCTTTTTTTTTTTATCTGAAAGGCTTAGATTATACTGAAAGGATATACTTACATATTGGTCCCATAGAAACTTTATCAAACTTGGTAGTTTAGTTTTTAGATCAATAACTAGTTTTATCACATTTGATATCGATTTTTTTGTGGGACGTAATCTTCTATTATTATTTATTCTATTTTTGAAATACAAGTATTAATTAGAGTATATTAAGTACACAGTAAATTTGTAAAATAATTAATATATAAGTACACAAAAATGTTAGTTTAAAATAATAGTTAATTTGGAATTAATAAAAATATTGATATTGGAATTCGAAGTTTATTTCAAACTGGTTTTTGTCTGCGAATTTGTACTTAGAGTAATATGTATATATAACTATATATATATATATTTCAGTTATAGCCAGTCCTGTTACCCTATTGTTACGGGGGGAAAGGGATTGTTAGTAATGGAGTTTGATAACCCCATTGTATGCCGTATCAGGTCGACCTCCACGTGGTTCCCCCTGGAAACTATCGTGAACAATTCTTGTTGAATTCGTCTCGATAGGCTAACTGACCTGCTTCATCCTCACTTATCATCCTTTACTGGTGCCCTGGCAATGTATACCGATAGCGCGGGTGGGGTTACCATTTCATTATCATCCATTAAAAAACAAAAAACCCTATTGTTATACCACTGACTTTTAACATATTTGTTTCGAGACCAGTGTACAGATATTGTAACTGTGGGGGTAAAGGGATTGTTAGTAATGGGGTCAAATAGCCCTATTACTAGCATTATACCCTCTCAGGTCGACCTCCTCGCGGTTCCCCCTGGAAACCATCGTGAACAATTCTTGTTGATTTCGTCACGATGGGCTAACTGACTTGCTTCATCCTCATCTAACATCCTTCACTGGTGCCCCGCCGGTGTATACCGATAGCGCAGGTAGTTACCATTCCATTATCACCCATTAAAAAAGTAGCCACGACAGAGGAATTCTCTTAAATAAAAAAGAATTTGAAATATTGTAAATTTTTCAACTTTTATTTATTTATTAAACACAAGTAATATACAACACGAGTATATTAGACTCCGAACTGGGCGACCCAGTATCGCGGAAGTCCATAAAGGGATTACCCAAACACAATGTCTTACAAATATAAATCTGTGAACCAATTTTGGCGAATTAAACATGACAGAAAAAATATCAATAATTAATTAATAAAAAAAAAAAAGTATTTTGCGAAGACATGCATTTAAAATTATAATTTGTTTTCGGTACGAACGCCCTTAATACTACTACTAATAGAGAAATGTTTTACAATACTGTTTGTTCACAAAAGAATCGGTCATTACTCACCCAAGTGTGGCAACGTCGCATGTATCTGTCAATTTTTCAATATTACTTTTTTTTGCATACTGGTGGAAATTTCCATCATAACATTGAACGCCTAAAAATTATATAAAAGAACAAGTTCACTTTAAATTGATCGTGTCTGGATACCATTTTAATGTCCATTGCAGAAAAAAAACATAGCTGTCAAATTTATTTTTTTAATCATTTTTCCATCAATTTTGAACATGAATTATATCACCTTGATTTATTTCACCAATAAATAAAAAATCATGCGAAGAAGGTTTAAACAGTGCTCTGCTACCAAACTAACACGTTAATCATAGAATATATTGTATATAAATCTACTACAAAAATGTTTGCACCTACTTCATAGTACTTCCGAAATAAAGTTCAGAATTGTTCAAATACATTTATGCCATCAAACTAAAAAAAAAATATATATCAGTCACAATATTATTGCGTAATTAAAGTTTTAATTTGGTAGCAGACCACTGTTTAAATAAACAGTCAAAAACATTAAAACTTTTCAACTATTTTTTAAAATTGATGGATAATTGCGGCGTGCCACACTTCGGTATGAACGCTCTTAAGGTGGTCTGTCACTAAACAAAATCAGACAAGAAATAACAGATGGCGCTGTCCAGACTTATTGTTGTTTATTTTTTAATTAAAGATAATTTGAAGTAAAATTTCCAAATTGATGATTGGTTTTCATTATTATGTATGAATGACAAGTGGCAGATAATACGTCATCTTTTCCTGAATGAATTATAACCCACACAATCGTAATGTCTCTTGCTAATGTGTATTTTTTTACAAAATTGTACAATACAAGAGAATAAAGACAAAAATTATGATAACTCATTACTGTATCGGTAAAAAAGAAATAAAAACACTCGCCAATTTAGAAATTTTGCTACAAATTATCTTTGATTACAAAATAATCACCAAAAGCAACAAGTGTCGATTCTAGCGCCATCTACTCGTGTTCAATTTCGTTTAATGACCGACCATTTTAACACTAGTACTAATAGAGAAATGTTGTACAATACTGTTTGTTTATAGAAGGAACGAAGTGACTAGTGTGAGTCGAGAGTATTTCACTGCCGTAAATAGATTGCCGATTAAATAAAAGTTTGTGGCGTTTTAAAATTTGATGAGATATAGATGGTGCCACAATTCACAATTATTATAGGTGGAAGGGGAAGGGGGAGAAGAGAAGGGCTTGTTAGCAAAGAGGACTAGCAATACCCGGAGTTGAAGCTGAGGCAGAGGTCGCCCCGAGGCTTCTACCTAGGTCTAGATGACACGGATTGTGCATGACACAGATGTAAATTATCTGCAGTTACATTCCGATATGTTTTAGCAATTCATTTACGGTAGTAATATATTTTTGCAACTGTGTTAGCGGCTACGTTGACACTTTGTATAAAAACACCTTACCTGCGCCTCTAGTGGACGATTTCGGAAACTCAAAATTCAGCACTTATCGACGCAAACATATATGGATTTAATTTTTTTAAATACACTGTTTTCTTATAATGCACATTAGAGGCTCAGAGATGTCGGTAAGGCAGGGTAATCGTCGTATTACGCTACATTTGAGATTCATTTTAAAAGACCATTTTTACATTGTATTTGTACCATTTAAATATGAAATATGGGATATGGCAGTGAAATAACTGAGTATTAGGGATGGGCAATATACATCAATATCTATATATTTTAGTTACAATATCTATTTATTTATTTATTTATTTATGCTTTATTGACCACATTACAAAAAAAAAATGTCTGGTACAAAAGGCAGACTTAATACTATATAGCATTCTCTCCCAGTCAACCTTTGGCTAAACAGAAATTTTAATATGCGGTGAAAAAAAATTACAACACATACAATAGAGATTATATAAATATACATACATGAATACATTAAACAAATATTACATAAATATACAAATATGTAATAAAAATACATATATACAAATATAAATATACAAATATAAATATACATATATAAATATACCTACTTATAGATTATATACGATAACACAAATAAACAACGATAGAGATCAAAGGTGATGATGATGAAGGTGAACTGCTTTCACAGTTTTTTCCAAAGATATTCGTAGACTTTTCTCTTAAAAATAAATTTGTTAGAAATTTGTCTTATGTATCTATATATTGGTCCAATACTGAATATGCTGAGTCTGTTAACAAAAAAAAAATATCGGATCACAGACTCAACATATTCGTAGATAGATAATCCGACCGGTACGTCCGATATCGTAATGGGTGTTGACCTTTTCCCGCTATCAATGTCCAGAGTAAACCAATATATAAATATCGCATCGGTATTCACATTACCCATGTCTACTGTGTATGGAGGCATAAATAGGTTAGTAGTAAACAAAGTGACAAAAAGGTACCAACGTGTTTATGAACGTGTGCTGTTCATGATTATAGGTGACGGTTACCACTTTTCATCAGGTGGACTATCAGGTCGTTTGTCATTCTAAGTAGTGTAAAAAATAACAGACAGAAGAAGTAAGCTAACGGCCCACCTGATTGTAAGTGGTGACCATCGCCTATAGACACAAATAGCACTGTTGACATTGCAGGGTATAATAGCGAGACTTATGATATCTCTTATGTTCCACTACTCAGGACTAGTGTATTACGTCTCTCGAGTCAGAGATTTCACTGCCATCTTACCTTTCCAATCGGAGTACAATGCGGGCATTTTTTAATTACACTATCGGCATTTAAGCGATGACAAAATTTGCACGTATACAGTACCTGCATACCTGCTTCTTTATTGTCGACGTTTCGACGTGGATTGTATTACGTCGCGGTCACGACAGGACTGAATTATGTTTCGACGTGGATTGTACCACGTCGCGGTCACGACAGGACTGAATTACGTTTCGACGTGGATTGTACCACGTCGCGGTCACGACAGGACTGAATTACGTTTCGATATGGATTGTACCACGTCGCGGTCACGACAGGACCGAATTGAGCAACGTCTTCGTCTAACAGCCCGTGCAGTCTCTTCAGAAACCTTCACACTGCATGATCCAAAAGTTCTATCAACCGAACTTTACTGTTATTCTCGGATAATATCATTAAAATTAGGAAACATCCGACGAATTTTAATATGGAAAGTGGGTATGGGCTAAAACACTCGATAATTTGTTTCAACGCAGTGTAGATATCGTACGTGAGCATGAGTAGGTGTTAGATTTATACATAAATGTTAGTAAGGGCCGACACAAGAAGTGTGTCGGCCTTTTCAAACCTCCTCTCGCCCGTTCCAAGTGTGTATTGAAATACACACTTGGAACGGGCAAGAGAAAGAGAGTGAAGAAGAGGATGGGGAAAAAGGGATAGGGAGAGTCGTCGTATTGGTCGACGAGGCAATCGCGATCGCTAGTCGCTTGTGCACAGGAGGTCCCTAGGCGTGGGACGGCCGTCCGACGGACGCGCATGTTTTTTTTTTTTTTTTTTTTTTTTTTTTTTTTTTTTTTTTTTTTTTTTATAGAACTTAGAATGGCAAACAAGCTGACGGCCCACCTGATGGAAAGTGGTAACCGTCGCCTATAGACATGAGCAGTACCATGGACATAACAGAGTATACTGTTTCGCCCATGATACCCCCCATGCGTTGCCATTCCTGAGGACTCAGGTGTTATTCCTCTGTACCCAGTAAATTCACGCCATATCCCACCCTTCAAACCGAAACACAGCCATGCAAACACAACTGCTTCACGGTTGAAACACGAATGGGACAGAGGTACCCAAGCAATCGACTTTTGTACAAAGTCTCCCTCTGGTAAATGTAGCGGCCCGGCCGAGGCCCCTCAGGTGGAGATGCGGATCGCCGTCGGCACAGGCGAATATTTTGCTCGCCATGCCGACGACGAACTCTTCGACTGATGGGACTCTTAAGCCACGGACGATAACGATGTTTTGCTGGGCCTGCAGCTGGTGCCTTAGCGTTGGAAAACACAGTGCTTACCAAGCAGGAGCGGCGTAAGTGTGCCGTGAGCGGACGTAGGTTTTGTAAATGGAGACCTGCATCCGCAGCGGCAGCCTGGAGGTGAGTACCAGCCGGAGACAGGCTCGAGCCGCGCGGATCTGCGCTATGACCCGATCGACTTGCGGCCCCATTTTCAGCGACCGGTCAATGTTGACCCCTAGGTATCGCACGGTCCTGGGGGATGTGCTAATATACCGGCGCATCCTCCGAGTGGTAGGGTGAGCACGCCATCCACCCTATCTTGAGAGAGGAGACCTGTTCTTACCATCTGGGGGCGGGTCGCTGCCGTCTGAGATGTGGTGAGTGCGAAAGCGAACCCATGTCTCCGACATATGGCACCTCGAGGGTATATCGTCTGGTTTTTAGTGGGTACACCCCCACCTTACGGGGGATTCCCACAGTACCCATTCACCTCCCACAAGGTGTATGGGTCTGCATAAAGCATTTTCCAGACGTTAAAAAAAAAAAAAAAAAAAAAAAAAAAAAAAAAAAAAAAAAAAAAAAAAAAAAAAAAGGTATCGCACGGTGTTCTTCCACGCGATCTCCTGCTTATGGAGTCTTAAAGGCGGTGGTGGTGCTGTGCGGTTGTGGCGGACCAGTAGCGCGACCATCTTATAAACTTTGACGGTTATGCGCCACCGGTCTAGCCACCCCGGCAGCAAGTCCAGTTGCCGCTGCATTTGTGCGGTGGCTCTCGTTTTCCAATACGACGACGAGAAAAATCCCGTGTCGTCTGCAAACAGAGCGAGCATGACCTCCCGTTCCAGGGCCAGTGTATAGGGCTGGCTTTCAAGAACTGGGATGTCATTAGTATACAGCGCGTAGAGCGCTGGGGAAATGCAGCTACCTTGTGGAACTCCGGCGACCACTGGGTGGGTGTCGGAGCACGCGTCCTCCACCGAAACGAAGAAGCTACGGCCCCTGAGAAACGACGCCACCAGTCGCATATAGGCGGGCAGCGTGCCAAACACGGTCGAATGCCTTTTCGATTGCTAAAAAAACACCGACGACTACTCGACCGTGGTTGTACTCGGCGGCCAGGTGGTGCAGCACGCGCGCCAGCTGCAGAGTGGTCGAGTGCCCGGACCGAAAGCCGAACTGTTCGCTCCTAGGAATGAAATGTTCGGCCAACCGCCCGAGCAACAATCTCTCAAACAGTTTAGCTATGTGTGCTAGTAGCGTGATGGTAGCTTCCTGGCGGCGATCTTTACCTGGTTTGGGGAGGACGATTACTCTATTCAGTTTCCAAAACTTTGGAACGTGGCCGGTGCGGAGGATTCCATTGAAGAGCCTAGTGAGCGCTACCAGGCATCTTCGCGGCAGCTGCATTACCTCGGCGTTGAGAATTCCATCGGGACCCGGCGCCTTCCTCCTGGGTAGGCCCTCCACGGTCCTCCGTAGCTCGGCAGGCGAGATAAAATCTACACCTGTAAGCGGCGGGGACTCGCCCGTTAGGAATTCCTCTACACGCCGTGTCAGTCGCTCATGATGCTCGACGACTGCTGGATCTATGAGATCGGAATAGGGATGGGGCTGGAATTGCCCCTGTAGGTGGTCGGCAATAATGTCTGCCCTGTCCTTGGCTCCGTAACGACGTGTGCTCGCCGCGTCTAGCAATGGGCACACGGGTAGTGGCCGCGTGGAGAACTGTCGGCAGAGCCGGTGCAGAAACTGGGATTGGTGGAACTGGGAAGGGTGGCAGGGGACGACTCCTCTGCGCAGACTTTTTTGTCGTCATGAGCTACGGATGACTCCGACGACGAGGAGGTAGAGATAGGGGCTGCGCGCTTAGTAGCCTCCGTGGGGGGGTCGACCCCCGGGAGGGGGACGGGGACCGGGGAGTATCCCGCAACAGAGTGCACTCAGGCACACGCCGCGTGATGCCCAATCTCCCGGCCGACGGGGACCGAGCCCCAGGGCTGACGCGGGGATGATCTCTGACTTGAAGGGATCTAAAAGATCCCTCTTAACAATAGGGCGCTCGGGGGCGCCGCGAGGGCGGCCCCGTTGGGACATAATGGTTCCGTAATTCCGGAGAAAGTCAGTATGGGAAATAGAGATGGTAAAGGGAAAGCAAGACGGGTGGAGGGCGTTGTAGGGCGACTAGGGGTTAGGAATGGTAGGGGAAAAGTGGTGGTGCGACAAGGTACAGACGATTTCACAATGAAATCGCTGCCCTTATCTCGCGGCTCCCGGCTGCGGCTGAGGGGGTCGCTTGGGCAAACCCGCAGGTTGGAGTCGCCGTGCGTGGGCGGGCAGCGCACGGCGAGGCTGGGCGGCTAGCGGACCTGGGGCGCGACTGGCGGACTACCAATCACGCACGACGTCGCTCTCACTCGCACACTTCACTTCTCACTCGCGCACCGCACTGCACATGCTATTGGGCAACACCGACGCCTGTCTAGCAGTTGGGGGCTGTAGATCGGCGCGCGGAACGATTCGTGCGCATGCCTACAGCTGCGTTATCACTTTTATCGTAACAATTAACTGTTAATTGATAATTGAAGACAGAAAATTATGCGCGATTGGGCAGCGCCGGAGGCCGTCTTGCAGCTCACGGGCTATAGGTCTTCGCGCGGACCGCGGAACGACTCGCACGAGAGTCGGTACATCACTCGGCCCGTTAGTATCAACGTCAATTTGAAGACAATTACTTTGTTTTGATATATATATATATATATATTCTGACATCTCTTTCAGTCAACCTTTGAATATCTGAAAGAAATTGGTGTCTATGATGGACCTAGATAATAATAGTGACAATTGGAGGGTACCCGAAGAGACTGCGCAGACTGCCAAAAGACGGCGCTAACTTCAGCCCTGCCGTGGGCACGACGTGGCGCAATTCACGTCGAAACGTCGGCAATAAAGAAACAGGTATGTAGAAGTACTATTGACCTGCAATTTTCGTCGCGTTAAGTCCCGATAGTGTATTTAAAATATGTGTCAACAACGGGAAAGTTTAAATTTAACTAATTCGTGCATTGTTGCTCCACGAAAGATATAGGTACATTTGAAAACTTACAATTACTGCTTATTACTACAACTTAATAAATAATACAATCATTGTTTAAATATAATTTAATAATAGTTAAGTACTCGCCTTAGTGCACCAAGACGAATGATAAACGAATTTATTGATAAACAAGTTTTCTTTAGCAAGAACAAGGCGCTAGATGTCGCTGTGTCTTTTTATCTGATGTTTTTGTGATCTTTTTGTGATAGCGATAACGTATCTATCGATAGATTAGTTTACCAACTGTCCAGGGGGAGTATGGATGTAACAGAACAATCTTTATTCTAAAAGTACTTTGCCGCTGTTAATTGAAATTGGATTTATATCTTTTTGCTTATTTTTCCATATACGACGCCACGTATGGTAGTACTATTGTTGCCCCAATAGATGGCGCTTTACACAAATTGATGGTTTTATAAAAGAATAGAAATAGTGTGAAGTGAATAGAATTTTTAAAATTTCTAAAATTAAAGAAGTTATAAAATACAAATACTGGAAAGTATTATTATGAAGTCTATGTTGCTTTTTTTATATTTAGCGTTCAGGATCTCAAAAAATATATTTTTTTAAATATTTTACTAACAAGCCACTTCGTACAACTTCTGTCCTCGTTACATTTTGCAAATATATATAAACAGCGCCATCTAGTGTTAACAACAGTACTACCGATAGATGGCGCTGAACGTAGAAAAGCAGACGTAACATATCTTAGTGCCGATTTCGCATTATCATTTCCTATCGAGAACCACTAGTAACATTAATTCTATATTTACACCCCTTTATTAAAAAAAAACTTCTAATAAAAAAAAAAAAAAAACTATAAATAACTATTGAAGTGTTTTTTTTTTCTTTTGCGGTACATTTTCCATTTAAAAGAATGTAACAAAACACTGTAATAATTAAAATAGCTTTATAAAGTTCCCTTCAATGGAAATAAATTAAAAGGTTTCGTTGAATTTATCACAAGAATAGGAGTGAGTAATATATAGCAATAGTATATATATACCAATAATATATATAGTGGTTACAATATCTATGTACTGATACAAGAACGATAATATTAAAAATTTGTTATCCAAAAAAAAAAAAAAAATTGCATAGCAGACTTTTAACATATTCAAAAATAGATACGGGTGATATCGCAATGGGCGACGACCTTTCCGCCATTAAAGTTCAGTACCAGTTTACCAGAGGGAGACTTTGTACAGTCGATTGCTTGGCCACCTCTGTCCCATCCGTGTTTCTATCGTGAAGCAGTTGTGTTTGCATGGCTGTGTTTCGGTTTGAAGGGTGGGATATGGCGTGAATTTACAGGGTACAAAGTTAGAGAGATTCGTTCCGTGTTGTAGAAGTTTTTTTAATGGATGATCGAGCAATCGACTTTTGTACAAAGACTCCCATCTGGTAAAATTGACTGACCTGCTTCATTCTCACATGTCATCTCTCACTGGTACCTCGCCAGCGTATACCGATAGCGCAGGCGGGGTTACCATGCCATTTTCACAGTTTAGAAAAAAACCCATGTTATAGGGGGAGATTATTGTATTCGTTTGTTTATATTATCATCAATTTCTATTAAAATAAATTACATAAATTTTTATTTAATACAGACAAGGGTGCAACTTTTTTTTTTAATAATCAATTTATAACATCAGAGTCCTTCGCTATACAGTTTTAACTATTTTTTTTAATCTATTTATTTTTTTATAATCTATTAAGTGCACTATATTTAACTATATTACAGTGCTTTAAATACAGTGTAAAGAAGTGCTCACCAGTCGTCCAATGCGCACGTTTGCAGTACGGCGTCCCGAACCGGCTTACAATGGTACGGGACACGCCCACGTTGGACCACTGCTCGTTTCTTACACTGTGGCATTATAATTAATTATTATCTATTTCCTTGTATAATTTGGGAGTTTGTCGCGTATATTTTTTATAGTTTTCGCAATATTAAAAAAAAAAAAAAAAAACTGAAATTTTAGACCAATAAGTAAACATGTGCTTGAAAAAAAAAACTAAGATAAAATAGAATAGATTGTTCATATGTGCAGCATCATGAACGTCACAGTATACACAGTGACGCCAATGATAACCCTCATAAGCAAAAACATAAATAATCTTACTACAAAAAAAAAATTAAAACACTGCCTATCTAAACAGTGTTTAACAAAACTGTGTCTAAGCGATTAAACATTGTTTAGGCAACGTTTATTTGTAACTTTATATACCAAAATCTATAGACTATTATAATAAAATGTGTTGCCTTAAACATTTTTTATTTTTAATACAACAGACTTTCTTTTGTTTAGACGTAAACATATGTCAGACACGCTTATGTAGTAAGAGGACTAAACATGTAATTAACACCTGTTTAACTTTATTCTAATAAGACCGGACAGTTGCTTGTTTGTTCTTTATTTGCATATGCAAAAATAATACTACAAGACTCTAGAATATAGTTACAATATCTATATATTGGTACAATATCGGATATATTGAATATTGGTAATTCAATATACAAAGTGAAATTTAACTGGCTGATTATCCGCAGCGAAAAGATTTGATCTCGATGGTACAATCGATTCGTAAACCCTTTTTTCCTAAAAGTCAAATAATGGCAGATTTATAATTTGGAAAAATGAAACTCGAAATCTTTATCGAATGCTTTGTCAATTTGATTTCACAACGACACATCATCGGTACTTTGTGTTTATGAATGAAATACGCGCGTAGTAATACGTCACGTGTAATGAGTTACTAATTGTTTCTCACGCTTTCGAGTTGGAGAATTATATTTTTGATTATTCGAAAAAAAAAAAAACATGTTTTTTTAATTTTACTTTTGGAATCGATAGTACTACTGAGACCAAATCTTTTCGCTGCGGATAATCAACCAGTTAAATTTCATATTGTATAATATCGAAATTAATATAGATATCCAACCGATATGGGCGATATTGAAATTAGAGATGACCCTTTTCCGGTTATCAATATCTAGATATCTAGAGAAAACCCAATATATAGATATCGTACCGGTATCGATATTAGCCGAGGCTTACCTAGACCGTCATGATAAAAAGAATCCTAGCATGGGGTCTAGAATTATTGTCACAATATGCGTTATTGTAAGCGTAGAAAAATTACTTTTTTTTTTAAATATTTTATAAACACTTAAGAGCGTTCATAACGAAATGTGGCAACATCGCTATTATCTGTGAATTAAAAAAAAAAAAAAACAACATTTTACAATGTTTCCGATTCGATTATTTGAAAAGTACTCTGATAACGAGCTTAAACAATAATGCAATAATTTTCTTATTAAGCCGTCCCTGAATTTGATAGAAAATAGTACATTATTGCAGCGGCCAGCAACTGAGGCATTGATGGACGAACGTGCAAATGTGGGCCTAGGCGTAGCCGAGGCACACATACGTGAGTCCATCAATGCCTAGTTGTGGCCAAGGCTTGTATAGTACTTTTCTCAAACAATGCGCGGAAATCAAAAACACAATTTTACTTTTTAAGTTCAATGACGAATAACGAACAATAATAATTTTTCACGCGTCATAATGTTCCTTTGTTTTTTTTTTCAATAAACAGCTTTCTATTTGCAAGCCACTTCGAAATTTAAATAAAACCTTGTATTAGTTACCTCCTTGGTAGCCATGTTTCGAAGTAAGAGGTCATTCCATTCTTAAATTACAGGACAGATATGAGTTTACATAGTAATTTATCTGGCCGCAAAACACGACAGATATGGATTTTCATACAACTTTTGCCGGCCGCTGCCCGCATGTATCTGGACAGTGCGGCAATTTTGATTTATCTCGAAGAAGATTGTCAAAATAATGCTCACATTTCCAAGCATGTTTGAGAAAAATATATTTGAAAATTTTCGAAACTAAATATGCAGTTATCCATCCGTAAGTGTCCGTCATGGACTGCAATAAGGACCGGTTCTGAGCCATCCGTATCCATCGACTTCCTTGCATTTAACTTCACTTCATCTAGAAAAAGATATAATAATATACATACATACATATCTGTCACGCCTGTCTCCCATTAGGGTAGGCAGAAACAATGGAACGCCAAATGCTTCGATTCAAACAGACCTCTTTCGCTTCTTCCACATTCATCAATCTTTTCATACATGCTCATGCATTTCCATATAATAATATATTCTATGATTAACGTATTTGGTAGCAGAGCACTGTTTAAATAAACAATCAGAAACATTGAAGAATATTCAATTGTTTTTGTAAATTGATATATAATTGTGACGTAGCGACACATCGGTATGAACGCCCTTAACACTGCAGTGCTATTCTGTAAAGTCAATCTCAAATTTCACTAGCGGATTCACGAGTGATTTACATTTGGTATTCTATGTAACAAGTGAGAACGACCACAGCGCCATTTCGTTAGTGTGGCGGCGTTGTAAAGTGAACACATTTGTGTTACCATCTTTAGGAACTCACATTAGTTTTCAAAACTCATTTCGAATTAGGGATTTCATTTCGTACTATATAGAGCAATATCTATATATTTCAGTTACAATATCTATATACCGGGTCTAATAATATTTTTTTTTATACAACTGAGAATGGCAAACAAGCCGACTGTCCACCTGATGGAAAGTGGTAACCGTCGCCTATACACATGAGCAGTGCCCTGGACATGACAGAGTATACTGTTTCGCCCATGATACCCCACATGCGTTGCCATTCCTGAGGACTCGGGTGTTATTAATATGTTAAAATCCTGTTATCCAAAAAATAATATTGGATAACAGATTTTTAACATATTCGAAAATAGATATCCGACCGATATGGACGATATCGTAATGGGTGATGACCTTATTTCCATCATCAATGTTCAGAGAAACCCAATATATAGATATTCAAATCGACTTTAATCGTGACATAACTAGTTTGTTTTGAAAAACTAAACTACTGAATCGATTTTGATGAAATTTCCATATGAGCAATTTGAAAGTATATATGTACATATTTTCATATAAAAAAGAAATTTTCCAAATTAATTTATAAATGACGCTATTCTGAGGTAACAAACATGAAAAAAAAAAAACAACCGAATTGAGAGGGGGGAGGGGAGAAGGGATTGTTAGTAATGGGGTCTAATAGCCCCATTACTGGCAATATACCCTCTCAGGTTGACCTCCACGCGTTTCCCCTGTAAACCATCATGTTTAATTCTTGTCGATTCATCATCATGGTGGGCCAACTGACCTGCATTCATTCTCACCTATCATCTTCCACTGGTGCCTCGTCGGTGTATACCGATAGCGCGGGCGGGGTTACCAATCCGTTTTCACCCATTAAAAAACCGAATTGAGAACGCTACTCCTTTTTTGAAGTCGGTTGGTGAGGTGAGCTGCGAGACGTAATACGAACCTTACAGAATAGCATCGCCGTTCCGTTCTAATACCACTAAGTTGATCGAATTAATTATTAATGAGATTTCCAACTTTTTGTATAAAATAACGCAAAGCAAATAAATAGTTTAAAAATCACTGGTAGTAACTACTAATTATAGACTAGTGTCAAATATCTTTTCTATATTAATAACGTGTCGATTAAACATAAGGCCCGCCGTATGGTACATTGCATTTGAATATTGCATGGTATAATGCAGACAGTGACCTTCAGATAATGTGATTATTTACTTACATTTCTCATTAGCATCAATAAATTGTAAAAATACATTTACAATTTATTTTTACAAATATGGTTTTATTTGAATAGCGGTGATTGTAAATTTAGAATACATTTATAATAATTTATTCTCAGCATGGCGGTGTTCACTTTTGTATTTGGAACACAGTTCTAATTTATCCTCACATATGACGGTATCGCATTTGAATTCAGAATATACTTCTAAATATTTATCTTCATAATGGCGGTAATCACTTTTGAATTTGGAACATATTTCTAGTTTATCTTCACATACGGCGGTGTGCACTTTTGAATTTGGAACATATTTCTAACTTAATCTCACACATGGCGGTGTTTACTTTTGAATTTGGAACATATTTTTAATTTATCTTCACATACGGCGGTGTGCACTTTTGAATTTGGAACATATTTCTAATTTAATCTCACAAATGGCGGTGTTCACTTCTAAATTTGGAACACAGTTCTAATTTATCCTCACTGTTGGCGGTGTGGGTTATTTCAACAGTTTCTCCTGCTCGTCGGCCCTCGCCCCGGGGTACAGGTCTCCGTTGCGCGGCTCGGGGGAAGCACGGGACGCGAAAGACGACCGCGTGTGGGGGGACGCCGACACTGGTAGGGGGTTGGGGGACACCTGTGACAATTATTATATTAGTATCAATTTACATTTGTTGGATTTGCAGCTGAATACCTATCTTGTTTTTTTTTTGGTAACCCCGCCTGCGCTAACGGGATACGCTGGCGGAGCACCAGTGAAGGGTGATAGATGAGAATGAAAACAGGCCAGTTAGCCCATCATGATGAATTCATCAGAAATTAACCATGATAGTTTCCAGGGGGAACCACGAGGAAGGCGACCTGGTTGGGTATATTGCTAGCAATGGTATTCTCAGTCTACATTACTAACAATCCCTTTCCCCCCAATACATATCTTGTTAGGAGTATATAGGATAGATATACATGGTCAGATAGACCAGCGTGAGGACAGTAGTAGCACTTATATTGAACTTATACTGATCGTCTGGAATTCTTCGGGATGAAGTCACTGAGTCAGCGTAGAAGTCTGTCAGTCAAGTCAGATCTTATAATTTTTTTTATACAACTTAGAATGGCAAACAAGCTGACGGCCCACCTGATGGTAAGTGGTAACCGTCGCCTATACACATAAGCAGTATCATGCACATAACAGAGTATACAAAACAGAGTAAACTTAGATTTAAGCATTTTTTAATGGTAGTTTTTCACTTTTTACTTACTTATAACATTGTACATTGTCTGCTTAATTTTTGTGAGCATATTATTGGTGTGTTTTTTATAAATAAATAAATAAACACAATATTTATGCTACATTATATAGTTAAAGTATTCTATTTATTAATATTATATTTTTATTTAGTGTCACATCACACTCTCACACACGGATACGCTCACACACACACTCACACGGCACACGTGGGTGTGTACCCACGCACGCACGCACGCACGCACGCATACACATATGTTGTGGATGGACGGTGTTAGCGACCAGCTGATGCAAACTTCTTTAGATCTTTTTCTATACTTTTTCCTAGATTTGCTTTTAAAATGTTTTAATTTACAATTTTCATTTGTATATTTTGACATTGTTTCGTTTCTTCTGTCGCTGTACAATACATTTCTGTTATAATCCGTGTCCTTATCACGTGTTACATCATCACAGTCCACCGCAACGTAACAGACGGTATTATGACCAGGTCGACCTCCACGCGGTTTCCACTGGAACCCATCATGGTTGATTCTTGTTGAATTTTTCACGATGGGCCGACTGACCTGACCTTTCATCTTCACCTATCACCTCTCACTGGTGCCCCGTCGGTGTATACCGATAGCGCAGGCGGGGTTACCATACCATTTTCTCCCATTATTATAACAGATGGTACTGGATTGAAGGGATTGTTAGTAATGCGGACTACCAGTCCCATTGCTAGCAATATACCCTGTCAGGTCGACCTCCACGTGGTCCCCCCTGGAAATCATCGTGCTGAATTCCAGGTGTATTTATCGCGATGGGCTAACTGACCTGCCTTTTCATTTTCACCTATCATCCCCCACTGGTGCCATTCCATTATCATCCATTACAAAAAAAAAAAAGATGGTCTTATGTGACTTACCTGTCTAGATGGCGTCTTGTGCTCGCCGCTTATACTGATGTCTTCATCCACAGACTGGAGTAACTGCGGCAAAAAGAAAAAAAAAATTAATATGCTGTTAGTTTGTATTCTGTACTGTCTATAGTACTACTCATGTATATAGGTGACAATCACCACTTTCCATCAGGCGGGCCGTCAGCTTATGCACCACTACTAGTCGCATACAAAACAAAAATGCATTTTTTATCGTTCAATCAATACAATATACTGTACGTTTGTGCACGCTAATCTCAGAAACGGCTTAACCGATTTGAATGCGATTTTCAGTAACGCGTTGCGGTTTGCTCCACTTAACATTTAGTGTTTGTTTTATTTCAATCGGTTCTTTTTTTATACCACTGAGATGGCAAACAAGCATACGGCCCACCTGATGGTAAGTGGTTACCGTAGCCTACGAACACCTGCAATATAAGGGGTATTACGCGCGCGTTGTCGATTTGGGGTTCTTCAAAAGGGTGGTAGAGAGGTTTCTTCAGGGTTGGCAATGCGCGCGTAATACCTCTGGTATTGCAGGTGTTCATAGGCTACGGTAACCGCTTACCATCAGGTGGGCCGTATACTTGTTTGCCACCTCAGTGGTATAACAAAAATTATTTGTTTACAATATATGAATATACCAAGTATTGCTTTATATTTCCTCTATTCAATAATGCACCGCCTACTTATTTCCTGTCTGCCCAATGATCGACTGGTAGAGAACACCGTCCGGCGTTCAGTCCGCCATATGTACACATACCATTTACCAGAGGGAGACTTTGTACAAAAGTCGATTGCTTGGGCACTAATTTTTCAATGTATATATATATATATATATATATATATATATATATATATATATATATATATATATATATATATATATATATATATATATACCGGAGGATTATTTAAATGAAATTGAACCCTATTGACTGTGGAGGTGGACCCAGCCAAGCGGTACTGGCGGATTTTCCAAGTAACTTTTTTAACTTCGACATAGGTATGTTGGCGCTTGACGAAGGACAGAGGTGCTGTAAGAGGGAATCTGTGATGGATCGGATAAGAGGGATAAGGGGATGAGTAAATGATTTTCATTGGATGCAGTTGGCTCAGGACTGTTCCTTATGACAGTCTACGGGAGAAGCCTATGCTCACCAGTGGACGGATAATGGCCGAGATGACGATAATGATAAGTAAATGATTTTATAGTAAATTAAACAAAAAATATTAAATCTGTCATATTTTTTTTTTATACGACTTAGAATGGCAAACAAGCTGACGTCCCACCTGATGCAAAGTGGTCACCGTCGCCTATAGACATGAGCAGTACCATGGACATAACAGAGTATACTGTTTCGCCCGTGACACCCCTCATGCGTTGCCATTCCTGAGCACTCAGGTGTTATTCCTCTGTACCCAGTAAATTCACGCCATATCCCACCCTTCAAACCGAAACACAGCCATGCAAACACAACTGCTTCATGGTTGAAACACGAATGGGACAGAGGTACCCAAGCAAACGACTTTTGTACAGTCTCCCTCTGGTTAATTAATTCAATAGCTGAATACAGCGCAGTCAGTATTTGAGAGACTCCAAATTTTATATTGTTTTTAACACATTTTTTTATGGTAAAAATATTCAGTTCTCCTGTTGGTATTCTTTCGGAGGATGTTATTTAGATTTCACCCTGTATAATGAGTTTGGCATACGGCCAGTCTTGATGGCAAGAGAGCACCGCGACTAGAACCGCGGCTACCATCCAACGTCTCTCGGGACGTGAACATTTCGAGTCACCGTTCAGAGTACTAGCGTTGTTTTGTAGATACCCAATAGGGTCTATGTAACTTGTCTCTCTCTTTCTCTCTCTCTCTCTGTGTGCGTGTACGTGTGCGCGTGTGTGTGTGTGTGTGTGTGTGTGTATATATGAGTGTGTGTATATGTATGTGTGTATGTATATGTACATACACACACATGTATGGCGTGCGTTCGTGCGTGTGCGCGTGCGAGCGTGCGTGTGTGCGAGCGTGCGTGTGTCCGTGCCTGTGTGTGTGCGTGCCTGTGTGTGTGTGTGTTGTGTGTGTTGTGTGTGCGTGCGTGCGTTAGTACGTCGTATGTTATAACAATTGTAGTGGCTTCCATTTCCAAAATGTACTTGTTAATTACCTTGTCCACTTCGGTGTCGAACTGCTCGTTGGTGGCGCCTTTGGACAGCGCTCCCTTCTCCATCAGCGTGGCTCGTTTAGCGGCCAGGTACAGGGAACTGGTGATACATATAAATTTTTTAAACACTTCTGAACAGCACCAAGGCTAACCACTTAATGGAAAATGGTAATAAATGGTAATGTTAATGGGGGGGGGGGGGATTATTGTTAGTAATACGGACTACCAATCCCATTGCCAGCAATATTGCTGAGCAATATACTTAACAGGGTATATATCCTGTCAGGATATCGTGTTATTACAATTGTGTTATATTAGTACGGGGGGGGGGGGGGGAACCTCTTTAAAAAGTCGCATATGTACACTCAGACGGGACTGGAGTGGGCATCAGACAATTCTGGGGTGGGCACGCCCCCCTCCGGTTAAGTACATCAAGTTCCACTCACCGTTTAACGGTGAGGTAGTAAAGTTCGGCGATGGCGCGCACGGAGTAGTCCGGCACGAAGGTGTGACGCAGCATCGAGTCCATGGTGATGTTCTGGAGCGAGCCCATGGCGGACGGCGTCGGGGACTCCGCTGGTGTCACAGTATTATTTATTTACTTATTTATAAACTATTTATTGCACCACATGATGAATATATATAATATATATGGTAATGACGTTGACGATATCAGATTTTTGCCAGTAGTTGCCACGTTTGGCAGGCGGGTTGGCAACCGTAACCCATCTCTTGACCATTAGGTTCCCCTAGTGACCTCTTACGACCCCTACGGGATTTGAAGAAGTGGCCCATTCTATGCCGGGACCACACGGGCAATGTATGTTGCATGTATATATATTATATGCCACTTGTGTATTATACGCCACGTGTGTATTACATGCCACGTGTGTATTATATGCCACTTGTGTATTATACGCCACGTGTGTATTATATGCCACGTGTGTATAATATGCAACGTGTGTATTACATGCCACGTGTGTATTACATGCCACGTGTATATTACATGCCACGTGTGTATTATATGCCACTTGTGTATTATACGCCACGTGTGTATTATATGCCACGTGTGTATTATATGCAACGTGTGTATTACATGCCACGTGTGTATTATACGCCACGTGTGTATTACATGCCACGTGTGTATTATACGCCACGTGTGAATTATATGACACGTGTGTATTATATGCCACGTGTGTATTATACGCCACGTATGTATTATATGACACGTGTATATTATATGCCACGTGTGTATTATATGACACGTGTGTATTATGTCACGTGTGTATTATACGCCACGTGTGTATTATATGCCACGTGTGTATTACATGCCACGTGTGTATTACATGCCACGTGTGTATTGTACAGCACGTGTGTATTATATACTATGTATTTATTACACGCTACGTATGTTACAGTACTAACCAACGCCAATGTTCTGCGTGAGAGCCTGAACACCGAAATACGTGAAGGGCCCCGCCTCAAACACGAGGTTCTCACGGCCCACCGTCACCTCCACGCGGCCCTCCAGGATCAACACGAAGTAGTCTACCTGCACACAAAATCACCACCATTAATACAACCCATCAACTGCTGTTTGCTTGGGGGAGGGGATTGTTAGTAATGCAAATTACGAAACCTATTGCTAGCAATAAAACTTATCAAGTCGACCTCCATGTGGTTCCTCTTAGAAACCATCATGCTGAATTCCAGGTGTATTCATCACGATCGTGATGAATTCATCAGGAATTAACCATGATAGTTTCCAGGAAGAACCGCGATATGGTTGGGCATATTGCTAGCAATAGGATTCTCAGTCTCCATTACTAACAATCCCTTTCCCCCCTGGCAATTGCAGGCAACGCCCATCCCTCGACCACTAATATACTTGATTAAAAAAAAAATCTTATTCCAAAAAAATATTAGATTAACTGCCAATATGTATATTACAGACACACACAATGCATTTTATTTATATTGCTTTTTATTATTATTTTTAATAAAGAATTTCGCCACAGCAGAATATCACTGTTTTGCTCTTTTAAGGACAAAGCAATAAACTGAGTTGTGACCATTTTGTGTTACTATGGCACACGCATGAAGGAAGGGAAAGAAAAGAAGTTGTTGGTTTATATATTTTACTTATTGTTTTTTTTTTGTTTTGTTGTTTATTGTCATTCTTTTGTCTCTTTTACTGTGTATTATGTGTATGTTTGTATTGTAATTTGTGTGCTGTAAGTAATGTAAATAAATTATCTATCTATGTATAAAAAAAAAAAAAAAAAGAAATACAGTACACTCTCGACGGTTATTATTCAAAATTGGTTACATTTTTTTTTTAATATGTAATTGCTACTAACCGGTTTCCCCTGCTGGAAGACGTAGGTGCTCGGGTCCTTTTTAGTCTTCCCCTTCAGTTTGATGTGGTGGATCACATCCTGGCGGAGCAGGCGGCGGAGCACCGTCTCTGACACCGTGTCGGGCTTGAACGCGTCCACGCCTGGTGAAAGGAATATGTGTAAGAAATGTGGTCGTGTTTTTTTTTTGGGTGTAAATGGTATGGTAACCCCGCCTGCGCTAACGGGATACGCTGACGGAGCACCAGTGAAGGGTGATAGATGAGAATGAAAACAGGTCAGTTATCCCATCATGATGAAATCATCAGAAATTAACCATGATAGTTTCCAGGGAGAACCACGAGAAGGTCAACCTGGTTGGGTATATTGCTAGCAATGGGATTCTCAGTCTCCCTTACTAACAATCCCTTTTCCCCTCAATGTGGTCGTGTTAGAGTGGGAGGACTAAGGTGTTTTTTTTAATGGGTGATAATGGAATGGTAACCCCGCCTGCGCTAACAGTATACCAGGCGGGGCACCAGTTAGGGTTAAGTGCAAATTACACAGCAGGTCAGTTAGCCCATCGTGATAAATACACCTGGAATTCAGCACGATGGTTTCCAAGGGAACCACGTGGATGGAGGTCGAACTGACGGGGTATATTGCTATTCCCCCCCAAGACTAAGGTGGTTGGTCAATCAATCAAGGTATCCTGGGGAATGAACCTATTTATTTACCACTTTATAGAACCAATATTACAAGACTTGTTGAAGAATTTTCAATAAGCATAGTGTAGGACAAAAGGGGGTCTTATTGCTAAGCAATCTCTTCCAAAAAACCTTTGGGTGGAAGGAATTAAAGAAATAAATAGGTAGACTTGTTAGTAATGAGGTCTAACTGCCCCATTACCAGCCTATTAGGTCAAACTCCAGGTTCCCCTGGAGTCCCCTGGTTAATTTTAGTGGCATTCATCACGATGGGCCAACTGACCTGCTTTCATTTTCACCTATCAACCCTCACTGGTTTCCCGCCAACGTATACGTATATCATACCATGTCAGTCGTTAACTGAGTCCACAGCTGAATAGATCCCTATAATGGGGGTTTTGTCAGTACCAGAGGGAGACTTTGTAGAAAAGTCGTTTGCTTGGGTGCCTCTGTCCCATTCGTGTTTCTACCGTGAAGCAGTTGTGTTTGCATGGCTGTGTTTTGGTTGGACGGGTGGGATATGGCGTAAATTTACTGGGTACAGAGGAATAACACCCGAGTCCTCAGGAATGGCAACGCATGGGGGGTATCATGGGCGGAACAGTATACTCTGTTATGTCCATGGTACTGCTCATGTCTATAGCCGACGGTTACCACTTTCCATCAGGTGGGCCGTCAGCTTGTTTGCCATTCTAAGTTGTATAAAAAAAAATAGCTATCGCGCTTGGCAACCGGAGTTAGGGTTTGGTAATATTGGCTTTAAGGGGGACGCTGCTGCCCATTAATGGTCGAGTACCATTAAGCTCCCTTAGTCGCCTCTTACGACGTCCACAGGAAAGGAAGGTGCGGGACCAAACTGCATCTAGCTATCGGTACACGGTACTGGGTTATACTTACTGGTGCTTAGAAACTGGAATGTGGCCAGCGTGAGCTGCGGCGATATGTGGATGCGCTGGTTCTCGTGACGTTCCGCGAACGCGGCGAAGTCTTGCAGCTTGTTCTGAGGCCGGTTGCGACGTCTCTTTGTCCGGTTGTCCACTGATGGGATGCAATGTATATTTATTTATTTAAACTTTAATATGCACATTGAAATTCTATGCACATATGGTGGACTTAACACCAGACAGTGTTCTCTACCAGTCGACCATTAGGCGAACAGAGGAATTAGTATATACTTTTTCTCAAACATGCTTGGAAATGTGAGCATTATTTTAACAATCTTCTTACAGATAAATCAAAATTGCCGTACTGTCCAGATACATGAGGGCAGCGGCCGGCAAAAGTTGTATGAAAATCCATATCTGTCGTGTTTTGCGGCCAGATAAATTACTATGTAAACTCATGTCTGTCCTGTAATTTAATAATGGAATGACCTTTTACTTCGAAACATGGCTACCAAGGAGGTAACTTATAAAAGGTTTTATTTAAAATTCAAACTAGCATGCAAAGAGAAAGCTGTTTATTGAAAAAAAAAAACAAAGGAACATTATGGCGCATGAAAAATTATTATTGTTCGTTATTCGTCATTGAACTTAAAAAGTGAAATTGTGTTTTTGATTTCCGCGTATTGTTTGAGAAAAGTACTATACAAGCCTTGGCCACAACTAGTCATTGATGGACTCACGTATGTGTGCCTCGGCTACGCCTCGACCCACATTTGCACGTTCGTCCATCAATGCCTCAGTTGCTGGCCGCCGCAGTAATGTACTACTATATCATAAATATTCTTTACAGCACTAAAACATACAGTAACATTAACAATTAGAAGCAATGTAAGCTAACTAAGCTTTAACTGTCCACTGCCTTTTCCCTATTGGGGGGCTTTGCCGATAGTTGCCACAATCAGCAGACGAATTGGCAATCACAGCTAGGTTTTCGTTTTAAGAAGGATGCTGCTGTCCATCCCTCGACCATTGAGTTAGAAAGGTCACGGGGGTTTTCGTTTTAAGAAGGACGCTGCTGTCCATCCCTCGACCATTGAATTAGAAAGGTCACGGGAAAGGAAGGATAAGAAACAAACAATTACAAGAAATGATCACAGTGAGACAACAATGGGCGGCCTTATCGCTGAGAGCGATCTCTTGCAGCCAACCTTTGGATGGAGAGGAGTATTTATAAACAGTTTGATCGGAGGCACAATGGGAAATTCTGTATACTCACTGAACACGTCCGTCTCGTCCACAATCTCGGCCTGGATCATCTCTTCAATGACGTCCTCTAGCGTGACCAGCCCTATGGTCTCGTAGAACGGGTCCCCCTCACCTTCGTTGTTGATGCGGTGCACGAACGCCATGTGACCTTTGTGACCTAATGACAATTATATTTTATTTATTTATTTATTTAACTTTATTAGTGAAACATAGGATTCCTAAAATAAATAATAAACACAGCAATAAGATATCTATATATATAAAAATTAATGCCACATTTCGTTGTAATTTTATAACTCAAGCACGGGCTCACCTATCCAAACCAAATGTTTACGCTTTGTTCGAACTATTTAGTAGATGGTTTATGTGAAGTTTGCACAAAATCGGTCGAGCGGTTCTTCATTTATCACATTTTTTGTAACAAATGAATTCAATATAAATGGCGGATCATTTTGTTAATGGGGATTTTTGTGTCAAATTCAAACTTTTTTTAAGATGGGGATTGTGCTGTCAAATTGAAACTTTTTTCAGTGTTGACAGTACAATTAAAATAGCTAGCAATTAATAAAATATTTTTTTGTTTGAATAAATGAATTTGATGTTAATTTTTTTTTTATTATTTCACTTTATACGTAGCGAAGCACGTACCGGACCGTTAGTATTACATATATTTTACCAGAAGGAGACTGTACAAAAGTCGTTTGCTTGGACACCTTTATCCCATTCGTGTTTCAACCGTGAAGCAGTTGTGTTCGCATGGCTGTGTTTCGGTTTGAACGGTGGGATATGACAGTGAAATTACAGGGTACAGAGGAATAACACCTGCGTCCTCAGGAATGGCAACGCATGGGGGGTATCATGGGTGAAACAGTATACTCTGTTATGTTCATGGTACTGCTCATGTCTATAGGCGACGGTTACCACTTTCCATCAGGTGGGCCGTCAGCTCGTTTACCATTTTAAGTTATATAAAAAAAAAATAGTAGTGAAATTCCCACAATAAACTAACACATTTTTTTTTGCTTTACGGTTAAAACACGAATGGGACAGAGGTACCCAAGCAAACGACTTTTGTACAAAGTCTCATCAAATAAACGAGAGTATATGATTAATATATAGCCGTGTAGGTCCCGACATAGAATGGACCACCCCTTCCTTGACCGTGGGTGTCGTAAGAGCGACTAAGGGAGCTTATGGTGGAGGGATGGGCAGCAGCGTCTCTCTTATTAAGCAGTTACACTTTGGCGATGTTTTAAAGAGGACGCTGCTGCCCATCCCTCGCCCTCCCTTAGTCGCCTCTTACGACACCCACGGAAGGAAGGAAGGGGTGGTCGACCAAACCAAACGGTTGAAAGTTTAAAATTATCTAGTACAAGTATTTTTCTAATAACATTGTATACTGGTTTTTCAAAAAAGGGGTAAATTGGTTCCCTCAGGGTAGGCAACATGCGCGTAATGCCCCTGGTATTGCAGGCGTTCATAGGCTACGGTAACAGTTTACAATCAAGCGGGTCGTTAGCTTGTTTACCATCACGGTGGCTTTTTTATAATAGGCGACAATGGAATGGTAACCCCGCCTGTGCTATCGGGGTACGCTGGCGGGGCACCAGTGAGGGTTGATAGGTGACGATGAACAGATAGGTCAGTTAGCCCATCGTGACGAATTCCACTAGAATTAACCACGATGGTTTCTAGGGGAATCACGTGGAGGTCGATCTGATACCAGCCAGCAATACACCCTGTATTGCTGGCAATGGGTCAGTTAGACCCCATTACCAACAATTCATTTCCTCACACCACAGTTGATTAAAAAAAAAATCGATGCTTTAAAAATGCTCACCGTCCTTGAACTGTTTGAACATGACGTCCAGGGTGACGTCCTCGAAGACGAAGTTGCACGGGTTCTGGTAGTACTGGCACAGCGTGCGGAGGGGCGTGTTGTCGTCGGGATCCACGAACGCTAGGTCCTTGATGAACAGCACGGTGACGATGTTCCCGCGCGTGCCCTCGTACACCGGGATACGGGAGTAGCCTGGAATGGGGGGTCATTTATTAAAACTAGCTCAACTCAAGTGGCTTCCCATCAGGCTACGAAGAAATGTCCACATTCTTACTCTTCTTTTCAATATTCTTCTTGATCCAAGATATCCACATTAATTATAGGAAAGATTAAAATTCCGCGAGATTGATATCTGTCTGAGATGCAGTAAAGACTTCATTATGAATTTGCCTTGTTTTTTTTTAATGGGTGATAATGGAATGGGATATATATATATATATATATATATATATATATATATATATATATATATATATATATATATATATATATATATATATATATATAGCTGACCCCGTAAACGTTGTTTTACCACTTATTGCGAAATATAAAAATCGCAATTAAAACAGTGGTTGATCGTAAAACGATGAAAATTTAAAGTTGTATGTATTTTTCAATGCTAAATCATAATAAAATAAAAATGGAAAAATTTGTCAAAAAAATAAAAAAATTTTTTTTTAGAAAGGGGGTTACCCTTATCATTGAGGGGTATGAAAAATAGATGTTGGCCGATTCTCAGACCTACCCGATATGCACACAAAATTTCATAAAAATCGGTAAAGCCATTTCGGAGGAGTTTGGTAACAAACACCGTGACACGAGAATTTTATATATATATATATATATATATATATATATATATATATATATATATATATATATCGAAACAGTATTGTTACTGCCAATGCTCATGCATGTATGTATATAGATAGATAGATAATTTATTTACATTACTTACAGCACACAAATTACAATACAGACATACACATAATACACAGTAAAAGAGATAAAAGAATGAAAATAAAAAAGCAACAAAACAAAAGAAAAAAAAAAAAACAAAAAGCAAAATATATAAACCAACAATTTCCTTTCCTTCCCTTCCTTCATGCGTGTGCCATAGTACATGCATGTTATTTGCCAAGTAATACGAAACTTCGGCAATTTCACTTAATTGAAACAAACTCATCAATTTAATCGAATAGTTACTTTACTCTTCATTGCATAATAGTGGAAATTTCCATCATAACATTGAACGCTCAAAAATTATATAAAAGAACAAGTTCACTTTAAGTTGATCGTGTCTGGATACCTTTATAATGTCCATTGCAGAAAAAAAAACATAGCTGTCAAATTTATTTTTTAAGTATTTTGCCTTTAATTTTGAACATGATTTATATCACCTGGTTTAATTAGCCAATTAAAATCGTAGCGTGATGAAAAGTATACTATAACCTGCCAACGAGTATGAAGAATAATTGTACCAAGTTTCGTTAAAATCCGTCGAGTAGTTTTTGTTTCTATAACAACCATACAGACAGACAGACAGACAAAAATTTTACTGATTGCATTTTTGGCATCAGTATCGATCACTAATCACCCGCTGATAGTTATTTTGGAAATATATTTCATGCACAGAATTGACCTCTCTACAGATTTATTATAAGTATAGATAGGTTATAAAGTATATTATTAAAAAATTGGTCGAATCGAGAATCTCCACCGATCTGACGGTTTCTGCATACGTACGCGTCAAGGTCGGCAAATTGTGTTGAATATGGTTTAAGATGATAGACGAAGGACGCCTGGCAACGTTCCAGTTAACTCATGTACAGAAATAGAAAATTTCAAATATTAGAGACATAGGTACTAGCCAGCGGACGGTTTACAATTTCTACACTTGACTACGAAATATTTTTAACCGACATTTTTTTCTTTTCCTTCTTTTTTTATACAACTCAGAATAGCAAACAAACTGACGGCCCGATGGAAAGACATGAGCAGTACCATGGACATAACAGAGTATACTGTTTCGCTCATGATACCCCCATGCGTTACCATTCCTGAGGACTCAGGTTTTTTTTTATAAAACTTAGAATGGCAAACAAGCTGACGGTCCATCTGATGGAAAGTGATAACCGTCGCCTATAGACATGAGCAGTACCATGGACATAACAGAGTATACTGTTTCGCCCATGATACCCCCCATGCGTTGCCATTCCTGAGGACTCAGGTGTTATTCCTCTGTACCCTGTAAATTCACGCCATATTCCACGCTTCAAACGGAAACACAGCCATGCAAACACAACTGCTTTACGGTTGAACCACGAATGGGACAGAGGTGCCCAAGCAAACGACTTTTGTACAAAGTCTCCCTCTGGTAAAAACCAGTATAGAGATGATTGGCAATTGAATACTTTAGTGTCATCATCATCATACCAGCCTTTAACTGTCCACTGCTGAACATAAGCCTCCCCCTTAGGGGGGATTTTGCCAGTAGTCTCCACGCTTGGTAGGCAACCGCAATTAGGCTTTGGAGATGTTTTAAGAAGGACAGTGTTGACCATCCCTCGACCTCCTCTAGTCGCGTGTTTACGACACCCAAAAGGAAGGGGTGGCCTAATCTATGCTGGGACCACAACGCCAACTTTAGTATAAATAGCTGTTATTCAGCCTGATGAAGTAAAAATAATATTTATGTAAAACAACTAAACAAGCATATGGCCCAACTAGGCTTATGCCCAAAAAGTGTTTGCAGATTTTGTCACAGTGAGGAAGAAACGCCGCAGCACTGAATGTGTCGCTGTAGCCCACTCATACATAATCGATATATGGCCTTTGGAAAACACACTCTGTATCCTGAGGAGATAAAAAACGTCGCTACAAAGAACATCTTAAAATTCCTATCGCTGATAGGAACTAGCAGGGAACTTTAAAAAGGGGAGAGCACAAAAGATCACGGAAAGGTCGCAGTGTCACAGGTTTTTGTGCCTGAAAAAGCCTGTCTTACAGTAATAGTAATAATAATAGCACTGCAGCTAACTGCGTTCGAAATGTTACGAAACGTTACGAAATGCGTTTTTACTGTACTGAGGGCCTACCATGAAATGTTTTCCGAAATTTCGGACACGAACGAAACACAAATTTGATGTTAAAATTACATAATACTTACCGTTTAAATAAATTAAAAATAGTAAAATATTATTCCTTTGGACTTTAATGGTAGTATTTATGACGAACGAAATGTTAAGCTCCATTTACTGGGCCAATTTATGTATGAACTAAAACACGAAATCGTGTCCGAAAGTTCGGGATTTCATTTCATGGTAGGCCCCCTGGGTTGACTGGAAGAGATGTCTGTCAGAGATAAGTCCACCCTTGCTCACAACATTTTATATATAAGCTACAAGTGCAATAAAGAATATATATATGTACATAATATTCTGTTTGAACACTCTTCTCACCTGACTTGATGATTTCCGACATCGTCTCAAAGTCGAGTATGGACGTGATTGGCAACATGAACGCGTCCTCCAGCTTCGTCATCACGTCGGAGACGGTCTTCTTGCGGAGCTCCAGCGCCCCCGAAATGATGTTCACCTCGTCCTTGTCCAAATCGTTCACATCTGTTGTCACCTGCAGTACAAATATTGTTGTAATACTGCATCATGGCTGCAACTCGTTTGTTTAACCGGGATATATGAATTTTTTTAATGGGTGATAATGGAATGATAATTAACTTTCTTCCCGCGCTATCGGTATACACCGGCGGGGCACCAGTGAAGGATGATAGGTGAGGATGAAGCAGGTCAGTTTGTCCATCGTGACGAATTCAACAAGAATTGTTCACGATGTCCGCGTGGAGGTCGACCTAATAGGGCATATTGCAGGGGGGAGAAGGGATTGTTAGTAATGGAGACTGAGAATCCCATTGCTAGCAATATACCCAACCAGGTTGAACTCCTCGCGGTTCCCCCTGAAAACTATCATGGTTAATTCCTGATGAATTCATCATGATGGCTGGCATCATCAACTGGCCTGTTTTCATTCTCATCTATCACCCTTCACTGGTGCTCCGCCAGCGTATCCCGTTAGCGCAGGCGGGGTTACCATACTATTTTCACCCATCAAATAAAAATATAGAATACTAATTTATGAGTTACTTTAAGCCTTTTGGAATCGCTAACAAAGAATATTTTTCAATTATTGTTATTGAAATGAAATGAAATTTATTTGCTAGAAACATTGTAGAAAAGGTGTTGCATTTGTGAAGTTTACAAGATGTCCATTATGTTTCGCCACATCGAATGGCGTGCAAATATTAACTATTGAATTTATACATTGGCCATTTTATACAGGTACATTATGTATTTAATTTTCAATTATTTACTACATATGGCAATATATGCGGGCCAATGATATGGAAAATCGTTCCAAATTTAAAATCGATAGCAGTAGTAGTCGCTGTAAGTCTAACATGAAATAAAATTTCAAAATTTCGAGCACAATTTTGTGTTTTCATTGGAAATGGAGCTTAACATTTCGTTTGTCATAAATCCTACCGTAAAAGTCCAAAGAAACGATATTTTAACATTTCAAATATTTTCAAACGGTATGCATTATGTAATTTTAACGTCAAATTTGTATTCCGTTCGGCCCCGAAATTTCAAAAAACATTTCACGGTAGGCCCTCTGAGGTATAGCGTTGTGACGGGCGAACGAACGAACGAATGGACTGACGGAAGAACGTTCGAAAGGAAGGAAGGAAAAAGCCTAGCATATTATGGTTCCTTTTTTGAATGAATGAGTGCTTTATATTATTCTCAACTTCGTGTATAATATAGTATATGTCATATATGTGTAAGTATATTTGTTATTTATATATATTTATTTGTTTATATATGTAATTTTAGTATGTATGTATATCAATAATTACTAGTACCGCATTCGAGTATTCTGACACTTGCCTACGGGTGACTGGGAGAGAATGCTTTTAGCGTTAAGTCCGCCATGTACACATATTTGTACTAATGAATAAATAAATAAATAAATAAATGAGTATACTTTATTTGCATTATACAATATAGGAAATAAGCAAGACAATTAATAAATGTAACGATACAGTTGTATAAGTACAGTGAGGCGGTCTTATTGCTGAGAGCAATCTTTTCAAGACAACATTTTTTTGCATATTTTTTAGTACGGAACCCTAAAAATAGACTGCAAATTTTGAACGAAAGAGCTTAATAGAACGACGTTACATAAAACTTTTAAAAAATATTACCTTAACGAGTTCCTTAAGCCGCTCCCTGTTGTAGACGCTTCCAATCTCTTCACCCAGGAAATAGTCCAAGAGTTTGCTCACGGGAAACGCCATGGGGGCAGTCAGGGCCATCACCGCCTAAAAATATGCACGTATTAAGTAATCTATAACACTCATGCACAAACACGTGACACCCCTAGTGTTACAGACGTTCATAGGCTACAGTGACCGTTTACGATCAGGCGAGCTGTATGCTTGATTGCCACCTTTGTGGTACTCGTATAAGAAAAAAAAAACTACTTGAAATTGTTTATACTCCTCTCCACCCAAAGGTTGTCTGGAAGAGATCGCTTTTAGCGATAAGGTCGCCCATTGTTTTTAAACAGGATTTTTTTTTATACAACTTAGAATGGTAAACAAGCTAATGGCCCACCTGATGGAAAGTGATAACCGTCGCCTATAGACATGAGCAGTACCATGGACATAACAGAGTATACTGTTTCGCCCATGATACCCCCCATGCGTTGCCATTCCTGAGGACTCGGGTGTTATTCCTCTGTACCCTATAAATTTACACCATATCCCATCCTTTAAACCGAAACACAGCTATGCAAACACAACTGCTTCACGGTAAAAACACGAATGAGACAGAGGTACCTAAAGCAATCGACTTTTGTACAAAGTCTCCCACTGGTTATACGTTATAGGATACGTTATGTATTGATTAACAATACATAAAATATCCTGATCCGCGGACAAAGCCGCGGGTACAGCTAGTATAAAACAATAAACTCACCTTGGTTATCATAATACTCTTGGCGCCCACCATGAGACCATGCCGTGAACAGATCGCCTGAGGCGTTATCTCTCCCAACAGCACTATAGCCAGCGTCGAAAATATAACGGCGAACAGTCCAGACGTCAATTCGTCTAAGAGAATCGTGAACGTCGAATTCACCGCTACATTCCCCAAGAGAATACTACACAATAAATAATTCCCGTGATCCCGAACCGGCATTATAGCTCTCGCGTACTTCCTCTCCTGCTCCGTCCCAGTATTGGCTATGATCTTCAACTCTGTCCTATCTAACGACATCAACCCAAGATTCAGCCCCGAGAAAAGGGCTGAGAACATAAGGCATATTAGAATAAGTATAAACGTGGCCCATAAAGGAAGCAGTTTGTTATGGGTCGCCAGAACCTTCCATGGGTCAGTCCCTTGGTGTATGTACTTGTCCTCGTCGTTGGATATGTCTGTAATTCCTGGCTTTAAGTTCTTCACGCATAAGTACAGTTTGGAACCAGTTATGGGGGGCGGAGCCGTTATTTCGAAGACAGCGGACTTTCTTGTAACAGTATCTTCCTTTGCCTGGAAAGTTGATTTGAATTTAGAATGACAACTTTTTAAATACTGAACTCTGTTATTTTTTTTATACAACTTAGAAAAACAAGCTGACAGCCCACGTGATGGAAAGTGGTAACCGTCGCCTATAGACATGAGCAGTATGTTATGTCCATGGCTCTAGCCTATTCATGACTCTAGGCGACGGTTACGACTTTTCATCAGCAGGTCTACTCTTGAATCTGATATCAATATCAATCCAAATCTATTGCTAATGACAATTCTATACTGCACTCATGTAACAACAGTTAGGAATTATCTTATAACTGGGATCGGTTTACAATAGTTTGCATTGGCAAGTTGCACTAATATGCACCTATCTGAAAAATATGGATATACCCAACCAAGTCGACCTCCTCGCGGTACCCCCTGGAAACTATCATGGTTAATTCCTGATGAATTCATCATGATGAACTAACTGGCCTGTTTTCATTCTCATCTATCACCCTTCACTGTTGCTCCGCCAGCGTATCCCGTTAGCGCAGGCGGGGTTACCATACCATTTTCACCCATAAAAAAACCATGACGATTTCTAGAGGTGTATAGCTAGCAATGGGTCAATCAGACCACCATTACTAACAATCCCTTTCCCCCCCAACTGATCGGTTATTTCTGTCTACTCGTGCGAAGCCGGGTCGGATCGCTAGTTGTTAACAATTCGCCAACTTATGGGAGATATTCGCGCCATAGTTAACTGTCAGGTATGTTTACCTCGCCATGACAAGGACATACCAATCAATAAAGCGTTCGTAAACAAGCGCTATATAAACAAAGCTTATCACTTCTTCCTTTACTGTCATACATACCATATATTCACCTTTCAGAATGAATTTGCACTGCTGGCCATACTCCTGCTCGTGGTTCGTGAAAGCTATCACCGTCCTTGGAGTGAAACCCTCACCGAACAACCTGCAAGTGTAATTCTTCAGCAATTATTTGGGAGAGTTTCAAAGTCGTTTGCTTGGCCACCTTTTTGTTTTCATACAATTTAAAATGGCAAACAAGCTGACGGCCCACCTGATGGAAAGTGGTAACCGTCGCCTATAGATAGACATGAGCAGTACCATGGACATAACAGAGTATACTGTTTCGCCCATGATACTCCCCATGCGTTGCCAATCCTGAACACTCAGTGTAAATTCACTGCCATATCTCACCCTTCAAAGCGAAACACAGCCATACAAACACAACTGCTTCACGGTAGAAACACGAGGTACCCACTAATCGACTTTTGTACAAAGTCTCCCTCCCTCCCTCTCTCACCTCTGTCCCATTCGTGTTTCTACCGTGAAGCTATTGTGTTTGCATGGATGTGTTTCGCTTTGAAGTGTGGGATATGGCAGTGAATTTACAAGGTATAGAGGAATAACACCCGAGTGCTCAGGAATGGCAACGTATGGAGAGTATCATGGGCGAAACAGTATACTCTGTTATGTCTATAGGCGACGGTGACCACTTTCCATCAGCTTGTCTGCCATTCTAAGTTGTATAAAAAAAAACACGCATTAAAAAAAAAGCCTCTTTCAAGCGGACGGACAAAAATTACTCGTTTGACCCATTATAAGACGGTGATAAGTCAGCGCTAATCGGGAAAGGCCACCGATCGATGGCGCCCAAGGTCGGGCGGTCTACGCACGCAGTCTAGCCGACTGCGTCACTCGTGATGTATTGTTACATTTACATACAGTTAGTATTTTTTTTAATTGACGTCAAAAAAAAGTAGATTCTCAATTCAAAACTTTTAGAGTTTATTTATTTATTTATTCTTTATTGTACACAAAAAATTACAAACATATATATGCAATAAAGATGTACACAACAGGCGAGCTTAACTCTGTAAGAGTTCTCTTCCAGCAAACCCTGAGTGGAGAGGAGCATTAATTATTATATTTTATTATTATATTATATATTTAGGGTTCCGTACCTCTAAAGGAAAAATCGGAATCCTTATACGATCACTTCGTATTTAAAAGAGAGAGGGAGGAAGGGAGTTATGTTACTCTGTTATGTCCATGGTATTGCTTATGCCCATAGGCGACCACTTTACATCAGATGGGCCGTCAGCTTGTTTGCCATTCTAAGTTGTATAAAAAAACCTTATAGCACCTTAACGGCATAACCGGTTGTGGAATGTTCCTGCCGAGGGTTTCTCCAGATGCTACTGCATGGAGTTCTTCAAAAAGGGCGTATTAAGACTTCTTTAGGAGCGGCTACGCGCGCGTGACATCCCCGGTGTTACAGGCGTCTATAGGCTACTTAACCCCGTTTACCATCAGACGGGCCGTATGGTTGTTTGCCACCAAAGTATTATTACAAAAACTAGTTACTTAGAAATCTGGTATAGAGGGATGGAGAAGAACGGAGAATATAGGCTAGTTTTAGTCCTGGTCACGGGGACAAAGTCGCGACTAAAAACTAGAGTATTTATATTATATAAAACTCACCGTAACGTAACGCCGGAGTCAGCTAGTACACTGGGAAGGCCCTCTTCAGTAATCCTCGGCTCCTTCTCAGAGTCTTCTATCCTCAATCCGTCCACATGGATCACAAACGGTGCTGATCTTACATTTGTGAAATCATTGATATCAGGGAACATAGCTTGCCTTTGTACACGTACTTTATTCACGTCCTCCTTATCATGATCATCAACGTCATCATCAACGGTACTGTTCACTTTGACTTTCGTATTACAATTCACTACTTTATTGTTATTGTTATTTTTAACTAAATTTGTACTATTCAACTCGTGTTTCTTGCGTTTATGCACCACTGTATTATCTTTATGTAAAATTTCATCGATAGCTAAATATTTATCAAATAGATTTCTATTATGTTCCATATTCATATCTACATTCGAATCAGCGTTTATAAAACTACTTACTTCACCTTTCTTAAGTTTATTATCGTCGTCATTGTCAAATATATCGTGTAATACTTCACGTTTACTTCTATCGACCTCTATATCATTTTTACTATCTATTCTATTGATTTTTAATGATGTATCATCGAGATTCTTATTAAGTCCACTTAAATGTATATTTGTTTTTGTTTTAACATCGTTTGGTGCAGTCTTGGTTGGTTTGTGTTTCAAACTGAGGTAATTCACATCTGTGTCGTGGGAAAGGTCACCCCATTGTGCTCCGTCGATGGCGTCTGGGGTTGTTTGCCTGTTGAAAAAGATATATTTATATTAAGTGTTGCACTTGAACTTATTTCTAAAAAATCTTTTCGTGTTAATGTAACAGAAGTATGGTTCTAGAATGCTCGGTGAAGTGTGTGGAAATCGAGTGTTATGTTCACCACCAGTTATGATCGAAAATATGAGGAAAAATATATTTCTTTCCCCATTTATCTGCAAAGTTTACGTTTGTATGGCTGTGTTTCGGTTTAAAGGGTGAGATATGGCAGTGAAATTACAGGGTACAGAGGAATAACACCTGAATCCTCAGGAATAGCAACGCATGGGTCGTATCATGGGCCAAACAGTATACTCTGTTATGTACACGGTACTGCTCGTGTTTATAGGCGACGCTTACCACTTTCCATCAAGTGGGCCGTCAGCTTGTTTTCCATTCTGAGTTGCATAAAAAGAAATACTGATCGTGAATAATCGGTCGAAGCCGCGGGAAACAGTTAGTTTCGCTTATATATCAGACTGCTTGCTAAACAGACCGTATCATTCGGTATACGCGCGTCGATCGACGCAATGAAGTTTCACCTACACTTCTCCGCCTTACCTTGAGTTATTTCTGTGACTATAGGAATATTCATAAAACTGTACCATAAAAATATTAATGCTTAAGAACTACGAACTATTATCTGCATATTAATACGTGAAGCAAAAACTTTGTATCCCTTAAGAAAATTGCACGGACGGAGGAGTATGAAATTTCGTACACTTACAGTTTAAATAGAGGAGTGCAGAATGGTATTTTTTTTTTAATTATACATAAAAGAAACATCACACACATTGCCATGTATTTGACACACACACACGCATATATAATCTTTTGTTTATTGTTGAAGTCTGTGATCAAATTGAGAATAATTTAATCGTTAGAAATAGGTTTATTTCATACAGCTGCACTGGCCGATTGTAATTTAAAAAGATATGTTTTTTTTTTAATTAAGTTGACACACTTTAGAAACAATCTTTGCTTTTTGCTCTTTTTGCTTTAATGTTATCGTACTTTTTAATTTGTCAACTTAAATGTAACCTAACCATAACATAACCATAATAAATTAATTTATTACAATGTATGCTTAGATTATGTAGATAGAGTATCGAGCCTCAAAAACGGGTCAACTAATCATTTAATTAAGGGGGAAAAGAACTGTTAGCAATGGAGTTTGACAGCCCCATTGCTAGTAATATACCTTATTAGGTCGACCTCCACGTGGTTCCCCCTGGAAACCATCGTGAACAATTCTTGTTGAATTCGTCACGATGGGCTAACTGACCTGCTTCATCCTCACCTATCATCCTTCACTGGTGCCTCGCCGGTGTATACCGATAGCGCGGGTGGGGTTACCATTCCATTATCATCCATTTAAAAAAAAATTCGTTCAATTAGCTGACTCGTTTTTTTTATCAGTGTTCTATATTTTTACGCATATAAAGTATCTTGACGTATTGTTTAATAAATAAAATGAGTGTTTACACATTAAAAAGATGCAAAAGTTATAAAATAAAAAAAAAATACAGTAATTATTGAATTTACACGGTAGAGGAATAACAGTCGAGTCCTCAGGAATGGCAACGCATGGGGGGTATCATGGGCGAAACAGTATACTCTGTTATGTCCATGGTACTGTTGAATGTTTATAGGCGACGGTTGCCACTTTCCATCAGGTGGGCCGTCAGCTTGTTTGCCGTTCTAAGTAGCATAAAAAAGTTATAAAGGAATCACTCATAACAATTTATCACGCAAAATTGTATGAAAAAGTTGCTTTTCTAGAAGCACTTGTATGGAGACACTATGAATACACACATATGTTATGGGCTAACTGGCCTGTTTTCATTCTCATATATCACCCTTCACTGGTGCTCCGCGAGTGTATCCCGTTACCGTAGGTGGGGTTACCAATCCATTTTCATCCAACAAAAAAAAACCATCGTGTTCAATTCTAAGTGAATTCATCAACAATGGGCTCATCATCCCTCACTAGTGCCCCGCCGGCGTATACCTTTTTTTTAATGGGTGATAATGGTATGGTAACTCCGTCTGCGTTATCGGTATACAATGGTGGGACACCAGTGATAGATGACTGATGAGGATGAAAGCAGGTCAGTTAGCCCATCCTGACGAATTCAACTAGAATTAGCCACAAAGGTTTCCAGGGGGAACCATGCGTGGAGATCGACCTGTCAGGGTATATTGCTAGTAATGGGGGTATTTGACCTCATTACTAACAATCCCTTTCCCCCCGGTAGCATATACCGTTAGCGCAAACGCGGTCGCCATACCATTGTCATCCATAAAAAAAAACTCCCATATATAGACACCATTTAGTTACAATAAGGATCAACTCAGCACTAACAATGTTTTCCTTTAGACAGTGTTTTTCTTTTTCATAACACGATGCCCCCCCCCCCCGTACGAAAAAATACTTCCCGACTCCTCGACCTTTCCCTTTTTTTCATGTATTTTATAATGCTAAGAACGAGGAATTACATAGAAGGAGTGATAAAATTGTCAATTCATAGCAGGCTAGTGTATAGAAAATGTTATACAGCCTTATAACCCCTTTTTTTTTGTTTTAAGTCAGGAAAAATGCATCATGCAGACCCATACAGCTTAGGGACCGTGTGGGTACTGCCGGACTCCTACCGGCTAAACGACCAGACGATATACCTCCCAGCTAACAACGACAATGCCGAGGGATCCCTTTTGAAATCAACATCGACACTGACACGAGCCCCAATGAAGGGTAATTACACCTCGGGGCGTGAAGGGTATATGCAACACTCCCCCACACGGTCCTCATTCCCCCTTGGCGAGCTTCAGATGGGCGGCCGTGTAACCCTACCAAATTCAGATATAACCTGCTTGCATACTGTAGTAACTAAGGACATCTAATACAGTAATAACTAAGTCACTAACCTTGCTTGCAGAATGATTCTATTCATCTTGCAGTTGAAAGACAGAAGGGAACTAATGAACAGCAATCGACAATAACATTTAATCACTATTTAATATTTTATATTCGTAAAGACAGATAGATAGATGTAAGATAAAGTAAAACTCAAACGTCACAATGTTTCTAAATTATGCAAACGAAAAAGAGTCTTAATATTATATTGAGGTAAAAATTGTTGGCGCTTTTAAAAGGAGGTAGCGGAATGAATCGCTACACATACATTCTACATAAGCTGTGTTCAATATATAATCTAGTAATGTAAAATTTTTCATTTACAAATAATTGACATACCAAACACTGTCTACCTGCTATCTATTGGGAAAAATTACAATTGATGGTGTATCTTTCGTCCTCTTTTTACTAATTATATTTGCATAAGAAGAAAGGAGGCAACCGTATGATTTACAGTTTTTATTTTATCATTCCTTCTATGTAATACCTTGTTCTTAGTTATAATGTTACAAAGATGTTGTAGGGACTGAATATTTCAATCTATACAACATCTTTATGAATTTGCATAATTAGGTTTCGGATAAAAACAGAATTAATTACTTTAATCTACACTAATATTATAAAGAGGAAAGATTTGTATTTTTGTGTGTATGTTTGTAATGAATAAACTCAAAAACTACCAGTTTCAAAAATTCTTTCACCTCTAGAAAGCTACATTCACCCTGAGTAACATAGGCTATATTTATTGCTAGAAAAGATTAGGGATCCTAACTAAAACTTTAGTAACGTAACTCAAGGTGTAAAAAAAATACGCTATAAAATATCTTTGGTCGCGTGCGCTGCGGAAACTATTGGTGATAGAGCAAAAGTATGTTCTACAATATTGAAGAAAATATCAATAACCACAAAAAACTTCGCGACACTATATGTCCAACTATTATCGTTATGTCACAATAACCACTTTTTACATTTTAAAAGTTGATAGAATAACCGACCAAAATTACACCATGTTATTCATACTTTAAATCCTTATTCAAATAAATCATATTGTTTTCAAAACTGTTTCAATTTATGCAGATTACTTTTTGAATTGTTCAAATCGGCTATTCCATTCAATAGGTATTACGAATTTAATCATTTATAGAAGTAGAAAAAATAACGCTGTCGCGTTGTACATGTTATTCACACCTATTTTAGCGGCGCGGAAGAGGGGCAGGTGGCAGTGGGCACATTTATGAAATAGGTAGCTAGGTAGGTACAGATAAAAATGTAAAATGTTGTAAAAAATGTCCAACCGTGCGAAGCCGGGACGGGCCGCTAGTGAATAAATAAATAAATATTTTTACATCGAATATGACGTTAAATTGATAACGCGATTTATATGCGTACCGAAATAATGTGACGGAATCCCCGCCCGAATGTCCCGAATGCCGGCAGTCCGTTCCGCGAGTGTATGTCGCAAATCTATCTTTATAATTTTGTTTGTTTTTACTTAGGTCGCAAAAACAGGTAGTTTTACCCCCCCCCCCCCCATAGAGGCTTCGAAACTCCACCAGGGGGTCGCGACCCAGCCGGAAAAAACACTGCTCTACGATTTAAAACGAAATTGAAGCTCTTTCGTGCCCGTCGCTTCGCTCGCGCTGTGAGTAGGTATACGGCGGAACACCAGTGACGGGTGATAGGTGAGGATGGAGCAGGTCAGTTGGCACTCCGTGACGGATTCCACTAGAATCAACCACGATGATTATCACGGGGGAACCGCGTGCCGTCGGAGATGTGGTGAGTGCGAAAATGAATCTATGTCTCCGATATATGGCAGCTTGAGGGTATATCGACTGGTTTTTGGTGGGTACACCCCCGCCTTACAGGAGAATTCCCACAGTATCCATTCACCTCCTACAAGGTGTATGGGTCTGCATAAAGCATTTTCCACACGTTAAAAAAAAACAAAAAACAAGGGGAAACCGCGTGGAGATCAATCTGATAGGTTGTATTTAAATAGGGTTTCCAGAGAGACCGCATATGTTATAGAATATATTGCTAGCAATGGAGTTTTTTTTTTTTAATAGATGATAGTGGAATGATAACCGCGCCTGCGCTATCTGTATACTCTGCCGGTGTACCAGTGAGGAATGATAGGTAAGCATGAAGATAGGTCAGCCAGCCATCATGAAGAATTCGAATAAGTATTAACTACATTGGTTTCCAGACCTAGACAGAAGTATATTGCCAGCAAGAAGGCTGTTAGATTCCATTACTAATAATTTCTTTTCCGCTGGGAAAGTTTTTTTTTATACAACTTAGAATGGCAAACAAGCTGACGGCCCACCTGATGGAAAGTGGTACCCGTCACCTATACACATGAGCAGTAACATGGACGTAACTGTTTCGCTCATGATACCCCCATGCATGGCCATTCCTGAGGACTCAGGTATTATTCCTCTGTACCCAGTAAATTCACGCCATATCCCACCCTTCAAACTGAAACACAGCCATGCAAACACAACTGCTTCATAGTAGAAATACGAATGGGACAGAGGTAGCCAAGCAATCGACTTTTAAACAAAGTCTCCCTCTGGTAATACTATTAAAGGATAATATAGGCAAGGATTATGTGAGCACAGTTGATATATCATGCCAAAGTTATGTAAAGACATGTCTAAGAAAACAAAAAAATAAACAATCTTGAATATGCCAATGCTGATGGTGGAAAGTACTTTCATTTATGGACATAAACACTATCATGAACGTTACAGAGTATACAGTGACACCTATGGTACCCTCATGCAATGCCATTTATGCAAGAACAAATTAATACTGCCTCTTTGCCCTGCAATTTTGTTACTATAATGAGATGCTGTGTGATCCCAGAATAGAATGGGTCACCTCTTCCTTTTCCATGGGTGTCATAAGAGGTGACTAAAGGAACTCAATGCTCGAGGGATGGGCAGCAGCATTTTCTTTTCTTTTTAATGGGTGATAATAAAAAGGTTACCCCACATGCATTACCAGTATACACTGGTGGGGCACCAGTGAGTAATATGTATGGATGAAGCTAGTCAGTTAGCCTATCGTGACAAATTCAACAAGAATTGTTCACAATGGTTTCCAGGGGAACCATGTGGAGGTCTACCTAATAGGCTATATTGCTAGCAATGGGGCTGTTAAACTCCATTGTTAACAATCCCTTTCCCCCCTGCCAACCCAACTGCCAAGCATGGTGATTACTGGCAAAATCCCCCCAATGGTAAACTGCCATAAGGAATAACCACTCCTTATGGCAGTCTATGGGAGAGGCTTATGTTGAGCAGTGGACAGATAATGGCTGATAATGATGATGATGATGAGTGAGATTATGTTAAGATTGGAAAAGTCATCAAAAGTATGTAATAACTGTTGTATGTATATTGTAGACCACTATAGGTAGCTTAACACAAGTGTTCACTTTCTGATGGTCACAGGTTCAATCCCTACACAATATAGTATTCATATACATGCCTATTTGTATTTCTCGGAGTGTTTTCTGTGTATAATCATAGACACATTTAGAGAGGGGGCCGGGTGGGTCATGTGTAGCCTAGAATTGTCTGGTGCCCATCTCAAAATTAGGAATAGAGCTTTGAGCTTTAAGCAAAAACTGACCTGAGAGAAAACTATGTACTTTTTTAAGGGACCAGCCCTGGATAATTGTTATAAATATGTACAGGGGGTACTTATAAGGGAAGTTTATATTCATAAAAAATAAATAAATAATTTTTTTCTGTAAAATTTGTGGAGAAAATAAATAAATAAAAACTAAAACCTTCTACAAACCTATTTTAACTATAACAATGTTTTGTCACTTTCTTTCAAATTAGGAATTTGGCTCCAAATAAAGAGACAAAACAGTTAAATAGCAAAAATGGATTTATGAGAAGTTTGACGATTTTATAAAGGGGCATAATTTATGTAGGTAGACATTTATGAAAAAAAATCAGTTTTTCCCTCATTTGTCTAGTATCTATAATATAAGCTTAGCTTATTTTGTGATTAGATAATGCTGTGTAATATGACCTATATATATTGGTATTATTGATTTATTTATTTATATTCCAACGGTATGAAGACGCCTTTAATTTTCCGCGACGATATCGTGGGCGTACACGGAAATTTTATGTGTCTTCATACAACACATACATTTAGCTCATCTTATTTATCCGTAATAATAAAATTTTATGATAACATACCGTGCTAAATTAAATTATAAAAACGCACATTAAGTGTGTAATTTTTTTTTTCATTATTATTATTATTTATTTACTTACGACAATTCTTGTTTTTCTTCTTCTGCGTCCCCAATTTTAGGGTCCAAAAATATAGTCTCCCCTTGGTGCGACCATTTGCCGCCGAATGGTGTGTTTTTCTTCTCATAATAATGTAAACAGAAATATATCTTGCTACTTCCGTGCGGCACCGTTACGTTTAGCTTAGTATACCACCGCGTCGTTTCTACTTCTCGCAACTCGTAATTTGGGTAAATCACGTCACAATCACCACCCTTAGCACCACCCACTGGGGTTAGTCTCCAAGAATAATGACCGAGAAACTCACCACCGTTCGCTTTTAGTAAATATTTACATTTATTTTGAGTACAATTTTTCGACAACAATTCTAACTTAAGTATCCATGGTTCCGGGTTATTATAATCGACAGCGAACACGTTTAAAATTAAACAATATAGTAAACCACAAGTCCGTAACACACTTAACATCGATGCCATGTTTAGAATGCGTATTTGTGAAAAGAAAACAATGAAGTGTGAGGTATAGATAGCGCGACATATTTAAGAATTGACAGTTCGGCGGCAGTTGTTGCCGGAACTGCGGTATAACAAAGAAAAAAATTTAAGTCACATCCGTTTGTAAATTTTTACAAAAAACTATTACAGACAGGTACTTAATTTGATTATCTTTTATCATATACAACGTGAACAATTAAATAAAAAATAGATATTAATAATTACGTAATTTTTACAAAGTTTACAAATTACGTTTCAATTAGAGAGTGTTGAACGCCTTTATATGTACTGTCATTTTTTAGAGTTCCGTGTAATATTATTCCGTAAATATTATTTCAATGTATTATGTATTACTACCGAAAATCAAAAAATAATAATTTTGGACCTCAGATACTCAAGTTACATTTAATTATTATGATACATGTTTTCGATTTTTTTTTATGGGTAAAAATGGAATGGTAACTCCGCCTGCGTTAACGGAATACGCTGGTGGAGCACCAGTGAAGTGTAACTGATGAGAATGTAAACAGGTCCGTTAGCCCATCATGATGAATTCATCAGGAATTAACCATGATAGTTTCGAGGGGGAACCGCGAGGAGGTCGACCTGGTTAGGTATTTTATTTATTTATTCATTAGTACAAATATGTGTACATGGCGGACTTAATGCTAAAAGCATTCTCTCCCAGTCAACCATAGGGAAGTGTCAGAATACTCGTATATTGCTAGCAATGGGATTCTTACTCTCTATTACTAACAATCTCTTTGCCCCCAATGTTTTCGATTATGACAATAATATTTGTGTACATACTTTATTTGTACTATTATAGATTTGTCCAGAAACCCAAAAATCCAGAGATAATGGGATTAATTAGAAATAGTGTCTGAAGACTTTTTAAAGAGGTATCACGCCGTGCTCATCTACAATCAACGGTTCTCATCTCAAAATTAGGAGCGGATTTTTAACTATCAGCAGATGTATCTAAGATTACATATGCATCTTTTTTAAAAGACTGAATCCTAAGACTAAGTTAATCTAGATATTAATTAATTCATTTATAGACTCGTTAATACCGCAATTAATTAAAATTAACCTATCCATTCTGGACCTTTTTGCGTTGCAAAACATATCGCGATTTATTTTTATTCATATAAATAAAAAGACAAAATATGTCGAGTAATAAATTTCTACGGAACCACATAACTAAAAAGTTAAATATTTTATCGTTATGTTGTTATAAGTGTAAGAATGCCGTTCGGATACCTATCTCAAAAGTAGTGGAAAGTTAAGTTGTATTTGACCATTATATTTAAATTTATTTATAATAATAAAAAGAACATTTTCATCAAATTCAAGATTTTTATTTTGATGTCAAATCAAAGTTACATTCGTATAACAGTATAATTGTTAATATTAATAAAAAAAATATTTCTTATTTTACTTCATGAAATTAAATACATTTACCCGAATGTAGTGTATCCAAATTTTTCACTTTTCCACAATAAAATAGAACTCACGACAAATTCATTTACTACTATTGTCATCTTTCTTTATTTCCATGTGTTAGAAGAAGATAGTGAATATTTTAACGCGATAAATGGGTGACTTTTTCATCTGTACCACAGTAGTGGAAGTGTAAGATTTGGTCGCGAAATCGACAGCCAACCGAGCCGACCCGAATTACCAGCGACCATTTGGCAAAAGTCAAAAATTCGTGTGTTGGCTTTCTTTAGTCAAATATTAGATCACGTAATTATATTTTACAATGGAACTCACGCGTAAATATTTCGCTTAATTAGATAGTTAATTAGTAAAACAGGTAGTAGCGAGTAGGTTTGACTGGGTCTTTTTTAGATCATCATGTAATTTAGCCGATGTATTTATGAGTCTCAATTTGATGGATATTGTAAATATGGAGGTGAGGGAGGCTGGGGACGGCGCCGCGGCCGGGGAGTACATTAGGCCTCCCTCCAAGCGGTACACCTGGGCGGAAGTAAGGCAAGCGGTACACGATTTGCGGAAGGAATTGTCTTCCTTGTCCACAATGGTACCTATGGCAATATCGTTCAGGAAGCTTAGTAATGGCAAGACGAGGATATACTTCCTGAAGACGCCTCAGAATGGATGGGAGATCACTCTCTTGTACACCGACTTGACGCTGACGAATCAGCCCAACAGTGCGAGGTTAGTTTGATCGTCTTTTAAATATTTGAAAATGGAACGATAATCCTATCTGTACAAAAAAATGTTTACAAATTTTCGTTGTTTACATTGGAAACATTTTTATGCAACTTAGGATGGCAAAGAAGCTGACGGCCCACCTGATGGAAGTGGTAACCGTCAGCTATAGACATGAGAAACACCATGTACATTATAGAATGCATACTGATGGTACCCCATATGCAATGTCATTCATGAGGACTACAGTGTTATGCCTCCGTACCCTGTAATTTCACTGCTATAGTGTGGGACCTTTAAAATCGAAACATGTATATAATCACAGCTGTCTGATAGTAAAAACTATGAGTGGAACCGAGGTACTCAAATAGATTACTCAAACACATTCATTAACTATAACCTTTACATCTAGAAATCTTATATATAAAATTCTCGTGTCACGGTGTTTGTTACCAAACTCCTCCGAAACGGCTTAACTGATTTTTATTAAATTTTGTGTGCATATTGGGTAGGTCTGAGAATCGGCCAACATCTATTTTTCATACCCGTCAATGATAAGGGTGACCCTCCCCAAAATATTTTTTTTTGTTTTTTTGACAACTTTTTTTATTTTTATTCTATTATAATTTAGCATTGAAAAATACATATATCTTTAAATTTTCAACGTTTTACGATCAACACCTGTATTTTAATCACGATTTTTTATATTTCGCAGTAAGTGGTAAAACAACGTTTACGAGGTCAGCTAGTAATATATATATATATATAAGCCCTTTTACTCCGAATTCTCTATAACCCTAGCAAGACATTTGCCCTTTCTATTTATTATAATATATCTCTCAATTCGGTGTGCCTCCTGGTATAGGCCTCTTCCAGCTCTCTCCACTGAACTCTATCCTCCGCCACTGTACTCCAGTAAGGCCCCAAGGTTTGATGGATGTCGTCTATCCATCTTGTTCCATTTTCTTGTGGTCTTTAATATGGAAGATAATTTATTTACTGAAATTATAAATGTGAAAGTGATATTTTTTTTTTGATGAGTAAAAATGGTATGGTAACCCCGCCTACGCTAACAGGATACGCTAGCGGAGCACCACTGAAGGGTGATAGATGAGAATGAAAACAAATCAGTTAGCCCATCATGATGAATTCATCAGGAATTAACTATGATAATTCCCAGGGAGAATTGCGAGGAGGTCGACCTGGTTGGGTATATTGCTAACAATGGGATTCTCAGTCTCCATTACTAACAATCCCTTATCCCTCAATGTGAAAGTGAGTCAGGGGACTTAAAAAAGAAGAAGGGGTTTTTTGAAGTCAACTAACAAAGAAATTTACTTTATTATTTGTGGAAGTAAAGTAGGTTGTATTCTGGTTTTTTTTTGTTATGTCATAATCCTGTCAGTCATAAACCAATTTGGATTTCATTTTTATCCAAAAGGCATGAAATGACTGGGTACAGAGGAATAACATCTCAGTCCTTTGGAATGGCAACGCACGGGGGGTATCATGGGTGAAACAGTATACTCTGTTATGTCCATGGTACTGCTCATGTCTATAGGCGACGGTTACCACTTTCTAGCAGGTGGACCGTCAGCTTATTTGCCATTCTATGTTGTATAAAAAAAAACTTTTAATAAAAAAAATACTTGCAGATTGTTCCTATAGAAATTTTATCAAAATCGATCCTCTATTGTAATATTTATTTATTTATTCTTTATTGTACACAAAAAAATTACAAACATATAATATATATTAAAAAAAGTTTCTTTTTTTATACCACTCAGGTGGCAAACAAGCATACGGCCCACCTGATGGTAAGCGGTTACTGTAGCCTATGAACGCCTGCAATACCAGAGGTATTATGCGCGCGTTGCCGACCCTGAAGAAACCTCTGTACCCCCCTTTTGAAGAACACCATGCTGTAGTCTCTTGGGAAAACCTCAGCTGGGAACACATTCCATAACCTGAGTGTTCGTGGGAGGAAACATCTCTGAAACCGCGTTGTACGCGAATATTTAGGCTGTAGGGTACCTGACCTACCCTACCCACCTGATGGAAAGTGCCAACTGACACCTATACACTAGAGCAGTACCAATCCTTCCATCACTTACAAATCGTCACATTTAAAAATAATAAAAAAAAAAGTAATAAAAAATATTAATCTTTTGTTTCAGATTAGACTGGAAACCGCTGATAGAGCCAGTCGCGCTGGGCGTGTCCTCAGGCAAGTGGTCCCGCGAGGAGCAGCTGCTGTGGGAGCGGCAGCGGGTGGCCGCCTGGGGGATAGCGTCCTACGAGCTGCACGCTAAGACCGGACGCGTCTTGTTCCCATGCGCCTCGTCGCTCTTCGTCGCCGAAGAGGGGCCTAATCAGGTGATCACACACACACACACAACTAGTTATGCTTAGCGCGGGAAAATAGAGTTGGTGCGCAGACGCGTATTTGAGAGGGGTGAGGTAAGACCGCAGCGGGTGGCGGGGAGTGTCCATACATTACTACTATTACTTATACTGTGCTGTCAGTAAGGTAATAAGCATCTGGTAAGAAAGAAAGACTCTGTTTTCCGCACTTAGCCTCTCATTTGGGCCGTTGTGCGTTAAGCATCTGGTAGTGGAATCTTAACGGTATTGTCCTTTCCAGTCGCCGCCGCTGGTGCCCCGCTCGCTGAACACGGGCGGGGGCGCGCCGCTGACGCCGGCCATGTGCCCGCGCACGCCGGCCCTGGTGGCGCACGCCGCGCGCGGCGACATCTGGCTGGCCGGCGGCGGCATACGGCGGCCCACTCGACTCACGTACGCTTGCAGGGGACACGAGCCGGATAGGTGAGTTTTTTAGTGCATGATAATGGAATGGTGATTCTGCCTGCGCTAACGGTTTACGCTAGCAGGTCACCAGTAAGGGATGATAGGTGAGGATAAAAAGGCAGGTTAGTTAGCCCATCGTGATGAATACACCTGGAATTAAACAGGTTGGTTTCCAAAAGGAACTGCGTGGAAGTTGATCTGACAGGGTGTATTGATAGCAATGGGGCGGGGGAAAGGGATTGCTAGTAATGGAGACTAAGAATCCCATTGCTAGCAATACACCCAACCAGGTCGACCTCCTCGCGTTTCCCCCTGGAAACCATCGTAAACAATTCTTGTTGGATTCGTCACAATAGGCTAACTGACCTGCTTCATCCTCATCTATCATCCTTCACTGGTGCCCCGCCAGTGTATACCGATAGCGCGGGTGGGGTTACCATTCCATTATCACCCATCAAAAAAAAATGCAATTACATGATTGTTGTGCTTTCATAAGCACCCTGCGTCACTTCTTACGGCTAGCGATCGGTCTCCCTCGAATTGGGGACCGGTAGACGGCAGAGGTCGCCACTTCGAAGGCCGACCACATACTCATTTGTTGGAGTATCCGGCTGTTCATTTACCTTCCTTGTGCTCCTCAAATATTGCGTCTAAACTACTAGTGAAAACACCATGTACCTTATTCTATAGGCATTCTGTCATCCGTAACCAATTGCAGAGACAGCCTCAGAATGCCTCAAATACTGTACCGCAAACCATAAAAAAAACAGCAATGGGGCTCCTACTCAATTATTGACAATCCCTTCTTCCCAAAGGCTTACCTAAGTTATACTGGGTCGTGCTTATTACTGGTATCCATTGGGAATCGTATGGAGATCACAGGTAATATTGCTAGCAAAGGGGACTAACGTCACCTTTACTAACAATCCCTTTTCCTCTCCACTGTTCAGGTTAGCAGACGACCCTCGCCAAGCCGGTGTACCGTGCTACGTGACCCAGGAGGAGTTCTCCAGGTATACCGGGTTCTGGTGGCAGCCCAAGTCAGATGGTAAGTGTTGGTTGGTTAAATTGTCCATTGCTGAATATAGACCTTCCCCTTGGAAGGTTTTGCCAATAGTTGCCACGTTTGGCATGCAGGTTGGTAAATGCAGTTAGGCCTTGGTGATGTTTTAATAGGGATGCTGCTGTTCATCCCTCGACTATTAGGTTTCATTAGTCGCCTCTTACGACACCCACTAGAAAGAAAGGGGTGGTCCATTCTATGTCGCGACCACGTGATGTCTATTTATATATACTGTCACGCGGACGAGGTCGCGGGTAAAAGCTGGTATTGTTATGTTCCTTTTAGAAGTTATGAAGCAACGTACATCATAAACAGATACCATGGATAGTAGATCCGTCGTGCCCTTACCAGCATAGAATGGGTCACTCCTTCTTATGGTCGAGGGATGGGCAGCAGTGTCCCTTTTAAAACATCTCCAAAAGTCTAACTGCAGTTGCCAACCCACCTGCCATACGTGGCAACTACCGGCAAACCCTCCTTTATATATTCAGCAGTGGAGTTAACAACTGATAAAAAAAAAAAACATATATTTTTTTTTTATACAAATTAGAATGGCAAACAAGCTGATGGCCCCCCTGATGGAAAGTGGTAACCGTCGTCTATAGACATGAGCAGTACCATGGACATAACAGAGTATACTGTTTCGCCCATGATACCCCCCATATATGTTGCCATTCCTGAGGATTCAGGTGTTATTCCTCTGTACTCTGTAAATTCACGCCATATTCCACCCTTCAAATCAAAACAGCCATGCAATCATAACTGCTTCACGGTAGAAACACGAATGGGACAGAGGTACGCAAGCAATCGACTTTTGTACAAAGTCTCCCTCTGGTATATATAAATATTGTTATACATTATCCAATCCTAATACCAATATTTTTTTGTAGACGATGTGTACAGAATAGTATATGAAGAAGTGGACGAGAGTGATGTCAAGGTGTTCAGCTTCCCCTCGTCGCAGACCAGCAGTGGGGAGGTGGAAGAGTTCAGGTGAATACATACTCTGTTAACTCGGTTAACTCATTCATCATACTCATGAACTTTTTTTTTTTTAATTAAAATGGAATGGATACTTCGCTGGCGATATAAACTGGCCATGCAGCGAGGAATGATAGGTGAGTTGATGAATTCCACAAGAATTAAACAAGGTGGTTTCCTGAGGAATTTGCATGGAGGTTGACCTGATACGGTCGGGTATATTGCTAACAATGGGACAGTATTAGAAAAAAAAATGGATTCTATTAGATTACTTTAATATTTACTTTGTATAAGATGTTATTTCATTAGTTTGATTTTGAATTTGTACATAAGTCTTTGAATTTTTACAAAATTCTATTTGACTAGTTTGCTTTTGACTTTGTACAAATTTATATTTAATTAGTTTGGGCTTGACTTTGTACAAAATTCTATTTAATTAGTTTGGGCTTGACTTTGTACAAAATTCTATTTAATTGGTCACGAACACTCAGGTTATGGAATGAGCTCCCTGCCGAGGTTTTCCCGAGAGACTACAGCATGGGGTTCTTCAAAAGGGGGGTAAAGAGGTTTCTTCAGGGTCGGCAACGCGCGCGTAATACCTCTAGTATTGCAGGCGTTCATAGGCTACGGTAACCGCTTACCATCAGGTGGGCCGTATGCTTGTTTGCCACCTCAGTGGTATAAAAAAAAAAAAGTTTAGGTTTGACTTTGTACAAAATTCTATTTGATTAATTTGGTTTTAACTTTGTATGCAAGTTTATTCAAGTAGTTTAACAGACATAAGACAAGACAGACAAAAATTAAAAAAAAAATTTGTTTTGACATTTCTTGGTCTTATTAAGACCCCTCATGTAAATTTTTCATAAATATCTCCCACATACAAACGTCGTCTAGTTTCAATTTATATATATATATATATATATATATTTACATTTCAAAAATAAAAAATTATGCAACTTAGAATGGCAAACAAGCTGACGGCCCATCCGATGGTAAATAGAAACCGTCGCCTATAGACATGAGTAGTACCATGGACATAACAGAGTATACTGTTTCGCCCATGATACCCACCATGCGTTGCCATTCCTGAGGACTCAGGTGTTATTCCTCTGTACCCTGTAAATTCACGCCATATCTCATCCTTCAAACCGAAACACAGCCATGCAAACACAACTGCTTCACGGTTGAAACACGAAGCGATATAGTGTATTAGTTTAACAACTTGTTAGCAAGGATGTGGCAGAAATAATCTGAAAGAGAGAGTTATTTCTTCCGGCCAACCTAATGCAGTTAGAGAGAAAATAATTAGCTGATAATATTGTGTCGTGTGCAGGTTCCCCCGTGCGGGCACCCCCAACGCTAAGTCCTCGCTCAAGATGGTGACCTTCCGGTTGCAGCGGGCGGCACCAGCCACCGTCCTCGACTACTACCAGGACGGCTCTACCGACACAGGTCTGTACACACACATATATATAATATATATACAACTACAAAGCCATCAGCCATGCAAATAACAACTTTACTTTTATTCTGCTAATCCGGACGCCGGGTCAGAGGGCCTACCATGAAATGTTTTCCGAAATTTCGGAGCCAAACCAAACACAAATTTGATGTTAAAATTACATAATACATGCCGTTTGGAAATATTAAAAATATTAAAACATTGTTCCTTTGGATTTTTATGATAGCATGTATGACGAACGAAATGTTAAACTCCATTTATTGGTCCGATTTTGGTATAAACAAAAACGCGAAATTAAGTCCGAAATTTCGGAATTTCATTTCATGGTAGACCCGCAGCTAGTAAGATAAAAAAAAAGAATGTTAATAAGTAAACAATTACATTATGTGAAAAAATAAAAATTGTCAAAGACGTCGTGCCACGTCACTCCACACACACCAGAGGGAAACTTTGTACAAAAGTCGATTGCTTGGGTACCTCTGTCCCATTTGTGTTTCAACCGTAAAGCAGCTGTGTTTCGGTTTGAAGGGTGGGATATGGCGTGAATTTACTAGGTACAGAGGAATAACACCTAAGTCCTCAGGAATGGCAACGCATGGGGGGGTATCATGGGCGAAACAGTATACTCTGTTATGTCCATAGTACTGCTCATGTCTATAGGCGACTGTTACCACTTTCCATCAGGTGGGCCGTCAGCTTGTTTGCCATTCTAAGTTGTATAAAAAAAAAAACTCAATTGTTTTGCCTTCCCGGAACCTCTCCACTAACACTTGAACTTTATGGTATGGTATTAAAGTTCAAATCGACTTTTAAGTATTTGTAATGTTTACATGTTTGTATGGGAGTATAGAAAAGTGTTCTTTTTAGACTTTTTAAGGCAATTTATTTAAATTTTCTCTCCGTAAGAACCATCCTCGTACTTTATGGAATATTCTAAAACAAAGAATTAGCGAAATCGGTTCAGTTGTTCCCGAGATTTGCGCTTAGCAACACATTCAGCAATTTATTTTTTATATTAAGATTTGTTTGTACAATAAAGTATAAATAAATAAATAAATAAAACAGTATCAGACAACAATGAAGCAATGGAAGTGACCGACATCCGATGGTACGAGCTGAGGACGCCCCTCAAGGAAGCGTTCCCGTGGTTCGAGTACATCGCCAGGGTCGGCTGGACACCATGTGGCCAATAGTGAGTTTTTCTATAGTACTTATGATTTTATATTATATGGCATATGGGGTCAGCTTAGCTGATGCACGTCAATTCATCGGGATCTTTTGTGCTTCCCCCTGCCTTATACCATCATTTCATAGATCCTTTGTGTTACCCTAACGGTATCCCGCGGTTTAAGATATCTGTAGTCCCCTGGCTTTGGATAAGCCGCTCCCAGTAGCCTCATGCGCATGCTCGCTAACGAATCGCAGTTGCACATCAAGTGTTCCATGGATTCCGATCTCTCCCCGCACAGTCTGCACAGTGTGTCCGAAGATAGACCCATCTTGTGTAGTATATGCCTTATTGGCATATGTCCAGTTAGGGCACGCGTAATGAGTCCCGCCTGTTGTCTGCCACCGCTGTAGATGAGTTTATCCCATCCCTCGACATTGTCATTTAAGAACTTTTTAGAATGTCTAAGAATCATGTGTCTCTTCGCTAGAGGGCGGCCTTGCTAATAGTTGCCACGCTTGGCAGACAGCTTGGCAAACGCAGTCAGGCTTTCATGATGTTTTGAGAGTGACGCCCTTCCTTAGTCGCCTCTTACGACACCCACGGGAAAGGAAGGGGTGGACAATTCTATGCCGGGACCACACGGTGAAGTAGTCTTTGGAATCAATTTCCAGCGGCAGTATTTCCGAACCGATACGACGACATAACCTTCAAGAAAAGAGCATATTCCTTTTTAAAAGGCCGGCAGCACACCTGCAATGCCGTAGGTGTTGTGGGTGACCATGCGGCGGTAGTCACTTACCATCGGTGTGCCGAATGCCCGTTTGCCCCCTGTGTTGTAAAATATATATATATATATATATAAAACAAAGCTTTCTGTGCACGAGTATAAATGTTCTGCAGTGTATGGCTGCAGCTGCTGGACAGGAAGCAGCAGCGGCTGGAGCTGGCGCTGGTGCCGCTGAGCGAGCTGAGCGCGCCCGCCGCGTACGAGCACGCGCCTCCACACGTCGGCCAGCCGGATCCGGATGCAGACTGCGAACACGTGAGTGACCATACGTAATCTCCATAAAAGACTTCGAAGTCGGGCAGCTCGAATTATTGATAGTCAGCGCCTTACTGTCACCAGAGGGAGACTTTGTACAAAAGTCGATTGCTTGGCCACCTCTGTCCCATTCCTGTTTTAACCGTGAAGCAGTTGTGTTTGTATGGCTGTGTTTCGGTTTGAAGGGTGGGATATGGCGTGAATTTATTGGGTACAGAGGAATAACATCCGAGTCCTCAGGAATGGCAACGCATGGGGGGTATCATGGGCGAAACAGTATACTCTGTTATGTCCACGGCACTGCTCATGTCTATAGGCGACGGTTACCACTCCATCAGGTGGGCCGTCAGCTTGTTTGCCATTCTAAGTTGTATAAAAAAAAACATCCAACCATATCATACACCAGCCTCGCGTCGTCAATTTATAGATTTATTATCATACTCATAGTAAGATTGCTTCTTTATATTCGCTTCTCTTGTAGAAATCCCAAGACATCCAAGTGCTGGTGTCGGAGTCGGCGCCTGACGCGTGGATCAACGTGCACGACATACTGCACTTCCTGCCGAGCGAGCCGCACTGCATCAGCTTCATATGGGCCTCCGAGGAGACGGGCCACCTACACCTGTACCTCATCACGTGCGCTCTACACTCGGACAATATGAAAACTAGATGTGAGGGCGTTTTCTCCAATTGGATTCTACATTTACCAGAGGGAGACTTTGTACAAGTCGATTGTTTGGCCACCTCTGTCACATTCGTGTTTCTACCGTGAAGCAGTTGTGTTTGCATGGCTGTGTTTCGGTTTGAAGGGTGGGATGTGGCAGTGAATTTACAGGGTACAGAGGAATAACACCCGAGTCCTCAGGAATTATTTTATTTATTATCTTACTAATAATAGATTTTTTTTTTATACAACTTAGAATCGCAAACAAGCTAACGGCCCACCTGATGGAAAGTGGTAATCGTCGCCTATAGACATGAGCAGTACCGTAGACATAACAGAGTATACTGTTTCGCCCGTGATACCCCCCATTCGTTGCCATTCCTGAGGACTCAGATGTTATTCCCCTGTACCCTGTAAATTCACACCATATCCCACCCTTCAAACCGAAACACAGCCATGTAAACACAACTGCTTCACGGTAGTAATACGAATGGGACAGAGGTACCCAAGCAATCGAGTTTTGTACAAAGTCTCCCTCTGGTGAGATTCTATCCGTCCACCCGTGTAGTCTTGGCATAGAATTGGCTTTCCTGTGGTTGTCGTAAAAGGTCATTAAGGGAGCTTAATGTGCGCGAAATGGGTAGCAGCGTCCCTCTTAAAACATCTCTAAAACATTAACGGCAGTTGTCAACCCGCCTGCCAAGCGTGGCAACTCCTGGCAACATCCCCTAAGAAGGCTTATGTTCAGCAGTGGACAGTTTTTGTTTTCATTTATTATTCTATTATTAAAAAAAAAAGGCCTGATGAGTCATAGTTGTCTTCCTGAAGGTCTAACTTAAAAACAAATTTTTATTTCATCTTGATACGCCATCTGGAGGTGGTATATTACATTAGTTTAGTCTACTTCTAGCACTCTAGACAAGTGGCTAGCGAATTTATTGATGGAATCGACATCCCTAACGAGTCCGTGAGATAGAATAAGATAGCAACGTCGGATGTCTCATTCTAACTTGTAAATCTGTAGACTCGCTATCAATGTCGATTCCATTAATAAATTCGCTCGCCACTTATCTAGTGGGCCTGAAGTCGACGCGTACGAAGTAGCGGGCGAAAGCTAGTAACTAATAGTTAGATATTTGTTGCAGCTGTTATAGAAATGATTACTGACGATGACGCGAACGCGGTCGGGCCAAATATCATCAGCAAGGAGGCGATCACGGCTGGCGAGTGGGAGGTGATGGGCAGGAAGATATGGGTGAGTTTAATGGAATGATAACCCCATCTGATAGGGGGGAAAGGGATTGTTAGTAATGGAGACTGAGAATCCCATTGCTAGCAATATACCCAACCAGATCGACTTCCTCGCGGTTCCCCCTGGAAACTATCATGGTTAATTCCTGATGAATTCAACATGATGGGCTAACTGGCCTGTTTTCATTCTCATCTATCACCCTTCACTGGTGCTCCGCCAGCGTATCCCGTTAGCGCAGGTGGGGCTACCATACCATTTTCACCCATAAAAAAAATAGATTGGATTAATGGGGAGAAAGGGATTGTTAGTAACGGAGACTGAGAATCCCATTGCTAGCAATATACCCCATGGTCTCTTCTGGAAACCATTGTACTAAATTCTATGTGTATTCATCACGAATGGCTAATTGCCTGTCCCCAATAGCTGCAGGCCTATGTTCAGCAGTGGACAGTTAAAGGCTGATATGATGATATCTAACATCTCTCATTCAGGAGAGAAAGGGATTGTTAGTAATGGAGACTAAGAATCCCATTGCGAGCAATATACCCAACCAGGTCGACCTCCTCGCGGTTCCCCCTGGAAACTATCATGGTTAATTCCTGCAAATTTAAAGAAGCTTTAAAAAGTCTTACTTGGTCAGAGGTATTTAGCAAAATTGACACAAATATAGGGTTTGAATTATTTCATGACATATTTTGTTCTCTGTATAATCTCTGTTTTCCAATAAATAAAATCAAAATCAGAGAACAAAATTATAAAGCTAAGTGGATCACCAAAGGAATAAAACTATCATGCGCACATAAAAGAAAACTTAGATATAATGCGTATAAACAAAATACAAATAAAACTCGATCAACTTATCTTAAATATACAAAAATTCTAAATAAATGCATTACTTACTCAAAAAGAATGCATAATAATAATATTATCAATAAGTCAAGAAACAAGTGCAAGGCCACTTGGGATGTCATAAATAAAAAAAGAAGCAATATAAGTAAACAAGAAATTAAAAGTATTAAGGTTGAGAATAAAAAAATAAATGATCCTCAAAATATTGCAAATGCATTTAACGATTATTTTATATCGTATACAAAAAAAAATCCGGAAAAAGCAAATTGCCAGCACAAAAATATTCAAAATCTGAATTCATCAGTATTTATAATACCTTGTAATGAAGAAGAAGTCATTAAAATTATAAAATCTTTGAAAAGTACAAGGTCTGTGGGTTTTGATGATATCTCAACTCATATATTAAAAAGAGTTGCAAACGAGATTGCTCCAGTGTTAACGTATATTGTGAACTTGTCTTTCATGCTAGGTATATTTCCAAATCGATTGAAACATTCAATAGTAATCCCACTACATAAAAAAGACGATAAAACCAAATTAAACAATTATAGACCCATTACATTAAACTCAGTATTTTCAAAGGTATTTGAAAGATTGATGCATATTAGACTGAATAAATTTATTAATAAATTTAATATAATTAAAAAGGAACAAAATGGATTCCAAACAAATAAATCGACAACATTAGCTGCATTTTCTGTTATTCGTAATTTGACACATTATATTGACAATAAAAAGAGAGTAACAGGAATATTTTTTGACATGACTAAGGCCTTTGACAATTTAAATCATACTATATTATTAAATAAGTGCGAAAGATATGGGATTAGAGGTCCTACTCTGAAATGGATATCAAGCTTCATCTCAAACAGAAAACAATGTGTACTTATAAATAAAATTGATAATACAAACACAAACAAGTCTTTTAAGTCTAATTGTCATTGTAACCTATCGGGAGTCCCACAAGGAAGTATACTAGGACCTCTATTATTCCTCCTATATATAAATGACTTGCCAGATATAACTAAATATCAATGTGTTTTATTTGCCGACGATTTATCAGTTATTATTCCTGAAAATGAAAGAATAAAATCTGACTATGAAATTACTATAAAGAACACAATAAGAGACATAGTAAACTGGTTGCAACACAACGATTTAAGTGTCAATATATCTAAGACTAAGTATATGCAATTCTTGAATTATTCCATGAAACCAATAAACATTTTTATAACATGTGATAATGAAATTGTAACCGAATGTAAAGAAATAAAGTTTCTAGGCTTTATATTGGACCAAAATTGTAATTGGAAAGGACATACAAATAATGTAAGGAAGCGTATAAACAGTTTTGTGTATGCTCTAAGAAGGTTAAAAAGAGAAGCCAATGAAACCACAATCCTTACCGCTTACCACGGTTATGTAGGATCGATATTGAGATACGGACTTCTACTATGGGGAAATTCCGTATTAGTAAGAAAAGTTTTTATCGCGCAAAAGAAATGTATAAGAGCGATTTGTGGTGTTGGTCCAACAGAATCTTGTAAACCTCTATTTAAAAAATTAAAGCTTTTGACACTTACCTCAATGTATATTTATGAGGTGGGAATATTTGTAAAAAAACATTTGTATTTATTTACAACAATGACAGAATATAATAAATTTACACCCAGAGACCCCACACAACTGAAACTACCCACCTGTAAGTCAACGCTGCATCAACAAAATTGCGGTGTAATGGCTATTCGAATTTATAATAGGATACCAAAAAAAATAAGAGAATTGCCATTAAATTATTTTAAATTAAAATTGAAAACATGGTTAATAGAAAATAATTTTTACAATATTAATGAGTTTTTGTAAAATATAAATGCTGTGACATTGACTTAGTTGAAATTTAAATTGTAATTTTAATTTTATTTGACATTTTTATTATTTTATTATTTGTAGTAGCTTTATTGACTGTTTGTAATGCATGACCAAAGTGACACTTCGTACTAATAGTGATTTATTGTATATGTAATTGAAAATTAAATATATGATGTACCTGTATAAAATAGAAAATGGATAAATTCAATAATTAATATTTGCACGCCATTCGATGTGGCGAAACATAATGGACATCTTGTAAACTTCACAAATGCAACACCTTTTCTACAATGTTTCTAGCAAATAAATTTCATTTCATTTCATTTCATTTCATTTCATTTCATTTCATTTCCTGATGAATTCATCATGATGGGTTAACTGGCCTGTTTTCAGTTTCTGTTTGTTGCAGATCCTAGGTTAGGTTCCTAAGTCGACTTGATACCCTATCAGGTCGTCCTCCCCGCGAATATATTGCTAGCAATGGGGCTTTTAGATCCAATTACTAACAATACCTTTCCCACTTAAGTCTTACCAGTTAAGGTATCGTTTTACAATCTCCCCATCTCGATATTAACTCTGTCAAGTAGGAAAAATCTTGTGTTTGAACCGCGAGAATGTGTACAAAGGCACAATATTTTTTTACGATATCTTCTTTAAAGGATCTTATTGATTGTGCCATTATGTTGTTAAAAAGTGAGTTGTGCTGATAAATTTTCCTTATCGTTGGTCAGGTGGACGAGCCCCGGCAGCTGGTGTACTTCGTGGGGCTGCGCGAGACGCCACTGGAGCGGCACCTGTACGCCGCCTCGCTGGCGCCGCCGCGCCCCCACTCGGTCACACTCCTCACCTCCGTCGGACACTCGTGCAACGTGGATATCGATGAGGTCACCAGTTATACACTCGCTTGGGGATTTTTGTTTTGTTTCAACATAAACCAGCATAATACTAATATCAAATCTTTATACCGTCTTTCGCTTGAATACTTCCTTTATTACTGTCTGTCATCATATATATATATATATATATATATATATATATATATATATATTTGAAAGATTTACATATTTTACCTTTTACTTTTTTTTTTACTCTTCACAAAACGCAGTAAATGGTAACAGTTTTAATTATCCCGTACGCAGGAGTGTACAACGGCGGTGATCACGTCGTCGAACATCAGCAGCGTGCCCAGCACGCGCGTGTACCGGCTGCTGCACGAGCAGCACCACCACCACCCGCGGCTGCTCGCGCAGGGCACGCTGCTCGAGAGGACCGCATCAGGTGAGGCAGCGCCGCGGCTGGATACTCAACGCAACTGCCACGGACAGACGCTGGGGGACGGCTAGGGAAAGGGAGTGAGAGAGCGGGAGATAGACAAAGGGAGAGGGAGAGAACGAGAGGAAGAGACTGCGAAATAGAGATAGGAAAGAGTAGAGAGAAAAAGTAAAGAGAGTATTTCTGGGAACATGATTACAACCTAATTCCGTTCCGTTTATAGTCCCCAAGATACAGGTCTGGCCTAGTTTGGGGACTGATGGTAATGCAGATATTTCCTCGTTGTATATAAATTGTAAAATTTTAATATTATTTTATCCTAAATTCATATGTGTAAATTTAAGTTGTTTGTGAGGAGACATTGTTTGTGAACTATTTGCATGAGATAAAAATTGTAATAATAGTGGAAGTCCCATTGGTTGATCTAATAAATAAATAAATAAATAAATAATCTAATCGATGGGGAGAGTGTGTGTGTGTGTGTGTGTGAGAGAGAGAGAGAGAGAGAGAGAGACGGAATGAAATGCCCAATGTAATAGACTAATGTGGCTTGATTCTCGCAACGGAGAATAAGAGAGAAACATAGATGGGATCATCTCAGGTTGTCTGATTTGTAACAGATTATAGTATAACAAAATGAGAGAGAAAGAAAAACACATAGCGTAAAAGAGAAAGAAACGGTGTGCGTGCGAGAGAGATGATTCGGACAGGAGGAGTACAGTACGACGGTGGTGGACACCTATTTTTTTTTTGGTGCATGAAAATGGAATGGTAACCCCTGCGCTAACGGGATACGCTGGCGGAGCACCAGTGAAGGGTGATAGATGAGAATGAAAACAGGCCAGTTAGCCCATCATGATGAATTCATCAGGAATTAACCATGATAGTTTCCAGGGGGAACCGCGAGGAGTTCGACCTGGTTGGGTATATTGCTAGCAATGGGATTCTCAGTCTCCTTTACTAACAATCCCTTTCCCCCCATGTGGTCACCTATACAAATAAAACAAGATTATTTCTAATGTAATGTGTCTATTGTCCAACAGAGGGATCAGAGACACGGAGTTTTAACGGTTCTTGGGACAGTCGGTCGGACGCGGACGATGAGTGCGGGGACGCCACCTCACTTGTTAGAGGTATGTATGTATTGCTTTTAAATTCTATATTTTTGAATGGATGGCCGCACATCCGATGGAAAGTGGAACGCGACGCAGTAGACATGATAACCATAGACGTCACAGAGTATAGTGACGTTCATGTCAATGGTGATGATGGTATCAGCTGTTACCTGTCCACTGTTAAACATAAGCCACCCCATAGCGTTTTTTACCAGTAGGTGTCACGCTTGGCAGGCGGGTTTGCTTGTGTTTTTTTTTTTGATGGGTGAAAATGGTATGGTAACCCCGCCTGCGCTAACGGGATACGCTGGCGGAGCACCAGTGAAGGGTGATAGATGAAAATGAAAACAGGCCAGTTAGCCCATCATGATGAATTCATCTGGAATTAATCGTGATAGTCGACCTGGTTGGGTATATTGCTAGCAATGGGATTCTCGGTCTTCATTACTAACAATCCCTTTCCCCCCGGGTTTGCTTTGTTAGTGTTTTAAGAAGGACGCTACTGCCTATTGCTCTACCATTCGGTTCTCTCTTGTCTTCTGTTCTCTTCTCTCAGTTCAGTGGCTTTTTGATAATGTTTTTTTATAATTTAAATGAATACTTTAATCTTAAAACTCATTAAATTAATAATTAATAATACATACATATACATAATAATACATACATAATAATACATGTAAGCGAAGTTATGTTTATTTTAATTTGGTTATCATTATTCTTTGTCTTGTTAATTGTATTGTCAAATATTTCATATTTATTTGTAATCGAGTAATGGTAATAGCATTTGAATGTGTCGATGTTAACATAATTACCTGTTCTTAAATTGTTGCATGCCCGATATGGTATAACTGTTGATACTGATGTCAAATTCAAAGTAATAGGTACTGCTATATTTTTTTTTTATGCAACTTAGAATGGCAAACAAGCTGACGGTCCACCTGATGGAAAGTGGTAACCGTCGCCTATAGACACGAGCAGTACCATGGACATAACAGAGTATACTGTTTCGCCCCTGATACCCCCCATGCGTTGCCATTCCTGACGACTCAGGTGTTATTCCTCTGTACCCTGTAAATTCACGCCATATCCCACCCTTCAAACCGAAACACAGCCATGCAAACGCAACTGCTTCACGGTAGAAACATGAATGAGACAGAAGTACCCAAGCAATCGACTTTTGTACAAAGTCACATCTGCTATATGTATGTACACAGTTAGCAATAAAATTCTATTCTATTCTATTCTATTCTTAGTGTCCTCTTACGGCACCTGAAATAAAAGTGGCGGCTTAATCTTTCTCCCGGAACATAATGCCGGCTGTCTTGATGATTATAAGGGTATTATAGTATTCTTCATGTGCCACTACTCAGGACTTTTTTTTTTTTATTGGATGAAAATGGAACGGTAACCCCGCCTGCGTTAACGGGATACGCTGGCGGAGCACCAGTGAAGGGTGATAGATGAGAATGAAAACAGGCCAGTTAGCCCATCATGATGAATTCATCAGGAATTAATCGTGATAGTTTCTAGGGGGAACCGCGAGGAGGTCGGCCTGGTTGGGTATATTGCTGGCAATGGGATTCTCAGTCTCCATTACTAACAATCGCTTTCCGTCCCACTACTCAGGACTATGGTGTTATGCCTTCATATCCTGTAATTTCACTGCCATACCCTTTAAACCGAAACACAGCCATGCAAGACAGGGGGAAGGGATTGTTAGTAATGGGGAGGTTAGTTCCTATTGCTATCAGTATATCTTATCGGGTCGACCTCCACGCGGTTCCCCCTGGAAACTATCGTGATTAATTTATTTTTGAATTAGTCACGATCGGCTAACTGACCTGCCTTTTCATCCTCACCAATCATCCCTCACTGGTACCCCGTCAGTGTTTACCGATAGCGCAGGCGGGGTTACCATTTCATTATCATCCTTTAAAAAAAAAGCCATGCAAGACTTATGAATTCTATTTAAAAATTTATATGATTTGATATATTATTGAAAGAAATGAAAATATTTTGTACAAGACTCTCATTATTTCCATTTCAGAAAATTCCTTAAGCGTCTGCGACATCCCTCCCCCTCAAATATACGAAACGCGGTTGTCGTGTGGAGCGGCGGCCTACTGCACACTGTGGCGCTGCGGTCGCCCGGGGCGGAGCCCCACAGTCCTGCACGTGTACGGCGGGCCCGAAGTGCAGACCGTCACCAATAGCTACAAGGTATTTTTTTTTTGGTGGATGAAAACGGTATGGTAACCCCGCCTGCGCTAACGGGATACGCTGGCGGAGCACCAGTGAAGGGCGATCGATGAGAATGAAAACAGGCCAGTTAACCCATCATGATGAATTCATCAGGAATTAACCATGATAGTTTCCAGGGGGAACCGCGAGAAGGTCGACCTGGTTGGGTATATTGCTAGCAATGGGATTTTTAGTCTCTATTACTAACAATCCCTTTCTCCCCGCTACAAGGTATTAGGCATGGGTAATATCGGCACGGCTTTAGTATCTATATATGGGATTTCTCTAGACATTAATGGCGGGATAAAGGTCATCAATTTTGATGTTTATATATATATATAAAAATTTAATATGTATTTTATTTCATAATTGCAATATCGCACGTCAGGTATCTGATATTTACTCGTATATTCAATTTGATCGGATGCTTTATTTCGATATTATATATTGGACAAGCGACATTTAATATATCCCTTCATTAAACCAATATATAGATATTACAAATATATAAATATTGCTATATATTATCTTTATAAAGTATAGTTATACTTCTCAGTATACTTACCTATTCTGTGATCATAATACTGCAACGTGCGACGTCGCTAACGCCCGGTGTCGAGCCTCACCCTCCTTCCCGTAACTAATATATAAATATGTCAAGCCAAATATCTTTATATATTATTATATTTTTAATTGTTATTATTACTGTATTTATACAATTTATTGATGTTTTTTAATGTTATTGATTGTAACCTGTTGTGAATACATAATATATATATATATATATATATATATATACTCAAAATTTCAATTTTATTAATAAGACAACTAAAAAACTAAATATTAATTGATTTAGAACAAGATGTCAGTTTGGACTATTGCTACTGAAATGGTACTTCCATTTAAGCTTTAGTGAGGGATGATAGATGAGAATGAAATGGCAGATTAGTTGGCCCATCGTAATGAATTCACCAGGAATTATGCATGATGATTTTCAGTGTGGAGGTTAACCTGATAGAGTATATCGCTAGCAATGGGGATTGTTAGACCCCATTACCACAGTAAAAGTAGCTGGCTGCGATTTGACTTCACTCCTGAGAAGGAGTTTTGTTTGAGAAACAAGTCGGCACCTACATCTATGTTTCCGCGCTAATCGTAACTACACACGCACACATTGTCACATGTATGAACATATGTTTCTGTATTTGGCAAACATGGATCCTGGCATTTATGTATGAAGTATTCGGAGTATACGGTTACTAACAATCTCTATTTTGCAGGGTATTCGCCAGCTCCGCATGCATATGCTGGCGGCGAGGGGATTCAACGTGGTCGCGGTGGACTCGCGCGGCTCCAAGCACAGGGGCCGCGCTTGGGAGGCCGCCATCAAGGGCAAAATGGGCCAGGTCGAGCTGGATGATCAGGTTAGAAGGATACTAATGTATTTTACTTTAGTAAATTTTAAATTACATACATATCTGTCACGCCTGTATCCCATTAGGGTAGGCAGAAACAATGGAACGCCAAATGCGTCGATTCGAACTAACCTCTTTCGCTTCTTCCACATTCATCAATCTTTTCATACACGCTCGCTGGTTACGGGTACTTTTAATTTGGCCCTTCTTCGGCACGTCGCCTATTTGGTCAACATACGTCCGTCTGGGGCGGCCCCTACCGACATCTCCATTTATTCTTGCTCGATAAATCTCTATCTTTTCTAATTCTTCTTTCATCCGTCCTCTCCAAATGACCAAACCAACGCAACATTCCTTTTTCGATTTTTGTCACTACATCGTCTTTCAGTCCACACTTCTCTCTAACCACACTGTTTCTTACTCTATCTTTTAAAGTAATACCACACATACTTCTCAAAGCTCTCATCTGTACAGCATTTATCTTACTTTCATGCTTCTTCTGCCATACCCACGATTCGCTTCCATACATGAGTGTTGGTGTCAGTACTCCTTGAATTATGGCGAGGCAAGCTTTGCTCGATACATTTTTACTTGACATAATCGAGAGCAGTGCACCGTTAACACTGTTTCCCGCTTTAAATTTTAAATTAAGTTTTGGACAAATGATTGTTTGATTCCAAGGAGGCTTGACGTTAATTAGTAATAAAATTAAAAGCCAAAATATCGAGTCATATAAACATAATAAGTCGATTTTTTTCTGTGGAACAAAATCTTAAATTATTTCTCTTATAACATAGTGCTTGCATATTACGCCCGAAGCCGACGATGGAGTAGTTTTAGATAGATAGCTAGATAGATAAATTATTTACATTACTTACAGCACACAAATTACAATACAAACATACACATAATACACAGTAAAAGAGATAAAATAAGAATGAGAATAAAAAAGCACAAATAAAAAAAAAAAACAAAATATATAAACTAACAATCTCCTTTCTTTCCTTCCCTTCATGCGCGTGCCAGAGTAACACAAAATGGTCACAGCTCAGTTTATTGCTTTGCCCCTCAATAGAGCAAAACACTGATATTCTGTTATGGCCAAAAGACAAAAGCCAGTCTTATGTAATATAGACATGTCTGTACAGGTGGAGGTGCTACAATGGCTCGCCAAGGAGACAGGCTGCATCGACATGGAACGCGTCGCCATACACGGTTGGAGTTACGGTGAGATGATTGATATACATACATACACATGCAGATATAGAGAAAAAAAAAATTGTTTTTATTTATTTATTCTTTATTGCATAATAAAACTTTGTACAAGCGAGCGAGCTTAATGCCATATGGCATTCTCTACCAGCTAACCATTGGGTAAAAACAGAAAGTGTATGAAGGGCAGATGTGGTGAAAAATATGCGACATAATTATAGCAACATACTGAAATAATTATACATAATACATAAGAAATGCTCATATAATTTTTTTTTATACAACTTAGAATGGCAAACAAGCTGACGGCCCACCTGATGGAAAGTGGTAACCATCGCCTATAGACATGAGCAGTACCGTAGACATAACAGAGTATACTGTTTCGCCCATGATACACCCCATGTGTTGCCATTCCCGAGGATTCAGGTGTTATTCCTCTGTATAGTGTAAATTCATTGCTATATTCCATCCTTCAAACCGAAACACAGCCACGCAAACACAACTGCTTCACGGTTGAAACACGAATGGGACAGAGGTGGCCAAGCAAACGACTTGTATAAAGTCTCCCTCTGGTAAGGAGGATATATATCTTATGATAGTAATAATAATGAAGTGCCGTGGTTCGTATTGTCGTCGTTCGTGGAAAGTCCGTTTTACCTATCATATATCCTTTTAGTCAATAAAATTATTTTAAAAATAGTACATTACTACAGCGGCCAGCAACTGAGGCATTGATGGACGAACGTGCAAATGTGGGCCGAAGCGTAGCCGAGGCACACAAACGTGAGTCCATCAATGCCTAGTTGTGGCCAAGGCTTGTATAGTACTTTTCCCAAACAATGCGCGGAAATCAAAAACACAATGTTACTTTTTAAGTTCAATGACGAATAACGAACAATAATAATCTTTCACGCGCCATAATGTTACTTTGTTTTTTTTTTTTTTCAATAAACAGCTTTCTATTTGCAAGCCAGTTCGAAATTCAAATAAAACATTTTATTAGTTACCTCCTTGGTAGCCATGTTTCGAAGTAAAAGGTCATTCCATTTTTAAATTACAGGACAGATATGAGTTTACATAGTAATTTATCTGGCCGCAAAACACGACAGATATGGATTTTCATACAACTCTTGCCGGCCGCTGCCCGCATGTATCTGGCCAGTACGGCAATTTTGATTTATCTCTAAGAAGATTCTCAAAATAATGCTCACATTTCCAAGCATGTTTGAGACAAAGTAAATAAATGAAACATTCCATCGGTGGGTGCTCGCAGGCGGGTACCTGTCGCTGCTGGGGCTGGCGACGCGGCCGAACATCTTCAAGGTGTGCGTGGCGGGCGCGCCGGTGACCTCGTGGCGGCTGTACGACACCGCCTACACCGAGCGCTACATGGGGCTGCCCGCCACCGCGCCGCACGCCTACACGCGAGCCTCCGTACTCGCGCACACGCCCTTCTTCCCGGACCAGTGAGTACCGCCGCCAGGGGGCGCTGTTACATAGCCGTAACTATATATGTTGAAGCTAATGGTTGACCGATGGAAAGTGGTAACCGTCGCCTATAGACATGAGCAGTACCATGGACATAAGAGAGTTTACTGTTTCGCCCATGATACCCCCCATGTGTTGCTATTCCTGAGGACTCAGGTGTTATTCCTCTGTACCCAGTAAATTCACGCCATATCCCACCCTTCAAACCGAAACACAGCCATGCAAACACAACTGCACGATTACGGTATAAGTACTATTATTATAATCTTCTATTTCCTATCTGTGAAAGAAATTTGTTTCGATTAAAGACTTGTGTTAGTTAAAATATCTTTTTTTTTTTTTTAAAAGTCTCATCTCACCCACCCCGTAACAGGCCGCTGCCCGGCTACATTGGCCTCCGATACGGGTTGCTTTTGCGGTCGATTTGCTATTTTTTTTTAACCCCTCGAGCGTTTATGCATCGTACGCTGTAACGAATAAAAATGTGGGCGGGCGCTAATGCAACACAATAGCGTCTGTTGCATAACTCGAATTTGCAGAGGCGTTTTCATTAAATTTATATAAGTCATTAATTTATATCGGTCATTAATTTATGTAAGTCATTAATTTATATAGGTCATTAATTTATGTCGGTCATTAATTTATGTAGACCATTATTTTATATCGGTCATTAATTTATGTAAGTCATTAATTTATATAGGTCATTAATTTATGTCGGTCATTAATTTATGTCGGTCATTAATTTATGTCGGTCATTAATTTATGTCGGTCATTAATTTATGTCGGTCATTAATTTATGTCGGTCATTAATTTATGTAGGTCATTAATTTATGTCGGTCATTAATTTATGTAGGTCATTAATTTATGTAGGTCATTAATTTAAGTAGGTCATTAATTTATGTAGGTCATTAATTTATGTCGGTCATTAATTTATGTCGGTCATTAATTTATGTAGACCATTATTTAATATCGGTCATTATTTTATGTAGGTCATTAATTTATGTAGGTCATTAATTTATGTCGGTCATTAATTTATGTCGGTCATTAATTTATGTCGGTCATTAATTTATGTCGGTCATTAATTTATGTCGGTCATTAATTTAGGTCGGTCATTAATTTAAGTAGGTCATTAATATATGTCGGTCATTAATTTATGTAGGTCATTAATTTATGTCGGTCATTAATTTATGTAGGTAATAAACCCATTTATCCATAACCTCTAATCGAAATTTGATAACTTAAAAAATCGGTGACGCAGTGCGTGTAGCCAGCTAGCCTGCTCATGTCTATAGGCGACGGTTACCACTTTCCATCAGGTGGGCCGTCAGCTTGTTTGCCATTCTAAAATATATAAGTTGTATAAAAAAACAAAATAAGCCTAGAGCCGATCGCTCACTGGTTAATAGATGGAAATGTAATGGTGTAAGGTATTACATACTCGTAAATACATTTATTTTTTAACAGACTAATGGGGTTGCCACTTCTGCATCAGGACCTTGCCTATACGTCTTCTGACCACTAAGTGGAAGTCAGAGGACATAGTTGGGGGTCAGAGTAAAGATAAAACTGGTTTCCTATTATGGGGGGAAAAGATTGTTAGTAATGGCTCTAACAGTCCCTTTGTATAGCATTAGATCCTATTAGGTCGACCTCTACGCGGGTTCCCTCCTCGAAACGGAAACTCTAACTCGGAAACCAGCGCTGGAAATTCTCGTCGAGTTCGTCCCTATGGGCCAACTGACCTGTCTTCATTCTCGCCTATCATCCATTGCTGGTGTCCTGCCAGCATGTACCGAAACGAAGGCGGGGTTTCCACCAAGCATTGAAAAAATACATGTTTTGTCTTCAGGGAAGGTAGACTGCTGATCATCCACGGCCTAGCTGACGAGAATGTGCATTTCTGTCACACCGCTGCGCTGCTCTCCGAGCTGGTGAGGCTTGGGAAACCGCATCGAGTCCAGGTAAAAATATGTGCTACTAAGTATGTGTATGTTTGTTTATATGTGTGTTTCTATATATATGTAATGGTCGAGGGATGGGCAGCAGCGTTCTCCTTAAAATATTACCAGGACCTAACTTTTTTTATACCACTGCGGTGGCAAACAAGCATACGGCCCACCTGATGGTAAGCGGTTACCGTAGCCTATAAACGCCTGCAATACCAGAAGTATTACGCGCGCGTTGCTGACCCTGAAGAAACTTCTTTACCCCCCTTTTGAAGAACCCCATGCTCTAGTCTCTTGGGAAAACCTCGGCAGGGAGCTCATTCCACAACCTGAGTGTTCGTGGGAGGAAACATCTCTGAAACCGCGCGGTATGCGACCATTGAGGCTGTAGGACATGAGGGTGAACTACCTGTCGATGGCGAGCCGTACGATGGTAGAAAGTGGCTGTGGGCATCATATTGAACAATTCCTCTGAGCATAATCCATTGTACAGGCGGTAGAGTGGATTGTGTGATTGCGGTTGCCAACCCGGCTGCCAAGCGTGGCAACTACTGGCAAACTTCCCACTTATGGGGGAGGCTGATGTTTATGTGTGGGCGGTTAACAGCTAATATGACATGATATACCTCTATAGACTTTACAATTACTAATTATCCAAAATTTTCAAAAAATTACTTATAATTTCCAAACCCATTTCAATTTTTTCCAAGAATTAAATTTTTCCAAATTTTCGCAGTTCTTTTTTTGTAAATTGTTAACGCGGTTAGTGTGGAGGGAAAGGTATTGTTAGCAATGGAGTTTGACAGCCCCATTGCTAGCAATATGCGCTATTAGGTCGACCTCCACGTGGTTCCCCCTGAAAACCATCGTGAAGAATCTCATCTTGCTGAATTCGTCACGATGGGCTAACTGACCTGCTTCATCCTCACCTATCATCCTTCACTGGTGCCCCGCCGGTGTATACCGATAGCGCGGGTGGGGATACCATTCCATTATCATCCATTAAAAAAAAATACGCGGTTAGTGTGGGAGTTGTTGCGTTCGAATTTATTTTATTTATTTATTTTAGACAACTTGGGTCCATGTTTGTTAGTAAATGTACTTAAAAACTATGTTATTTATTTACATATTTATTTATTCTTTATTGTACACAAAAAATTACAATATATAATACAAACTATGTTAATAATCACCTTTTTAGCTTTTCTCTATCCATAGCAGGCTAGTGTATAGAAAATGTTTGATATGTCAATTATTTGTCAATAACAAATTTTACGTTACTAGATTATATATTGGACACAGCTCATGTAGAAAGTATGCGAGCGGGTTGTATCTGAATTTGGTAGGGTTATACGGCCGTATAACATTTTCTATACACTAGCCTGCTATGAATTGAGAAAAATAGCAACTGATGGTGTATCTTTCGTCCTCTTTTTACTAATTATATTTGCATAAGAAGAAAGGAGGCAACCATATGGTTTACAGTTTTTATTTGAATCATTCCTTCTATGTAATTCTTTGTTCTTAGGTTTCACTGTGCATTAAAGTTTACCAGAGGGAGTTCACTAGGGGAGGGAGAGGGAGTTTACCAGAGGGAGACTTTGTACAAAAGTCGATTGCTTGGGTACCTCTGTCGCATTCGTGTTTCAACCGTGAAGCAGTTGTGTTTGCATGGCTGTGTTTCGGTTTGAAGGGTGGGATATGGCGTGAATTTACTGGGTACAGAGGAATAACATCTGAGTCCACAGGAATGGCAACGCATGGGGGGGGGGGTATCATGGCCGAAACAGTATACTCTGTTATGTCCATGCTACTGCTCATGTCTGTAGGCGACGGTTACCACTTTCCATCAGGTGGACCGTCAGCTTGTTTGCCATTCTAAGTTGTATAAAAAAAAAGTTTAAATAAATAATTTCTGTCTATCTTCCGTCCCTACCAGGTGTATCCCGGCGAGAGGCATTCGCTGCGAGCGATGCACGCAGCCAAACACTACGAAGCGACGTTACTGCACTTTCTACATGAAAATTTGTAAATTTTGTATTAAATAGCTTGTATCTAATCATTATATATAATAATACAAATAAATCAATATTAAATTGTATACACTTAATTGTATTTTTATTACTCATCATCTTCCTACCCTTATCCCAATCATTTCCCAATATATATATATATATATATATATATATATATATATATATATATATATATATATATATATATATATATATATATATATATATCTTTATTGCACTAAAACATACAGTAACAACAATAAGTTAATAACAATGTTAGCAAAGGGGAACTTATCTCTAAAAGAGATCTCTTCCAGTCAACCTAACACAGTGGCATAGGAAGTAGTGAGTGGGCAGTAGTAGTGCAAAACAGAAGTTCTTTGAACTTAAATAATTATTAAATAAATATTTACATAAATTATAAATAATTATACACATATCCATATACACGTACACATACATATATACACATACATACATACGTACACATACATACACACACACACACACACACACACACACACACACACACATATAAACATCAAATACAAGAGAACACAATGATGACAGTCTTCTAATCATTTTTATATTTAAACAAAATTGGAAAGATAAAATGATTTTAATGATTACAAATATCATATATCCATATTGCAAAAAGATTGGCTTTTAGTTTTACGACCGGCCACCTGCCTGACATCAACCCTCTGGGAATGCATTTGTTGGTGGTTTCCGCCACCTACGGTATGGGGAAAAGGATTGAGGAAAAAAGGAAGGGAACGTTGGAAATGGGTAAAGAAAATTGGTGAATGAGAGGAATAAGGGACTTATGTGGGAAAGAAAAGGGGGGGGGGGGACACTACAGTTGCGGAAAGGACTAGCAGCGGCTCGAGAGGTCGGAGTCGCATACCCGTATGCCCTTATTCTAGAATCGAACAGATTTCTATTTAATTTATGTAATTTTAGTATGTATGTATATCAATAATTACTAGTACCGCATTCGAGTGTTCTGACACTTGCCTACGGTTGACTGGGAGAGAATGCTTTTAGCATTAAGTCCGCCATGTACACATATTTGTACTAATGAATAAATAAAATAAATAAATTTCTAGAGAATTATATCAAATTATACTCTGAACTATTTACATTATTTTTATTATACACACACCGCACAGACAATCACCAATAATATTGCTCTTTTTATTTTATTATATATTTATTTTAATTATTATTTTCACGTACCCTCAAATGGGTTAAAGCTGAAAATCAGTGTTTTGTTCCTTGAACAATGTTCCACGCTGAGCTTCGACCTTTTTGTATTGCTGCAGATCACACATAATAACACAATTATAAATCTTATGTTGTTTTATGTATTATCTATTCTTATGTACATGTTGTGTGTGATTAGTAACAAACAAATAAACGATCTATCTATCTATCTATCTATCTAACACCCCTGACGCTTGATGAACTGTATTTTTATTACTCTAACGCTGTTTTTATTTTCTTGTCAAAAAATGCCCATCCATCGATGGGTGTAAAGAAAGGAATAATTAATTCAAAGAATCATGCGACTCGCACAGTAGCAAACGAAACGAGAACAAAACAAACAAAAAGAAAAAAATAGTATACAAAATAAATAACGCAGTGTAGAACTACTCCCCACTAGATGGAGTGATGACCTCAAATGCATTGCATGGAGTCAGCGGATGCAGGTGGCTCAGGACCGTCCCTTATGGCACTCTAGGCCTATGTTTTTTTTTAGAATAGAAACATTTATTGCCAGTAAACATACAATTACAATATAAAATATAAATAACATATACAAAAAGTGTCCCATACTCGGCAAAAGGAACCGGCTCAGCTGATGCTGCGAGTGTCCCAGCGCAATGTGAACAGCTGCACAGCGCTGGTTTTCAGCCGGTCCCTCTCTTAACAAAACATATTTATACCACTAATATATATACCACTGAGGTAGCAAACATACGGCCCACCTGATGGTAAGCGGTTACCGTAGCCTATGAACGCCTCTAATACCAGGAGTATTATGAATATAAATAATTATAAACTACAGAGTATATTAAATAACGAGTATATAAAAAAAGTTATGGAACACTCTAAATTTGAGAGTAGGGATCCCACTAAATTAGTTGTAGCTAAATGTAAAACTTCTGTACATCAAAGGAACCGATATTTTATGTCTAATAAAATTTATAATAAAATTTCCCAGCATTTTAAAAAGCGACGTGCTGAAGAAGGGCCGAATTAAAAGTACCTATAACCGGCGAGCGTGTATGAAAAGATTGATGAATGTGGAGGAAGCGATAGAGATTTGTTCGAATCGAAGCATTTGGCGTTTCATTGTTTCTGCCTACCCTAATGGGAGACACGCGTGACAGATATGTATGTATGTATGTATTTAAAAAAATTACCAACTAATTATTTTAATTCCCAATCACAAAAACGGCTTATTGACCATTGTTTCTATTCAATTAATGAATTTATGAAATTTAAAATGAGTATTAATCTATCTATACTTATAATAAATATGTGGAGAAGTCAATTCTGTACATTAAATATATTTCCAAAATAACTATCAGGCGGTGATTAGTGATCGATACTGATGCCGAAAATGCAATCAGTAAAATTTTTATCTGTCTGTCGTGTATGTTTGTTATAGAAACAAAAACTACTCGACGGATTTTAACGAAACTTGGTACAATTGTTCTTCATACTCCTGGGCAGGTTACAGTATACTTTCCATCACGCTACGATCAATAGGAGCAGAGCAGTGAAGGGAAATGTTGGGAAAACGGGAGAAGTTATTACATTTTTAAGCTTCCGTCGCGTGTGCAGCCTTAATGGCCACTTTTTAAAATGTAAAAATGTCCACCTGTGCGACGCCGGGATAGGCCTACTAATATGTATTAATGGGGGGAAGGGATTTTTAGTAATGGGGTCTAATGAACCCATTGCTAGCAATACACTATCAGGTCGACCTCCACGTGGTTCCACCTGGAAACCATCGTGAACAATTCTTGTTGAATTCGTCACGATGGGCTAACTGACCGTTTCATCCTCACCTATCATCCTTCACTGGTGCCCTGGCAATGTATACCGATAGCGCGGGCGGGGTTACCATTCCATTATCACCCATTAAAAAAAATGTATTCATATTAAATCAGATGCAGTATATTCATTGACACAAACTTGTATTTGACATATTTTTGTTTTTTTTTTTTATAAGTTTTTTTTTATAACATTTGTTGGTGACAGACCTCTTTTTATATAATTTTACCTTTTCAGATTTATTTTTTATATTTCGAATATAGCTTTTGATAACTCTTTTGTTTTCTTTCCTGACTGACAATTGTGCCTGTCTCAAGGAAATGATGCTGGTAAGCCTCTCTAATATTATTATTTATTTATTGCCGCCGCTTTACTCTCTTACCAGCTCCATTAATAACATTGTTTATTTAATAATTAAGTTTTTTAAATATTGCTCGCCTAATTGTGGCGAAATATGTGCAAACTATTATTTTAACACCCGTATACTTACCATGGCGTGAATTTATTGGGTACAGAGGAATAACACCTGAGTCCTCAGGAATGGCAACGCATGGGCGGTGTCATGGGCGAAACAGTATACTCTGTTATGTCCATGGTACTGTTCATGTCTATAGGCAACGGTTACCACTTTCTATCAGGTGGGCCGTCAGCTTGTTTGCCATTCTAAATGGAAAAAAAAAATACGCTGGCGGGGCACCAGTGAGGGATAATAGGTGAGGATGAAAGCAGGTCAGTTGGCTTAGGTAGACGAATTTATAATTAATCACGGTGGTTTCCAGGGTAACAGCATGGTGGTCGACCTGTTAGGGTACATTGATAACTGGGGCTGTTTTTTTTTTATTAGTGAAAATGGTATGGTAACCCCGCCTGCGCTAACGGGATACGCTGACGGAGCACCAGTGAAGGGTGATAGATGAGAATGAAAACAGGCCCGTTAGCCCATCATGATGAATTCATCAGGAATTAACCATGATAGTTTCCAGGGGAACCGCAAGGAGGTCGAACTGGTTGGGTATATTGCTAGCAATGGGATTCTCGGTCTCCATTACTAACAATCCCTTTCCCCCCACATTGGGGCGGTTAGATCCCATTACTAAGAATCTCTTTCCTTCCGGAGTTATAAGGTAACAAACATGAAAATACAACTAAATTAAGAATTTTAATCTTTTTGAAGTCGATTTTTTTATACAACTTAGAATGGAAAACAAGCTGACGGCCCACCTGATGGAAAGTGGTAACCGTCGCCTATAGACATGAGCAGTACCATGGACATAACAGAGTATATTGTTTCGCCTATGAAACCCCCCATGTGTTGCCATTCCTGAGGACTCAGGTGTTATTTCTCTGTACCCAGTAAATTTATGCCATATCCCACCCTTCAAACCAAAACACAGCCATGCAAACACAACTGCTTCACGGTAGAAACACGAATGGGACAGAGGTACCCAAGCAAACGACTTTTGTACAAAGTCTGGTAATAGAAAATATGTATTATATGTATAGATAAGGTTATTCTGTATTATTTTACAGTAACAATTCTATACGTTTGTTAATTTAATAAAATCGAACAATACATATTTAGAGTTGCACCTAAAAATAATCAAATGCTAATATGACATCACCCAGCGACAAAAACCTGAAGTTTTGACCTTGGTGAATGAACTGGGTATGTTATGTCATGTATGTAGGTAGGTATTTATCTTTTATATCTTATCCCTTTTCAATCTTTAAAAATAAATTTACTAGAGGGAGACCTTGTAAGTCGTTTGCTTGGGTACCTTTGTTCCATTCGTGTTTCTACCGTGAAGCAGTTGTGTTTGCATGGCTGTTTCGGTTTGAAGGATGGGATATGGCGTGAATTTACAGGGTACAGAGGAATAACACCTGAGTCCTGTAGAGAGGGGGAAAGGGATTGTTAGCAATGGAGTTTGACAAGCCCATTGCTAGCAATATCAGGTCGGCCTCCACGTGGTTCTCCCTGGAAATCATCGTGAAGCATTCTTGTTGAATTCGTCACAATGGGCTAACT